TAGAGACGGCTGGCAATCTCGCTGCTGAGTCCGCGCTCCAGGAACTCGATGAGGATATTATCCTGGTCCCCCTTCTTGTATTCGCCTTTGTCGTCGGTGGTGTCAACCACATTGTAGCCTGCATCCGCGGCCAACATCTCAAAGTCGGAGATGTAGTCCGCGAAGGACCGTTTGTTTTGACGCAGGGCCATAAGCCGAGCAGCGGCGACTTGTTCCGCATTGGAGTCCCCGAACGCCCTCTGAAACTCCTCCAGGAAGTTCTTTGATGTGACTCCTGCCTTCAGTCCCTGGAAGCCATCGAAGTTGTGCTGCTTCCAGTTCATCGCCCATCTCGAGGCAGCGCAGCTCGTGCCGTTCTCGTTACGGAGGTAGGAGAGGACAAAGAGGATTTTGGTCTCATCTTGTGAGAACTCCGATCGATAGGCACCGATGTAAGTGGTGCACGCGTCCACAAAGCCCAGGTATTTGGACTTGTCGCCATCGAAGTAGGGGGGGTTGGCGGCGAGGGTGATGCGGTGATGCCCTGACATGGTAGGGGCAGGCGTGTGAGGTGGAGGCGAGGGTGGTTGTTCGGAGGGCAGTTCGTCGAGGTCGGGGATCTCGTCTTCAGGCGGTGGGAGGGCGAGGTAGGGGTTGGAGGGCCCGGGTTGGTTTTGATGCGCCAGATCGGGCGACGATGGTACGATGGGGGGAGGGGACGGACTCCCAGACGACGATGGGAATCGGTACGAAATGGTGGAATCGTGTGCTGTACAAGCACTCGAGGGAGGGTTCTTTTGCTAGCAAAAAGATCCCGGGCCTAGCTCTTCACGTGCCCGATGATCCCAAGGTGCGTTTTCCCGAAGGTCTCCGCAGCACTCCTTGTAGCTACCGTAAGGCTTGGGTCGGGCTCAACGTTACCCGTGGCCTGGTGCTGTTTGCTTGATATGAACCCTTCACTGCGATAGTGGAGGACGACTAGATGATTCGGTAAAAGGGTGAGTGGGGTGATAAGGGTTAAGAGGATATAGCGGGCGTAGCGGTGCAAGATGCAGGGTAAGAGGTGTGAGGTAGGAGGGTATGAGGGGAGTCTTTGAATTATGTGACAATCAACCCAAAAACAAAGTCGAAAAGAGAAGTGAATTCAAAGACTGGAGAATACAACCAAGTAGCTACAGTATTTATACCCAAATCCAGTCTGAGTCATATCTACAACTAATGAGTCATAGGGCTATGTACCGCATGGAACGCTGGTCATGGGTCGTAGTAGAACCTTCTGGAGCATATGTCGCGCAGCCTCGAATCGATGAAGATAATCCCTGGAACCCCTAGTCCGGACCGTCTGAGCCATGATCCGTGATAAGATAAGTCGTGCCAAGATAAGATAAGATCGTCGATGATAAGATGAAAAAGTGGCCAAACTATGACAACCATGGGATATTTCTTCTTCATTGCTGGTTGTGCAGTGACCTGGGTTTCTAGACGCCAACCCACGGTCGCTTTGTTCTCAACAGAGGCCGAATACATGGCTCTGAGCAATGCTACGCACCAGATTGCCTGGATCTGCACTTTATTGACTGAGCTTGGATATGACTTGCCATCCACGCCTCTTTGTGTTGATAACCAAGGCGCTATCTTTATGGCAGTAAATCCGGTTCATGATAGGAGGACAAAGCACATCGACATCCACTATCACTTCGTACAAGAATCTGTCAAAGCTGGCAATGTCCAACTTTACCATGTGCCGACTGATGCGATGATCTCAGACACGCTCACAAAGTCTTTGGCATGGGTGAAGTTCCAACAACATCAGCTGTCTTTGGGTCTTCGTGATCTGACTGTTTAGTTGAGTGGGAGTGTTGAAGCTTGTTTGTATTGGTGACTATCACAGTATGTAGACATGACATCATATGTAGTATCTTTAGATTACTTTGGCTCGCTCCACATTGACCTTATACCTGACCTCATTATTGCATCATCCATTACTCATCTATGATATCACTACTCCACTATGACATCATGATATCTGCTCCAGACTGGTATATAAACCTAGTACTATACGCTCCATATTCTCAGCTCTGTGTCTTCTACACTCGCTGAGGTATGCATACTCTCTTATGATCTCTTACGACTCATACTCATGACTTGTACCTAGACTCTGTTTCTATAGGTACTGCTAATGTTAGCTCTGTGTCTTCTATACTTGCTGAGACTCTGTCTCTATAGGTGATTGCTACTGGTCATATCTACACTGCGCGATATTGTCTGCGACACACTGTTCTATATGAATCACGGATATCACCCATGGAAGGGAGTGGAACAGCGGATGGAATTAAGAAGTGAGTTGGCAGAGGAATTTGTAAAAAGAATCAAAGAAATACAAGATGAAGCAAAAGCAGCACTAGAAAAGGCAAATGAAAAAATGAAAAAATACTACGATAAACAAAGAAAAGAAGTCCCGGAGTTGAAGGTTGGGATGAAGGTGTACATAGAAGGGGAAAATATCAAGACGGATAGACCATCAAAGAAGATGAGCGACAAAAGACTGGGACCATACAAGATATTGGAGAAGGTTGGAGCAGTTGCATGGAAGCTGGATCTGCCGGACACGGACGGAAGACACCTGGTGTTCAACGAGTCACTGTTGACACCCTATCATGAACCACCCCCCCCATTGCCAAGAGAAGAGACCTGTAGCCAAGATGATCGGAGGAGCAGAAGAGTGGGAAATCAAAGAAATTGTGAAGGAATGGAACGTTGGCCAAGGAAAGCAGTACTTGGTCAAATGGAAGGGATGGCCGTATAGCAAAAACACCTGGGAACCATCACGTCATCTTACCCACGTAAAGAAGGTCCTGAGAGACTGGCAGAGGAAACAATCCAACCCAGACACACGCATTCACCTCCTGCCAACGCTCGAAGCCGGACATTGGGATTATCTCATCCATCGCTACAAACCAAAAGACAAGCGCCTCCCATATCCCCAACAACAACTCTTTGACCCTTACAAAAACATCTTCACACCCATTGGCCCAGTCAATGAGGACATTGACTCTAGAGAGGGAGTAATGTCATAGTTTGGCCACTTTTTATCTTATCATCGACCATCTTATCTTATCTCGGCACAGATTATCTTATCACAGATCACGGCATCTGATGGTCCGGGCTAGGGGTCCAGGGGATCACCTTTATTGATCCAAGGCTGCGCGACATATGCTCCAGAAGGTTCTACTACAACCCATGACCAGTGCTCCATGCGGTACATAGCCTTGTGACTCATTAGTTGTAGATATGACTCAGACTGGATCTGGGTATAAATACTGTAGCTACTTGGTTGTATTCTCCAGTCTTCGAATTGACTTCTCTTTTTGACACTATTTCTTGTTGATTGTCACACATGCAGTAGAGGGCAGATTGGAAACCAGCAGTGAAGATAGCCCCATGGACCACCAAGGAGGCTGCAATAGAGCAGGAGAGAACAGATAAGGCTAAGTGGAAAGTGTTCACTGATGGTTCAGGTATTCACAGACACATAGGTGCAGCAGCAGTACTGTACCAAAGAGAGAGACTCATCGAAGTGGCAAAGAAGCATCTGGGTACAGATGTGCGCCATACTGTATAAAGAGGAGAAGGCATAGGTCTAAACCTTGGAGTTGGTCTGCTCATACAACAACGGAATCTATGCAGGGACATATCCATCTACACCGACAATACGGCTGCAATTGATGCCACAGCAAAAAGAGACCCAAACCCGTCACACTACATATGGGACATGCTAGACCTGCAGCTAAAGGAGCTACACCGCAATCACCCTGATGCCAGGGTAACGCTACAATGGTCGCCAGGACACGTAGACATTCAGGGGAACAAGGAAGCAGACAAACAGGCAAAGGCAGCAGCGGAGCTGATGTTGAAGCTTGTTTGTATTAGCGACTATCACAGTATGTAGACATGACATCATAAGTAGTATTCTTAGATTACTTTGGCTCGCTCCACAATGACCTCATACCTGACCTCATTATTGCGTCATCCATTACTCATCTATGATATCATTACTCCACTATGACATCATGATATCTGCTCCAGACTGGTATATAAACCTAGTACTATACGCTCCATATCCTCAGCTCCTGTGTCTCTACACTCGCTGAGGTATGCATTCTCCCTTACGATCTAATGACCTTACTTATGACTTGTACCATAGACTCTGTCTTATAGGTACAGCTAATGATATAGCTCCTGTGTCTCTACACTCGCTGAGACTCTGTCTTATAGGTGATCGCTACTGGTCGTATCTCCACTGCGCGGTATTGTCTGCGACAGGTTATGGGCCCCGCCTGAACCACTAGCGGCAAATCAAGAAACATCGAACTACTCCCTTTACTAAGGCGAGTATCTTTCACTCGTTCAGCCCTTCTAGAGCGCCGTCTTTGTGCGCTTGTCCCACTTGCTGGATGTCGGTCCTCGCATTTGTGCTCTCACCCTCAAGGGGTTACGCGAGCGGCGTCAGGGAGTCATTCAGTTGGCAGACGCGCCGTTAGCTATTCCGTCCATGATTGCTCATGCGCGTTTTACGTTACATCTTTTTATTGTACAGCGGACATACCCACCAGGCACTGGTCCTTTGGTCAATCCCACTCCTGAACCTTGCACGAAGCGCCTAGGTGGTGTAGTAGCTCTCAACAGCTGCTGGAGGTCAATCCCTCCGCCAGGCAAAACAATCCTTTGGGGTTGACTCGCATTCCTCACAAGGGACCCTGCGGGCTGGTGACACTACGAGGATTCATGCAATGACATTCTGCGTGTATGCATGTCTTTAAAAGGGAGAAGATGGGCAGCCAAACCCGGTGCTTGGGACGGCCTTGGGCACGTGTCCCTTGGCCAGTGACGGACTGCGAGGGCAGTAATCACCGTTGGGTACTGCCGCCGCTGACGTATATAGTTACGTTACTTTGATACAAATATGGGCACTTACTATACCGCTTTATTTCGTTATCATTCCCCGCGCATATATGGGCATCATGGATGGGATAGGGACGCTTGGTTGCTCTCGTTTCAGAGATTTGGCACTTGGGATTTTGTTTCTTGGTCTGCAGAGAATCTGGGGCTGACTTCGTCGCTCTAGTCTCCATCTCTATCACCCTGTCATCACCGAACAATCCTCCTGTTGGGGTTATCCTATACCCTGTTAACTCTTGGACGACTTTCAGACACTCCTATCTTCCCATCGAATCTATCACCGGTGACATCTATCGGGTTGGTGATATCGACAATCAGAACAGCGATCAGGCGCAAGGAAATTTCACCGTCGCGCTTCGTCTTCTGTTTGGAGATCCTCCATACGTCAAACCTACTCTTCTCCACCATCACATCGCCGACGTCATCGAATTTCTTCCCACAATGTCCGGGATAGAAAAGCTTAACAATTCCATCCTGAGCGTCTTTGACGGCACAAACTGGAATACTTGGTCAGACAACTATATGAGCATATGCATGCACCAGGGCACTTGGGGGGTTGTGAAACCCTCTTATATCTCGGTTAACGGTACACCAGCTGCAAATATCGGTGCAGTCGAACGTCCTTCAACTGCTGGGGACTCCCAAAATCAATGGGACGTTGCCAATGAAAAGGCACTGGGTCTTGCGCGGGTTTATATTATCCAGAATCTGCGCAAGGGAATCTTTATGGACGGTCAACGGGAGCGCACTGCGCGCGAGGTTTTTGTGAAAATGGCGACGGATTATGGCCAACCAAATGCCATCGATGCTTTTGTCGAGTACCGCCTCCTGAACACCACCACCTTCCATGGTGGTGACACCATTGAGAAGCAAATCATGGAAATGGAGACTCGTCGTTGCCAGTGTTCAGAAGGAGGAATCAAGATCCCCGACTACCTCTTCGCGACTCTCATGCTCGCCGCCTTACCTGCTTCCAGCAGAGGTTTCGTCACCTCTTATCTGGCCAATCGTCCTATTGCTTCCTTAAACCCGGTAGATGTTAAGAACAGCGTCATTGGGAATATCAAGATCGAGAACCTCGACACGACGTCAAACTCGAAGATTTCCACCGTTCCGTCCCTCGCCACCCGCTGCACTCATTGTAACAAGTCCGGTCACGTTGCGGCATCCTGCTACAAGAAGTATCCCAACCTCAAGCCGACTGGTCAATCTTCTGACAAAGGCAAGGGGAAGCAGGATGAGGGGAAGAAGGAAAAGAAGAGTGGTGATGGTACCAGCACTGTAAACAAAGAAGTTGTAGCCGCTCCCGTGGTTGCAGCTGCCTCCAATGGAATGCACATTTTGTCCTATCTCATGAGTGACTCCCTCAAACACATCGATGATGGAATTTTTGTTGAAGAAATGGGAGACGATTCAAAAATTCGTTTTCTATGGGATTCAGGTTGTACGCATCACATGACAAACACCCGATCCGATCTTCACAATATCAGATCTATTGACACCTATGTAGTCGTTGGGTCGGGAGCTCGCTGCAAGAATGAAGCCATTGGAGATATTGTGTTGCGGGGTCATACTAGTAGTGGCATGGACTACACCTTCACGCTGAAGGATGTCATCTACAACCCGCACATAAGAGGGCGTTACCTTTCTGGGTATGCGCTCGATCAGGCTGGTTACTACACCGTGGTTGGTGACAACAAGGCAATCCTAGTCACCAAGGATTGGCTCAACAAGGGAAAAGCGCATGGGGATGTCTTGATGACCTTTAAAGCAAGCAATCGCTGCTACTGGTACTACCCCGAGGAGCTCGTGGCACCATCTGTGTCTGCATCTCACGAGTCTACCGCGCTCGCTTCCCTGGAAACTACCGATCGTGAATTGTGGCATAAGCGTTTTGGTCATGTGGCTCGGAGGACCCTTACTCACTTGCCGACACAAGTTGAAGGTGTTCCCCCCTTGCAACGCAATAAAGACCAGTGTGGCATGTGCAATGGATGTATGCTTGGAAAACAACACAAGCATCTGTACCCTGCATCAGAGAAACGTGCTAGCAAACCCCTCGAGCTTATCCACACTGATTTGATGGGCCCCTGGCCTACTCAGTCGTTGGAAGGTTCACGCTACACAATTTTGTTCTATGACGATTTCTCAAGCTTTGGCATGATGGTGTTTATTAAATCAAAGGACCAAGCCTCTACCGCAATTAAAAACTGTGTTGCCCTTACAGAGCATCAGCTCGGCACAAAAGTACTGGCCTTCCGGTCAGATCGTGGAGGCGAATATATGTCCGATGAACTCACAGCCTGGCTCAATGCACGTGGTATTATGCACCCTAAGTCCGCGCCACGCGAACCACAGCAAAATGGGAGGTCTGAACGTTGGAATCGCACAGCCTACGAGAAAGCGGAATGCATGCGCCTTGATGCTGGCCTATCCAAAGGCTTCTGGCAATGTGCTATGGATGCATCTGTCCACGTTCATAATAGACAACCTATGGCACGATTGGGATGGCGAACACCTGCGGAACTGTGGCTTGGAAAGAAGCCAGACGTCTCTTATTTCCGTGTGTTTGGATGCAAGGCATCTCTCTATGTGGATGTTGAAAAACGCCCAAAAGGGTTGGAGCATGGACGCCCCGACCACATCTTTGTTGGATACAAACAAGAGACAAAAGCTTGGAAAGTGTGGGATCCAAATCAATGCAAGATACAAATCTCTTCAAACGTCGAGTTTGATGAGCAAGTATTCCCTGCCAAGTCCAAGCTAGTCACCGGCAATGTGTCCTCTGGACTGGAGCTGTTCACACCATTCGAGGAAACCTTCCCTGACCTTATCAATAATCCTGCGCCTGCAACGCCTTATGCAAGCATACCACCTCCTGCTCTCCCACCGCCACCGGCACCCCTCGCGCAACAAGGTCCTGTCACGGGATCGCGAGAAGTACCCCTAATGCCTGGCCCGATAGACGATCGCCCAATTGCCCATCGCCGCCCTCGTCGGAATAAGCCCCGCATTATGCCAGATGGAACTACGTATCAGAGGCCTAGCAGCATTGAGTCCATGTTATCAGCTGCCCAAGCTGAGCATGACTTGCCTCAAAACGTATGGGACGTAGCAAAGAGCCCGGATGCACTCAAGTGGGAGCGCGCAATGCGCGAAGAACTGGACTCTCTCGAGGAAAACTGTACTTGGGACTTGACCAGCCTTCCACGCGGTCGAAAGACTGTAAAATGCAGATGGGTGTTTAGCAGGAAGCGTGACGGTCGTTTCAAAGCACGACTTGTTGCCAAGGGATTCACTCAGGTTCATGGGTTTGACTATGATGAGACCTTCTTGCCAGTATTGTGCTACGAATCTTTGCACATACTTATGGCTCTGGCTGCTCTCGAAGATTGGGAGATTCATGCCATGGATGTCAAAACGGCATTCCTAAACAGGGATCTAGAGGAAGAAATCTATATGGAACTTCCGGAATTACCCAAAGGTTTCTCGTCATGGCCAAAAGAAAAGGTGGCACGCCTTTGTAAATCACTCTATGGGTTGAAACAGGCGTCTCATCAGTGGAATATCAAAATCCACAATGCCCTCCTCGAACTTGGTTTTGCTCGGACATACTCCGACGCCGGTGTCTACACATATCGCCAACAAATGGGAGATACAGTCATCATCTTGGTGCTGTATGTTGACGATATGCTCATTATGGGCAACAATCTGCCGGAGATAGCGCGTATCAAATCCTTGCTCGCGAACCGCTTCAAAATGACAGATCTCGGTCCTACGAAGGATTTCCTTGGTCTGAACATAGTTCGTGATCGCAAAGCGCGTAAAAACTGGATCAATCAGACTTCTTATATCGAAGGAGTTCTAGAACATTTCCGGATGTCTTCGTGTAAAGAAGCTCGTACTCCCCTGCCTTCCGGCATCGTGCTCGAGAAGCATGATGGAGAAGTTGATGAAGACCGTCGTACCCGTTACCAGCAGCTGATTGGCAGTCTTTTATATGCCATGCTTGGTACACGCCCCGACATTGCCTACGCAGTCATCCATCTTTCAAAGTTCAACAGCAACCCATCAGAACATCATTGGAACATGGCAAAATACATACTCCGGTACCTTCAGGGCACCAAACACTACCAACTTTGCTATGATGGTTCCACTGGCACAGGCCTTATCGGTTATTCCAATGCTGATTGGGCGGAGAACAAAGACGACAGGCATTCCACCATGGGATATTCCTTCTTCATCGCCGGTTGTGCAGTGACCTGGGTTTCTAGACGCCAACCCACGGTCGCTTTGTCCTCAACAGAGGCCGAATACATGGCTCTGAGCGATGCTACGCGCCAGATTGCCTGGATCCGCACTTTGTTGACTGAGCTTGGATATGACTTGCCATCCACGCCTCTTTGTGTTGATAACCAAGGCGCTATCTTTATGGCAGTAAATCCGGTTCATGATAGGAGGACAAAGCACATCGACATCCGCTATCACTTTGTACGAGAATCTGTCAAAGCTGGCAATGTCCAACTTTACCATGTGCCGACTGATGCGATGATCTCCGACACGCTCACAAAGTCTTTGGCATGGGTGAAGTTCCAACAACATCGGCTGTCTTAGGGTCTTCGTGATCTGACTGTTTAGTCGAGTGGGAGTGTTGAAGCTTGTTTGTATTAGCGACTATCACAGTATGTAGACATGACATCATAAGTAGTATTCTTAGATTACTTTGGCTCGCTCCACAATGACCTCATACCTGACCTCATTATTGCGTCATCCATTACTCATCTATGATATCATTACTCCACTATGACATCATGATATCTGCTCCAGACTGGTATATAAACCTAGTACTATACGCTCCATATCCTCAGCTCCTGTGTCTCTACACTCGCTGAGGTATGCATTCTCCCTTACGATCTAATGACCTTACTTATGACTTGTACCATAGACTCTGTCTTATAGGTACAGCTAATGATATAGCTCCTGTGTCTCTACACTCGCTGAGACTCTGTCTTATAGGTGATCGCTACTGGTCGTATCTCCACTGCGCGGTATTGTCTGCGACAGCTGACCCCCAGAAGTAGACCGGAGGCAGACAGACTCCTACACAAGAGCCTCTGAGGCATGCTACCCCATAGCAAATCAGCTGCGGTACAGCATCACAATATGCTCTTACAAACCATAGCAGGCAATGAATGGAAGGCCTCACCTCAATACGATAGATTCAAATTTTTGTTCAAGAAAACCCCTTCTGACTCCTTTCAGAAACTTATCAAGAAGATCTCACGACCGCAAGCATTGATCCCTGTCCAACTACGTACAGAACATGCACTGCTGGCGCGTTATCTACACCAAATTGGGAAGCCAGACTTGCCCATCTGTTGACACTGCCATTGGGTGGATGAAACCGTAGCCCACTACCTATTGGCATGCCCAACACACAAAGAAGAACGCCGACATATGAACAAAGCAGGTGGACAAAGAACCCTAAGCGTCACAAAGCTCCTGACAGATCCCAAGGCAATCCCACACCTGATGTGTTACCTGGTAGAGACGAGATGCTTTGAGAGAACACATGAAGGACTGGAGGCGGGAGATGAGAGCACGACAAGCCAACACACACAAACCAGAGCAAGAACCCCACCCACATAGACGGGCAATTATACTTCTATATTTAAAAAGCTCGTATGCCCAAGCGACCGGCCATCCCCACTGCACCATCGGCCAACAAACCACCATGGACCCTACAGAAACCACTGGCTATAACAACGACATAGGACAAACAGGAGAATAATCAAGCTTAGGAGAATCAGAGAGAGCCAGACATATCCCTAACATATCGTATGCGACCACAGGGAATAACAAAATCGACTTTAAAAAGAAGTATCTGGGGAACTCTATCTCTATCTTGAACACCTGCATCAAGCATCTGAGCAATCATTCCAGCAATCCAGATTTTGTGTGGATCATCTGCTCAGAATTGGTCTAGCTACTATTCTGTGTTTGCTGCACACACAGGAGTCGGAGGCGGCTAAGATCAATTGGAAACCAAATACATTCACATATAGCTACAACAGAAGGCTCATAGCTACAGCAGAGCAACACATGCCAGGCAGGATTGTACAGGCTGTGAGCATGGGGAATGTAGAGGTTGCTTGCTTGATTGCAGTCACATGATGTGGACTGCGGATGACCTGGGCGATGGCATCATAAGGATCTTGGGGTAAGCTGGGAGCAGATGGATCCACTGCCACTTATAGGACAAGATGCAGATGCTTAGCACCCATTTGCAGAGCTTTGGTGTGGAGGATCACCTCAGATGCAGAGGGTACCCCCTACTAGGGGGTCAAAATGGATCAATTTTACCCCCCTTGGAGGGGGGGTACCCTCCGTGGCAGATGTTCCTTAGGTGGTCCTATCTGACTGCTCATCAACTTTGATTGGGAGTTTTGGCTGAGATTTGACTGCATTAAGGCAATGAGTATTTAGCCATCTCATTAGGTGGTAATTGACTGTAGCTCATGCTCAACTTGGTAGAGATATTGGTACTGAGGGTTGCGGTGTTAGGGATAGCACCAAAGATCATCATCACATACATCACTTCTATTTGACTGGCCCATACATCCCATTTCATGAATAGTAGCTGGAAATGCATCGATTGGGCAAAATGTATAGATGGAATGCGTTTGATAGCAGTGATGGTATGAGTATAGTTGGTGGCAATAGTAGTGACAGGCAGGTTATGATTTGACAAGAGGTGCAACGGATGAAGAGTGCATGTAACATAACAACAGCAAACGACGAGGGGACCTAATCTGTATCCATTTCATCAGCATTTCCAGCCGATGATGCCTCATTCTCCGCAGTACGGCCGCCAGCTAGAGTACCAGGAGTGGGTGCACCAAAGCTGGCAAGATACCGGCCAATGTCAGCAGTATTCTGCGGCTGGGGATGATGCAAAGTGGTATCGGCCGCAAACGGGTTACCGTTTCGTCGCAGTAGCGCCATAGCTCGTGACCGTGGTACATCACCGGCGGGCTCGGTACCAACTCGGCTAGGACCCGCAATTGCATTCAAGATTGCAGCTGGCCTGATTGCACGGATGGTGCTTGTATCAGTCACATCCACATTTGTCCGTTCGCGTTCTCTGGTGCGTCGATCTCTTCGCTCGCCAGCTCCTGGATCTTCTGGTACAATGGTTGCCGTACTTGTCGATGGGAGCATGCTCGTCGCATTGACTGTCGCATCGGGTGCATCATCTCCCTCTTTTGCACTGCACCAGAATCTGTGTCCCTCGCTCCATGCTGTGCTTTGGCAGTCCTTGCCACAGTACTTCGCTTTGCGGCATCGACGGCATTTAGCGAACTCGCGAGGGTAGGCTTCCCATCGACCGCAAAGCACTGCCAGACATCAGTTGAATTTACTGCCGCAAGAAACAAAACACATACTGTTGGCGCACTGACGGATTCCACCTCGGCTATCGTCCTTGCGACACGCATTGCGCATGATTACGCCTGCCCAATATTGGATCTCTGGCGGCAATTTCGGTGGAGGGTTGGGAAGATCGATTTCGCTTGAGGAAGGCCGGAAAGTGAAGCGTTCTACCAGTGAGAAAACATTCGTTTCATTGCCCGATCGCGCTGGAGCGGTGTTGCTCGGTTTTGCGGGCTGTGTTACGGCAGGAGGTCCGGTCCTCGACACAGGAGCCCTGCCCTCTTTTGGACCGAACGCACGGAAGAATGCCAGTTGTTGATTGACGGGACCCTGTCGCGCCTTTGACTCCGTAGGTCTGGGTTCTGAGCTTTCTGTCGGCAAAGTCTTGGCTGCTGCAACAGCCAAAGCACTGGCGGGATGGAAGCCATTCCGGCGCTTGTAGAATGCTTGCCTCACATGGGGATATTTGCTGAGGTAAGCAAGCAGCTGCAGCGAAAGCAGCACGTCTTCGTCACGGTACGGGCCAGTCTGGTGAGCAGCGTTATGTGAATGGTGGTGTCGTTCATTGCGAATGGCAGGGCCTGCCGGAGGGAGGACGATGGTGGGAACCACGTCTATACTATCCGTCGCAGCGACTCGCCGAGAGCGTGTTGTGACTGGTGGTGCCAAAGCAGGGACCCGAGGTGCACCCGGATTAGTCGGTCGAGATATCGGAGAAATCGGCCGCGCCGTCAATTGGGATGTGGATGCGATGGGCTCGGCGGTATCATTGTTTTCGGACATGCGAGCGGCACGGAGAGTTCCTGCCCGACGCATGGAGCCACCCCGATCGCGCACGGCAACGACCACTTCGCCTTCCTCTTCATCCATTTCACCCTCTTCTTCATAGACAGCCGACTCGGGAGCAGGCAATTGAACGACTCCTGCACGAGGCGTCTGTGTCTGCTCTTCTTCAACTCTCCTTCGACCGGTAGAAATAGGCGGTGCATCACTTTCCTCAGCGTCGGCATCCGTGTCGGCCCGAGCCTCGGAGTCGGTCCCGCCGGAAGCATGAGCGTCTGTGATCCCAACAGGGATGGGCATCCCACCCATCATGCCCAAAGCACCCATGCCCATGACCATGTTCATGTCCATCATGCCCCCGTCCAAGCCAAGCATCCCAACCTCCTCGTTCATCATTCCCATATTCAACATCATATTCGTCGCATCGCCGTCCATTCCATCATCACCTCCGAGCCCCATAGCCATGCCCATTCCACCTTCCTCTCCAACAATTCGAGGGTCGCGTGCAAGTCCCATCATCATAGGCATAGGCATGTTCTGGTTAATGGCGGTAAGATTTGCGTTTAAATTGGCTGCATTCATCGCAGCCTGCTCGACAGCAGCCTGCACCACATTCAACGGAGGTGGGCTGGGGCTCGCGCTCGCGCTGGAATCTCCAATCCTCGATCGCAGATCAGTGACGTTCGATGGCCCACTGACACCCATGGCCAGTCCAGCAACAGCAGCTGCGACCATCTCAACGTCGCCGTCACCGTCACCGTCGGTGTCGGTGTCGGTACGGGCACTGGGGCTGGGACTGGCACGGCTGCTACTGATCGAGCTGCCCACAGGCGACGCTCTACTAACCGGAGAAGCCAATGAGCTTGCCCGGCTCCGGGACCTTGCGTCGGGGCTTGCAGTGCTGTTCGGACTACCCGTGACACTGGTCGTGCTGAGGGCAGACAGTGACGGCGACGGCGGATGGCCATCGGGTAGAGAAACATTCTGCGCGGCGGCGAGCTGCTGTAAAGCCTGCAAAGCTGCAGCGGGAGATACCGGATTGTTGGCATTGGTGTCGCCAGAGTACATGTTCGTGTTGTCGCGACCGTGATTGTGACCGGAATTGTGCACGTGGCTGGTATCGCCCCGTCGACGAACCACGACGGTAGCGCTTCTATCCCGAACGATCGGCGTCGCGGCTTCGATGTCTTCTTCTCCTTGGTGTCGAGGGGAAGTCGCAGCCGCACGATGAATATGATTGCCGTCAGCACGTCGGGCTGCAGACGTATCGATGGCTAATGAGCGTTGAGACGTATGGGATGAGTCCTGGGGAACCATATTAGCCAAGGGCTCGATCAAAGCAGATGGTATGATATTGTTGCAAGGCACCATCGATACACGCCGAAAGCATGTACGGGAACCGCAAGAACAAACTGATATCCGCAGATGGAAGGCGAAGGGAAAGCCTCAATGGTGGAACCGGAAACGTGACTCACCAATTCACCGCGAGTTCTCCTAGAAGCAGCAGCAGCTGCGGCTCGTCTCGCTGCTCTGGCTTCCCGACTCTCGCGAGGAAGGCCAGTGGCGCTTGTGCTTGGACCAACAGCAAATCCTCGTCCAACCAGCCACGCCTCGAGGATGCACCCCACAACATCTAGCGTACCAGCTTCGACAACTCGACTGCGGATCGGCTCACTACCACGGACGCCAATATTGACAACGCATTGGAAAGCGAGGCTGAAACGATACGCGGCGTGTTTATCGAACTGGCCGGAGGGTGGGTTTAGTTGCGGAGCGGGCCGAGGAGAGTAGTAGTTCGGGGGTAATAGCCCGAAGAAAGAGGACGCTGGAACGGGTGGTGGTGGAGAAAAGCAAAAGTCTCGAAGAATTCGAACGAGACGCTCAAGTCCGCCATCCATGGTCATGATTTCGCGGATACGAGGAGAGGTCGACGTGAGATAAGTTAGATGTGTCAGGGAATTGAAGAGCGGCAAAGGCGCCGATGTGTCCAAAGCTATCGAGACTGAATTACATTGGTGTACATGAGGCAGAGCGACTCGTACCTCGTCGGTCATAGAGCTGGGAGGTGATGCACACGCAGGCCTTGTTTTGGGCCGGGAAAGCAAAGTTGCTCTCGCGCATTGCTGTTCGTTATAAGACGTGTCCAAATGAGTTCAGCTCAATCCTGGTTGTGGTTGAAAGTAGTCGTTTCCGGAGCTCGCAAGTCGAATATGAGATGGGCGTTCCCGCACTATAGTCAAGGAAATCGGAGCGCGGGAAGTGGAGGGGAACAAATCGAGCAACAAAGAGATGAAGGATGTTGAAAGCCACCGGCCTCGGTCAGAAGAGCGTCCAAATAGTAGAGGAAGGAGACAGGTCTGGTTCACTGACTGATGAGGAAGCGGTGTGTACTCTTGTTATTCATTCTCCTCGATCCTTTGATCATTCGCTTACAATTGTGGCACTCTCTTTTGACTCACTGACATGTCCCATCGTTGGCCTAGCGGCATGAACAGACGCTGGCTTCGTTCCATTTACTGAGTCAGCGACAGACTTTCTCGTGTCAAATCCTTCCCAAACTGTAGAAACAGCAATGTAGATAGGATCCACAGTGTTTAGAAAAGCAACCGACTGGACAAGCTCGAATCGTCTTTCTCCCGTTCTCAAGATGCGATTTGACATCTATATGACTCTCCTCTTGCCACCTTGGGGTTGTTACTGCCAGTTGGGCTGCCCCAGGTGGATGATTGGAAGAGCAATGGTTGATGAACCCGACGCTCAGCAGCAGGGACATGGACTTACCATCCGACATCCGTCATCCCAGTCGGTGACCACGCCTGTTATACGCATGCTGCATGCATGTCTTACGTCGCTGATCCAGCGAGTTTGATGTCCAAATCGACCGTTACTCTTGTGCAGTCCCGAAGCAATCGTCGTCTTGCCTTGCTCCAATTCGTGCTATTCGCAGCTGAGGGAAAATGCTTCATTATCCAAACAGCTACATAGGAGAGTCACAACGAGAAATTCGTCGATTTACCATACACAAAGAGGATTTAAGGGCATAGGTGATGGAGAAACAGAGACTAAGGAGATCGATCATACGCAAGGATAGAGGGACGTAACAGAGAGAGAAAGTTTGCAGTCACATCCGGCACCAGGACCGGCAAGCAGAGATATGAAGCCGACACGCTGTTCGTTTCTCAGAACCATGGAACGTCCTCTTGATGCAGCCTTGGATTGCCGAACTAGGAACGAGAAATCGTGGGGTACCGAAGCTCTGCAAAGAGAGGTTCGCTTGGGACCAATGAGTTAGTTTATCACCACACGTTTCACCGTGCATCATGTTCCACAACAATCATGGATAGTTGCCGATTCGCTGCTTGTCGTTGGTTGTGAATCAGTGCATTGCACTGCACTCACACTGCGGCGTTCTCGAGACGTTCCCCGCGAGCCAAGAGACGTACAACACCCGCGTTAGCTTCCATAGCCAAAGCAGCGGCAGGTCGCTCCACAAGATTCGCACCCCCGGTACCGCCGCCTCTACGAGAGGGCTGCGTGCCCGATCGGGGACGGCTAGCAGGGTTGGTGCTGGCACTGCCATGATTTGGATTGGCATTGGGTGCAGAAGCTTCGATGTGCAGCACCCTGATACCGGCTAGCTTGGCCCACTGCGACACAAGATTACCCGTCGTCCTGGGCTCATGCTTGCCAGCTCCTTCAACAGGGTTTACGTGAACTCCTTCGGAAGAAAGTACGGCGACGGCGACCTCGGAGATATTCGTACGCTTCCGATCTTGCTTCGAGTCAACGATGTACGCATCGACTTCCCATCGCGCACAACAGATGGTGCGACGCACCCATTCAGGAGCGATGTCGGTGGCTTCAGCGTTGGCGTCCTTGGCAACAAAAGAGAGAGCATCCCAGGGAACAAAAGCGTCGTCTTGTTGGACCTTAATGCGCGGATTTGAGCCCACTTGAGACTCCAAGAAACGTGATGCTGCCCGAGCCCGCTGAGCTACGGGAGAAGTCCCTTTCTTGAGCAGATCGAGAGTGTTGAGAGCTAGCGGATCAAAGAGCTCGATGACGACGAAACGAAGGGAGTAGAACCATACATACCTTCGAGTGGAATGATGACGGTTTCCTTTCGTCCATCGCGGGACCACCGCTTCAGTTGATGCAGTGCATGCACAAGGACACTTGCATCCACCACAATCACCACCACACCCGATTCCGCATCCTTCTCTTTGGTGTCTTCAAGTGAGAGGCGGGCGGCTGCCGCTATCGCCAAGGGACCGGTATTAACGTTTTGAAACTTCTTGGTCGGCGTTTTCGGATTGGCAGCTTTACTGTTACTGTTGTCGGTAATCTGAACCGGCCTACGCTTGTTCGAAGCTTGATGAGATGAACGGGCACGCCAGTTGGCTGAGGATGCGGCGCTCTTCTCGAGCTGCTCCACTTGGTGGTTGAGGAAGGCCGCACCAAGGGCGCGAGACATGGCCTGGGCGGAGCAGAGTCAAGATTTAGAGCAGCGGTCCAGTCATGCGAAAGAGTTGAGTATACCTTCGTATCAGTCATGTGCGGTCGAATGCGTGTGTCCAAGTGTGGTGAGGAGTGGTGGAGTATGAAGTCGACAAATATGTACGTGAGCGGCCGTCACTTTCAGACGCAGTGCGAGACAATGATCCGAATGAGGGATGGAGAGACGAGAATGTTAGATGGCTATGTAGATGATGAGGGACACAAGTCGCTGAAGTGGGTGAGATCTCAGTACGGATTGAGTGTGCTTGTCACTGTGTGGGCATAATCTTGTAGCTGTTTAGCGGCTGTGCATCTTTTCAAACGCGTCTTGGTTCCACGAATGTCCTCGGCAGCATCGACGTCCACACCCGTTGCCCACAATGCTGTCCCCCCAGCAATGGCCACGGCTGGCAGGTCCTCTCGCATCGCGCCCCACTCGCATATCAAAGGGCTTGGATTGACCCCAGATGGCTCGGCTAACACCGATGGTTCGGGGTTCATTGGCCAAGTAAACGCGCGCGAGGTGTGTTGAGTATCTTGGAGCGTGCCAGTAGGATTTGAAGAGTGCTATCGCGTCTAGGCATGTGGTGTCATCGTCGATCTCATTAAGTCGCGAAAATTCTCGGGACGTGCGCTTTTGCTCGTGGGTGCACCGGGGACAGGAAAAACCGCACTGGCGTTGGCCGTGTCACACGAGCTCGGCCTAAAAGTCCCGTTCTGCCCTATGGTGGGTTCCGAAGTGTACAGCACTGAGGTGAAGAAGACGGAGGTTCTAGCTGAAGCTTTCCGTCGCGCGATTGGTGCGTGTTAGCGCGTCGTGCAAACTGCAATCCATACTCAGATTGAACAGGTCTCCGTATCAAGGAGACTAAAGAGATTTATGAGGGCGAAGTCACGGAATTGACACCCACTGAATCTGAAAACCCTCTAAGCGGCTATGGAAAGACTGTGTCCAATGTCATCATAGGCTTGAAAACAATGAAGGGAACAAAACAGCTTCGCATGGATCCCGGTATCTATGAGGCCATACTCAAAGAAAAAATTGTCATCGGGGACGTCATCTACATTGAGCAGCAGACTGGCGCCGTGAAGGTGAGCGGCAGCAATCGATCTACAATGCAGTCACTAAAGCAATCCAGCGCGTCGGACGCTCTGATGCATATGCTTCGTCATTCGATCTCGAATCTGAGACATATGTACCTGTACCTAAAGGTGATGTACACAAACGCAAGGAGCTAGTTCAAGACATCACTCTCGGAGATCTCGATTCTGCAAACGCAAGGCCGCAGGGGGGACAAGACATTATGAGTGTTATGGGGAGCCTCGTGAAGAGTGGCCGAACGGAGGTGACGGATAAGCTGCGAAGAGAGGTTAACAAAGTCGTCAAAAACTATGTCGATCAAGGTGTAGCTGAGGTGGTCCCCGGTGTGGTCTTCATCGACGAGGTGAGTGAAGATCAAATTATGGCTTCTTGGAGTACTAATCGGGTGTAGGTGCACATGCTGGATATAGAGTGTTTCACTTACCTTAATGCACTGCTTGAATCGCCCATGGCTCCTACAGTCATTCTTGCCACAAATCGAGGCAATTCTTTGGTCCGTGGCACATCAGACATTGTTTCACCGCACGGAATACCCGTGGACCTACTAGACAGGTGAGCCACCTTCTTCGAGCCGGAACATTCACTCAACGACAATAGGTGCATGATAGTGAAGACAGATGTCTACACGCGTGATCAAGTGGGCAAGGTTGTTCAACTCCGTGCCAATGTCGAAGGACTGCGCTTGGGCTCTGGAGTTCTGGATCGATTAGCTGGAGAGGGCGAGAAATCTTCTCTGAGGTGTGTTCCGATCTTTGAGCTCATCGATCTCGACCTGACGGCCTTCAAGATATGCTCTTCAACTTTTGACACCTGCTTCCATCCTTGCAACCCTGTCTGGACGCTCTCAGATCGAGACGGAGGACATCAGTGAAATGGGAGAACTGTTCTTGGATGCCAAAACTTCGGCTGCCATTGTTGGGAACGATGGCCGCTTCCTTGGTTAATCTGACTCTGCCCGATAATGGTATCTCCCTTGTTGTAGACTAGACGATCTACGGTCCAATTCCTGATCCCGAGTCAGAGAATGAATAAAATAATCGGTACCTAACATACACCCTACGCGAATCAATCTAGTCTACCTGATTTACCGTACGCATGGTCCCTGTCAACATAATCGTCCGCCAGGAAGCGGCGCAAAGCCAGGTAGACAAGAAAAACCGACACCACGGCAAATCCGAGCGAATAGATTGGATGGTGAATTACATATCCCTCGATTCCAGTCATTTTCCCGTTCAGGAACTGGATAGGACGACAAATCAGAGCTCGTTGTTGAAATGAATCGAACAACGCACCCTTGCGACACGTTCCATGAAGTTTTCGGAATTATTGGGTGAAATTGAACCGCTCACAGCGCCTTCCAGAGCAGAGAAAATGCTGGGGGAAGCCAGTTTGATCAGTGCTCCAGACTGGTCCCTATTGTAGTACTTCAAGATCTTGCGCAGATCATGAGAACCAAGAATTTCGCAGACAGATGCGACGCACCTGATGATCGGTGATGACTATACCCGCATCCTCTGCTTCGTCACTGGCGCTCTTCTGCAATCCATACATACTTTTCATCCATTTCTCCCATTTTTCGATATCCATCCACGTGAAAACAACAGAACGGCCGCCATACATTCCGGTTCCACCAGTTCTAACTCTCCACTTCAACCCGATATCCCGGAGTCGCTCAATGACTTTGCTCTCTGTCTTACTTGTGACGGCAGCGATGACCACTAGGGGCTTGTGCGGTGCATTCATAATGCTCTGGAATGTGTCTTGCACGAGTTCCATCGAAGTCGGTAGCCGATTTGCCAAGAGCCAATCCGATAGATCGTTTTTGGGACTTGCATTTCCCAGGTACATTGCAGCAACACTGTGTGGGTCCCGATCTTTAAGGGCGACAATAGCCCACGGGGCTGATTCTGGGACAGAGAAACGCTTCCACAAGGTGGGGGATGAACTTGTGAAGATGATGGGAGAGCCGAGCAGAGGAGCTGCGTATTTAGTGACTGTTTTCTGTGAAAGCTGAGAGATCCGATAGTGCATCAAACGATGTATACCTACAATAACCCGCGTGTCGTTCTCAGAGTAGAGAAGGAGATAAGTGGCCGGGTTCTCCAGAACTTTCGCTTCAAGTTCTTCTGGCTGTATAGCTTGCGTGGCCCTGAGAACGCTTCAGAGCAGCAAAGGACACATCGGATGTGACTCTTACGACGAGCTGGCCTTGTCAACAAAGGCTTTCAGCTGCTCCAGCTTCCGTCCCATTGTATACTCGGACTTGACGCCAGTCGGTGGGTAAAACATCAACGTTGGAAAGCCAGGAATATCTTGCGTCTTGCAAAACTTGTCGTGTGCCTCGCAATCAACCTCAGCGATATTCATTTTGCCTTTAGAGATCTTGGCGAGTTGCTTCCAAATGGGTGCAAGTTTCTTGCAGTGTCCGCACCACGGCGCGTAGAATTTGACAAAGGTAGGGCCTTCCTCGAGTACTGCGTGGAAGTTGTCAGGGTTGAGTACACGAACCTCCCCATTAGGATTGAGAAGAGGCTCTGGAGAAGGGGACGACACTGCCGCTGCTGCTGCGACTGATTCTGCTGCTGCTATTGGTTCAGGAGCGGAAGGTTTGGCCTTGTCGATGAACGCGGTAAGGATATCGTAATCACGGTTGCCCTTGAAGCGCTCGACGAATTCCCCATCTTTGTAAAGATTCATTTGGGGATATCCTTTGACTCCGTTGTCGTTGCATAGATCTATTCGTTGCGGATTTAGCAGCACGTACGATGCAAACTGGTTTGATCTTACCGCCATGAACGGAACAATCAACTTGGGCCAATGATACCCCCTTCGAGCTCTCGCTGTACTCCACAAGTCTTTCCCAAGTGGGAGCGAAGGCACGACAGTGCCCACAGTACGGTGAGAAGTGCTCAATGAACCAGACACCCTTGGCAATCGTTGAGTGGAAATTGTCTGGTGTGAGTGGAGGCTTTAGCTGGGCTGTCTGTACCGGCAGAGCAGCGCATGCGAGTGCAAAGAGGATAAGCAGAAGAGATATAGGCAGTCCTCGCATCGCCCGAAGAGCTGGGCCCAGCATAGCGGAAGTGAGTAAATAGAGGTCGGCGACTCGGCGACACGACACGGCTGAGCTCAGCGATCGAGCGGTGATTGCCGTTGTCCATCAACATTGACCTCGGCCACGTGGTCGCACCCTCCTCCATGACTTGGATGTCCCATCACGTTCCCGGCGCCCGCGGCCTCTTGCCTTCAGACAAGACAGCTGGAACATATTTATCATGATGCAACAGTCGCGTCTCTCTGACTTGAATCATCGAGACGACCCTTCGATATGGCGTCCCGACTTGAGCAGCCTGCACTGGCTGAATTCGATCAGGCTCCGTCTCAGCCCAGACTTGGATCGCTTACTTGGAAGAAGCCTACAGCATGGTGGTCAGCAAACTCCAAGATGCTCTCTATTGTATTCAGGGAATTTGATCCTCCTCTCTGTCCAGGATCATGTTTCTCGCGCCGTTCAATGTCATCGTCGAGTCCGCCATATTCAGCGCACAAGTTGGGCTCTACGGTGACCTCGTTTGCCGCTTCCGACAGGAAGTACTCGCGCCGGAAGCGCCCTGCGCTTCAGATCCCGAGGTCCAGATCATTGTCACCAAGCTTATCTCAGGTGGGTGTCTGGTGCGTGCGTGAGTTGTGTAATCGCACTCAACATGTACAGTCATTGTCACAACGACAGGCGTACTGAGTCTGCTTACTACTGGTTGGTGGGGCTCATTCACGGACCGACGTGGGCGACGAGTAATGCTTGGAATTGGAGCCTCCGGTTATCTGGCGCTCTGTGTCAATACCCTGCTCGTCATCAATTTCAGCAACTGGCTTCCGGGCGGATATTGGTTCCTCGTCATGAATGGAATCCTGCACGGGATAGTCGGAGGTACTGTGTGCCACAGCTCATACAGCATCATTTCTGTTGACGTTATCTTCCAGGCTCGGCGGCTGAGAACACAGCCATGCTGGCATATCTCTCAGATGTCTCGAACTTGTCCACAAGGCAAATGGTCACGAACAAATTGCTCGATTCCATCTGACAACCGGCAAGGTCTCGTATATTCTCTGCTGCGTTTGGGTGTTTGGTGATCGGTATTGGTATTGGCCCAATGCTTGCGAGTTTGCTCATCAGGTATCCGAACCTCTCACCTGGCAATCAGATTATCGCATACTAATTCTCCTCCAGATATACGCAAAGCGTATCGGTTGTATTTTACGTAGCCACTGGAATCAAATTGGTCTACACACTCACCGTCTGGTTCATCTTACCAGAATCCTCAACCCCTGGACAGCGCGAAGAAGCCAAGGCCAAATACGAAGCTTTCCAAACGACCAACGCCGGCATTCATTGGGCGAAGAGATTGCTAGTCCCGATTGAACCTCTTCTCATTATCCTCCCTCGCAAACAGCCAGGCACCAACAAGAGGAGCTGGGATCTTTTTCTGCTGGTTCTTGCGGATGGTTTGGCCCTGATGGTCATCGTGAGTCCTCCAATCGCACTGTGCGTTGCTACGAGCTGAAGAGTCGTCCAGGCTTCCATCATCTTCCAGTTCTTGTACACTGTGGTCGCGTTCGGTTGGACCGCTGAATATGTCAGTTCCTCTCTCCAAGCATTCGCACTATATCTGCTGATGATATTTGTAGATTGGGTACTGTTATAGCACGCTCAACTTTGCAAAAGCGATCTATCTCTTGTCAGTCCTTCCCTGTGAGCATCTCGTTGTTGAAGAACTTGTGCGTGCTCTTTACCAACCTATCACTCACTCAGTGGGTATCCGATATCTCAATTCGAGATCGGAACGGGCTCATGTCTCTTCCGAAACCCAATCCTTATTAGCTGCGCGTCCAGCGCCGAGCTCTATCGTGGTCGACTTCAAGATCGTCCGGTTGTCAGTGCTCGCGGATCTGGCCACGTTTCTGCTGCTCCCTTTGGCTCCGAACGGGAAGGTCTTCATTGCCGCCATCGCTTTTGGCGCCCTTGGTTCAGCCATTGCTCCGGTCGTCAGAAGTGTGGCGTTGGAGTTGTACACAAAAAGTCTGGGGGAGGGAGAGCCAGTGGAGTCGGGCAAATTACTGGGAGCGCTCAGCATCTTACAAGCCTTGTTGTGAGAGAATCCTCATGTCTGTATTGTGCTTGCAACTGACTATCTTGCAGTGGGTCTATCATTGGCCCAGCTTTCTATGGCGCAGTCTACGCAGCCACAGTCGCAACTTTCCCCAGAGCTATTTTCCTCGTCGGGATAGCCAACTGCGTGCTGTCTTTGACTCTTCTCAGTTTTGTCAAGCTCGGATCCAAGCCCGTGCACAGCAGAGCCTACATAGATAGACACTAGAACGACCGAGACAATAGATGTCGGCAATCCCTAAAGTAGGCGTCCAGAGGACGGTGACAAGGATGTTGATTGTACACAGCTATCAATGCCAAACCAACCCCGCCAATGCCTCCGAAAGCTGCTCCCGACGACTCGTGATCGAGCATGATCGTCGTTCGAACTGTAAACGATAGCTGATCCGCGCAATTATCCGTGGGAGCACATATATTCGCGCCCTGTGTGCCGATAGATGAGCGAGAAAAGTCCGCTACTGGACGCGGTTCCTGCGACCGGACGTCAGTTCCGGAGAGTATAAGTATGCGGAGGATTGTCAGATATCGCACATTGCCTCCCTCAGCACGCTGCACGCAATGATAAGATCGACGTTCCTTGCGCTCTCGCTCGCTGCAGTGGCATTGGCGCAAGCCCCCGTATGGGGCCAATGTGGCGGGTTGCAATGGACTGGACCGACCAGTAAGCGTTTGCGTCGCCGGTTGAGTTCCTTCTGAATTCGTATATGCAGCTTGCACGACGGGCTGGACATGCGTTGTCTCAAACCCGTACTTTTCTCAATGTATTCCCGCCACGACGAGTGCGCCTCCGTCGAGTACCCACAGCACCACAACGGCCCCGCCATCGAGCAGCAGTCACAGCGTAACCAGTGCACCTCCTTCCAGCACTCACAGCACAACAACATCCGCCCTGCCGCCCGTTTCGACAGGCTTCATCAAGACCTCAGGGACGCGGTTCACTCTGAACGGGAAGCCCTACACGGTAGTAGGGCGAGTGCAACTCGTTATCTAATCTTGCACGTGGCTGATCATAGGCATCATCTTCCAGATCGAACGCCTACTGGCTTCCTCTCTGGGGACTCAGCACAGCCGACATCAGTGCCGGAATCGATGGAATCGTTAACAGCAGCGCCACCACGATCAGGTGTGTGGTTGCGCCTGTTCTCGGGAGCGGTTGCCAGACTGAGGCTTGGCAGAACATGGGGCTTCAACGAAGTCACGTCCCCGAGCGGGGTGTACTTCCATCTCTGGAATGGCTCCACTCCCACTGTGAACACTGGCGCTGACGGACTGGGCGTGCTCGGTACGTTCCGCACTTTCCCCAGCCGGTCGACCTGTGAAATGAACGCACGCGCCCTCCAGATACTGTGATTTCGCTCGCGAAAGCCAAGGGGCTGCATGTGATCATCGCGCTGACCAACAACTGGGGTGACTATGGCGGAATGGAAGTCTACACGAAACAGATCTTGGGCGCTGGACTGCCCCATGACACGTTCTTCACTAATCCGACGGTCATCGCGGCCTTCAAGACGTACGTCAAAGCAATCGTGACGCGGTACGCCAATGAGCCCGCAATCATGGTTTGTGTGATCACTTGCCAGCGTGATTTCTCCGGCTGACTTTGCTTCTAGGCCTGGGAATTGAGTGGGTATCCACATTGAGAAAGCCACGCGATCTGATTGAATTATCCGCAACTTAGTGAACGAGCCGAGGTGTGGAGGAACCGCGTACGTTGTTATCCGTGTCCTTCTTGTCCTCCTCTCATTCTCCACATCAGCCCGGCATCAGCCACATGCAACAACACGGTGATCACGAACTGGGCGGCGGACATTTCTGCGTACATCAAGTCCATCGACCCGAACCATCTCGTTGCGATCGGCGACGAGGGATTCATCAACCAGCCGGGCAACTTCGATTACCCATACAGCGGCGGCATCGGTATCGACTTTGCCGCTAACCTGCAGATCAAGACGCTCGATTTCGGAACAGTGCACGTGAGTCTACCGCGGTGAAATTGCCGTATGCCCGTTGCTGATATATCTCAGATGTACCCCGTACGATCCGCCCGGACCGAGCTCTCCATGTGCTGACACACCCCACAGGACAGCTGGGGTGAGTCGGCCAACACCGACTCGTGGGGCGTCCAATGGATCAAAGACCACGCGACGATGATGAAAGCTGCGAACAAACCCGTGATCCTCGAGGAGTTTGGTGTCACCCCGTCTTCATCTCGGATCAACGTGTACACGGACTGGTACAATGCGGTGCTCAGCAGTGGGCTGACCGGTGATCTTGTCTGGTGGGTTTGGGGCCATCTGCATGCATTCATTCTTGAGCTGACCGACTCTTTTTTTAGGCAAGCCGGAACACCTTTGGCTGCCGGGCAAGCGCCGCCTGCCGATCCGTATATGATTTGGCCCACAGATCCGGTGTATCAGCTCATGCAGTCGCATGCCGCTGCACTCGCAGCGAGAGGGTAAATGTGTGTGTTTTCGTTGGGGGGTAGTCAGTATCAATCTCGCAATTCAATTGTACAACCAGCACTGTCCTGCGCAGACTAGTTCTCGAATTCGATTGTGTCGTAGTCGAAAATTTCTTCCAGAGAGAGATGCATTCCCTGTTTATCTCTTCAATCCTAAAAGTCAACGGGTGTATAGCTCGAGACGCTCTCGATCTGTTTCGTTTCCTAATCCGATCTTATTCGTAAATCCATTTGCTTGTTATAATCCACGCCGTGTAAATACCTGCGAGCGCAAAAGTACGACTTTGAATATCAAAATCGCGCTTGCAGACAAAGACCCCGTCTCTCGTAACGCGTTCAAGTTCCTGGTGCCGCAGGTCACTCACCAAGTTTCTCCACCCGGCCATCCCTCCCAGACTTCCATCCATCCTATCTATCGTTCTACGCTCTTCATCGATCATTCCTTCGTAGCTTGTCAAGATCTGCATCTGGGTAACTTCAGCGCCCCGGGAACCAAATGTCGAGTCCAGCTCCATGTGAGCAGACTGAACATTTCACAAACGTGATTGGATGAACTTCAAATAATGCATTTTCTTTGACATTGGATTACACATGCTGGCTACGCGACTCAACCTCTTGCCTTGAGGGCTGCGGCGTTTTGCTGCATCAGTTTGTAGACGGGGTCCGTGGGGAAGATCATGTTGCCATCGTCAGGGGTGGGGCCACCGCTGAGTTGGGATCCTGCCTGCCAGACGAGCACACCAGTCAGGCCGCTGCTCACGACGGTGTTGTACCAGTCGGTATAGATCGTAGGCCGCGTGGGCGACGAAGTGACACCGAACTCTTCGAGGATAACGGGCTTGTTCGCTGCTGTCATCATCGTCGCGTGGTCTTTAATCCATTGGACGCCCCACGCCTCGGCGTTAGCTGACTCGCCCCAGCTGTTCTGCAGAGACAGTTAGTAAGCAAGACCACCGCGGGTCGGCGGGGCGGACATACCGGGTACATCTGGAAATAGTCAGCGAATGGGCCACGAGCAATGAAGCGAGACACTCACGTGCAATGTTCCGAAATCGAGCGTCTTGATCTGCAAGTTTGCGTTGAAGTCGATGCCGATGCCGCCGCTGTACGGGTAATCGAAGTTGCCGGGTTGGTTGATGAAGCCCTCGTCGCCGATTGCCACGAGATGATTAGTGTCGAGGGTCTTGATGTACGCAGAAATGTTCGACGCCCAAGCGGTGATAACCGTGTTGTTGCAAGCAGCCGAAGCGGCCGATGTTCCTCCACACCTCGGCTCGTTCACTGATTACCGATGCAATGGTCAGATCGAGCACAGCAAGAAAGGTGTTCACTTGCTCAGTTCCCAGGCCTAAAACACATCAGCCGGGATACTTCTCTCAAGACGATTGTGGACACACCATAATCGTGGGCTCGTTGGCGTAACGCGTGACAACAGTCTTCACGTAGCTCTTGAATGCGGCGATCACAGTCGGGTTGGTGTAGAACGCGTCATGGGGCTGGCCGGAGCCGAGGATCTGCTTGGTGTAGACTTCCATTCCTCCGTAGTCGCCCCAGTTGTTCGTCAGCGCAATGATCATGTGCAGGCCCTTGGACTTGGCCAGCGCAATCACACCGTCTGCCATATGCAATGAGAGGCGCCCCAGTACAGCACGGGCCGGAACACGGACCGAGATAGGCAAGACCGTTCGCGCCAGTGTTGACCGTTGCAGTGGCTCCGTTCCACAAGTTGAAGTAGATTCCGCTCGGGGACGTCACCTCGTTGAATCCCCACGTCCTGTCCTTCTCTCAGTTTACATCCATCCCGTTTGGAATACGACGTACCTGAATGTGGTAGAGCCACTGTTCACGATATCGTTCATCGCCGTGTTCAGATCAGCGGAGCCATATCCGAACAGCGTCATCCAGTACGCGTTGGTTCTGAACCACGGTCAAAATCGAATCAAAGTATTCTTGATATTGCCGCACCCAGCAACCGTGTAAGGCTTGCCGTTCAACGTGAAGCGTGTCCCCGAGGTCTTGACGAACCCGGTAGTGATGGGCGGCAGCGCCGCTACAGTCGTACTGACCGCGGTCGTGGACGACCCCGGTGCGCTGGTAGGAGGCGTAGGCGGTGCTGTGGTCGTTCCAGCAGCACCCGGGATACACTGCGAGTAGAAGGGATTCGAGAAAACGCACGCAGAACCAGCCACACACGCTGCACAGAGCCGCCCCGCGTAAGCCCTCACAAGCTGCAAAAAGGCTGCTATTTCACTCACTGGTCGGTCCGGTGTACGTCGGCCCACCTCCGCACTGGCCATAGATAGGAGCCTGCGCCAGCGCCACACTGGCGAGCGAGAGAGCCAAGAACCCGGTGCGAAGCATTTTCTCGGTGGATGACGCTTCTTGGCACGACGCGCGACTTTATATCTGCATGTACCCGGACTTTTCTCGCACACCTATCGGTTTACAAGGTTGCAGACCGTATCACGTTCGTGTCTCCCCGTCGTGAGGCGCCGACATGTCCATACGGATAATTACGCGGATCATGGGGTCGGTCAAAGAAGTGACCATGTGAACGTGGCTGGTGTGTTCGGAGGCAATGTTGTTACCAGACGGCCCTTATTGAATCGAAACATGGATTTCCGAGAGTAGGTGATGAGCAACCGAAACAAGGCCGGTAATTTGAGCTTTCAAGTCAAATGCAGAGTCAAGTGTCGCATGCCGAGTGGCTAGCCAAGTTCGAAGAATGGTGGCTGTGCTCAGCTCTCAACAAGTCGATCATGTCCGACAGCAGGAATCGATAGTTAGCGCAGATTTCAAAAAACTACGCAGCGAATCATAGAGCGCATATATATGTATGACAAGCAAGTCAGTATACATATAAGTGGCGATACGCTAAATATAATCCAGTCGCATTCAGACTCGAATTATCATCATCAGTGTCCATCTGGATCTGCGCGAAATCGCTCGTCACAAGACCGCGGACGCTTGCCTAACAACAGTTCCAGGAACGGGATACTTCTCCGAAGTTGAAATTTGAAGCGTCCGAGCGCGCCGAGCGGGGGAAATGGTATGTCTCAAAAGGTAATCCAGAATGGGGTTTGTCCGACTGTCGACAATGAGATGAGGACGCGCAGGAAGGAGCATGACATTTACGTACTCTCTGCCAACTTGCTAACTTGAGCCCATGGTCGGACACAAGAGACATGATCAGCGTCACACCTTGCTATCCCTGAGTTTGCGAACTACAATATCCAGAGTATCTACGACCTGGGCAAGATATTCGTCTGAATTCTGATCTTGCATGAAACCAGCTGGCACATCAAGCGTGAAAGACGGGGCGTAGAGTGGAAAGAAACTGTGGTCGGGAATTGGAGCTTCCAACGACAGCGGCTTTCCGACCTGCATCGAAAGGGTATCAGTCATATCACCAGTCGGACTTAAGGTCAGATCGCACAACTAGCGAGGTCAGATAAGCCCAGGCTCTAGCTGCATTGGGTCCATCGTATCCTCCGCCTCCAAGCAGTAGTTTCTTTCCCCGCCAGCCATTTACCACACGGTCAACACACCAGCCCAGGGAGCCTTCTTCAGGGCCGAGAGACCAATTGAACGTCCCGCATGGATCGCCGGCAAGGCCATCTACTCCGCATTGAAGCACCACAACATCCGGATCGAAGGCTTCTCGCACATTCTCAATGGACTGCCAGATACGGCCGAAGGTTTTGCTGCAGGCGCCCGGCCGGAGCGATAGTGAGATGGTGTAGGGATCGCTGTTCTCAGTCGGCAGTTCTGCTAGTGGGGACGGTGGAAAGAATCCTGGCGCCGCATGGTGCACGCTCAGCGTCTATTGTCGTCAATGCCAAGCATTCAATGAACGAAACGGGAACAGACCAACAAATTTGAGGCGCTCTCGTGAAAAGCATGCGACACCGCATCCGAGAAGTGCAGATCCAAATCGAGGTACATCGTTCGTGATTTGCGCGACTTTCCTTCATCGGTCACAATCCAGCGGCGTAATTCCATCAGAGCGAGCGTGCAGTCTGCGATGTAGCAGAATCCCGCGGCGCGTTCCTTCTGGGCATGATGTCGTCCTCCATCCCAGCAGATGGCTACATCGCATCGAGGCTGGCGAAGCGTCTTGACAGCCGTGAGCGTCGCGCCCGCCACGAGACGTACGTACTCGCTCATCCCGTCGAACGGAGGGCAATCCTATGCAGCTGACTGTCATTCGCGCTCGGTCCCACATGTGCACCAACGGAACCAAGACCTTACATCTTCCAAGCCGAATTCCGCCTTCGTCACGTCTTCCGAGCTGTTGGCATTAGCCTCGTTGAGGATAAAGTCCAAGTATTCCTTCGTGTGATACATGCCCAATTGGGCGGACTGGGCCTTTTGCGGCGGGACGAGTATCAACGCCCGACTCGAATCTGTTGTAGGGCTGAAGAGCCCAAGTGTGCGGGCTAGCGTGTGCACCAGAGCAGAGCGGTTCTTGTTGGCCGGCAGCCGAGAGGAACTCTTTCAACGCGTCAAGGGCTCATCGACGAGAGATACAAGATCGTAACCACCTTCATCACCTCAAGCGACGCGATGTACGCGACAAATGTCCTTGAAACGTCTGGCGTAGTTGTATCCATGTAGACAACAACCGTCAGTGAGTGTTCCACGCGAATAAGTACGGCCGCCCGTGCGATATGTTCGACAGAACGAGCTGAATCAATTTATCCCTGATGTGGCAGTGAACTGGACGGCAGCCGTCAAATTCAATTTCGAATTTGCTTCCTTCTCCGATCCTCCCCAAACTCGCTTCCATCCAGTTTATCCGTCGCCGACGCAATCAGTTTCTGCTGAACACACTTCATCATATCTTCACCAGCGTCTTGAATCTCAGCATCAAATTTCATCGTTATCATTCCCTATGCACTATCGCTCACACTGCGGCCGTCCGCCGGGAGCCCGCACAGCACCCCGCAGCATCCCGGGATCTCCGTCTACGCGCCATAATGGATGAGAATAACCGGATGATCTTTATTGCTAGCAGAAGACTCGGGATTATTTTCGCCGGGAGATCTCCAAGCTCTCATGAAACATGTAGGCAAGGTGCAACGGGTCCAGTGGCAGGATCCTGCCCGCACGACTCAGAACCACAGGAAATGAACAACAGGCTGAAATTTAATCCCAGCGCTCCGCACGACGTTTGATCGAGCTTGGGTTCTCCCTCTATTGTCAATTTGCACTCCTTACAACGTTTGTGCCCGCCTGAAATTCCTGCACTACTTGCCGATGGATAAGACACATCAGTGTCAACGTTCCTGGTGCAAGGGCGCGAACCCAGCGCATGATGTGGATGATCAGCGTCTGAGATGATTTACCTCGGCAATTCTGTGCGCACATGAACCATGCTGACGCTTTATCGTTTTGCTATCGGGTACGCATGGATGATGGTGTGCACTTATATACCCTGCGGGAATGAGCTCCCGTCCGGCGCTCACCCTCAATCATGCTTAGCGTTGCGCTCTGTTCGCTCCTCCCGTTCATTCTGTCGGCGAATGCACTCAAGCTCGACCTCGCAAGGGTCGCAGCAGCAAGCAGCAGTGTCAACAACAACTTGATCAACAAGTACAATGTTCGCGTACGTGATTGCAATTCTCGGAATTTAGATCTGTTGCTGACTCGTTTCCTTCAGTACACGACCAATATCACAATCAGCGGTCGAGTTGTGAATGTTGTGCTTGACACGGGAAGCACCGATCTCTGGTATGCATTTGGACTGCATGCCTTTGACCGAGCTTCCCCTGACCCAAATCTCAGGGTGATGCCTCCAGACGGCCTCCCGGCATTCAAAGACACCGGAATCAATACCAAGATCGTGTACGGAAACGGATACGACTATGTTGCGGGGGATATTGGCACCGGAGAATTCCAGCTCGATAGCTACATCATCCCCAATCAAGCCTTCTTGAAAGTCAACGACGTGTGTTTCCATTCCTCAAATCCACTGGCGCATCTGACGGGTCTTTAGGCTTCCGCTGCCGAGCAAGGCGACTTCCAACTGGGCATATACGGCGTCTGGGGACTTGGTTTCAACACTCCGGGGTCCTCCAGAATCAACGACGCGGTCACCCAGGCCTATGGCTCTTCAGCCACGTGGGGCCAGTCTGCGCTCGCCAACATCTTTGCCCAAGATCCGACCAAGGCCGACTACATCGCTATCTCTCTTTCGCGTAATGGAGACTCCGCCGGCTCAGCCGATGCTTCGTTGGCGATCGCAGAGTACGACACCCACTACACTCAGGTCGCCAACGCACCCAGACTCTCTCAGTCGCCGCCCGGTTCCGGATCCTGGACTGTGACCCTGGATTCCATCTCTGTGGGAGGAAAGAAACTCAACTGGCCGACTACCTTGCAGAATGTTCCGCGCGGCAAGAATATTGTCGCTGTCGACACTGGGTGCGCCTTTGTCCTTCGCTCTCGGTCTCCCAATTTGCTAATGATTTACACAGCACAACCAATGCGATGTTGCCTGCAGCGCAGATCGCGGCTATCTACGGCTCGATCCCCAACGCCGTCTTTGCGGCGAACGCCCAATTACGTATCCCGCAGACCCAGTACAGCTCGACGACCGGAGTATGGGTCGTGCCTTGCACTGCGAGCATCAGCGTCTCGCTCACATTCGGCGGCCAGACATTCCCTATTCATCCTCTAGACATGACCGATATTCAGATTGTCGCGTCGCCTGACGGCAAGAGCCAATACACCGTCTGCATCGGTTCCTTCACGGATGTAGGCACGATAGTGTCCGGTTTCAGTGACGGACTCGTGGGCGACAGCTTCTTGCGCAACGCATACACTGTGTAAGCCGCATCCACATGACCTGAGCATTCAGCTGATGACAAGCCACTAGATTCGACTTTGCCACCGGTGGCAATGTTCCCCCCGGGACTACACCTTTTGTTCAGATGCTGTCTGTGACAGATGCTACCAAAGCTCAGGCCGACTATCTCTCCGTTCGACGGGCTCTGTTGCGGAGCTACCCGCCCGAACTCAGCCCTGCCCAGTTTGTCCAGATTTTTGGTTGATCCGCACGATTTCATTATACAGTATGTAAATCTTGATGTACCAAAATGATTTTGAAATCATTTGCATACACCGATGGCTGTTGTGTTGAGGTTACTTACTCCATGGCCGTTGTTGATCAGACTGGCACTAGTTCGCGTCTCTGCTTAGTCAGCATAATCATCAGTTCAGAGTCATAGTGGACATGTCCACTACCACGACATCGAAATCTACTGCTCCTCCCTCTAAGCCCAAGAAAGATCGCGAACGCGAGAAGCGCGAGAAAGACCGGCTCTCCCAATCTCAAAGTCCCGCCGAACGTCTAAAGATCGTCGTCCGGCGCCTACCACCTAATCTTCCCGAGGAGGTGTTCTGGCAGAGCGTCCAGACATGGATCACGGACGACACTGTGGCATGGAAGGAATACTATCCTGGCAAGCTTCGTAAACGGTACATATCGCATTGCACCACCCTTCGACCGAGCTGCATGATAACAATGTTGTCGAGTAAAGGCTCAACAAGGAGAACATCCCGTCGCGCGCATATGTGTTGTTCAAGGACGAGGAGCAGATCGCACAATTCAGTCGCGAGTATGACGGCCATCTGTATCGGGACAAAGCTGGTCTGTGTGATCTTTCGAAGGCTAGTGCGCACAAGCTTACGGATGTGGACAGGCAACGAATCTTATGCCGTCGTGGAGTTTGCCCCCTACCAGAAGGTTCCTCTGGAAAAGAAGAAAGCAGATCCGCGTATTGGGACTATCGAGAAGGGTGCGCGGCTTCCTTGATCCACTCTAGTAGTCTTGTTCAGACGATTATCTGCAGACGAAGACTATGTCTCGTTTATCGAATCGTTGAACGCATCTGCGGCCACTGAGCCGCAGTCTCTCGAGGCTCTCAGTGCGTCAAGTATTATCGTCCTTTGGCAACCGCGACTGATTCTATGTATAGTTGCAGCCAACCAGCCTGTTCCCCAACCCAAGACGACGCCATTGCTGGAAGCTCTCAAGGCTGAGAAGGCTGCACAGAAGGAGAAAGAGACGGCTATTCGTCAAGCGGCTCAGCAGAAACGTGATGAAGCGAAAAAGAAGAGTGCCGCCGCCACCCCTACTGCACTCCTTCAGGCGAATGGACCTCCCATGAGCAAGAAAGCAGCCAAGAGGGCAGCTGCAGCTGCTGCCTCTGCACCGGCTGTAGCGAAAGGTGCCGGCCCCACCAAGCCTCAAGCGCCCGATTCGCCGACGAAACCGATTCCCAAGGGCCCCAAATCCCAGCGTCCACCTCGTGTTCCAGGTCCGCCGCCCGTCATCACGGATGTATCGGCTGCGTCTGCTGCCAATGGAGGTAACAATGCACCCGGCGGTCCAGTTTCGCCAGTCCAACGACGCAGTCGGCCAGTTATTGGCCTGGCCTCTCGACAATTTGAAGCAGCCTTGAACGGCGCTGGTGTTGCCCCTACTGGCGATCGTAAGTCACGTCGTGAACGAGCTGCTGCTGCAGCTGCTGCAGACGGGGCCGATTCGACTGCTCCCGACGCGAAGGCCGACTCTCCCGTTGCTCGTAAAACACGCCGCAAGGAGAGCATCGGTGCGACTCAAGGTGGTGGAGTCACTCGACCTTCTCCTGTCCAGCCTATCAACCAGATCAATGTCGGAGATGGGCCCGTGGCTGGCATGATTCAGGTTCCGGCCGGTTTGCGCGGTGGCCGACCGGATGCAAGCAATCGTGGTCGTGGCGGACCTCGCGGCCGAGGGCTCGTCGTCACCGGCGGTGGTGGCGGTCGAGGCGGTGGCTAGACCGAGATCGAATCATCACTTCGGCCCATCCACTTGCTGCTGGTAATATGCTCCGTAATGCTGCATCCAGATCAAGCTTTCTGCTTTGCAGGGCACCTAGTTGCTCACCCTGGTCCAATATGATCAGATCCGAGATTCGACACATCTCCGTGTCGATCCTGACGGTCGTCCAAGAACGAACCAAGATGTTCTTTCCGAGATTCCTATCCTTTGGACTTTCATTAGCTTCTACACTGTAAAATTTCTACGCTATTCTGTATCTGAATTCCGCCTGTTTAAACGTAAAACAAGAACTCCTGTTTCAAGTGGCTGAACATATTTGAGATCTGGTTGTGGAGTCCTCTTGAGATGACATTTCTGCCCAAAGACGTTTAGATTGTACATCTCAAAGATAAGTCCGCATCCCGCAGATATTGCCGGTCTCGTGCTGAAAGCGGATCTCTGTACTTCAAAGATGGTCAATCGAGGCTCTGGGGGAAGCATTTAGATAGATCATATCTACAGATGCTGATATTTGAAGCGTCAGGCTCGAACCAGAAGCTGTCGATAAAGCCAAGGGTCAGTTGCGGCCCCATGGTATTGGGCTCAGAGTCCCATTTACATTTACACATACATACGATCCAAGGAAAATCTCATGGAAATTTGCCTAGTGTTCTCATCGCGGTGGTTTGAAGACAGCAGGTTCTGGTTTCAGCACTCGTAGCAACTCTTCGTGTCGGGTTTTCGCTGCAGTCCGGGCGCTTCCAAGCATAGAATGAGTGATGAGATCGGACTGAACCTACAGAGCAGCATCATCAGAAAAGCTCTTGGAACGACAGTGACGTGAGATTGCTGACATTGAAAACATCTAGGGCCTGCCGTAGTGCCTCATCGCAATCTGTGAGTTGCGATCGGGTTTCCAGATGCTTCAATATCCGGCCGAACAAGGATACGGAGGACAGCGAAAGCAGGATACCGTGCAGAGTCGTCAGCGTTCTCAAAAACTATCAGCTCGCAGCCGGGCATGAAGGCAACTTAGCACAACGCACTGAATAAATTGGTCTACTGCCGTCTCCATCAAAGGATTCATCACCACACTGTGCTTCTGAGCATCTCCGCATATATTGACCAGTGTGTTCACAATTTGGTGCACCCGCTCCAGCAGTTGTAGGCATTGATCACGATTTGATTGCACCGACTTCAGAGCGTCAACATTCAAATTTCCGAGGATGTCGATCGTCACGCACATTAACGATATCGAACAATTGCCCCGCACTTGCAGCAGCGATAGTTATCATCTCGTAGTTCATCGCACTCCCGATACTGTGCAGCAAATTGGAGACGTCGAGACCACGCTGAACAAACTCTTCGGTGCGACGGCCTCGAACGAAGTTCCAGCTCCGGCGTAGGAGAGCTGGAGTCGTCATTGTCGTCCGCTCTGATGTAGCTGGAGGCTGATGACCATCGGATGGAACAGCCTGTGAAGCCGGCTGCGAGGATTCAGGCTTTGATGCAACTTTGGCCGCCTCCAGAGGGTTGAAGCGTGCTCGCCCGCGGCTGAATTTGCGTATAGCTGGCATTGGGGAGAGGACAGTGCCGAACTACAGATGACTATGATCCTGACGGCAATGTATTCATGAGGTGTGACGATGAGACAAGTACGAAAGAAGAGAACGCTAGCTATGTTTATAGCTACGGGCACCCTGTAAAAAACCGGTCAGCATCAAGAAAAAAAATGCACGACGTTGACAACGGGAAGATCAGAATTGCAGAAGTAAAAATCAGCACCTGGCCGTGGCCATTAGACTGTTGAGCTTGAATGTGATACTTTTATTCATCACGACAACAAAGGGGGAAGACGAGATGAAGTAGGGAAGAGACTTACAATAGAGGCGTGCCCAAGGAGATGAGATGGAGGTCGGAAAGAAAACGCAATTGCAACTCCGCGAGCGCGCATCAATTTATCTCTTTGGATCCAGTCACATGTGACTGGTGACTCGGACTCTGACGCTCCAGGCAATTTTTCTTGCGCCTCTCGATCTCACTCCACGTTTGCACAACGCACTAAAATCCCTCTCTCTCGTATAACAGCTACTCGGACGCTCAAGATGGACGTCGACATGCGTATTAAGGAAGATCCCGACCTCGATCGCGACCAAGAGAAACTGGGAGGTAGCAGAGACAGAGACCGCAGAGATAGGGACAGAGATCGTGACTTCGACCGCGAAAGGGACCGGGACCGCGAGAGGGATCGCGATAGGCGCGATAGAGACCGCGACCGGAGGGATTCTGGTCAGCGCCTTGCTTATATTATCGAAACAGTCATGCACATATTGACACGACAACAGGACGCTCGAGCACCAGGCGACCTGGTGACCACTGGGAGCCTGACAGTAGAGGCGGAGAGGTACCTCCTCTCCTCCTTCTTTCAACTTGTGTAGAGAAAAGCTCATTCAATGCCAGCAAAGGCGCAAGCGTTCGCGTACGCGCTCTCGGTCGCGTTCCCCTCGCAGACGGTCTGCCTCGCCACGTCGCCGGTCGCGCCGGTCTCGGTCACGTTCCTCTCGGTCGCGTTCGCGGTCCAGGGGTGGCGGCAAATCCGACACCTTCATGCGCTCACTTGGTGGGCCCATGAACGCCGACCATGAAGAGGCCGTGGAATTCGCGAAAATCAGCAAGCGAGAGAACCGCGTCTACGTGGGAAACCTCAGTTACGAGGTTCGGTACCGTGACTTGATGGAATTCATGAGGGGAGGTGGGTGGGGAGTCAGATTTGTTGTCTTTTCTTGGATGTGTGGACTGCGTGGAATTCTGGACCATGGAAGGCGGTGGAAAGGATTGGGGGTTGGTCTAGCATCGGCGCCGAAGATTGTGGGATGGGGCATAGACGTGCCGTAGTCTGTCTCGAGGATGGAGGCTGCACGCGATCGGAGATGGAGAAGTTTATGTTTCTCGGGTGGATGGCTTTTCGTCTTTTCTTGGAAATTGGCCGAGTTGTTGAGAGGATATTGATGGGTCTTTTTGGGATTGGCAGCTGGAGAGGTTCTCTTCGCCGAGGTTCTGATAACGCCTACCGGTGTATCGAAGGGATGTGGGTGAGTACCCTGATCTGTCATCTGAGCACGCACTCATTCTTTCTCAGAATCGTAGAGTTTGCTTCTCCGGAAGACGCTCAGCGTGCGGTACGGGAGCTCTCCGAAGTTTCGCTGCTGGGCCGGCCAGTCTTCATCCGTGAGGTGCCTATATCGACATGCCTGCTTGCTCCGTTAGCTGACCGCGACGATGCCAGGATCGTGAATCCGAGTCTCGTTTCGGGGCGACTCCGGTTCCAGGAAAGATGGGCATGGCCATGGCGGGACAAGGTCTCAATGCGGGCCCTCCTCCTCGCCCAGCTTCGCATAACTATCTTGCCGGGACTCAAACCTCTAACCCTGGTAACCAACTGTACGTTGGCAATGTGAGTAGCATGTCACCTTGAGAATAACAACGCTGACGGGTCATCAGCTGCCGTATCAAGCTGGATGGCAGGATTTGAAAGACCTTTTCCGTGTTGCTGGTAACATCATTCGTGCTGATATCAACCTTGGGGCGGACGGCCGTCCCAAAGGATCCGGAACTGTGGTTTTCGAGACTGCGAAAGATGCTGCAGCTGCGATTGGCAAGTGTTCTCGACAGACTCCTTGTGCGTTCAATAACATCCTATAGCAATGTACCATGGCACCGATTGGTATGGACGAACGCTCGAAGTCCGAGAGGTATGTTATCATATTCTCAATCTGGGCTGCGTTAACACGGTTCAGGATCGTTATGCCGGTCTGTCGGGATCTGGTGGCTTCCGCGGTGGCTTCCGCGGAGCACCCCGCGGTCTCGGTCGCGGCGGATTCCGTGGTGGACTGCGTGGGAGGGGAGGGTTTGCCGGAGGTCTCGGTGGTGCACCCGGTCGCGATTTTTCCAATCAAGATATCTACGCAGACTACTCGGGCCCTGACCAGGCAGGTGGCGCGACAGGCGGGGGGTATAATGGAGGGAACAGTGCCGGAGGTTATGCGAGCGGCGGGTTTGGTGGTCCGGGTGGTCCTGGCTACACTGAGCCTGAGCCAAGCCAGCAGATCATGGTCCGCAACGTATGTGATCTACTTACTGTGCCCTTGTTCTTCGACTGATCAGCCGTAGCTCCCTTGGTCAACTGCAAATGAGGATCTGGTTGAACTCTTCGAGACCACGGGCCAAGTTGAACTGGCTGAGATTCTGTTTGATGGAAGTCGCTCGAAAGGCTGTGGTGTCGTGCAGTTTGCGCAAGTCGCAGAGGCTGAAACGGCAATTGGTGCGTGTTTTCAGCGGTCGAAATCTTCGAGGAGCGTTGATCGTCCTGTGCAGCCAAGTTCCAGCACTATATGTATGGTGGTCGACCGCTTGACGTGCGTTTCAACGACCGCTGGCACACTTTCACCCCGACTGCTGCAAAGGGCGGTCAAATTGGTCAAGAGATGGCTTGAGGATGCTGTTTCTTCGTGTATATATATATTTAACGTATAAAGTGTCTTTGGAGGACACGACCTAACCAAAATAACATGATTGTTACTCACAGTATCAGAAATTTCTCTCAAGTCAAGTTGTGAATGTTATCTTTGATCTTTTTGGGTTTTGTTTTTTTACAGTTGTGAGGTATCCTATAGTAAGGTATGCATTATAAATCCACGCATTACGAGTCCACGCATTAGGGGAGGAAAAGCGCAAAGCAAAGCAAAACATGCCAGCATCCAGTGCGGCGGACAGAAAGACGAATAACGCAGACGAGGGAGAGCACAGAAAACAGAATCACAAATCCACAGCAAGAGAAACGAAATGAGGAACTGCTGCCAACGCATTGCGCGGAGCGGAGACGAGCGCGGAAGCCGCCGGTTTCGGTTTTCGAGCGCCGCACCACGCTTCCAGATCGCTGCTGTCCGATGACCAGCTGTCGGCCGAAGCCACACTGCTCCTTGACGAATCGCTGTCGCACACCGGCGACGTTCTGTCCATGACCGAGAACCGCATTGCCGCGATCTTGTCGACCGTCTGCGAGTGCCAGAGCGAGGGGAAAGGCGACGAGGCGAGCTTGGGGGCGTACGTCAGAGGCGGCGCTGGGACAGTATGCGAGACCGTATCGGGAACAACGACAACCGGGACCGGAGCAACGTGCTTGGAACGGGAACGAGAGACGAGTCGGCGCAGGACAGACGAGACGCCGCGTCGGGACATGCGGAAAACCGGAGACACATACTCGAAAGGGCTGCCCTCGCGAGTCGCCGAGAGAGGGAACGGACTCTTGCGCGCGGTCGATGGGACGTAGGCCGGGACCGGGGACCACGGTGCCGGGACTTGGTGTCGAGCCATCTTCTTCCAGTTGACGTTCGAGAAGTACCGGTGCTCCTTGAGCTGGGCGATCGTGAGGCGCGTGTCGCGGCTGTGGTCGAGCAGGCCCCGGATGACGCCCGCCAGGTCCGTGTCGACGGTTGCGAGCAGCTCGGGAGTCTCAGCCGAGGGCATCTGAAGTTGATACATGTGGTTAGCAAGAGACAGCGGACGGCAGAGGAGGGACTTGCTTGACCCGTCGCCAGCTGATGCACCACAACACCCAGCGCGTACAGATCGGCGTCGAAGCTGTAAGGCGTACCCTGCACCTGGGCCGGCGACATGTAGCCCGCCGTCCCACAGCGCTCCCTCGTCACACCCAGAACCTCGTCCCAGCTCTGTGTGAAGAACGACCCCGAGTCAGCGTCGGCCGAGACGTCGAACACGATTTCCGCGGGATCATCGGTGCCGTTCATGAGCGATCCGGGGAGGTGGACCGCGAGATCAAAGTCGCCGAGCACGATGTTGCCGTCCTGGGTGAAGAAGATGTTCGCCGGCCGGACATCGCGGTGGACAATGTTGAGCTGGTGGAGCGAGTCGAGCGCGGTCACCTGACGTTCCATCGTCAGCCTTTGTGGACATCAAACAGAGCGAAATCTCGCACCAGTTGGGCAAACATGAAGTGCACGCGAGGAGCCGAGAGACCGCCCCAGTGCTTGTGTCCGTTGGCCAGGTAAGAAGTGAGATCACGACCGGCACACCACTCCTATTTCTATGTCTCAGCTCGGTCCCGACGAAGACGACGGATGTGAGACACTGACAGACAAAAAGCAGTAGCGGGACTCGTCTTCCCAACTGGCGTGGAGCCGCAGAAGGGAGCGGGAGACCTCGAAACCGGCCGCGGCGATACGTTTGAACGTGGCCTGCTCGTTGATGGCCGGGTGAAGACGGTCGGACTGGGGTTCACGGAAAGCCGTCTTGAGAGCGAAGCGATCGCCGGTGGTCTTGTGCTTGACCAGGTGCACATTGGATTTCGAGGTCTGACCGATGCGGTTGAGAACATCAAAGTCAGCGAGCGTGATCTGGGTGGTGGTGGAAAAGGGATCAGTGAGCAAAGCCCGATGAGGATCAGGGAAGGCAATGTACCGTCGAATCGTTGATCTTGTTGATAGATTTGAACATGTCGAAGCTTTCAGTTGGGTTGGATGTGCAAGTAGATGATGGAGGTCTTGATGAAAGTGTCGATAGAGAGACAGAGCGGAGAGGTGAGGTTTATATACCACCGCGGAAGCAGCGTGTCTCAGATGGTGGAATCCACGGAAGACCAAGACTCCCGTGCAATGCAGACTCGTCGCTGAAACATGAGCGGACAATCGAGACAAGCGCTCTCGGCCAATCGTCAAGAAGTTGTCGCAGAGTCTCCCTCTTGCTGCGACCGGTCACAGTTCGCATAATTTACCACTTAAGTATCTTCTCCAAGGATATAACAGTCCAGGACAAGGGCCTTGACACACGACAATCAATGCTGGTCCGGAGATATCCGAGAAAATGATTGAGTCACCAGCCGATGATAAGATTAAGCTTGTCTCAGTCCGCATCCGCTATGCATCCCACCCAATGTTCCGTTCGTATTCAGTATGGGTGGCTCAAACTTCTGAAATTCCCCGAGACACACCTTTTCAGTACGAGCCATGGGGATTTCGTGTTATCCACCCCCGACGGTCTTTACATCCACAGCAAATCGTCCGAATCCGCCAATGCGGCGATACGATGACGGCTCCCGTTTGTTATCAGAGACATACGAAATCGCAGAAGTCCTAAAAAGGCCACTGAAGGCCGTATTCCGGTCTTTCGGTGCGCTGGTGGACGAGCTGCATTTGATTTTGTAGTCACTTCTGATGGAGGAACTGCGCAGGATCGAGGAGAAGGATGGCATGGACACATGCGTCGTATGGGGTTGCACTGATCTAGCCGGGTACTGCAGTCCACAGAGTGTCGTGCAGCTGACTGACGAGGAGAGGACGGGTGCTCGTTGGGATTGCCCAGCAAGCAGCTAGCCAAGCAATCGCATACGAAAAGTACATTAAAAGTATTTCAACTAGGAGAAATTAGATACCAGCAATTATACCGAGCAAAGAGAATTCTGGATGGAGAACTATTGTAAAACTGGCAGGGAATTCCCAAGATCTAACCGAAGATCTGGACAAATTGAGCGGGGCTGAGTTCGGGCGGGTAGCTGCTCAAAAGAGCCCGTCGAACGGAGAGATAGTCGGCCTGAGCTTTGGTGGCATCTGTCACAGACAGCATCTGAACAAAAGGTGTAGTCCCGGGGGGAACATTGCCACCGGTGGCAAAGTCGAATCTAGTGGCTTGTCATCAGCTGAATGCTCAGGTCATGTGGATGCGGCTTACACAGTGTATGCGTTGCGCAAGAAGCTGTCGCCCACGAGTCCGTCACTGAAACCGGACACTATCGTGCCCACATCCGTGAAGGAACCGATGCAGACAGTGTATTGGCTCTTGCCGTCAGGCGAAGCGACAATCTGAATATCGGTCATGTCTAGAGGATGAATAGGGAATGTCTGGCCGCCGAATGTGAGCGAGACGCTGATGCTCGCAGTGCAAGGCACGACCCAGACTCCGGTCGTCGAGCTGTACTGGGTCTGCGGGATGCGCAATTGAGTGTTCGCCGCAAAGACAGCATTGGGGATCGAGCCGTAGATGGCTGTGATCTGCGCTGCAGGCAACATCGCATTGGTCGTGCTGTGTGAGACTGTAAGATTCTTTTGGCGTGTGACTACAGAGTGGGAGACGCACCCAGTGTCGACAGCGACAATATTCTTGCCGCGCGGAACATTCTGCAAGGTAGTCGGCCAGTTGAGTTTCTTTCCTCCCACAGAGATGGAATCCAGGGTCACAGTCCAGGATCCGGAACCGGGCGGCGACTGAGAGAGTCTGGGTGCGTTGGCGACCTGAGTGTAGTGGGTGTCGTACTCTGCGATCGCCAACGAAGCATCGGCTGAGCCGGCGGAGTCTCCATTACGCGAAAGAGAGATAGCGATGTAGTCGGCCTTGGTCGGATCTTGGGCAAAGATGTTGGCGAGCGCAGACTGGCCCCACGTGGCTGAAGAGCCATAGGCCTGGGTGACCGCGTCGTTGATTCTGGAGGACCCCGGAGTGTTGAAACCAAGTCCCCAGACGCCGTATATGCCCAGTTGGAAGTCGCCTTGCTCGGCAGCGGAAGCCTAAAGACCCGTCAGATGCGCCAGTGGATTTGAGGAATGGAAACACACGTCATTGACTTTCAAGAAGGCTTGATTGGGGATGATGTAGTTATTAAGCTGGAATTCCCCGGTACCAATATCTCCCGCGACATAATCGTATCCGTTTCCGTACACTATCTTGGTATTGATTCCGGTGTCTTTGAATACCGGGAGGCCGTCTGGAGGCATCACCCTGAGATTTGGGTCAGGGGAAGCTCGGTCAAAGGCATGCAGTCCAAATCCATACCAGAGATCGGTGCTTCCCGTGTCAAGCACAACATTTACAACGCGTCCTCCGATTGTAATGTTGGTCGTGTACTGTGAGTACGGTCAGAAAAGAAATTGTGGGGATCCACTGGTACGGACGCGAATGTTCTCCTTGTTAATCAGGTTGTTGTTGATTCCGCCCGTGGCTGCTCGCTTGAGATCGAGCTTGAGAGCAGTCACAGGCAGCGCAAGGACCAGAAGCGGACAAAGTGCAGAACTGCTGCGCATGACGGTGGAGGACTAGGGACGGGAGACAGTCGGAGAGGATCATGTTAGGCAGCATTTTATATGGTATTTGCGTACAGCGACTGCTCACGCGCCGACACCAGATCTTGAAATCGTCTGAAACACCGATTGTGCGCATCAGGGACCAGGATCTTGCTTCCTAGTACGCGCTGCTTCCAGTGATCGCAAGAGACGTTCTGTCATCCGCTGAGCGCTGAAATGCCATAGGCTACGCGATTTCCCCAATTAAGCGCGGCCCGGAACAAACGTGTCAATAATTGAAATTCACCGAGAAAATCTGGTCGCTCAATTACAATCCTCCGGCAGAACAGAGCGGAGCCACTCCCTCGCGAGCAAAATGCGCCATTCTGCTATGAGCCTGGGTGGTGCAAAGACGATTGTTGGCACCTGAAAACCATTCGATTACTCAGGATGCTTGACAGTCATGCCCCCAAACTCCGAGCTCAAGATGAACGGGTATAACGGATAGAAGCTCGAGAAGCCTGCGGCAAATCGACTCGTAAGTAGATTATTGGCCAAGAATTTGAAACTGTCAACGATCGGCGGCGGCCCCGTTAGCGGAATTTTGCTAGCATTGAGCAGGTTTTGGCTCTTGTATCCGCTGGCGACCCTGGTTTGAACGAGTTCGGGGAGTAAAGCCTTTTCATAAGGCTGAATTTGAATCGAAGGGTTCGGAGCCCAGTGACTACACCGTCCGTTCAGTGTAAATATTGATGGAAGAGGTCTGACCAAAGTCCGATGTGGTCCGTCAGTCATATCGCCAATATTAGCGATCCCGTGACGCATTCACGCCACCGTGTGAAACGAAATAATTGGTTGCGATGTTACGAAGAACACCCAGTTAGAGTTCGCGGTTGTCTATGTAGTGGGACGAATAATATACAATAATGCGAGTATTAAGAGCAGGACAGCAAGATAGCAATATCAGTATGAGCCGGTTTGATCGCTTCTCCAAAGCTCAAGCGAGCCCTTCCAACAGTTTTCCTAGCCACGGGTTCGCTTCTATCCTGGATCTGTACTGCTCCACACAGCGTTTGAGACTAGCGAGGTCGGCGAAATCATCGTCCTCCATGGAGACATCCTCGTCCGCCGCGTCAGGCATCTCCTGGTCTTGTTCAGCAGCCCACGCAGCAAACAACTCCTCCACGATCCGCATGCCTTCCTCAGTCATCGCGGGATCGTCGTCGACAGCCTCTTGCCTTTCGACGCCGAAATCTTCCAGCTCGTCGGCCTTCCTCTTCGCGAGCTTCACTACGCGTTCGGGGAAGCCGGCGATCTGGGCGACGTGGATTCCGAAGCTTTGGTCCGAGATCCCAGCTTCTACTTTGTACAGAAGCGTGATCTGCTGCTGTTGCTGCTCGTCGGCGTCGTCAACATGTGCAACAACATGCAGATTCTTGACGTGCGACAGCTGCTGGTCAAGCGCAGTGAGCTCATGGAAGTGGGTGGCGAACAGACAGAATGCGTGGATTTCGGATGCAATGTGTCTAGCCACGGTCAACTTTACTTCGCATAAACACGAAGACCACGCACTCTGAAATCGCCCAAGCCAGTCCGAATCCATCATAAGTCGATGTCCCTCTGCCTAGCTCGTCAATGATGATCAACGAGTCCTTCGTCGCAGTGCGTAGAATCGTAGCCGTTTCCAGCATCTCTGCCATGAACGTCGACACGCCCTTCAGTTGACTGTCGCCCGCTCCGACACGACACAGTACGGAATCGAAGATGGGTAAGCGCGCATCTGAGCACGGCACAAAACATCCTGTCTGCGCCATCAAAGCGATAACGCCTACTTGGCGGATGTACGTGGATTTTCCGCCCATGTTGGGCCCAGCTGGGATACAGTCAGATAAAATTCAGGTCCTGAATGGTAAGTCGCACTGATGATCTGGAACTCGCTCTGGTCTTTGACCATCTCGACGTCGTTTGGAATGAATGTGATATCATCTTGAACCTCCAGGCAGGGATGCCGTGCATCTCTGAGCACCAGGTCGCCCGTCCCTCGCTTCGTGACCTTGGGTCTAATAAAAGGTTCTGGCGCACTGATGGACACATGCGCGAAACTAGATCCCAGAGTAAGTAACGGATCCAATCGGGAGCGTAATCCTGCACACCTTAAGATGACGTCCAGATGGGCAATGATATGATCCAATGACTCGAGCACCGGAGTGTAAGTTGCTGCGATGCTAACGACCTCTTTGACAAGATCAGCCTGTGCACGAGCGTACTTATCGCTCGCATCCTTGAAGTCCTCGGCCAATCCGCGGAGCGTTTCGGTTCTGAAGTGCACGCCCGACTTGGTGATACCCAGCTCCACATACTTTTTCGCCATGTTCTTCCCGTCCTATCAGTCGTTAGTGGATAGTAGACACAAACAGAGGCTAGACGCCGCACTTTTTGTGTCACCCGGAAACAATATCCATACTGCGTGGTGTTCTCCAGATGCAGCTTCTTCGTCTTGTCCAATCCAAGGTCATCAGCCACGGACTCGTGCTCCTCGTCCATTCCCGCTTGTGCAGCCTGGATCTTTTCACTCAGGGCCGCCAACTTGGCGTCGTGTTCGGGCTTGATTACGAACTGATGGCGCTCCAAAGCGTCCAGGTCAATCGTCTGCTGTACCATTTCGGCGTACTTTTCCAGCGTCTCGTTGAACTTGCGTAGCTGCACGAGATATGTCTCTTCAAGCAGGGCTTGATAGCCGTCCTCCTCGGGCTGCATGGCCTCGAGATTAGATATAAGCCCAGGAAGTTGCTCGACGGCCTGGTAGACGCGAACGACGTCCTCAAGCGTCGCAGCCTGGCGCTGGAATCGCTTGCTCAGTCGGTGCATGTCGGGTAATAGCTTCAGGTATTCGTCCTGCAGCGTCCGCCGCGTATTCAAATCATTCACGAACATCTCCACTAGATTCTGCCGCTTCTCTGTATCAAATCAGAGAGTGTGCGTAGAAGGAAACAGTAATGTCACGTACGAATCTCATGGAGATTGACCAGCGGTTGCTTGAGCCAGTTGCCTAACAACCTCGTGCCCTGCGCCGTTTTGCATTTGTTCAACAGTCCTAACAAAGTCGTGTTCTTCGTCGTTGAGCCGCCAGCCTCAACGAGATTCAGAGCCCGGAGAGCACTCGCATCTAGCTTCATGAACTGCTGCAAGTCATGCGTCCGCAGAGAGTATGCGCCCAGATTCGAAGCGTCGCCGAGCAGTTGGAGGTACTTGATCAGCGCAGCCAGCGCAAACGGCGCGTTGGTGAAAGCCAGCTGAGGGATGACGAGGGTAGCATCCGCAGAAGACCCCGATCCGCCGAACGCTTCGAGTGTCTTCTCTGATAAAAGCCGTGGCAGATCGTCTGCGATGTTCTTCGACGAGAATTCGCTCGGTTTACGTTCTGTGACGACGACCCCACATCGTTCTAGCACACCTTTGAGTTTGTTCAAGTCGACGTCACGGTCCGTCGTGCCCGTAGCGGTTCCTGTGGCCACGATGGCTTCTTTCACGGATAGTTGGATGATCAGGGACTGGCGCAGTGTATGTAAGAAAAGCTAAACAGAAACGCATGAGGGCCGCACACCTCGAGATTCGAGAAGAGTTCATTATCGACAAAGTCTGCCACCCCAAGTTCGCGAACAGTCGGATCGGCGAACGCAACCCCCAAAGCACGTCCAGCTGCGGCAGTCGTTGGCACGACTTTGATGGCCATGACCACGGGTGGCGTCGACAAGTCCGACCCGGCATCGCCAAAAAGAAGGTCTTCGACAGCCTGGAGATTTCCTGGAGAGGCCTGGATAGCAATCAGGCAAATGAGTAAAACCGGCAGACATCACCCGCACCTCCTTGTCCAGCACGAACTTGTTACACTTCTTCGCACTTTGACCAGGCTCCGGCTCCCACAGCTCCACCCGCAGCTGCTTGGAGGTCAGAGAGTCCCGTAGAAGCGTCAGCGCCACGGATGCGCGCAGGTTGAGGCTCGGGAGCCCGGATTTCCCGCCTGGCCCGAGGTATTTGACCACAGTCTGAGTGCGAAACACGGTATCTGCGACATAGCGCGCATCGGGGCCATACACGCCGTAATAGTCTCCGTTGGCGCTGATGCGGTGGAACAGACGCAGCGTTCCGGACGCTGGCGACTTTGCCGGGAGTTTGTTGAAGAAAGTGATGAAGCCAGGATCTGTGGTGTGTTCTGCATGGAGAGTTTAAGACTACAGGCACCGAGAAGAGTGGCGCAGAATACAAACCTGTCGAGTCTTCTTCGAGATCGCGTTCTTTTCCGTATTGTTGCATGCTGTGAGGAGAAACAAATTTGTCACCGTCGCGTCATGTCACATCGTGACATAGACGCGTCGTCTGCTTTCGTCAGTTTCAGTTCGCAACCACTTACCTAAACAGGTTATAAGCATGCAGTCTGCCAGACTCGAACGCATTTCGGTTGATCCAAGCCTGGAGCATGCTTACATATTCGACAGTCACGCAGACTCACGGCGAACCCTTCACGCGAGGAGCACACTCCCTAATCTCACAAACCCGACTTGGTAAAGTCCAGCTCGATTCATCTTTCCACCATTCGAGCCACGAAGGAATACATCCAACAGAGACCTCTTTTCGCGACCATTCACACACACTGATGCATACACCCTGATCTCACACGCCGAAGGCACAATGTTAAGGCATAAGAAGCACATGATGACATAGCATAGCACGATGCATAAATCCTACAGCTACTAAAACCACCGCTCAAGGAGCAAAGAGAGACTCGGTGAACGCAGCGCCGGCAGCGGTCGGCTGCTTCGGCTTCTTCGCGTTCTTCTTTTTGAGGCGCTCCTGCTTGACTGAACACACACAACCACATCAGCTCACGTTGTAGCACATTGTGGAGGGGAAGAACTCACGGAGCTCATGTCGGCGGATCGTCTTGGCGTACGGGTTGAGGCGGAAGAGGACGGCCTTGTTGACGAGGGGGTTCTTCTTCTGCGTCCAGGGACGCTTCTGCACCTTTTGGCCAGCAGGGCGGACAACAGACTGAATCTCATCGCTGTTGATCAGACGCGTCACATCGGGGTTGGTGATCTTCGAGGCGGGCAGGCTATGGGCATCTCCCATCAGCATATGGAAGCACATGCCACACTGAGCATACTCACACGTAATCCTTCTTGAACGACGACACCTTGTCGAAGGTACCGAACACCTCATCAAGCAAAGCGAAGGCACCCTCCGTCCAGATGACGAAACGACCGAGGTGGCCACCAGGAGCCAACTGGAGCAGGTTCAATCGGCGCACGTTGACGACCTCAACACCGGGCAGGTTGCGGAACGCCTTGACGATACCCTGGTCCTCGTTGTACACAACAAGCGGGCCGCGGCGCTGGCGGTGACGGCGGTTCCGCATCTTTCCCTTTCCAGCACGGAGTTTGCGCGAGTTCGACACCTTGACGACATCCGAGTACGCCTTGAGGCTCTTGAGGAGGGCAACAGCCTCTTTGGTCTTGGTGAAAGACTCGGCGGCAGAAGCAACAACGAGAGGAACCTCCTCGATTTGCTCGATGCGGTGACCACGGGCGAGGACAAGGGAAGGCAGAGCCGAAGCAGCGAGAGCCGAGACAGTCGCGTACCGGCGCTGGTTCTGGTTCACCTTGACGTGCCACTTGCGCCAGGTCTTGGTAGGGGCGAACATACGACCACCACGGCACATGTTTCCGAATGCGGCCTAGATAAGAGTGAATCTCTGCTCCTGCGGGATGCAGAATCGAACACACCTGGCCAGCACGGTGGGTTCCGGATCCACCGACACGGGGGATACGAGCGACGGCACGACCGGTACCCCAAGACTCGGCACTGGTTTGGTGGCCGGCCTTCTCGCTAACGGAGTACGCCTGGCGCTTGTTCTTGGCGACGCTCTCTGCAAGTTCAATCAGAGCCTGTCTCCTTCTCTGAAAGACAAATGAAGAACGCACTGTGGACCTGCGCAACGACATCCAGACGGATCGGGGCGGTCAGAACGGCGGGGAGCGGGAGGGAGGTGGACGCCTCTGAAAATCGCAATTTCGGAATCAGGACAATCCGCAAAGACCGAGGGATATGGCAGACAGACCTCCGGAGGCGCCGAAGACGTTGACGGTGGGGCGAGAGGCCATTCTTGCGGCTCAAAGTCTTGCTGTTGAAAGATGAGAAAATTTGTTGCCGCGTATTTACAGCCTGTATAGCTCTGATGGGTTTCGTGATCCAGCATCACGTCATGAAGTGGCAATGCGATAATCAGAATCTGCCTGTGACATGTCGCTGGCACCGAGTGACATGCAATCAGAACTTGCACTACGTTGAAACCTCTCTTGGGATGTCATCTTCTGAAACTACTTTTCCTATCCCTTTCTCGATTTACCGTTTCATGGGATCGCATTCTAGCACGAGAACTCTTCGGCTGTGTCCTCTCACTCAAGATCGCCGTGCTGCACAGCAAATCTCACGCACTCGATATGTATAGGTTGTAGCCGATGGGAACCATCACCTCAGGGGACAGTTGACGCTGGGAACTGTGACTCTGCCTTCGATACTGGCCGCCTTACCCATGTATATCTTGTGCGGCCGCTGTTCTGCCTACACCAATCCCTGATCCGGTTCCTGCCCACGACCGGCCGTAACCGCCACATTTCGTCTGCTGCGACACGTAGCACATGCCTAGATTGATAGACCCGCGGAGTACCTGCGCCGATATCTTTCTTTAAGAGCACCGGTGTGATATGCCTGCCTTGTCATCTGAGCACATCTACATATACTGGCTGTCTGTCAGAGGCTTGCTGTCGACGCTCCCCTCCGCTCTCGGATACTCTGTCCCGGTCTTGCAACTATCAAGATGGCCTCTGCTGAGCAAGAAATCCAGTTTAACACGGGGAATACGCTTGGCGCGCTGCAAATCGGCACCCTAATATCGTTCACGCTGTTTGGCGTGACAACAAGCCAGGTATACACCTACTACAGCCGGTTTCCTGAGGATGCATGGCATCTAAAAGCCCTGGTGAGTACGGTCAAGGTACCTTGCCCCTTCGTTTGGTGACCTCAGCCTTCAGGTCGCTTTCACGTGGTGGGTTGCTCTGTCTCATCGACTCAAAGACTGTTGCGATGAAGTTTGGGCAGGATGTGCGATCTCGCCCACGCGATCTGCGTCGCAACTCTTCTGTACACGGATGACATTCTGGACTACCGACACCCGGAACGCTTCTTGCTGGCCCCGTCAAAGCTATTCGGCGTGATCATCCTCTTCTCTGCCCTCATTACGGCCGCTGGTCAGTAGACAATCTCCGCAGCCTTGAAGCATCGAATGATTAAGTGGGACCCAGTTCAATCATTCTTCTCCTTCCGCATCTACCGCATCTCCAAAAGATCGGCTTTCCCGCTCTTCACTGCCAGCCTAACTTTCTTGAGGACATTGGCTGCGATTGGGCTGCTCTACGCCATCAACCATGTGGATTCCTGGGCGCAGTTCTTGGCACGCTGGGACTGGCTCGGGACGTCTCTATTCTGCATCAGCGCTGCTAATGACGTTATCATCACCATGGGCATGGTGTTCCTGCTCTTTCGGCGCCGGAGGAAAGCCCTCAATCGGTACGAGGCGTGATCAAGTATTTCAAATAAAACCATAACGACCACAGGACCATGGCGCATCTCGATAGAATCATCACGTGGACTATTGGTACGCCTCCCAGGCAACCATTCTCTATTCGCGCAGTCGGCTGATGAAGGGCATTTATAGAAACCGGGCTGATGACAAGGTTGGCTGCGGGTATCTTATCTTCGTACCTAGCGGTGTTCTCAAGCAAATTATGACAGTGTATTCACCCTGCTTGAACTGGCATTCGTAAGTTACGCTTCCCTGTGTTCTCGGAGCATCTAAATTCTCTTGAACCTATTTGTGCAGTTCCTGACCATGCAGTCCAATTGTGGGGTCCATCCTCATACGCTGCGTCTATCGTCACTCACATCCCCATCCATCAGACATTTGGATCGGTCTGTTAGTTATCGGAGCGCGCTGTGAGTACACTCCCCGCAATCAGAACATCAACTCACGTTTGACGACCCCCGATCATCAGTATTCTCTATCTCTCTGCTCGCAAGGTCAGTCATTCTCATCTTCATCATCCCCGATCTTACGTTTCCGTCAGTCTGAACTCGCGCTCGACCCTACGAAAGATGAATGAAGTCAACCTGACTGCGTGGAACTCATTCGCGGTGCAAGGAGTACGAGATCAGACTTGTTCTCTTCTGGTCTTTCCTCCTGACCCTTTCTCAGGGAAGCCAAGAACGGAACCCAGTCGAGGAGCACACCGTTGATCTGAACAGCCACGTTCTAGTAGAGCGCACAACCAAGGTTATGGTGGATCCATAGGGCGAATATACATATACATAAGTATGGACATATATGAGATTATTTACTGTAAATGTGCATACATCATCACATCACCTCCACGCAGGGCGCCCAGTGCCCTTCCCCCTCAGATCAACAACACTCCGCGCTCTCTTCAGCGGCTCCTTCTGCTGCTGCATCGACTCGAATCCCTTCACCAGATCCTTCACACTCCCCCCGCTGCTAGTTCTTGGCCGCACAGAAACAGGCTTCTCAGCAGGCAGCTCCACGTGATTCAGCTCGACCATCCGCTGCGGTTTGGGCCGGGGCACAGCCGCTGGCGCAGGCTTCGGTGCAGCATGCAGGTGCACCAGATCTTTCGGGGGTCGCGCTTTGACCGGCGCCGGCCGAGCAGGTGTCGTGATCGGTCCGCGGGGTTTGACCTGCTTCGGAGGTAGCGGCAAGCGTGGCCGGCCAGTCGGTACCATGCTTGGTTTCGCGGCGGGTTTGGCGCTGCTAGACAGATACGAGAACAGAAAGCCCTTGACGCGTTTCCCGATCGACGCTGGCGGTGCGGGCGGCTCTACTCTCAACGGTGTGGCTGGAGGCATCTCCGCGTCACGCGATGGTTCTTCCTCGTCTTCCTCTCCTTCGCCTCCCTTCTCCTCCTCCTCATTCCCTTCTTCCTCGCCCTCATCTGGCTCATCGCGAGCAACGACTCTCGCCTCTTCCAGCAAATGAGAATACCTCGGGGCCAGCAGTGACCCCGGCAATCGCCGGTTCCTCGCTGGTTCTGGAGTCGGCGGCAATGGCCCACTAAACGGCGCACTCGACCCACCGACAGGCGCGGGAAATCGTGCTCGCCCGGATGTCGGGAACGGCACGAGCGGCTCGACATGGCTCTTCCTCGGCGGCATCGCCCTCCTCCCCAGTGGTGTAAAGTCAGGCACGACCATCGACGGCTTCCTTCGCGTATGGTTGAATGCACTGGGGCTCGGTGTCTGGGGTGATACGAGGGAGGTCCTCGGCGTTGGTGGCGCGACATTTCCGGCTCTCTGCTTGTTCTGTAGCGCTTGAGCGCGTTGCATCATCGCATCTCTGCACCGAAGAGTCAGTCTGATCCAGACATGACACGGAATCGCTACGCACCGATCCCAATGATCGCCTTCCACTTGCACAAACCGATTCACGACAGCATCCAAGTCAACAGCATCAGCAGAAGCCATCAACACAGCCCGCTCAGGCGTCTCATCGTGCCTAAGGGTCATCCCCATCTTCTCTGCCATGTCAATCCGCTCGTCCGTGAAACAGGCGTCCAACATCTTCCACTCATGCTTCGTCCATTCTCGGGCAAGCCTGGCGGGTTTCGTCGGCGTCCTCAGGCTCTTCTCCGCCTCCTCTAACAACTGTGTCGTCGTGACTGGCCTGGGACTCCCCGGGAAATAGACGTTCTCGCCGATCACTTGTGGTTTGGGCGTCTTGATGGGCGACTTAGTCTTACTGATACCACCAAACGAAGCCGGCCGCCGGGTCTTGAGACGCGTAAAACAATCATAATCGTGCTGTCACATCGTTCAGCTTCTATCAAGCAAACTAACAACGGAAACACACGCACAGCTTTGAGAATTGCGACAGCTCGAGCTGCAGCAAGCGGATCCATGCTCGTGATCTTGACCATACCGAGCAAGTCGGCCGAGTCATCCTCCTCCAACTCTGGCTGCATCGCAACTCGGACCCGGGATGGTGTTGCCAGTGTGTCAGACAGAGCCAACCCGCGGCCTGAAAACACACTCGGTCCTGCAACATTCATCTCAACATCATCCTCATTTGTAGGATCATTGCTTGGGACCGGAGCCTGCTCTGAGAATCTGCTTTCTGCTGCCGCCGCAAGCCTGGTAGCAAATGGTGTCTGCCGTGTTGGACTAAGCGAACCCCGTCTGACCACAGACGCCAGCGCCGGGGAAGGCAGGAGAACCCGCGTTGGCCCCTTTCCTGGTGTCACGAAGGCACCGATCGAGAACTGCTTGGGCAACGAAGCGTTTTCCTGTTCTTGCTGCGAGGACTCGTGATCCTCATATTTGTCCTCTTCCGCCTCTTGCTCGTCTCTCTCTGCCTGCTCATCACCGTCTGATTCCTCGTCAGCCTCTCGCTGTTCATCTTCCGCCCGCCGTTCATCCTCCTCCCTCAACCCTCGCAAAATACTCTCCCCCTCCGGCAACAACTCATCCTCATCCTCCTCATCCTCGCTCACTTCGGCAGCCCGCACCGAATTGTCCCTCCCCACATATCGGCCATCCATCCTAAAACTGCCTTCGCCTTCTTCCTCAGGTCCTCGGCCCGGATAGGGGGATCCCCAAACGCCCCATCGCTCAGCTCGCGCTTTTGTGCGCGGGGTCGGCGGATCGGCCTTCGTCCGCAGCAGTAGCGAGCTGAACGATCCAGTTGCTGTACCGGGAGGTGTCTTGGATTTAGGTGGCGGCGTTGTAGGCGCCGCAAGCGACGTAGTATATACATGTGTGAATGGTAACGAGCGGGGAGGTGTAGTAGTCGTCCTTGTCGTCGTCGTCGTATCTGTAGGGGTGGTATTCACAACAGGCGGCGTCTTCATCGGTTCGGGAATGTCTCCGTCGTCATCGTCAGAATCCCATTCCACGTTTGGACCCTTGAGTGGCGCAGCACCATCGAAAGATTCTGGGGAATCCAGATCCATAGAGTCGGTCGAAGGAACATCTTAAACAAGCTCAGTGCTTGCGAGAGGCCGTTCTAAAGGCCGCACTTACCGGGCGCATCCAAATCTACGATTGCAGTCCAATCAAATGGGTTATATGGCCCATCAGAAGACGGGGGAAGCGAGCGCCGACCACGCTTCGCAGGCGACGACGACCCAATGAGCAAGATGGGGTCGTCAGACGGACTGGGCGGTGTGACAGGTCGTGTCAAGTCGATATCCGGCATCGGCTCTTGTTTGATCTTCACTGCGCTCAGCACCACCCGCAGCGGCGTCCGTGCGCGCGCACTGGGTGTTGTCGAGCGTGGTTTGGGCGTAGCCGCGCGTCTGCGAGACTGCGGCGCGGGTGTCGTGAGGAAGATCTCTCTCGGGGGCGTGAAAACATCCGTGGGCGGTTCATATGGTGTCGCACTGCGCGCTGCACGGGCCTTTCCCTTGGAATTAGGCTTAGGTGCAGGGGGGAGCCAGTCAGCGTTGGGATTATCCGCGTGTGGGGAAGATAGTGTGAGCATAAACGAGGGGCGGGTAGGGGACTCCTCCGCGGACTGGGCCTGACGATGGGACTTGCGCGGTTTGGGGTTTGGCGTCTGCTTCGAAGGACTGTCGGCTGCTGCGTAAGATGTTGCACCCGGGGTCGGGCTGGGACGCTTGCGTTTAGCCTTCGTCGGTGCAGTTGGTGTGAGCAGGTTAGCGCCGTTCATCTGCTGTACACGAGTTTAGCCAGTGCCACCCCGCTGAGTACTTGAGGCGCACCCTCGTCTGGAACGCCGACCGCAAATCCTCTTCTGGCGGAGGGCTGATCAGTGTTCGACTAGGGTCAATTTCCATCGACGGTGGCTTGAGGTGAGTGCCCGCGGGAGGAGCTGTGTTCTCGCTCATCGCGGGGTGAGGCAAAGGTCAACGTGCACGTGATCGCATGTAGGATTGATTGATGGCGCAAATACGGCACAGCAACACGTGTCGTTATCGTGATGGCGGGCCGGCTGAGAAAGTAGAAGCATCGCCGGACGGGACCTCTTGACCTCGCCTTCTTGCATCTGCTCATGTTGGAGTTCGAAGACGTTGCAACGCGCTGACCGCGCTGTTTCCTCGGATTAATTTCTTTCGAGCTTGGGCTTGACGACATGGAACGTGAATCGGCGCACAATCAGAACGCATCCTATGCTCAGAGTGGCATGCCCCGACCTCGCAGCCAGCTCGCTCTGACTCCGATCACGCACATGGCCTGTTAGAACCCCCCGCCCGGTCGTCTGACACGATCAGGAGACCCGCTGACGATCCCTGTCCCGTCCTTATTATGCCAGCCATCCATGCGTCGTCACTATTCCGCCCATGTTTGACGCTCTCCTCCTCAGCCTTGCGGCTGTACCCGCGGCGCTTGGCGCAGTGACGACAGTCAGCGTCAGCGCTACTGCTAGCCACCCCATCCCGACGACTTTATGTGAGTGTGCTGGTGGAGCGCTTGGTGTAGGAAGCTGAGCTTACGACTAGATGGATTGATGTTTGAGGATATCAGTGTATGTGCCTAGACGATTAATGGAATCCCGACTGACTGATTATTCAGCATGTGAGCTCTGAGCAAACGATGGCATCTGCGAGGCTGACACGAAGACTAGAGTGGGGATGGCGGCTTGTACGCTGAAAGTGGGTGAAGCTGGACTCGTCCTCCTACTGTCCTTGCTGACTAGTGGGCAGTGCTTCAAAATCGTGCCTTCCAACAGGTCACACCCAGTGCGCCCAGTTCCCTACAAAGCCGTTCATTTTGTCAATAGTTGCAGACACAACGGCTGCCCTGAATGCATGGGTGCCCGTGGGCGCATCTGCGACCATCTCCGTCATCGCAGACCCAACCCCACTCTCTAGTGCCTTGCCCAACTCGCTGGTGCTTACCACCCCACCCAACGCTGGGGCACAAGGGTTCTCCAACACCGGATTCTGGGGAATGAAATTCGAGAAGGGACTCAAATACACAGCTTCTCTGTACTACCGAATCCCGACATCGTCAGCACGCCCAGCTGCCTCGACGCTGACGCTGGCTTTGAGAGCGGCAGACGGCAGCGTGCTTGCCAGTGCCAATGTAAAGATGACGGCGACCACCTGGACTCAGGTGTCAGTGGTCCTGTCTCCCACCAAGACGCCTCCGTCCACAGCCAACACATTCACTGTCACAACTGATGGTGGACCGGCCGGAATCGAGGTCCATTTCGCTATGCTTTCACTGTTCCCCCCGACGTTCAAGAACCGGCCGAATGGGATGCGGGCTGACATCGCTCAGACGCTCGCTGACATCAAGCCCGCCTTCTTCCGCTTCCCAGGTGGCAACAATCTCGAGGGCCAGACTCCCGCCACGCGCTGGCAATGGAATGCCACCGTCGGGCCACTCATCAACCGGCCCGGACGGATGGGAGACTGGAGCTATCCCAACACAGAGTCGGTCGTCGTCCCCCCTTGCCCAGCTCAACTCACCTAAACGGTAAACAGCGGTCTCGGGATATATGAGTTCCTCACGTGGTGCGAGGATCTCGACATGGAACCGTTCATGGCAGTCTGGGACGGCTTCGCGCTCGGCGGCACCTCTGTCACCGGCGCGGCGCTCGACCCCTACATCGCGCAAGCCATCGATCAGGTGACCCTAGCTTCACTGCCACTTGCCTAAAGCAGACATGCTCATGTTGCGCTCCAGATCAACTTTGTGATCGGTGATCCCAAAACGAGCAAGCCTGGTAAGCCAGCCTGTCGAAGACGAGGGGGAGTGCTCATCGCCTGGATCAGCGGCTCTGCGTGCTTCGCTCGGACACCCGGCACCGTTCAAGTTGAACTATGTTGAGATTGGAAACGAGGTTTGTTCTTATTGTATGTGGAGCTTCTCCGTCTCAAACCTCATCTGAAGGACTTCATTGGAAATGCCGCTTCCACGTGTGTACTCTTGCAGTAGGTTTGAAACCGAGTCTAACATACGTCAAGGGTCCAAGCACGGTGGAGCGCGTTCCACAACAACCTCACGGCTACATTCCCCCAACTTCGTAGGTGATTCTCTATTTCTGAAAAGCTCGGTGCTGAGTTTTCCCAGACTTCATGGCTACTTCGCACCAGAACAGTCCCGTTCTGACGCCTACGCCGGAGATCTACGACAATCATGTGTACCAGACCCCCAGTGCGTTCCTTACCGACGGGGTCACGCGCAGCATACGCTTAACATTGAAACAGCTTGGTTCGCGACAAATTCGTTCATGTACGATAACTTCCCCGTGAGTGACCTGATCGAAGTGCTGGCAACATCCTCACACCCCATGACTGCAGAGAAACGGCATGAGATTCTTCGAGGTACGCCGCCCGTCCGCCGACGTTGCAAGCTGCGACTGACCTGGATTGAAGGGCGAATACGCCTCTACATCGACCAACAGCAGCAATCTGTTCGGTGGTGTGAGCCAAGGCCGTCTGACCTTCCCCACTGTCAGCGCATCCGTTGGTGAAGCGGCATTCATGACCGGCTTTGAACGCAAGTTGCTTCATTGGCGATCCTCTTCCATGCAATTGACTGCTTTCAGGAAACGCGGATATCGTATTCAGCGCATCATACGCTCCCCTTCTCGGACACGTGAACGGGTCCCAATGGACGCCCAACTTGGTTGGATTCGAGTAACGACCGCTTTCCGTTCCGTCCAACATCTCTCGCTGATTATCTCTTTCCACAGTGCGGGCAGCGTCTACAAGTCGAGCAGCTACTACGTTCAGCAGCTGTTCAGCTTGAACAAAGGCGACGAGTATCTTCCCAGCACTCTCCCGGACAGCTCCACATCGGCGACCTTGCTCTGGAGCGTCACCCGGCGAAACGCAACGAGCGGCACCGAGGTCATCATCAAGGTGAGTTGCACGTGCTGCTACTCAGGATCAAGCGCCTCATCTAGCTCTGTCGTAGATCTCTAACCGCGCGACAACGGCCCAAGCGATGCAATTTGTTCTGCCCTTCTCGGGCGTCGCGAGCAAATCCACGGCGCAAGTCATCTCTGGGAACGGCGGGGATAGCAACACACCCGAGCATCCGAACCTGATTGCGCCCGTCACAGTGACGGTGGCGACGGGATCGACGTTCAACTACACGGCTCCCGCTGTCAGCGTGACCGTTCTGGTCGTCGGAGTTACTGGAGCTTGAGTGTTGGAATAGTCATCAGTTCGGGTTCTTACTACTTGGCGTTATCTTATCGAATAAGATCATGATCTCATCTCGAAGCCCGTGATCCAGTCCATCGTATCCCTGGATCCCCCTTTCCGCAACCGCTTGATTCTGCCTGGATGTCTACTTGTTGCTATCGGCAAATGACGAAAATAGACGGTCCGTCGTCAAATATCTCGATGAGGGGCTTTGCGGCTATATTCGTCTCTCTCCCACCCTCCTCCTTCTGGACGAGTAACCAACGACTCAAGGCACAACGACGATAGACCATGTTTCGCGCGCTTGGGTTGATATTGAGCGCCCTTTCTGTGCAATTCCCTTCGTGGGCGGCTCTTCGTGTGAGCGACGGGCTGGCTCGCGACCAGGTCGAGATCCAGAAACTCTGGGGTGTATACTCCCCTTTCCATGCGGAGGACGACTATGCACCACTCCCTCCCGGGTGCGAGCTGTCTCAGGTGCGTGGGGCTCTCAAGGACATGTCTGGTACCCCCAACTCATTCTACGGCAGGTCAACATCGTGCGTGCGACCCCCTGCTGCGCATCGTGTCCATTCGAGCATCCGATCTCCCACAGCTCCACCGGCACGGTGCCCGTCTTCCCTCGGAAAGCCAAACTGAGGAGATCCTCCATGCGCTCAACAAGCTGCTCGCCGTCCCGCAGTACGCGGACCCACGCCTGGACTTTCTGCACCGCTATCAATACACCCATGGGCAAAACCTGCTCGTTCCGCTCGGTGCCATGCAGTGCGTAGCATCTGCAGTCCCCAGGCCCAGGATTGCCGACCTGGTGCCATCCCAATCACCATCACCGCGAAGCTAACTGTACGTGTGTGTCACACAGATCGGCCGCCTCTGGTGCCACGGCTTACCGGAGATACGCACGGCTGCTTGCGGGCGGCGATACGCCCTTCGTTCGGGCCTCGGGCATGAGCAGGGTGATCGATTCGGCCACAAACTGGACAGCGGGTATGTAAGCCATGCACGGGGGGTATCCGCGTCTCCGTCCCCCACTCACGCGATCCTCGTAGGATTCGGCGTGGCCAGTGGAGGGATTTCTCTCCCTCGTCTTTCTGTCATACTCGACGAGCAGGTGGGCGCGAATCGCTTCTTCCCCAGGTCAACCGACTGACGCAGAAGATCGTCTGCCCAGGGAAACGACACACTGCAGGACAACAACTGCCCAAATGGAGACTCTTCTCACCACGAAATGAACCGATGGTTCGATACTTACGCGCCTCCGATCGCCGGGCGCCTGAATACTTGGGCGCCGGGTGCAAACATCACGAACAAGGACGTACACAGCCTTCAGATGCTCTGCGCGTTCGAGACGGTGGCTAGCGTCCCCGCCGACTTCGAGCTGGGCTCGCCGCTTCCATTCAGCTCCTTCTGCCAGCTGTTCACGCCGGACGAATTTGTACTCTTCGCGTATGCTGCCGACATCGATCGGTACTACTCTACCGGGTGTGTGACTGTCTCGTGCTTTAGAGTGCTGTGCCTCTGACGAGGTGCTCGCCAGATACGGCTCGTCTCTGGGCCGCGTGCAGGGCGTGGGCTACGTGAACGAGCTCATCGCTCGGCTCACCTCCTCGCCCGTCGAGGACTACACCTCGACCAATCGCACGCTGGACTCCGACCCAGTCACGTTCCCGCTCAACCGCACCGTCTATGCGGACTTTACCCACGACAGTCCGGAAATGGCTATCTTCGGCGCACTCGGCTTGTTCCCCACTCCCCACCTAAAGCCGACCCACCCGAAATCTGACAGGCGCTGGAAGACGAGCGATATCATGACTTTCAGCTCCCGCATGGTTGTCGAAAAGCTCGAGTGCCGACAGACCGTGCGCGGCAGCACAGCCTCCTCAACTTCCTTCGTCCGGATTTTCGAGAACGAGGTGCTCCAGCCGCTGCCGTTCTGCGGCGCGGCGGAGACTGGGGCTTTCAGAGGCTTGTGCAGCCTGAATGCGTTCTTGAAAAGTCAGATGTATGCAAGGGAGAACGGAAAGAAGGATTGGGAGAGGTGTTTCGAAGCATGAGGGAAGCGTGAAAGTTAACATCGCAATGTAGGGCATGTGTATGATCGATTTTCTTTTCATGCGAGTATTTCTTGTCAGTAGTTCAGAATCTCAGACAAGCGGATAAAGTGAATCTTATCGTCCAGCGGAAATCATCATTCGAGCGGATATCTCCGAAATCATTATTACTGGTAGCATGTGACCGTGATACACCTCTTTCTCTCTCTCTCTGATACAAAGAGGATGAATGGCGATCTCTGTGGACGATGATGATAAGATACGAAGACATAAGCAATTTCTTCTCGTCGACGGATTTGCATACGCTTGGCCTCATTTCCCGCTCATGTCTCAGCGACGAGTCTGCATTCCACGGGAGTCTTGGTCTTCCGTCGAGTCCCCATCTGAGACACGCTGCTTCCGCGGTGGTATATAAAGCTCACCTCTCCGCTCTGCCTCGCTATCGACACTTTCATCAAGACCTCTATCATCTACTTGCACATCCAATCCAACTGAAAGCTTCGACATGTTCAAATCTACCAACAAGATCAACGAATCGGCGGTACATTGCCTTTCCTGATCCTCTCCGAGCTCTGATCACTGATCCTTCCTCCTCCACCGCTCAGATTACCCTCGCGGACTTCGATGTTCTCAACCGCATCGGTCAGACCTCGAAATCTAATGTGCACCTGGTCAAGCACAAGACCACCGGCGACCGCTTTGCTCTCAAGACGGCTTTCCGTGGACCCCAGTCCGACCGTCTTCACCCGGCCATCAACGAGCAGGCCACGTTCAAACGCATCGCCGCGGCTGGTTTCGAGGTCTCCCGCTCCCTTCTGCCGCTCCACGCCAGTTGGGAAGACGAGTCCCGCTACTGCTTTTTGTCTGTCAGTGTCTCACATCCGTCGTCTTCGTCGGGATCGAGCTGAGACATAGAAATAGGAGTGGTGTGCCGGTCGTGATCTCACTTCCTACTTGGCCAACGGACACAAGCACTGGGGCGGTCTCTCGGCTCCTCGCGTGCACTTCATGTTTGCCCAACTGGTGCGAGCTCCCGCTCTGTTTGATGTCCACAAAGGCTGACGACGGAACGTCAGGTGACCGCGCTCGACTCGCTCCACCAGCTCAACATCGTCCACCGCGATGTCCGGCCGGCGAACATCTTCTTCACCCAGGACGGCAACATCGTGCTCGGCGACTTTGATGTCGCGGTCCACCTCCCCGGATCGCTCATGAACGGCACCGACGAGCCTGCGGAAATTGTGTTCGACGTCTCGGCCGACGCTGACTCGGGGTCGTTCTTCACACAGAGCTGGGATGAGGTTCTGGGTGTGACGAGGGAGCGCTGTGGGACGGCAGGGTACATGTCGCCGGCCCAGGTGCAGGGTACCCCTTACAGCTTCGACGCCGATGTGTACGCGCTGGGTGTTGTCGTGCATCAGCTAGCGACGGGTCAAGCAAGTCCCTCCTCCTCTGCTGCCCGATGTCTCTTGCTAACCACATATATCAACTTCAGATGCCCTCGGCTGAGACTCCCGAGCTGCTCGCAACCGTCGACACGGATCTGGCGGGCGTCATCCGGGGCCTGCTCGACCACAACCGCGACACGCGCCTCACGATCGCCCAGCTCAAGGAGCACCGGTACTTCTCGAACGTCAACTGGAAGAAGATGGCTCGACACCAAGTCCCGGCGCCGTGGTCTCCGGTCCCGGCCTACGTCCCATCGACCGCGCGCAAGAGTCCGTTCCCTGTCTCGGTGACTCGCGAGGGCAGCCCGTTCGAGTATGTGTCTCCGGTTTTCCGCATGTCCCGACGCGGCGTCTCGTCTGCCCTGCGCCGACTCGTCTCTCGTTCTCGTTCCAAGCGCGTCGCTCCGGTCCCGGTCCCGATTGTCGTTATCCCCGATACGGTCTCGCATACTGTCCCAGCGCCGCCTCTGACGTACGCCCCCAAGCTCGCCTCGTCGCCTTTCCCCTCGCTCTGGCACTCGCAGACGGTCGAGAAGATCGCGGCAATGCGGTTCTCGGTCATGGACAGAACGTCGCCGGTGTGCGACAGCGATTCGTCAAGGAGCAGTGTGGTTTCGACCGACAGCTGGTCATCGGACAGCAGTGATCTCGAAGCGTGGTGCGGCGCTCGAAAACCGAAACCGGCGGCTTCCGCGCTCGTCTCCGCTCCGCGCAATGCGTTGGCAGCAGTTCCTCATTTCGTCTCTCTTGCTGTGGATTTGTAATTCTGTTTCCTGTGTTCTCCCTCGTCTGCGTTATTCGTCTTTCTGTCCGCCGCACCGGATGCTGGCATGTTTTGCTTTGCTTTGCGCTTTTCCTCCCCTAATGCGTGGACTCGTAATGCGTGGATTTATAATGCATACCTTACTATAGGATACCTCACAACTGTAAAAAAAACAAAACCCAAAAAGATCAAAGATAACATTCACAACTCGTCAGTGAGGCTATGATCCGAGGCAACTTTCTGATACTGCGAGTAACAATCATGTTATTTTGGTTAGGTCGTGTCCTCCAAAGACACTTTATACGTTAAATATATATATACACGAAGCAACAGCATCCTCAAGCCATCTCTTGACCAATTTGACCGCCCTTTGCAGCAGTCGGGGTGAAAGTGTGCCAGCGGTCGTTGAAACGCACGTCAAGCGGTGAAAACAAAACCTAAAAAAGATCAAAGATAACATTCACAACTCGTCAGCGAATAAGGAGGGAGTGAGGCTATGATCTGAGGAATCTTTCTGATACCCCAGACAACAGCCCTCACATGTCCTTTTTGCCATTGACCCCCAACATCCAAGGCACGATTCACGGCTCGTCATTCCCATGTGTGGCCTCAAAATTACTTCCTTAGCCTTGTCGTGCGAGTTGAGAGCCCATAATCAAGAGGCACCAATGTGTTCATCGACCAGTTCCACTATCCTGGAGAGAGACTATTTGACAGGTGGCGGTGCTCGTATTCAATTTTCGCCAGGGCCGCCCTCGTGACCGCGTCTGCCGGAGGGTGCGATTTCCTCTCGGCGCCCCTCCAAGCCAATCCAGACAGTCCAAGCCCGAATGTTCCCGAGCCCATCTTCGATTGATATCACTGCAGGCTCTGCAAAGAGCCCACCCGTCACTAGTCACTGGCGAGCTGGTGCCCTCTGACCGAGATGCTGCTGTAGAGCGCCGCGGGCAAGGGTCACACGACGCGCATTCGCAGCAGCCCTCCCCCCCATGTTCTTCTGTTCGACGCGGCACAACTATGACCCCAGCGAGTCCCACGACGCCACACAGCTCTGGGATCTTGGCGTCGTGATCGTGTGTGATAGATTCCGCTTGACTGGCTTTCTAATACTCAGTCAGTTACAACTTACGGCGCTCGCCGCGCAGCGATCGCACACATAAAAAGGACATGGCCTAGCGATGGTGTGGGACTACGGCCCTCGCCCCCTCTTCGAACTTTTTCTCCTGGTCCGCGATGCACAGCGCTGTGGCGCTTTTCTCACTCGTTTCGTTCCTTCTCTGCACCCCGTCCAGCGCGGTCAAACTCGCCATTTCACGGCCTCCCAAGGCCAGCGCGAACGTCAACGGCAACTTGATCAACAAAGGCAACCTACGCGTGCGCAGACGATTTTCCAGACGATCGACGCGGTTTCTCATTTCCCCCCTAGTATACTGCGAACATCACGATCAGCGGGCGCGTCGTGAATGTCGCCCTCGACACCGGCAGCACGGACCTTTGGTGCGTTCTCGTGTCCTCTGCCGTGACTTGCCGTCCTGAGCTGCCTCGCAGGGTCATGCCTCCCGAAGGTGTCCCGAAATTCAACGACACGCACCTGAATGCGACGCTGCGGTACGGAGACGGATCCGACTACGTCTTTGGCGACATCGGGGTCGGGCACTTCCAGCTGAACCAGTACACGATCCCGCACCAGGCGTATCTGAACGTGTTCCAAGTAAGTCACGTCAGGGGCACACGTGAAAATGCGACGTTGGCGTTTTCCTAACGCCGCGCTTTCCTGTTATGTAGGCCGCCGCAGCCGAGGACGCGGACTTTGCCGACGGGATCTTTGGTCTGTGGGGTCTTGGCTTCGACACGCCCGGCTCGTCTGGGGTCAACGACGCGATACAGACCGCCTACGGCCCGTCTGCCAAGTGGGGCCAGTCTGTGCTCGCCAACATCTTTGCGCAAGACCCTACCAAGGCCGACTACATCGGAATCGCACTGTCTCGCAGCGGTGATGCTGGTGGCACCGCTGACGCGTCGCTGACCATCTCTGAATACGACTCGGACTATGACAAGGTCGCCAGCTCGCCTAAAATACCGCAGACACCGGCTGATTCGGGGGCGTGGACAGTCCCGCTCGACGGCATGTCTGTGGGAGGGAAGAAGATCGACTGGCCGACCACGATGAGGAGCGCGACTCCTGGAAGCAACATTGTCCACCTCGACACCGGGTGCGCATGTCCGCACCCTGCCTGGCTGACACTCACCCCGCGGAAAGCACCACGAACGTCATGATGCCCGCAAAACAGGTCGCTGCGATCTACGGCTCGGTTCCCAACGCCGTGTTTGCGCCGAACGACATCATGTGGATCCCGCAGACGCAGTACAGCACCACGAACGCAGTCTGGGTTGTGCCCTGCAACGCGTCCATCAGCGTCGTGGCCACTTTCGGCGGCCAAGACTATGCCATCCATCCGTTGGACATGACGGACATGCAAGTCGTCACATCGCCGGACGGGACACGCAACTACACGGTGTGCATCGGCACCTTCACGGATGTCGGCGCCATCGTCTCCGGGGCGAGCGACGCTCTCTTCGGAGACTCGTTTTTGCGCAACACATACACCGTGTACGGGCAGGCGCTCACTCACTCGCTTTCGCATTTCCTCTTTGCTGACTGCATCACACACAGATTCGACTTCGCCACGGGAGGGAACGCAAAGCCGGGCTCCAAGCCTTTTGTGCAGATTGTTGAAGCTTGTTTGTATTAGCGACTATCACAGTATGTAGACATGACATCATAAGTAGTATTCTTAGATTACTTTGGCTCGCTCCACAATGACCTCATACCTGACCTCATTATTGCGTCATCCATTACTCATCTATGATATCATTACTCCACTATGACATCATGATATCTGCTCCAGACTGGTATATAAACCTAGTACTATACGCTCCATATCCTCAGCTCCTGTGTCTCTACACTCGCTGAGGTATGCATTCTCCCTTACGATCTAATGACCTTACTTATGACTTGTACCATAGACTCTGTCTTATAGGTACAGCTAATGATATAGCTCCTGTGTCTCTACACTCGCTGAGACTCTGTCTTATAGGTGATCGCTACTGGTCGTATCTCCACTGCGCGGTATTGTCTGCGACAGGTTATGGGCCCCGCCTGAACCACTAGCCCAGATCAAGAAACATCGAACTACTCCCTTTGCTAAGGCGAGTATCTTTCACTCGTTCAGCCCTTCTAGAGCGCCGTCTTTGTGCGCTCGTCCCACTTGCTGGATGTCGGTCCTCGCATTAGTGCTCTCACCCTCAAGGGGTTACGCGAGCGGCGTCAGGGAGTCATTCAGTTGGCAGACGCGCCGTTAGCCATTCCGTCCATGATTGCTCGCGCACGTTTTACGTTACATCTTTTTATTGTACAGCGGACATACCCACCAGGCACTGGTCCTTTGGTCAATCCCACTCCTGAACCTTGCGCGAAGCGCCTAGGTGGTGTGGTAGCTCTCAACAGCTGCTGGAGGTCAATCCCTCCGCCAGGCAAAACAATCCTTCGGGGTTGACTCGCATTCCTCACAAGGGACCCTGCGGGCTGGTGACACTACGAGGATTCATGCAATGACGCTCTGCGTGTATGCATGTCTTTAAAAGGGAGAAGATGGGCGGCCAAACCCGGTGCTTGGGACGGCCTTGGGCACGTGTCCCTTGGCCAGTGACGGACTGCGAGGGCAGTAATCACCGTCGGGTACTGCCGCCGCTGACGTATATAGTTACGTTACTTTGATACAAATATGGGCACTTACTATACCGCTTTATTTCGTTATCATTCCCCGCGCGTATATGGGCATCATGGATGGGATGGGGACGCTTGGTCGTTCTCGTTTCAGAGATTTGGCACTTGGGATTTGTTTCTTGGTCTGCAGAGAATCTGGGGCTGACTTCGTCGCTCTAGTCTTCATCTCTATCACCCTGTCATCACCAGACGACCCTCCCGTTGGGGTTATCCTATTTCCTGTTGTCCGCTGGGCTCAGGGACCTTCTTACATTCCTCTCCAAGACGCCGATTGGAGGGATCTATACGATCTTGGAGAACACGACAACGAAGAGTTCTTCCATCACCAAGAGAATTGGACTCCAGAACTTCGATCTCTATTCGGTGATCCTCCCTATATCGAATTCCCCTCTCTTCATTACCAAACCGCCGACGTTATCGAGTATCTCCCCACCATGTCGGGAATCGAGAAACTCAACAACTCCATTCTGAGTGTCTTCGATGGCACCAATTGGAATACGTGGTCGGACAACTACATGAGCATCTGCATGCATCAGGGCACCTGGGGAGTGGTTAAACCCACTCATATTATGGTTAACGGCACATCTACCTCGAACCCTGGTTCTATGGAGCGTCCTGGAACGGCTGGTGACAGCCAGTATCAATGGGACGTTGCCAATGAAAAGGCACTGGGTCTTGCGCGGGTTTATATCACCCAGAATCTGCGCAAGGGAATCTTTATGGACGGTCAGCGGGAGCGCACTGCGCGCGAGGTTTTTGCGAAGATGGCGACGGATTATGGCCAGCCAAATGCCATCGATGCTTTCGTCGAGTACCGCCTCCTGAACACCACCACCTTTCACGGTGGTGATACCATTGAAAAACAAATCATGGAAATGGAGACTCGTCGTCGCCAGTGTTCAGAAGGAGGAATCGAGATCCCCGACTACCTCTTCGCTACTCTCATGCTCGCCGCCTTGCCCGCTTCCAGCAGAGGTTTCGTCACCTCTTACCTGGCCAATCGTCCTATCGCTTCCTTGAACCCGGTCGATGTCAAGAACAGCGTCATAGGGAATATCAAAATCGAGAACCTCGACACGACGTCGAACTCGAAGATTTCCACCGTTCCGTCCCTTGCCACCCGCTGCACTCATTGCAACAAGTCCGGTCATGTTGCGGCATCCTGCTACAAGAAGTATCCCAACCTCAAGCCGACTGGTCAATCTTCTGACAAAGGCAAGGGGAAGCAGGATGAGGGGAAGAAGAAAAAGAAGAAGGAAAAGAAGAGCGGTGATGGTACTAGCGCTGTAAAAGAAGTTGTAGCCGCTCCCGCGGTTGCAGCTGCCTCCAATGGAATGCACATTTCGTCCTATCTCATGAGTGACTCCCTCAAACACATCGATGATGGAATTTTTGTTGAAGAAATGGGAGACGACTCCAAAGTTCGTTTTCTATGGGACTCGGGTTGTACGCATCATATGACAAACACCCGATCCGATCTTCACAACATCAGACCTATCGACACCTATGTAATCGTTGGGTCGGGAGCTCGCTTCAAGAATGAAGCCGTTGGAGATATTGTGTTGCGGGGTCATACTAGTAGTGGCATGGACTACACCTTCACTCTGAAGGATGTCATCTACAATCCGCACATAAGAGGGCGTTACCTTTCTGGGTATGCGCTTGATCAGGCTGGTTACTACACCGTAGTTGGTGACAACAAGGCAATCCTAGTCACCAAGGATTGGCTCAACAAGGGAAAAGCGCATGGGGATGTCTTGATGACCTTTAAAGCAAGCAATCGCTGCTACTGGTACTACCCCGAGGAGCTCGTGGCACCGTCTGTGTCTGCATCTCACGAGTCTACCGCGCTCGCTTCCCTGGAAACTACCGATCGTGAATTGTGGCATAAGCGTTTTGGTCATGCGGCTCGGAGGACCCTTACTCACTTGCCGACACAAGTTGAAGGTGTTCCCCCCTTGCGACGCAATAAAGACCAGCGCGGCATGTGTGATGGATGTATGCTTGGAAAACAGCACAAGCATCCGTACCCTGCATCAGAGAAACGTGCTAGCAAACCCCTCGAGCTTATCCACACTGATTTGATGGGCCCCTGGCCTACTCAGTCGTTGGAAGGTTCACGCTACACAATTTCGTTCTACGACGATTTCTCGAGCTTCGGCATGATGGTGTTCATTAAATCAAAGGACCAAGCCTCTACCGCGATTAAAAACTTTGTTGCCCTTGTAGAGCGTCAGCTCGGCACAAAAATACTGGCCTTCCGGTCAGATCGTGGAGGTGAATATATGTCCGATGAACTCACAGCCTGGCTCAATGCACGTGGTATTATGCACCCTAAGTCCGCGCCACGCGAACCACAGCAAAATGGGAGGTCTGAACGTTGGAATCGCACAGCCTACGAGAAAGCGGAATGCATGCGCCTCGATGCCGGCCTATCCAAAGGCTTCTGGCAATGTGCTATGGATGCATCTGTCCACGTTCATAATAGACAACCTATGGCACGATTGGGATGGCGAACACCTGCGGAACTGTGGCTTGGAAAGAAGCCAGACGTCTCTTATTTCCGTGTGTTTGGATGCAAGGCGTCTCTCTATGTGGATGTTGAAAAACGCCCGAAAGGGTTGGAGCATGGACGCCCCGACCACATCTTCGTTGGATACGAACGAGAGACAAAAGCTTGGAAAGTGTGGGATCCGAATCAACGCAAGATACGAGTCTCTTCAAATGTTGAGTTCGATGAGCGAGTATTCCCTGCCAAGTCCAAGCTAGTCACCGGCAATGTGTCCTCTGGACCGGAGCCGTTCACACCATTCGAGGAAACCTTCCCTGACCTTATCAATAATCCTGCGCCTGCAACGCCTTATGCAAGCATACCACCTCCTGCTCTCCCACCGCCACCGGCACCCCTCGCGCAACAAGGTCCTGTCACGGGATCGCGAGAAGTACCCCTAATGCCTGGCCCGATAGACGATCGCCCGATTGCCCATCGCCGCCCTCGTCGGAATAAGCCCCGCATTATGCCAGATGGAACTACGTATCAGAGGCCTAGCAGCATTGAGTCCATGTTGTCAGCTGCCCAAGCTGAGCATGACTTGCCTCAAAACGTGCGGGATGTAGCAAAGAGCCCGGATGCACTCAAGTGGGAGCGCGCAATGCGCGAAGAACTGGACTCTCTCGAGGAAAACTGTACTTGGGATTTGACCAGCCTCCCACGCGGTCGAAAGACTGTCAAATGCAGATGGGTGTTTAGCAGGAAGCGTGACGGTCGTTTCAAAGCACGACTTGTTGCCAAGGGATTCACTCAGGTTCATGGGTTTGACTATGATGAGACCTTCTCGCCAGTATTGCGCTACGAATCTCTGCGCATACTTATGGCCCTGGCTGCTCTCGAAGATTGGGAGATTCATGCCATGGATGTCAAAACGGCATTCCTAAACGGGGATCTGGAGGAAGAAATCTATATGGAACTTCCGGAATTACCCAAAGGTTTCTCGTCATGGCCAAAAGAAAAGGTGGCACGCCTTCGTAAATCACTCTATGGGTTAAAACAGGCGTCTCGTCAGTGGAATATCAAAATCCACAATGCCCTCCTCGAACTTGGTTTTGCTCGGACATACTCCGACGCCGGTGTCTACACATATCGCCAACAAATGGGAGATACGGTCATCATCTTGGTGCTGTATGTTGACGATATGCTCATTATGGGCAACAATCTGCCGGAGATAGCGCGGATCAAATCATTGCTCGCGAACCGCTTCAAAATGACAGATCTTGGTCCTGCAAAGGATTTCCTTGGTCTGAACATAGTTCGTGATCGCAAAGCGCGTAAAATCTGGATCGATCAGGCTTCCTATATCGAAGGAGTTCTAGAACGATTCCGGATGTCTTCGTGTAAAGAAGCTCGTACTCCCCTGCCTTCCGGCATCGTGCTCGAGAAGCATGATGGAGAAGTTGATGAAGACCGTCGTACCCGATACCAGCAACTGATTGGCAGCCTTCTATACGCCATGCTTGGTACTCGCCCCGACATTGCCTATGCAGTCATCCGTCTATCAAAGTTCAACAGCAACCCGTCAGAACATCATTGGAACATGGCAAAATACATACTCCGGTACCTTCAGGGCACCAAAAACTACCAACTTTGCTATGATGGTTCCACTGGCGCAGGCCTTATCGGTTATTCCGATGCTGATTGGGCGGAGAACAAAGACGACAGGCATTCAACCACGGGATATTCCTTCTTCATCGCCGGTTGTGCAGTGACCTGGGTTTCTAGACGCCAACCCACGGTCGCTTTGTCCTCAACAGAGGCCGAATACATGGCTCTGAGCGATGCTACGCGCCAGATTGCCTGGATCCGCACTTTGTTGACTGAGCTCGGATATGACTTGCCATCCACGCCTCTTTGTGTTGATAACCAAGGCGCTATCTTTATGGCAGTAAATCCAGTTCATGATAGGAGGACGAAGCACATCGACATCCGCTATCACTTCGTACGAGAATCCGTCGAAGCTGGCAATGTCCAACTTTACCATGTGCCGACTGATGCGATGATCTCCGACACGCTCACAAAGTCTCTGGCATGGGTGAAGTTCCAACAACATCGGCTGTCTTTGGGTCTTCGTGATCCGACTGTTTAGTCGAGTGGGAGTGTTGAAGCTTGTTTGTATTAGCGACTATCACAGTATGTAGACATGACATCATAAGTAGTATTCTTAGATTACTTTGGCTCGCTCCACAATGACCTCATACCTGACCTCATTATTGCGTCATCCATTACTCATCTATGATATCATTACTCCACTATGACATCATGATATCTGCTCCAGACTGGTATATAAACCTAGTACTATACGCTCCATATCCTCAGCTCCTGTGTCTCTACACTCGCTGAGGTATGCATTCTCCCTTACGATCTAATGACCTTACTTATGACTTGTACCATAGACTCTGTCTTATAGGTACAGCTAATGATATAGCTCCTGTGTCTCTACACTCGCTGAGACTCTGTCTTATAGGTGATCGCTACTGGTCGTATCTCCACTGCGCGGTATTGTCTGCGACACAGATGCTGTCCGTGACAGACGCCAGCAAAGCCCAAGCGGACCTCCTCTCTGTGCGGAGCACTCTGATGCAGAACATGCCCCCCGAGATCGATACCGTCGACTTTGTCAAAATCTTCAATCTGACCAAGAGCGCGGGCAAGACCGGTGCCCCTGCGCATGGTGGCGGGGGCGGCGGTTCCAGCTCGAGCGCTGGGAGCGGATCCAGTGCGGGCAGCGATGCAGCAAGCAGCGGCGCCTCTTCCCTGACATTCTCATTCTCTTCCATCGCTTTCCTGTCGCTCGCTGTCCTTGCTTTGTGTTGATTGTATATCATGCATGTTTTCTTACTCGTAGAAGATTGAATTCAATCGATGCGTTTTCGTCGAGATGGAACCAACATTTTCTGGAAGAGTGACGCGAGCTGCATATCGCTGTCGTTCTCCCTCCGGTGACTGGCGAAAGATCCAGGTCGAATGTCCCCTGCCAAGGCATTGAGCCGCGCGACTATTGTCGACATCGATCCTCCCGTCCCCCTCAGCAAAAGGACGGCCTCTCGTAGACACGGAGATCCGCGGTCAATGTGCGACGTCAATGCTCACGTCAGTCAGCGCTTCTCCTCCTGGACGATGGACGCATGGATGTTCCCTGATGCACCTGTGCCACTCCGCCCTGGGCTGCAGCTGGACCAGCGGGAAGCTTGGCGCGGCAGAGTCCCGGACGTGTGTCGCGACTCCGGTTCTCATGTCCGGCAGGACGCATAATATGCACGAAACGCATGGGTTCATTCCAGCTGAAGGCAAAGCAGAACTGTAGCCAGATGAGGGGATCTGATATACACGAATTTGAAGATATGGTAGGCGACCACTCGGGACTACAGCGACGACAGTGACACAGCAGTCACCGTCTACCAGTGACAGTGGCAGTCGCGTGGCAGAACCCAGGGAGCGGAGGTAGCCAACGACACCCCAACAGCCGGAATGAGTTCACCGAGGGACGGTATGCTAGAGGATCTCGTAGAGAACCCCGGTGCGCATGGCAGAAACGGCCGACATGTTTGTATATGACGTGAAGCCGGGCCACCGTCACGGTGGCTCTCTCCCTCGTCAGCACACCCAGTCTTCGCTGGAGCACGCATAGTGCATACCTCCGCACGTCTACTTATGTACCACGCCATCCTCGCCGCCGGATCAGCGGATCACAGACAGCTCTACATACGTGAAAGCAGGAGCGGATTATCGTGCGTCTCGAAACGATCGCGGTTACATGTACGTGTCATGATCCCTGGCGACACGAAGATAATATCAGCTTCCCGTCAAGAGGTGCGGCGGGTCCCGGATCCGCATTTGCCACACGACATGGCGCGGCTATCGCGTGGAGTGGAGGAAGACATACATAACGTGGTTAAGTAGTGGCCATGCCACGCGTCTCCGGTTTGACTTCGGGGCCGCAGGAATGCCGACAAGGGCAACGACACGGGCCGCACGCCACAAATGGTCACGTGCATTTCATCTTGGAGGGTACGGGGAGAAACCTTCCTCTCAGGGAGAGCACTTTGACGGCAAATAGTTCAAGTTCGAACGAGATTGGAGCCCCCGATCGTCCTGGCAAGAATTTGTCTCTTCTGCTTGACGTAAAGCGCACTCCGCAATCATCCTTCCAATTCATAAAAGCAAGTAATATTCATTCTTCTACAGTACATCATTGTCAACGCGTTTATTTGAAACATAGAAAAATCGTCAGCGCGAAAGCCGGAAGGGGTCGTCAAACTAAGTAAACGGTATAGCGAGCCGAGGCGAGGCCCTGGAGTTAGTTACTGTATATCTCGGGGAAGACTCGAATCTGAGAAGCTGGAAGGCGGGAGCGAGCGAGCTTCATCCCGATATGTATACTGCGTCTGCATCACACAGACTCGTCGCGCTCAGCCGGGCGTTTTCCATCGGAACTGCGATAGCCACACCACACGTCAGCGCGTTTCGGTGAACAGCAGGACCGATACAGACATTTTATGGGCGATGCTGTCTTCCCCGTTGTACAAAAAAAGATCGTACACAGCGACCGCAAGCTGGGCCCCAATGATGGGGGCCAGGATCCCCGTCCAGATCCAGTACTGGTGGCGGAAGCTGAACACGGCCGAGGAGTATCCGACCGCAGCCGACAAGAGCCGGGGTCCAAAGTCCCTGCCAAAGGCGTTAGCCACAATCCCCATCCGAAGGGGGGGCACCCTGGGGCGCGGGCGTAATTACCGAGCGGGGTTCAGCGCGAAGCCGGTCTGCATTCCCAGGGACGAGCTGATGCCGAGCATGGTGATGAAGATCGCGATGGGGAACAGGGCCGGCGAGGGCGCGGAGCTCTTCTTGTCCAACAGCGCGACGATGACGAACACGAGCACGGCAGTCCCGAACAGCTCACAGAAGAACGCCGAGGGGTTCGAGAGGTAGTCAATCTGGGGCGGCAGGTCAGCGCGGCCAGCTTCGCAAAAGCTTGACACATAGAGCACTGACGGCGTAGGCGCCAAAAACGCCAGCAGTTTTGAGCGTTCGGACGCCGGTCCCACCTTCGTAGATGTCGATCGCGTGGAAGTAGTTGGCGTATACCAATGCGGCACCCACGAATCCACCGAGGGTTTGCGCAAGGATGTATCCCTGTCCATGCACGTCAGCTGAAGTAGCCCGTGGCGGCTCCAAACTCCAGGGAAGCTTACCGGAACTTTCCGCCACGGAAAGCCGCGCCAAGTCGCCATAGCTAGTGTTACCTGGAGCGAGGTTGAGCGTCTTTTTTGCATTAGAAGGGGAGAAGGCCTGACCGCAGGGTTGATGTGGCCAGACGAGATCCCGCTCGATATCCAGACACCCAAACAGAGCCCGACCTGTCGTCATCGTCATTGAGCAAAATTATTCATGCAGGCAATGATAAATGGCTTACGGCCCATCCGAAACTGACGGCGAGGTAGTCCTGTCGAAAAGTTAGTCACAGAGAAGGCCGGGACTGGGCGTCGTGCACTGACGCCTTTGGGGGTCGCGGAGACGCCCGGGGAGCTCGACAGGGTGACCTGGCAATTGACGCCAGCACCGAAGATGACTAGGAACGCGACACCGAGAAACTCGGCGAACGGCTCGCGCAGCGTCTCTCTAATAAAGGGCGGCGCGCATCAGCGGACATCGACGAAGAGGGAAAAGAAGGAGCTGCGCACCGGATGCGCGAGACACTCGACGTGGGCGAGCGGGGACCGCGTGCGTTCCCAGAGGAGAGGGGGCTGTTCAGTTGCGAGGTCGACTTGTGGGACGCGCCGTCGTTAGACATGTCTGAGATGGATGAATGGATGGTATTGGTGAAGAAAAAAAAGGCAGGACTCGGAGCCCTTTATACGAGGGTACCCGCATCCGGATTGGATCTGGTCATTACGGGAAGCAGGAGACTTGAATTGGCAAGGGCCTGACGCGTTCCTTGGGCTGACGTCGCTGGCAGAAGGCCTGCACGTGCCGGGAACAGAAGTTGCAGAACGCGCAGATTCGGAACGCTCCTTCGATAGGCTTGAATGCGAGCCTTCGTGAGTGCACTAAGGCCGCGGTATCTGAGCGCTCCGGTCGACACCTTCATTGCAGTCATCTGGAACTGCGACCCCAGCAGAACCGTGTCCCACTTCGATCAAGATCGTCGGCCGGGTGGTCGTGTCACAGGACCCGGGACCGGACCCTGATTGGTCAACGCAGGAACGGAGAAGAGCTGCAGCTGGCTCGATCGGAATGCACTGGCGGACGGCCCAACTTGATCAAAGACGCAAGACTGAGACGCCGGTAAATGCTCGATGTCAAATGCACAGTGCAAAATGATGACATCAGAGAAAGCACACTAAAAAGCTGTCAACTGAGGGTGGCGATGGCACCCTCTGCGACAGGTTCGGGAACCGGCCCTCTTGCAGAGCTGTGACTGCATGCGCAAACAGCGAGCATCATCGGAGCTCACGACTACAGCGTCCTCGACACAGGCTTTACAGTTTCGAGGTCCAGGCCTCGGGGCATTATGCACAGAGCAGTCGCCGCCCCCAGTCCAGTCCACGCCGACGTCATCCACCTTTTCATCTTCGAGGCTCCATTGGCGCGGGAGGGACCACTCACCCACCCACCTGGCACAGACCGAATCCAGCCGCTGTGGATACGAACCCCAGAGCATGCCGCGGAGGGCAACTGCATTGACAGTCTCCGCTTGCCAAGGCGGAGAGCCCAAGGGTGGGTGGATACGAGAAATGACGAGATGGCCAACGGGAACGCCCGGGGTCGCAACGCAGCTCTATTTGGCGGGTGACTGAAAGCAGCAACGAAGCGGCGAGCTCTCCGCGTAGAAAGTCAGTACCGCAATCGGTTGACGGAACGAGAGGGTGTAAAAGAGCAGCTTGAGAGACACACGCTCCGCGCACGTAGGCTCTCCGCCACGTCCGTGCAGCCGGCAATGAACAAATCTCCGCGCGACGAATCGGATGCGAGGAGATTGTCCGGGTGAGAGGTCGCGGTAGGTTCACTACCAGATGAGGACCGGCGCGGAGTCGCGCTGATGCCACAGTACCGTCGTTTGGCGGTTAAGAGTCATTCGGGCGGAGACAATGCACGGTCTTGGTCCGTCGCGGGCTCCAGACTGCGGAGGCATAGCGTCAGCCAAGAAGTTGCTTGATCCTAATCACAAAGACTTGAAATCGGTGTCGCGAATTGAACGGTAGCTGTCGTGTGGGAAGTGAAAAACAGAAGGCCAGGGATACCGTAACGCGACATGAGATCAATGGAACGACTGATCCATGATGACACCGATAAGATAAGCACCAGGGGGATCATGTTCATGAACGGCGAAGCACCACCTGGAAGTTGGTACGGAGACATTCACTGTCCTCCTCAATCCAGTCTTAGTGAGATCTTGAAATAGATCTTTTCATTCAGATCTGGCCCTACTTTGCTCGACGATGAGTAAATTACACGTATAGTCGATTACATTTGTCCAACATGAAGAAGGAACGTCCCGCGCGAAGCCAGCACAAGAAGCGCAATACATCAAACCTCTGACCGAGCAGCAGTGGGACCCTTTCCCCGAATCCGTTCTAGACGGGGCGCCTCGATGTGCACTTGCTCGTACGCGGGTGGCTGACTCCCTGTATTCAATCCCGATGTTGGCGATGGAGAAAACACCGCAGAAGCCATGGCGTTGGGTCTGGGTCCCAGAGACAAAGGCTCATCACAGCGCGTATCAAAGGGCAAAAGTACGCTGTATCGTGTCTGGGATCCCGCAGACAGCAGTTGAATCCTGCGGCGCAGTACGATCCCATAGCCCAGGGAGACCAGTAGCAGCAAAGACACCATCCCAGTCGTGGCGAAGATTCCCGCTGCGTGACTGCGGGAGAGACTGCCGGATGTTAGCTCGATGGGCTTTACCACACAAAGCTACTCACACAACTGTATCGTTGTTCTGGGGCACCCTTCAAGGAATAAGCTCGCAGACGGACTCCGTCCGCACAGTCACTCACGGAGAAGGGGCCGCCCGAGATGCGTTGTTGGCGGTGCCGTCAACGATAGCGTAATCGATCGCGAGTCCCTGCGTAGTCGCACTGGGCTGCAAAGTCAGAACAAGGGTGTGCGCGCTATCCGAAAGCCCGTCCACATAATAGATCATTTGATCGTCACGTAGGTCGCGCCGGAGACGCCCGGAGATACATCGCGCAAGGCCGTGAAGCTCTGCACAGTCGCGCCATCCAACTGCGCTGTGAAGGGGCCACCACCCGACCCGATCGAGCCATATACGGCGACCCGATCGCCCTTGGAAGAAGTCAGGTCGTCGTCCGAACGAAACAAATAAAACTGCGGTGCCTTGAAAGTGAGAGTCGCAGAGGCTCCCGGAGTGTTCGAAGTGGAACTGATTGAGGAGGACATGTCAATGAAAGAGATAACGACCGGATTGGTTGCGACATAACGCACTGTCCAGTCCCACCATCGAATCCGGCCAGTCCAACAAAGCTCGTGGTCCAGCCCGCCGGGGGATCATACACGAACGCAGGATGGTCGTCTTGAAAGCGCACATCGACCAGAGAGTTGACCGTCGACGTCCAATTGTACTGCACCAACAGAGCCATCAGACCATCATCATCTGGAGATGAGGCGAGGCGGCGTGCCTTCCCGCACACGTACATAGTCGAAGTCAACAGTCTTGTTCACTGCCGCCGAGGAACTCGGCAGAGACAGCGTCAGTGTGTGAGCCGTATCCGCGAGATCCGCACGACTGAACAGACTCTGCTGGAACACCAACTGGTTCGGATCGTCCGGGGGCGGGGGTGGATCAACGCTCTGATCATCGAGCTGGGCCCTGCACGCTTCAGTCCGCTAATATTCGCTAATTGAAAAAAAAAAAAACTGTGCTCACTGGATCGCGCCCGAGTCGCCCCGGAACGCGCCGATAGCATGGAACTCCGTGCCTCTGAAGGTGAGCGATATGCTGCACGTGTCGCCAATGGAGCAGTAGACAAAAGTAAACTGGTCGTATCTGTCCGCTCCGGTTTCAGCCTGCGAGAACCAAAGACACGCAGTGACTCGGCCTCACCTGATCTGCTCCAGGTCCCCATCGGTGCCACCGCGGAGCCAATTGCCGTTGTACTGGAGCAGCGGACTTGTGACATCAATTTTGTGAGTGACGGAGTTGGCCATTCAGGTCGTCGAAGTGGTGATTGCAGCCAGACCAAGAATGCTGACAAAGGGGGTTGTAAAGGGAATAGAGAGACGATAACCGCGCATATGGGGCTATACGCCCCACGACATATTTGTTGGACTCTCGACCGTCAAACCAGGGGGCTGATCAGGGCTCGGCTCAACACACCGACTTTGAGCGAGAGTCTCAACAGGCCCAATGTCGATTAGATCAAAAGTAGATACTCGGTGCGTGCTGCCCCATACGCGCAGATCCGTGCAGAGTGCGGGAAAGGACTTGGACTGGTAAACGCCCACCCTGACAGGTCAGCAACGTTTCAACTGGAACAGCCAGGTCGTTCCGCAGATCAGCGAATCTTCTTCTCGATGATAGGGCCGTAGCGCGGAGCAGCGCTCGTTGCTTCCCTCTCTGTCGAGTCACGGGGTATCCTTCCATCCCGAAACAGGAGCGGGGGTTCTCAGGTGCTTATTCAAGGACTGATGGATGGCGAGAGTGTCGGGATGATTCTTGAATCTTGGATTGAGGGGAGAGAGTTGCGACTAGAAGATACGGCGAAACTAGAGGGAAGAAAATCAGCGTTGTGAAAGTCAGACCGCTAGAGGTAGGTACTTTCTGAGCGACAACATGAGAGGAGTGACGTTACCACAGCCACCATCACCATGGCTTGATGAGCAGTGCCCACCCGGGACTGCAGCCCCCCGGAATATGTAAGCCTCAGTCCTTCTCGTGGGTCTGAATCTCCTTATCCATCGCCCCATATGCACTGATCACCCCTCAGGGAGGACACACAAGTGCGCCAGCGACGCATCTGAATCTGAGCTTGACGTTGCCCGCACTTGGTATGATAGTCAAGCCAGTATCGCCACGGCGACTCAACCTCAAGGCTTGGCTGTAAACAGTAATATCCGACAAGCCCTACCCGGCCGCCCACACCAGCCAACTTCAAAGTAGCACCACGGCGCTCAACGTCCAATATTGAATACATGATGTATGCAGGTGTGCACCGCGAAGAGCAGGGGCTGTTGCGCAAGATCGCCTGGAAGCACATACAGCGAGCCACAATCAGCGCCTTCTCTGCATTCATCCCTGGGCGGAAGGACAACCCTGACTCGCGGAAGGCCCAACACCAGCCAAGGACGATCACCCGGGCGCATCCTACTCTGAAGACGAACGCCCGTGGCTTGCATGGAAGACAAGCCAGCTCACGCAGTAGGCCTTGTCCCGGCGGTCAAACCACCCCCCCCCCCCCCCCCCCCCCCCCCCCCCCCCCCCCACACACACACACACGCGCCGCGTTGAAAGCGCGGATCGCAGTCTGTGCTAGGAACATGAGAGGGTCTGGACGTGCACCCAGCTTGGCTCGCGAGTCGCGAGTCGCCGCACCGATCCGGATTTCGCCCACACAGGCCCCATCGAAACTGTCTCCGTACTGCTGGCAATGGATCGGATGACAGGAGATTGCCCGGGCGAGAGGGTCGCGGCGGATTCGATACACTGGTCGTGTAAACTAAAACATGCTGGAGATCTGATGCGGATCGATGCGATGCTAATGGAAGAGGTACATGGTTACCTCACGGCGAGCCCTGAAACGAGAACCAGTAGCAACCACCGACTCATGCTGCACATTCCAGTCTTCTATTAAATCAGACTTCCCAATAGAATCCGTGCTGGATTCGAAGCCTATGTGTAGGTAAGATGTACATAAGAAATATGTTATCCTCGCTTACTTACTGACAAAGAACGCCCACCCCATTCGGAAGCTAATTACATTAAACAGGACAAAAATGGGGGACACCGGACTGGCCTCGTGTAGAAATACAAGCTCGCTCATGCGCCGGCAGATGCCCTCAACGATAACATGATCCTGCGTCCTCGCACCCGTTTATGAAGCAGATGATAATGCTCGCGGCAAGGTCATTCGCGTAGTAGATTGATCATGCGACTGGGGCATGGTCGAGAGTCGTGGTGACTGAATCGGCGCGGAGAGCCTGGGGAGGGTAAACTCGACATGATTCAAATCCACAGTCAGGCGTTGCGCTACAGGTCAGCACAAGAGACAACCTCAATGAACGTGCTGGCCCCGTCTGCCTGAAGAGAATATAAGCGAGCTGCTCACGATTAATGGGCGGCGCTAGAGGACTGATCGCCACATCGTCCAGTTGACTCTGCGATTGAGATCTAGAGCCCCGATCCCACATGAGATAAATGTAACAAACACTATGCACTTGACCGGATTGAAATTCCCTCGAAAGCCGCTGTTGGCTTGAGCCACTGTCTCTTTGAAGTTCAGTTCGACATCGTATGTGCCGATGGGCCCCGAGACGGTGCACCGATCGTATCTGGAAATCAGAGGATGCTCACTTGGATTTGTTCTGCACCGTTGAATGTGCCTTGAGATAAGTGACCGAGAGGGTTTGTCGTATCAATTTCGATTTTGCGTGAAATAATATGGGACATCTGAGATTCACTGAGAATCCTTGCAATCAATCCTATCGGATCTGTCTTGAGACAATTGTCCGAGAGGGCTTGTTATATCGATTCCGATTTTGCTTGAAATAATGTTGGACTTCCGAGAACCGTTAAGCCATCCACTGAGCTGTTTCTAAACTTGCCATAAATCCAAGTCAAGCACAGTGATCTCCAGCAGATTGAGACATCTGGGTTCCTCGGGGTTCATGAAACTGAGCCCGAGACACCTGGATGAGAGCTAGTTGCCGAGTGGCAACGGACCGCCAGCACCGGGGCCTGGCATCGCCTACGAGTATAGCGAAATCTGACCCAAGTACCGAATCAAGATTGAGAATGTGCTCCAGGCTCATTGTGCGCGGTGTGTAAGGACAAGCACAGAGTCTCGTATCCAGCAGCGATAGACAAACCCCTTCCAGACGGGTCGACTGGCGAGTCGTACTCCGGGGAGACTCACATTTAATTGCTTTCTTGACCTTTCACTGGTATGTATGTAGTTGATCCAGAGATGGCCAGATTGTGGCGCAAGCATAACCGCTCACATGACTCGATGTATGTATATCATGTCATCACGTGCTTTACGGCACTGAGAACTCCGTACCAGCTGTCCACATTCCACAACCTGGAATACCGTGGAAAGCAGCGTGTTTAATTAACGATTTCCAGCTCGCATATTCAACTTGAACACAGTGCTTGCCTTGAGTCTGGCCTCGTGAGGGTCTTCACCCATTTGCAGGCCTCATGTGCACCCCCTCGTCTAATCTACGCGTGGGGCTTCGACAGAGAATCACACCGCCAATGTCTGTTGATCGAAATGCCGGAGATATTCTCGACGAAGACGACATATGTGGTGAATGAACACGCCACTGCAGGCCGTTCTGAGCCAATGTGCCTCTGATCTTGCGCCATTTTGTCCGAAAAGCGCACCATCCGCGTCGCTTCGCATGACACTTTTCGTCCACGCCTCAGATGGCGTTATTGGCTGAGGGGCCGGGTATAAGTACGCCGCTGCGTATCTCATGTACGGCACCACCACACGCAGACCATCCCGACCATGGCTGTCCCCCGCGCATCGGCCGACTCCGCTGCGCCCTCGTCCCCGTCCTCCATCGCCAAAGTCTCATTCGAAGACCTGCCCAAACGGCCAGCCGACGCCTCCAATCTCGTCGACGGCGCGCCCCCGGAGCTGCGGTGGACCAGCTGGCTGCTGCGCCTCGCGCGGGGCAAGCAATCCGTGCCGGATCCCGACGCGACGGCCACGCGACGGTCGGTGTTCGACGACCCGGAGCTGGCGGCGCACTACCAGCCGACGGCAGGGTACGAGAACCGGCACCGCTTCGATCCGGCGGCGCGGTGGACGTACCGCGAGGAGCGCGCTCTCGTGCGGAAAATCGACTGGAAGGTCATGCTGTGGGCCGCGATCAGCTTCTCTGCGCTCAACCTCGACCGGAGCAATATCAGCCAGGCGAACACGGACAATCTCTTGGGCGATCTGAAGCTCACCACGAACGATTTCAATTGGGGTAACAGGTATATTTGGGCTTCGTTTGCGCCATGGCAGGCTGTTCTGAAACCCTGCCGCGCAGTATCTTCCGATTTGCGTTCCTTCTTGCGGAGCTTCCTTCGCAGCTGGTGTCTAAGCGTGTTGGGCCTGACCGATGGATCCCCACTCAGATGGTTCTGTGGTCGATCGTGACCGCGTCTCAATTCTGGCTGAACAACCGCACATCCTTCTTTGTCACGCGTGCTCTGCTTGGGTCAGTCTTGGCTTGTATACTGTGCACCATAACTGAAACTGAGCGAAAACACAGCTTCATCCAGGGAGGATTCATCCCGGATCTGATTCTGTACCTCTCTTGTCAGCTGCCCCCGTTCGTCGATGAGCGTTTTTTGCTGATTCTCAAGCAGACTTTTATACGAAACACGAGTTGCCGCTGCGACTGGCGCTGTTCTGGATGTCGTCCAATCTGTGCAACATCGTCGCCAGCTTCCTTGCGTTCGGCATCCTCCGCATGCGAGGCATCTTAGGACGCGCAGGGTGGCAGTGGCTCTTCCTTATCGAGTGCGTGATCCTTCTCCTCCATGCAATCGACACTCACTCTCGGATTTCCACAGAGGCTTGCTGACGCTCGTCGTGGGCATCGCCACATTCTTCAGAATGCCGCCGTCCCCAACACAAACGAAAGCCTGGTTCCGGCCCAAGGGGTGGTTCACGGAGAGAGAGGAGGTGATCGCCGTGACCCGCGTGCTGCGGGACGACCCGACCAAAGGCGACATGCACAACCGCGAGGGTCTGACTCTGAAGCGCCTCTGGACGGCCGTGTGCGACTACGATCTGTGGCCGCTGTACATCATCGGACTGATGTTCGGCATCCCGACCACGCCGCCCGCCACGTATCTCACGCTCAGCTTGCGCAAGCTCGGGTGCGTGCTGTGCAGCTCGGTTTGAGCTTATCCTTACTGTATCTGCCTCCTAGTTTCTCAACGTTCCAGACGAACCTGTTGACCATCCCGAGTACCGTCGTGGGCATGTTCACGATGTTCGGGATCACGATGATCTCCGAGGTGAGGGACGACCGGTCGCTGGTCTCGATGGCGCAGGACCTCTGGACCCTCCCGTTCCTGGTGGCCATCTATGCTCTGCCAGCCAAACCCAACCAATGGGTCTATTTCGTACGTTTTCTGACCGGTGGCACGGAGACTTGCATGCGACTGACAGTCCGCAGGGTCTCGCCACGGGCTTGCTGTCCTACCCGTACACGCATCCCATCCAGGTCGGCTGGGCGTCGCGTAACTCGGGGGCGGTCGCCAGCCGGACGGTCAATGCGTCCATCTACAACATGTCCGTGTTTCTCTCCTGCTCCTCCCATCACGCGAGCGAGCGACTGACGCCGTTTCCAGGTTCGTCCAGGCATCCGCCGTCATCGGGTCGCAGATTTACAGGGCCGACGACGCACCCCGTTGTAAGTCCCACGGCTGCCCCGCGTGGGTGCGTGCTGAGTGCTCGTCGCGCGCGCAGATCTTCGCGGGAACCGCAATCTCGTGATCATCAACTGTGTGAACGTGTTCGTGATGTACCCCGCTACCAAGGCGTATTACATCTGGCGCAACCGCCAGCGCTCTAGAATCTGGGATGCTATGACTGTGCAGGTGTGTCTTGTCTTTGGGCTTTGGCTGTGGACCCTGAGGCTGAACGACGGCTCCAGGAGCAACAACACTACCTCAGCACGACGAAAGACGTCGGGAACAGGAGACTCGACTTCCGGTTCGCACATTAGGTGCTCGCATCCAAGGGTGTATTGAGGGTATGCACTTGCCATTGATTGTCCGCATTACGAAATATGTAGATACTGTATGTATAATAACCAACCACATTATAGCGCTGTTCCGGTGGTAGATGCAGGGTCCGCTCGACTCCCTTGCTATGGCATGGCTATAAAGTCCAACTGCGGTAAACACGGGCCGCGCGCGGCAAGTCGAAGTGGTTGACAACGAAGCGCCCCGACGAAAGTCCGCAACGCGAGGCTACGGAAGGAGAGGGAGAGGGAGAGAGAGAGGCCACCGCCCGGGACCGCCTGCTGCTGCGTACATACATACATATAGGTATGCAGTGTCTGTTTTAGATAAAGCTGTGTTCGTTCAGTCGTTATTCGTCCTGCGGGTGCGCGGCGGTCAGTGGTCGAGCACACACAGCGGCCGCAGAGGGCTACGCACATGGTGAGCACTGAGCACGACACCGGCAGCTCCTATCGGCGCGCAACAAAGTCCTGCGCCGAGGCAAATATGGGGTCCTCAAGTGCCCTCGCAAGGAATATGTCGTCCCTACGAAGAAGAAGGGGGGTCAATATGCGTATCCGTTCACGAAACACCGGCGCAACGCACTTTTCTTCCCGCCTGACCGCCGCGACACCGGGTATCCTTGAAACGAGCCCTGCAGCACTCCTGCGCAGCCGGTTGAGGCCCTTGGGCGTGCGTTCGATGAAGCGCGTCTCGTACGGCGAGACGGCGCGGACTTCCGGGATCGGGACCGCGGCGCACGATGCGGCCACGGCGAGGAGCGTCAAGACGAGGCGGAATTGCATGGCCGGAAACGAAGGTGGAGGGGAGAGGAGGGGGGAGAACGAAAAGAAAAGGGAGAGGGAGGGAAGAGGCGGTGGTGGGTGGAGAAAGGCTGTAGCTAAGAAGTAAGTAGTAAAAACACGAGACTGCAGCTGTCATCATAAATCCGCGGGTGACGTCAAAACGGGCCATACTCACCGTCTGCGGCTAGCGCGAGAACGAAAGCGAGAAAACGAAAAAGTGGCCGGTGGAGGTGAAAGAAGACACGAAGAGGGAAACGTCGCGGGCCATATCTATTTGAGATGCAGGGTGGGGCCGTGCGTGCAGATCCGGAGGCAGATCATCTCGCGCGTTGTTATGTTGGCGGCAGCCCATCTTGATTGGGCCCTTACACTCATTGAACTTGACTGCCAAGAACCGCGCTAGGGCTATGGATACTCAAGCAGCTGTGAGGAAGACACTACGATTCCCGAGAGTAACGGTATTTGCTCGAGACAGTCTGAGACTGCATCACAATAATGCAATCAATTGAGATATTTTCTGGACATCGTGCAGAAGTACCGGGCACGATCGGCCGACTTGGACGTACGTAACGCATCGATGAAGAGCTCGAGCAGTCTGTCAGACCTCACTCGAAACCTGCATCAACCAAATTCTGAGGAGCATCCAAAGCTGTGTCGCCGGTAAGCTACGAAATTACCGTATTGAAGTCACAAATGCGGGAGCTCGTATGGAGATGAGACCAAGTGCTGGAGAGAAACGCGAACGACTGGATGGATGGATGGATTTACCGCATAGGTCGCTGTGCGGAAGGGCGGCGCTCTGTACCTACACACACTGGCCTACGGTGTATGCTACAGACAATCAGCGAACACCTGCAGTGCAATTGAAATACACTAGGGTAATCGTCTCATGCAGACTGTCTTTCGACAAATCATCTGAAAGTTGAAACGCGAAGGGAAAACCATCAAATCTGTGGCTAAGGCGATCCGATTTCTAAAATTGGGGGCGCTGGGGCGCTGGAGCTAATATGTTCAAATGATCCGGGTCCAATACTCAGTAGGGAAGAATGGATTACAGAGCCTTTCTGTGACCCATGTCCCCAGTGGCATTGCTCGTCAGAAGGAAGGCCGATAACAACCACGTGATATAGAATCACCGACACTCGTGCAAGACTTCTCCCCGTCTGCATCCCATGTCTGTCACCATGGCCGCGCATCACAGATTGAACTTCGATATTCACACTAGGGAAGATACGGTAAAACAGGCATGGAAGGCCTCCAATTCAACGTAAAGAACTTCCACGCCTTAGGGTTCGAAACGGAAATATCCCACGCCTGAGGATGCGCACCCGCAGACGCCTACTCTTCATGATCTTCAAGTATGCTCATCCACAGGGCAAAACAGGGGCATATCGTGCGAAAACCGAGTCTTCATCTGAACCCGTGGACCTTTGTCGACACCACTGCTGAGGTTATCCAGGGACTTGATCTGTCTAATCTGCAATATCTTTCCCATCAGTCCAAGTAGGGCTTACCCGCCAAACTGGGAGTCTCTGAGCGAGCACACCGGCAGCGCCTCATCCCTCTTTCGCAGATCTACCCGCCGATCATGTTTCATGCGACAGTCCCTCTGCGATTCATGTCCTGTGCAAACCCTGCTGCTGTTCTGGACGCTCTGTCCCGTATTCTCACCTTGCAAATTCTGGAGCTGGTCCAAGTGCGATTCGACCATGTCAATCTGGCTCGCAGCCCATCGTGCAATTCCGTTTCAATCTCCAGAAGTGCTCTGCAAAATGCCATCAGGCTGCAATGGCGACCGAGCACAAGAAAATGACTAATCAGGCGAAACAATTTGCTGAGAAGAAAAGGATGTGCGGCTAGTGTCGTGATAGAAAATCTAGCGCACAGAACTGATTATCTGCAAGTGGAGGGATTCGCCAACCAGACTTTGAATGATTCCAGATACCCGAAAATGGTATCCCGCAATTGAATGCTTTATTCCATTACATGAACTGCAATTCTGGGCTGCGGAGCGATAATAAGCAGCGTACTGCAGTATGTATAGATGTTATAGTGAGTGAGTAATTTACATATCCAAGACGTATATCGCAGCTATACATCTACAGCGTCTAAAACCTCGGCCCAAGTAGCATGCACGGGCGCACTCTACGTCCTTGCCGGGGCTTCAGGCAAATGTCCAGCAACGGGCGCCACGAGTCCCGGTGTCGCGGGCTGCGACACGGCGGGTGTCGGTGGCTGGGATCGGTTGTGCACCATGTGCGCACGGATCAGGTGTCCAGCGGCCAGCGCACTCATCAGCGACAGCTCGCCGGCCATGACGGCCGCGGCGATGACGCGCGCGAGCCCTTGGGCGTTTTGTCCGGGTCGTGTCGGGTGGGCTCCGCGGAGACCCAGCATCTCCAGCACGTGGCCTTGCGGTGTCAACACGGTGCCGCCGCCGACAGTGCCCACTTCGATCGAGGGCATCGAGACGGTCATCAATAGATCCTGCCCATCGTTCGTACTGCGAGGAAGGTTAGCGTCGGAAACGGACACGAAGACGCAATCAGATACTCACGGTTCCATAAGCGTGATACAATTCGAACTCTCCACATTCTGAGCCGGGTCTTGTCCAGTCGCGAGGAACATCGCAGTCAAAATGTTCGCAGCATGGGCGTTGAAGCCTCCGATCGACCCCGCCATCGCACTGCCGACCAGATTCTTCTTCGTGTTCAGGTTGCACAGAGCCTCCACAGTGGTCTTGAGCACACTCTTGACGACTTTGCCGGGAATGACGGCCTCCGCGACGACGCTCTTCCCTCGCCCCTCGATCCAGTTCATCGCAGCCGGTTTCTTGTCGGTGCAGTAGTTCCCGCTCAGCGCGAGGACGACCATCTCGGGAAATTCCGCCTGCATGACCTCGAGCGCCTTCTCAGTACCTTTGGAAATCATGTTCATCCCCATGGCATCGCCCGTTGCCGTCGCGAACCGGATGAACAGCGTGCGTCCAGCCATCGCAGTCTTCATGCTCGTCAGCCGGGCGAATCGCGAAGTGCTTTCGAACGCGGTCTTGAGCGCAGCGGAACCGTCCGGGCTGGCAGCCCATGCCTTCGCACGAGCGGCCTCGACGATCGACGGGAAATCAATGGCCGGTCCACGAGTCATCGCATCTTGCGTCAGAACAGTCGTGACTCCGCCTCCGGCATTCAGGGCCTTGCAGCCTCGAGATGTGGACGCGACGAGAGTTCCCTCGGCGGTGGCCATCGGAATATGGAACGAAACACCGTCGATGGTGAGGGGACCGGCGATTCCCAGCGGTATCGGAATATAGCCCACGACGTTCTCGCAGCAGGCGCCCATCACCTTGTCGTAGTCGTAGGTCTCGAAAGGCACGCTAGATGATTCGAGCGTTTGCGTCATCGACGCACGCGAAATCAGCGCACGTCGGACTCGGACAGCGCGTTCGAGGCCGGCAGGTTCCCGAGCGGGTGCAAGGACCTTCTCGAGAGCGTATGCGGCGATCTTGCCCGCCTTGGCCAGGACCAGAACTTCCTCGTCGGACATGTCCTGCAGACCGTCTGACTTGGGCGTGCTCTCCATCAGAGCGATCAGCTCCTCCAATGGACGGGGCTCCTTCTCTTCACCCTCATCCTCGTCGTCCGATATCGGGGCCTGCGGGATGGTCAATTGATATGATAAAAAGGGATCGAACGAGACAGCTCACCCGCCGCGCTGGTGTCTGACTACGCAATCCCCGTCCTCTGGCGCGCAACCTCCGATCCACATCCTCGAGCGAAAACGTTGGCACCGCGCCGGCACCGGGATGCGGCGTCTGTGCATGGACCGCAGCGAGATTCTCCACCGAGGTGGACTTGGCGACCTCCCTCGCCCAGCCGTCCTGCTCCGCCTCCTTTTTCTCTTTAGCCTGTTCCTCCTTCTTCTCCTTGACTTGCTCCTCCTCCTTCTCGTCGAAACGCACACCGCCGCCGCGGGCATGCGCGACGCCGCGGATCAAGAACGCATTCAGCAGGACACTGATCACGAGCACCACTACAATGCCCTTGGACAGCACCGGGTCGCCCACCAGCCGCGTCCACGTGCTCAACGCCTTGTCAATCGACGAGCTCAAGCCCAGTCGTCGCGGACGGAGCACAACAGGGGGCCGCAGGCGCACCAGCAGGCGCGACACCGTCGTCGACTCCTCGGGCGCCACCAGCATCGAAAGCAGGTCCCAGTCGAGAGGCGTTGTGGGCGCGGGAAGGGCGGGCCGGGATGCCGGGGGCGGGAACAGCGGTGCCGACAGATTGAGCACCTGCAGTCCGAGGAAGGCGACCAACAGCAGCAGCTTCAGCCGCGCGACAGGACTCTCTTGCGTCTTAGCGCCAGTCTTCTCCGGGTTAGACAGATTGGGGCTGGTGAGCGAACCACGCGGAGGGAGCAGATTGCCCTTCGGCCCGATGAAGCGCGACCAGAATGACGGTTTCGGAGCATTCTGCGAGGGGATCCGACGCACTTCGATCATAACGCACAGGATAGCAGCGAGGAACGTGCACATCATCAAGCAGTCGAGCGCGAGCAGGATGGCCGCCAACGCGCAGACCTCCGCCAGGCCGGCGATGCGCGACCCGGCGCCGAGGACCAACACCGCGATTTCGAGAATATAGTCGCGCAGGATCGGGTAGTACGTCGCGCTCAGCGCGTCGAGAACAACCTCCCCCGCGGGTGTCGCCGCCGGCCTGAACGCACGCGGGTGGGTGAACACCGCGCGCGCAAGCCGGAGAGGTTTGTCGAAGCCGACGGTGCAGACGAGGAACGGCAGGGCCTCGGTCAGCGCGACCGGATGCATCGGAATGCGCAGCATCATGCTCACGGGGAGCGCCAGGAGCAGCGCGAGCACGGACGAGGACACGATCGCAAGCGGGAGCGTAAACGATGAGCCGAGGGCCCGTGAGCGTGAGATGAGCAGGAAAAATGTGACGTGCATCAGCGTGTAGCCTGTCAGGATGAGCAGGATGTCCGGCGTGGGTGTTTTCTGGCAAATTAGTGAGCCCTGGTAACTACGTTCAGGGAGGAGAAGCAGGGACACACCTTGGCCAGCTCGTAGAACCTGGTAATCAAAACTTTCAGTGCATAGGCGACCCATCTGCCCGACTGCATCTGAGATATAGGCTCACTGGGCGCATCCGCTTCATACGCAATACCCCAGCTATCCTGAGGTAGCGACCGAAGCGGAGAGAAGTTGGCATCTTCTTTGACCTCGACCGTCTGCGTCCACGCATCAGGCGCCTTGCTCAGGTGCACAAAGCCAGCGGACTTGGTCGCAATATGTGCCGTGAGGTTGTCCAGGGACGAAGTCTCCTCGGGCCGCGGTCCGTTGAAGACAATTTGCTGCAAATCGAGTTTCGCCCCTTCCTCCCGGAACCAGGCCGATTCGCGCACCGCGACCCAGCTGTTGTCTGTATACAGTGCATAGGCGGGTCGGGCTGGGGCTGTCGGTGCGAAGAATGCGGAGTGTTTGACCGCAGTGAGGACGCGCAGGTACGCTAGGGTGCCGACGACGCTGAGGAAAACGATCGTTTCAATGGGTGAGTAGGCGGCATGAATGGCGAGCGGCTTGAGGATTGTGCGCATGGCCGTGGAGGGGGGTCCGTTGAGGGACCGAGGGAGAGTGGGGGTGTGCGGGGAAGGAGTAGAGTGACGGGTGGTAGTACCCCAAGCTGTTGCGCAACAAAACAGATTCTCTTCATCGTACCACAAAATCAAATATCTTTTGATGGGCCGGGACCCCGATCACCCTGGTCTGACCTTTACCCCATCATTCTAGCGGACCATACGAATGACCGACCCTCTTGTGTCTCTAGAATGTCTTACTTGGTGGAAGCATTCATTTTTCTAGCACGCGACGAGATCGACCTCTTCCCACCTCTAGTCACATGAATCGAACAATAAACCTCAAATATTGTTACAACTGTCGGTGTGAATCTGGAGTCCCCATGCCCCGAAGGCTATGTGATACCACTCGTCAGATGAGCTGAGAGACCTCGATCCGATTGGATGGGCTGCTACACTACCAAGAGACTGCCCGTACTCGGCTTAAGTGATCGGGTCTCCGTCAGCGGGAGCATAACACGAACCACTCGCCATCTACTAATCGTTCGATTGAGGCTTAGCAGATCCTTACCACCTGCGACCCGATATCCCCGTCCCCCGTTGGAGTCCATGCACCATGAATCGTATTCTCCAAAATGCCGATCTTTCTCGTACGACCTGCGACGAAACACCAGTCTATCCATCACACAAGACCCACTTTACCTCAAACATCCATCGCACATCGCACTTCGGCAGTACCGGGGCCTGCACATTGAGTGCGCCCATCCCAGAGACATTGCTTGCCTGACCAATCCTTCTATCTACTGCATGCCCGTGCGAGAGTGAGTCCACATCGCATCGCTAGGGCTGTTAGGAAGACCAAGTGCGGGAGGTCCCGCCGCTCACTGTGTAGGCCACACCTCTCGGGCTCGTTCATGTCGCTCGGCTCTAGAGCAAGAGACTCGAAGAGGAAAATCTTGGGTTCTTCAACAAATGCATGAGATCTACTTTTAGCTGAAATCAAACCGTGAGAGCAATGGAAGCCCCGATTGCTATACTCAGGGCACAAGAATATACCAAGTGCGGGACATGCAAGTATATATAGACATACAGAGTAAAAATACAACCCAGGAGAGCAGACAACAATCTATCGGTATATGGCTCTCAACTGGGCTTCGACAGCCTCTGACGATTGCTTGATATCTACGCAGGTTAGCGGTACCGAACATGTTGATCTGGCCATGGCACTCACATTTTTGTGGATCTAACAACAAAGCGACATTAGCCGGTAAAGCGACGAAAGAATCTGCACACAACTCACTCTTGCTAAACTCCTTCTCTTTGTGCTTGGTCGTAAACCTGACCAGACTAGGAACCACAAGTTTGACCACGTCCTCGCCGACATCCTCCCTGCCCTCGTCGTCGTCTTCCAGGATCCGCGCATTCTTATGTCGCTCGAGCACCTCATCCAACAGCTCGTAGAACCGCGTGAACTTCTCCTTGACCGCCGATTTCCCGGAGCTCCCCTTCGCACCCGCATCGTCTGTGAGCGTCTGCAGCAGCGGAGAGAAGTTGGCATCGAAGTACCCCGCCTTGGCGGTGCGCGACGCGGAGTTGATCGCGTCCTGGGTCGGCTTGGAGAGCAGGTCAATCAGGGCATCGTTCGAGGGCGCCTCGAGCGTGCTCCTCCGTAGATAGGAGATGTTGTTGAGGAGGTAGATCGAGCCGTAAGCCCCGCGGCGTTGTGTGCGCGATATGGTCGTTAAACTGCTGATTGCAGTCGTGATTACGTCGTCTAATCCGATCCTATCAGCCACCATAGCAATCGCACTGGGCCGAGCAAGTGCACTCACAAACGAAGTGCTCAAGGATGACCTGCTCATCGCCATCCCCGAGCTTGTTGCCCTTTCCGACTTGCACGCCCTCACCCATCTTCCAATTCCCGTCCCCGAGCTGCAGCAGTGCCGACGACGCAGCCTCCTGCACATCGGGCAGCCGCTCAAGATACTTGACGGCGCTAACCACAAAGTCCGCGGTGGCCGTGCTCGTGTCCGAACCGCCCTTGCTCAGCGACGCCATCTTGATATCGGCGAGGAACTCGGGGAACGACCGCAGACACACCCCACGCAGCGTCCCCAGCCCATCCTTCAGCTCGTTCGACTTAGCATTCTCGGACCCCCGGCGGGCCAGGAGCACGTCCCACTGGTCCTGCAGCGTCAGTAGCGCCTCGTTCGCCGCCAAGGCCAGGAACGCGTGTTTGCTGAGAGACCGCTTGATGAGCGCGACGAGCGAGGTCAGCGTCGTGCTGAATAGCGCGAGGATCGGGTTGAGCAGCGTGTTGTACGATGTCGCGACCGCATTCGGGGACGACAGCGGGGACAGTTCTTTGATCAGTAGATACTCTTCCTGTGCACACAGTCAGCATAGTCATCAGCTCAGTGTACCAGGGCATGAGCAACACACATCAGCAACAGCCAACACGCCCGCGACCCAGTCCCCGAACTCCCGTCCCACAACCAGACTCTCGCCAGACTCCGCCCGGTCCACGACGCGCTTTCCACCCGCCTCGAGCGCACGGCGTGCCCAATTGCCGCGCATATCCGCATACCCGCGCTGCGCGTCCTTGAGCGCAGACATGATCGCCGGGGCAGCGGGGTGCGACGGGTGCGTCGCGGGGAGGGGCAGCGTACGTATAAACGCGACGAGGGGCCGCAGCGTTGCGACGGTGGAAGCTGGGAAGGCTGCTGAGCTCGCGGACGCCTCGGCGACGAGCTTCGTGAACGTCCCCGCGAGCTTCTTCGCGCCCGTTTCGATCAGCCGTGCTGTGTCTTGCGCATCACGATCGCCGGACTTGAACGCGATAGAGGCGTTGAGGCGGTCCAGGGCCTCGGTGTAGGTCGTCAGCTGGTTCGGTTGCGGGCTGTGTATCAGGTAGGTTAAGACGGGTCAGGGCATTCCAAGATCAGCATAGTACGCACCCTCGCAAGATCAATGCCTCTTCCGCAGCTATTCCCTCCTGGTTACTCGCCACCTCGTCGATCTTGGCCAGCGCCTTCTCTATGTCTAGCGCCCAACGTGGTCAAACAAGCACGAGTAAGATGCAGTGGGCACGCACTGCCTGCCCTCCGATTGAGCACCTGCGTAGAATCGTACAAAGGCCTGATGGACCGCTCGAGCTTCGCAAGCCGCGTGTCAAACGCGTTTAGAATAGCTGTCATGCGCGCAGAGGTCTGGAGCGTCTTGTTCAGATTCTGTTCGAGCTGCGGGGGAGTTGAGCACAGGTTACCGGCGACCGTAGCATAGGGAGCAATGTGTATAGAAGGGAGATAGACTCACCAGCTCTATTTCGGCAGTCTCGTCTTCCATCTTTGCAGTCGTGCGACGTCGTCTTCGTCGTCGACGTGAGGCAAGGAGCTTGAGTGCTGTCGATCAGATAGATCACAGATGGATGCCGGCCCGACGGCGACTGATGGTGTGACGAGTAATCAGACGAGACCGACGTTTTGGGCATGCCAAACGGGCATTCGCCCGCGCAAACGGGCATTTGATGGGCATTTGACAGGTTTGGCGTGAAATTGATGCAATCAGGCATGCATGCCCGTTTGCGGGCATGCCAAGCCAACATTTTGGCATGCCTCAGGCCATAGATAATTTGTATTTACTCGTTGTAGGCTTCTCTATGGGCTGTATTTAAGCATGTCAGGCCTACCAATGCCCTTGGCAATGATGTCTCGCGAGATTTGCCACGCACTACGTTACTGATGCTGCTTCGACGCGGGCTTTCACCAAATCGGACCGCGTGGGAGTGTTATAACTTGATTCAGATACAAAATTATGTGGGCTTTTTGCGCCGTGATTGTTCTACGGGGCTCTGCGGAGATGTGATTGACCTCACCGCTGAGCTTTCCTCTATGCAGTCAATGATAACTGACACTTGGGAGAAAGGAAGCATCTCAAAGTCACGGAAAGGTCTCAGATTCATGGCTTAGGACTACACCTCACCCCTACACCTCCATCGTTCAATGCACACGAGGCTACAATGTGTGCTGGTCGGGCTCGAAGTCCAAATTGATCCCATCCGACAAACGGGCATGCGTCCGCATCTCGATTGCTTAAATTCCAAGCTTATATGTTGCAGCGCTGCCGTGATCTAAGTTTCTAGGACACATTATTTCGTCCTTATAACTCCCTTACTAGCCCACAAGCTCATGAAGTGCGCAGAATCGAGCACATGCCCGTTTGCTTGATGGCATGCCTGATTGCTTGATGCAATCAGGCAAGCAGGCCTGTGATCCATCCATACTATCATGCGTCAGGTTCTGCTAATTTGGAAGCCGAGTATCCCATCTATCCAATTCCTGTGGCTCTGCTCCCCCGCGACGCAAAGGACAGAGAACAGGTTGGGGAATAACAGTCGAAGCCGAGAACAAAACCCCAAGCTCGGAATGCGGCGGCACGCGCACAATAGATCAATAGCAACTTGGGCGCTGGCGCAGAGCAAAGCACCGCTGGCCAAAAAAGCAAAGATAATGTGTGGAGTGGAAACAATAGCGACGAAGGGAAAAGGGAAGGCAGGGCGTGGTAATGGAAAGAAATAGGTTGTTATATTGTTCATTGACTCGTACAATATCTCATATTAGTCTATTAACAATTCAACATTCCTCTGAGGCCACCCGACGGCGACGACGAAGGTTGATTAGCGTGGGAAGCCTTACATCACCACCAGTGCCGATCTGGACTTGACCGATCGCAGAACGACCAACACGGCAACAGCGCGATGTCCGCAGCGTCCGTCCGACACCAAACCATGTCCTAAGATTAAAAAAGTTGGGCACAAGCCATGCCCATGCCCATGCCCGCCATCAAATGCCCGCCAAGCCAAATTCAAACTCCGCTTGGCGGGACATGCCCGTTTGACACGCCCATATAATAAGTCTGGTAATCAGACCGACCAGTTGTGTGACGCCACGCGGTGGAACAATATCATGATCATATGATTATTTTGGAGGGCTCTTTTGTAGACAACTTTTACACGGATCTAGCGACCGCCCGCTTGGCCTCCTTCACCCAGTCTGTTTTGAGACACATCCACGCCCCGATCAGCGAGCAGTACACCAGCGACACGGTCAGCCCGAGCCAGAGCCCGTGCAGGTCCATGTGCATCTTGAAAGCGAGGAGACATCCGATCGGGAGGCCTGAGGCGCTGTCAGTTTCTATTAAGCGTTGTTTTGATGTACAACACGTACCAAGGATATAGTAAGCACTGCACGCACGAACCCTTCAGTCAGTGTCGGGTGGATGTTGGGTGCGAACAACTTGCCTAAGATTGAGCAGTGCACCCGTCATCTGGGGTGAGTAAGTCTGCTGTCCCTCAATACTAGAAAAAGCCTACACACCTGTCGACCCTTGGCTCTCATGATGCCTGACGCAACTCCATTGACTGAATCAAACACCTGGAACAGAGCAAGCAGCGGCAAAACACTGGCGACCAGCTGCAGAACCTCTGCCACCCCATCTCAGCGCAATACAAAAACGCACGATTCTGGCAACCCACCCGGATCATCGTTGAAAATCCGACCCCACGAATGCCGGAACGTCATCAGCAGCGTGCTTCGAAAACATCAATGAACCCAGAATCGAACCGTGGGAAAACCCAGCCATGCGCACCTCGGTATCAACCCCAGGCCAAACGCGGACCCTAGCGCCACGCGCGAGGCGATCTTGGCCCGCAACGCGTCTGTCTCACCGAGGAGGTTGCCGATGCGCGTGGCCGCCGCCAGGCTGACGGCGAACGGGGCCTGATACGTCATCGTCGTGGTGTAGAGCAGGACCGATTGCGAGGCCAGGGCGGTGGGGCCCAGTCTGCGATGAGGATACTACGCATTTAGCCTGAATAAATTGGACGCCGTTTAAGCACTTACAGCGAAGCAGCCAAGGTCATCAACTCCCACGCCCACCACTCCGACGCCATCTGTCCTGTAGCGAGATGATGGCAAGCGGGATGTGCGACACATGCGGTACTCACCGACACCGGCCACTCCTAGTCTGAGCGCCAGGCCGAGTCCTTTGATGTCCACAATCTCGGCGGAGAAGGGGCGCCAGGCCGTCCTCGGCGCGAGAAACACGCCGTATCCGATGTTCATCAGACTCACAAGCGTAAACGCGGACGACGTCGCAATCGGTGCCCCGCTGAAGCCGAGTCTGACATTCGGAGGACCCCATACTGGGAGAAACAAAGGGCAGTCAACAAAACCAGATCCTGATTAGGATGACATATGACCTGCCCAGAAGCCAGTTGAGGAACGCGCTCACAGGCGCTGCGACAAACACAATCCTAGTCGGCACCGTAAACAGTCCTGCAGTTCGTCGACGCATGAGTATGCAAATAACACCACAACAAACGGCGTGAGAATGCATTACCCTGGGATTGGAAGTAACGCCTGGATATGATGTTGAAGCTGTACGCCGGCAGACCGAAAGCGGCGTAGCGCAAGTATACGCCCGCCAGACGCGCGACTTCCGCATCCTGCCCCAGCCGGAGCAGAAGCCCCTCCGCATTCAGCCATATCCCCAGAATGGGCTACATAAGAAAATATCTGCGAGTGAGTAGCATCTGACGATAGATGAGTGGTGGCGCACAATTAACGCCAGCCCCATGACAACAGCTATGGACCTCGGATAAGACACGCGAAAATCACGGCACAGGCGCACACGCACCCATTCGCTGTGTCCACAGCCCGACGTAGCTCGGCTCCCCGGACGTCCATGCGGGGGGCAGCAGCGTGTCGAGCGCAGTGACCAGTCCCTCCATGATCGAGTACCCCGTCACACCCGCCGTCATCGAGCCCTAAGAGCCAAGAAGTAAATACAGAGAATGGCAGACGCTATCTGGCTGAACAGTGAAATGCACACGCACGAGACTGAACGCAGCCAGCGAGATGGTCCCGAGATGCCCGATACTGAGCACCGGCGCGATGACCACGCTGTGTTCCAGCAGATGCGTTGCGAAGATCGGCAGTCTGGGAGGTAGCGGCACCATAAAAAATCGGAATCGGGCCTCAAAATCACGCGAAAGACACGCACGATGCACGCGCGAGGAACCGAAATTCGGACGCGTAGCGGCGCCGCCCCCGCAGCCGCGTCTCGCGTTTTTCGCGCCGTTCAGCCTGCCCAAGCAGCGGGCTCGTCTCCATTGGCTCGTCTTCCGTCCGTCCGCCCGTCCGATCGCGCTGGGACGGCGGGAGAGGGAGAGTGTCCGTCCGGCCTTCTTCAGTGTCGCGTTGCGCAGAAACACCCTCGACTTCATCTGCGAAGGGAGGCATCGCGGGTTTGAATTACAGATCACAGGATGACTGAGTGGGATGGTACCACGTTGCGTGTGTGAGAGCAGACGAGCGCGCTGATAAATAGTGGGGGTGGCAGAAAGGATCCGAAGAAGCCTCGCCCGCAGTATGAACGTGATGACACATCATGAGATTCGTCCCTTACTTGGTACCGACTGAGACGAACTATCGCATCGAGGTCGAGATCGATATGAGCACACTGGAATAGCACCTACTCAACATGAATGCCGTCAATTCATTACAGAGTTCTTGATGAGCATATATATCTCATCGCTACTACTGTAGATCAATGGATCTGCCCCGCCTCTGCACTGGCCGCCTTATCGCGGTTCTCCGCCTCGTTCCTTTTGACAACCTTGTCGACCTCGTGGTTCCAGTCAGACCGCACACATAGCAGCGTCCCAAAGAACGCGCAGTAGACAAGGGACACGGTGAGCCCGATCCAGAGCCCAGGGAGGCCCATGTTCCAGCTGAATGCGAGCCAGATGCCGAATGGAATGCCTACAATCCATGGTTAGTTAAGTACATTCGGGGAGTTCGCGGGAAACAGTTTTACCAATGACGTAGTAGGCACTGGGTCATGGTGAGAATAAGAAATCAATGCTTTGGAGCGGAAGGGAATACATACCTGAGATTGAGAAGAGCACCGGTCATCTACATGACTACCGTCAGAACATACCGTCACAGATAAGATGGGACACAGACCTGCTTTCCTTTGGCGCGCAGAATCCCACCTGTGACACCGGCAAGGCCATCAAAGACTTGGAACAGCGCGACCAGGGGGAGAAGCTGGGCGACCATTCCGACGACCTCTGTCAACTGGTCTGAGTATGTGCCGTCATGACAGGACAGGCCGGGGGACCTCACCCGGATCCTCGTTGAACAAATACGCCCAGCGATTGCGGAAGACCATAAACATCGTGCTGGACAGGCGATGATCAGCTTCTCGTGACATCTCCGAGGAACAGCCTGTCTGTGAGTACCTGAATACCAAGCTCAACACCAACGCCATGAGGATGGCGGTGTGGGCCGCGACCTTGGCCCGCACCGCATCCAGCTCTCCGAGAAGATTTCCGATGCTACCGAGGGAGGAGGATGAGCAGAGCAGAACAGGAGCCGAGCAAAGAAGCAGTGACGAACCGAACTGCGGTAGCGACGCTCAACGCAAACGGGGCCTGATACGTCGTCGAAGCCGAGGATAAAAGGATCGACTGCGTCGCAAGCGCAGCCGGGCTGATTCTAGAACACACACACCCGGATGAACACTCGCCCGCGAAAACACAGAACAGAGGCAAGACTCACAGCGCCGCAGCGAGCGCAACCAGCTCCCACGCCCACCACTCGGACGCGGTCTGCCCGACGCCGGCCAGGCCGAGGTTGAGCACAATCCCGAGGCTCGTGAAGCTGCGGCGCGAGAACGGCTGCCACGCCGTTTTGGGCGCGATGAAGACCCCGTAGACGATGTTCATGAGGCACACCAGATTGAACGCACACGCAGTCGCAATCGGCGCGCCGATGTAGCCCAGGCGGATCGGCTCGGGGCCCCACACTAGCAGATAGTTGAGCGCAGCGTTGATCGGCGCCACGATACAGATGATCCGCGTGGGCACTGCAAACAGACCCTGCGACTGGAAATACCGCCTGCGGGGTCGGGGTCAGTGACACGGACCGCGGATGACGCACGAGCGACTGTACCGGCTGACAAGGTTGAACGCATAAGCTAAGGGGAGAATGAACGATTGCACCCTGATTCAACGGGGTCATGCGCACCAGGAAGACCCAAGGACACCCAGCGCAGGTAGAGCGCGGCAAGGTGCGCCACTTCGGGATCTTGCTTCAGGCCGAGCAGAATCACCTCGGCATTGAACCAGATGCAGTACATCGGCTGCACAGTTGTGTCAGTTACGATACGGGCAGCGATGACGGAAAGAGCGCATACAATTAGCATTGCTGCCATCACCACGCCCATCCGCTGGGACCACAGACCCACCAGGTTGGGCTGCGGCGACGTCCACGCGGGCGGCAGCAGTGTGTCCAGGGCGCTCACCAGACCCTGCAGGATCGAGAAGCCCGACACGCTGCCCGTCATCGAGCCCTGGACAACAAATGAGAATCGACAGAACGAAGTGTGTGATGCGTGGCGCACCAGAGTTATGCCAGCCAGCGCCGTCGTGGACAGGTGTCCGATGCTCAGCACGGGAGCAATAATCAGAGAATACTCGAGTAAATGCGTCCCGAATACAGGCAACCTGCGCAGAACCCCGCAAGTCAAGATCCGCTGCCCCGGGGTTGGGCGGTGAGCACGCACGAGTACTTGGTCAGCGTCTTGAGTTCGCTGATATACATGTCATAACCACCACTAGCATTATTATCGTCGTCATTGTCGTTACTGTCGTCGTTGTTCTCGCGAATCTGGGGAGACGCAGACCGCGGATGTAACAGGGGCGTCTCTTCAGTCGGTGTGCTGCGTCGTGCAGTGCTTGGTGGGGCCATGGTAGGCTTGGAAGGCCGTCTAGTGCTGCTCGTGTGACCTCCCTCCTCCCCTGATAACAGTATTTCCCCGGCGGCTGACGCCGCAGGGTGCTCCGGATGCGCTGCCGCGTACCGGGAGACGATATCGTAGTCGGACGGATGGGATCCAGAAGCCATCGAATGGCCGTTGAAGGAGGCCATCGCTGCTGCTATCCAAATGGGTGGGGCGAAGGGGCCCTTGAGAAGGCCTTGTCGGAAGACCGGGAAAATTTGGCAGCCGTGGGTACTCTTTATACGATAATCAGTCTGACTACCATATGGGGACAGACGCGGTGGCGTGACTTTGCCACCTCATACACGTGCAGGCAGGACAAAAAAGAAAACAGCAACACGTTTATAAGCAGAGGGGTTGTCTATCTGCGGCTGGATGAGAGGGCGTCGCTGCCCACACTGATTGTAGCGGAGGGTGAAAGCCCGGGCGAAACTCCGAGGCGACTGCCCTAGATTTCTACCTGACTGCAGCAATTGGTTCTACCTTTCCGACCCGTTGGCTCTAGAGCCTTTAGCGTAGGAGCGTTAAATTCTCTGCAAGCGTTGTGAACGCAGGTGGTGCGATGTCTCCGCTTTGGATCCACTCCTCCGGGAATCCCTTCCATGCATTACAGCAGTAAGCATAAATCACGTATGGGTGTGCACGTCTCTTCAGGGCAGATTCCGGAGCTAAATTGACTCCTGTCCCAATGCGGAAGCTATGGCGGGGTGATCTCATCAACATAATCCATCAGCAAGCACGGCCACACACACAAACGGGTATGGCAGAGCTGCCAACAGTGAACGCCCCGCCGCTGAACTCGCCTCTCCAGAACTCCTCCTCCCCGCGGGACCTCGAACCATCTGAAGGCGACTGGGAAAAGATCCGGAAATGGCAGGAAGAGCGGATCCAGCGGAAGCTCCAGGGCCAGTATGAGTCTGCAGTCTTGCACTTGTCCGAAGTGGTGCGGACCGCCGACTCACCTCCTCCGCCGCGCTCGTTCTCACACGCGTCCCCCACAGCTGCAAAACAACCTCACCACGCCCTCCCAGATATCCTCCGTCCGCGTCGAGGGCGCCAAGAACACACGCCCGAGCTTCCTCAAGTTCCTCATTGATCCGCTCGTGCCGCCCCCCAGCCCAGCGAACGACCTCCAACAGGCGCTGCAGAGCGCGCAGAAAATTGGCTCGGTGCTCCGCCGAACAGACATATTCGAGTCCGTCGAGGCACGTTTGGAACGCGCCGAATCACCCTTCGCGTCCAAGTACGACGTCGATCTTGTTTTTGCAGCGAAGGAGCGCAGCCGGTCATATTTTAAAGCCTCGACGGAAGTTGGCGTCGGGAACAGCAACGAGGGCAGTGCGGTGCGTCTCGAACCCCCCGCGCCACGCGCCACGCATCACTAACCGGCCCCCCCATCAGAGCGTCGTCGCGAGCCTGCGGAACGTCTTCGGCGGCGCCGAGACGTTCGAGGCCAACCTGTCCCTTGGGACGACGACCAAGCGCGCATTCAACGCGACGCTCACCGCGCCCGTCACAGCCGACCTCAATACGTATGCGCAGCTGCAGTGCTTCAGCACGGACCGCGACCAGACGGCCCACGCGAGCTGCTTTGAGGGGCTCCGCGGCGCCAAGGCCATTCTCAGGGTGAGCTAGGTCAGCCGCCCCGCGTACTGAGTGCATGCCTTGTTCATTCCGTGTGTGTGTTTTGTCGGCAGAGTGGTTTCCTTGCGGGTGGGATGCACGAATTTGCGTATGAGGGTGTCGTGCGCAACATTGGGAATCTCAAGTCCAGTGCATCACTGAGGTGGGCTTGAATACTCACATCGCACCCGATTCAACGCTGATCGGTCGCTAGCATGCGGGAGGCTGCTGGACAAACGATCAAGTCGTCGGTCTCGCATACGTTCACGCTTGATAGCAGGAACGACAGGATCATGCCCACCGACGGCATGTATCTAAAGACTTTGCACGAGTTCGCAGGACTCGGAGGCGACGCGTCCTTCGCCAAATCTGAAACACACGCCCAGATCTCGCGGCCTGTGCTTCCTGGCGTGGTCAGCCCACACATCTGTCTGATGCGGCTACGCTAATGCACTGTTCCAGTCTGTATCCTTCGCCGCACGCTCGGGTATACTATGGGGGCTTGGCAAGCCCACATACTTTTCGGACCGATTCGAGCTCGGGGGCCCAACGTCCATCCGGTCGTTCAAGCCGAACGCTATGGGACCCCGGGATGCCGGTGAGCATCTTTCTGATAAAAAAGTGGTACTCTCCTGACACACGGCCAGGGGACTGGCTGGGGGGCGATACCTACTGGTCCACGGGTATCAGTCTCATCTCGCACATCCCGACCAAGGCACACTGGCCGCTCAAGTCGCATCTCTGGGTCAATGCTGGGAGACTGGACAACTATGATAAGAGTGAGATCAAACAGTCTTGGAGACAGCACTACGATGCTGACTTTGTGTCGTTGCAGACCGCTCGGCCGTAGAGAATGTCAAAGACCTGGTGACGAGGCCAGCTGTGTCGGTTGGTCTGGGGCTAGTATACGACTACAATCCGATTCGACTGGAGCTCAACTTTGGACTGCCCGTTGCGGCAAGCCAGAGTGATGGCACGCGACGCGGACTGCAAGTTGGGATGGGACTCGAGTTCTTGTAGTGAGCAGATACAAAATTATACGTGTATTTATTAGCGTAGAAGCCACTCCCCTCTGTGATACAAGCATTACGGATACATGTAGATATAAAGCGCGGCACCTTCAGTTGCTCAGTATCGGGGCTTTCCTGATCCACTCTCGCCGCTCCAGCTCGTCGATGATGAATGTCGCAGCTCCCGCCCTCGAAGAAACAGGTTTGATCCTCCCGTCTCCCATGTAGCCCGCCACAATCTCGTGCTCGCCACCGCCGCCATCGTCGGAATGTAGCGCCAAGCGTATGAGCGTCCAGTCCAGATCCGTCTCTCGCACGACCTTGCCGACCGCCTCGATATCCTTCACCACATTACGCGCGATCGTCGCAAACGTCTTCCGCAAAAACACAAGGGGCAGCGAGAACCCGTCTTCGTCATCGCGCACGGTCGGCGTCGTGAGCACGATCAGCCGGCGTACGTCGTGCTTCTTCATCGCCAGGATGATGAACCCGTAGGCGACCGCGATGGGCGTGCCGGCGGGGTAGAACGGGCCCTTGCGCCCCGTCGGCCCGAGCGCGCTGATCACTGCGTGCACGCCCTCCATCGCCTGCGAGAGCTTGTCGATCGCATTCAGCTCGCCCTCGACGATGACCACCGTGCGCGCGCCCACGAGGTCCGCCGCGAGCTTCAGTTTGTCGCGCACGTACAGGATGAGCGTGCATTGCGGGTATGCGGCCAGGAAGCGCCGCGCGAGCAGCACGCCCATCGCCCCCGAGCCGCCGAATAGTAGGAGTCGCATAAAGTCGAGTGCGTCAGTCCGCACCGGCGCTTCTTATAAAGTTCGTCTCAGCTCGCCCTCGCTCTTTCTTGGCAAAAAAAAAACGGAATGGTCCAGAAAATATTTGCCGAAATTGACGTCAACACACACATGAGGGTTCCGTCCCCGACAGTCGTACATGGCAACCTCAGCTCCCGTGCGCGTTTCACAGGCATCAAAAAGGGAGTGAGCCCTTGTGCAGCACTGTGACAGAAAAACACGTGCATCCGTGACACCGCGCGCTCCTGCCAGTGCCAGTGCTGCGCCCCACAACGGCCATGTCCTCCGGCTCCCAGTCAATATACACGCCGACCGTGCTTCCGCGTCCCCCGATCTTCCCCAGGCTCCTCCCGAACGCACCCCTGCCCCAGCCTGCCCCGTTCCCGCTCCAGGGCCGCGTGTACGGGCGCCTCAATGCTTCGCGCAATCTGCAGCGCGAGATGGACGACCTGAGTGACGAGGAGACGGAGCTCGAGGACCTGGTTAGTCTGCCCCCGATCCCATGCGCCGGCTCCCAACTGCGACTGCGTGATTAACACCCATGACTTGCTCTTACAGAATCTGGTGATCCGGCACCGCGGATTCGGGCATCTCGTGCCTATAGGCCGGACTCTGACGCAGCAGGAGGAGAAGAACGACGTGCGTGCGCCGGACGTTCTTAATCACGTCGCATGTTGTAATCATCGCACTCCCATTAGGCCGAGTCCGACGAAAGCGACAGCGACTCGGGAGGCTCGAACAGCCCGCCGTCCGTCGAAGACGTCGGAGACTCGACGCAGGACTTGGATGCTAGCATGGAGGATCTGGATGAGGAGGAGGAGGACGAAGAAGGCGATGAGGACGCTGACGAGGATGACGAAGAACCCGAACAATCATCCGAGATGTAGTCATGGCCTTGTCCTTGACATTTATCCTGTACTTTTGTAGAAACCCAGTGCATTCAAAGACATACAGTCTGCAATGAATGACTGATCTCAAGATAAGGGAAGGATAGAGTATTCGATGTGTGCGATGTCGATATCGTTACAAGAAGCGAAAAGAAAGTAGTTATCAAGATCAGTCCGTCATATTAAATCTCTTCAAGGAGCTTGTAACCAGATGCTCTTCAGCTTATCGAAGATGGGCGTTCCCAATCCAGTCACGGGATCGTATCCAGGAGTGGCATTGAAGCCCTGAGTGCCACAGCCCGGGTTGGATCCGAGCGAGATGTCCTTGAACGCGCCCCTGAACGCTGGGGAGTAGACAGCCGGGTTGATAAATCCGATGCGGGACTTCCCGACGGCGATTCTGGCGTCGTTAATCATTGTGAGCATGGCCGCAACAACCGGAGCGGATGCAGACGTCCCGAACACTAGACCGAACACACCGTCCACCTATCACACAAGATGAGATGGAGATCGTTTGACAGCGCAAACAGAGGTCTTACAGCGATGACATAGTTGGCGCTGCTTCTGGTTCAGAATCGGGCGTCACATATCGCAAATGAAACTCACCCGTTGGCAGCGATATCGGGGTAGGCGCGGGCCTGCACAAAGATCAAAGTCAGTCTTGAAGCATCCCACGAAGGATCGTGTGTACCGTCTGTGAGTTGTTGAAGACATCCGACCCATATGTAGGCGGATATTTGGTAAAGAAGTCCTTCACAGCGCCTGCTTGATACTCTGCAAAGGAGTGAAAATAGGCTCGTCAGTTTGCAACACGACTGACGAGGCATGTCAAAGTAGTTGCTAAATCCGCCGCCGCTGTAGATCACCGTCGTGCACGCAGTTTCGGGATCCGACACTGTCTTTCCGCGGGCAATCTGGGTCGCCCCGACTGCAGTGACGAACGGACACGTCGACGGGAACGATGGGTTGAACATCTTCCCATCGTACGACTGAGACCCGTCGGCATTCAGGCATATGTCGCCGTTGCCCGCGACACCGCCGTCGCCCGACGAGTAGACGATCGTCACGCCCATCATGCCGAGCTTGGCGTACTCCTTGCACTGGCGCAAGGAGTATTCGTACGACAAGTCCGCCTCGTTGTATCCGTAGGACGTCGAAATCACATTCGCCGGCTTCACCGTCCCGCAGTCCTGCTCTGCGCGAATGACGTCACAAGCAAGCTTCGGCCGTCGAGAGCGGGAACGTACTTTGGTAGCCACCGGGAGCGGAATCTGGGTAAGTTCCGTCGTAGAAAGGGTCGTCTCCGCCTTCGAAGGAGCAATACGTCCCATCAATCGCATCTATAAAGTTGCCGAACGAGGCGCCTGCTCTCTATTAGCATCGATTTCTTTCGGGGATCGACACTAGACGCACCCATCATAGGATCTCCGACCTGATACAGATCAACGGTTTGTCGGTCCGTCACTAGATTCATCGCATATTCCAAATCCAGATCGGATTCACCGTTGGTCGAAAAGCTCTTCGAAGTATCGAGAACGCCTGCAGAGCAGTCCATGCATGTCTTGGGAGGGAAAAGCAGACAGACGCACCACCGTCGATCGAGTGGAACGTCGGCCGCACCCCCTTGAGAGACCCTCCTGTGATGGAGGGGAAAGTCTGAGCGAACATGTCGAGGTCGGGAGGCGAGTACGACTGCGGTGTGTATTCCACAATCCCGAGCGAGTTCTTGCTGCCCATAGTCGGGATATAATTGAAGTTGTACAACGCGCGGAGGCAACTAGGTGTGATCTGAGAATCACAGCTGCTGAGCGACGGAGAGACGCCGTTGGCAGCTTCAGAGAAGACGGCCTCCGTGCTGAGCTTGATATGCGGAGAAGCCGGCTTGGGAAGCATAACGGCAAAGTCTATTGTGGGGGTGACCAGCTCGACATGCGGCGCAATATGGGCCGGAAGGTGGTATTCGTTGCACGCTGCAGAGATCAGTGGACTAGACGGAGCGGAAAGTAAAGCCACGAACCGACATGCTTCACTCCGGTGGCTGCGTGAGTGAAGACATGGTATTCAGTGCCCAGTAACTTTTCAGCCTCGGCCACACTAGCATTGACGATTTCCACCCAGCCCGCACTCCTGCTCACTCGGACGCGATCGCTGTCGACACCGGCCGCAAGGATCCATCCCTGCACCGCACTCACACTCTCCGCACTCGGTGCAAAATAAGCTTGCACACGCGCAGCCGTCCAATGAGCCCCGTAGTTCGGAGACTCGGGATGTGAAACGTCGTTCAGAAGCCCATGCAGAGTGTTCATGTCCGAGTTCGGCTGCGTGAGCCCGAATCGGAGGAGCGGGATCGTCGCGTTGGACGCGTGCCGGCGCACGCGCACCCACCCGCCCGGCAGTGCCGTGCGTTTCGCATGTGGAGCAGCCGCTGCTGCTGCTGTAGCCACTGCAGCCAGTACCACAGAAAACAAGATTCGCATGACCAGCGGGGAAAGAAGGGTTGGGAAAGGATGGTCGACTGGGCTCTAGCGTCCCTGATTTATGTACACCGGGACTTCCTTCTGAATCTCCTTCCTTTCTTTCCGCCCGCACTGGCTCCCCCTTCCAGAGAGCAAGGACTCGATTACGCGAGCATCATCGCATACTTCGATTTCCGAGGCGAGTCTGTTCGACTCATTGAGGAATTGAGCGCCACAGAAGGGACACAGTACCGTTTCGAAGCGTAGATCCAGGCGGCTGTTGTGCGTTAGCCTGCCCGAGGCGCGTCGCGGAGGCATGCGCACAGGAACCGAGAACTGGGGAAGGGACATGCGTGCGATGAGAAGCGGGCACAGAGGGGTTTGAGGGAAAGTGCTCGGAGTTGTCAAAAGCCAACCATTCAGACAGACACAGACCATCAAAATCGCGATCGGACATGACCGAATCCGAACTGGCTTGATCGCAACCGCTTCGATCGGCGACAAAGAAACTACGCAGAAAGCTAATACCTGCCCTCAGAGCCAAGAGATCACATAAATTCAGCGCTCGCCACTCAATATTCAATCCTAGTGCTCTGCATCCTTTTCCTCTGCGGCCGGGTGTTTCTCCTTTTGGCCTCCCGCACACGACATTCAGGCGCATAGACCCTGAACAAACTCGAACAGCACTCTTCTACCCACGCCAGATATGAATGCGCGAATGCGCGAAATCGCCGTCGGCATCAGGCCCGGGATTGGATCTATATCGCCTGCATGGACAGGGGGGTTGTCTGTCGCAGGATCCTTCCAAGAGTGAGTAGCAGTCATGCGCCGCACGGTTTCTACTCGGGCCAGGGAGTCTGATCAGCATCTGCCTGCTGGCTGTTCATAGTGGCGCCTTCAAAGCCGAGTGGATTGGAGCGGTGCTCTGAATTCAGTGCACAATGTAAACGAGAGTAGTCAAAATGAGCGACAAGCAGTATGAGATGCTACGTGTGGATGGATGGTGGTATACGGAGTCTATGTATACAGTGGAGATGCTGTTAGTGGGGTTCCAGAGTAGCCAATAGGTAGTGTGTACGATGTCCTTTCAAGGATCTTCCTCGCCTTCCTCAAGCTCAAAGACAGTACGCAGCACTGAGCATCACCAAGGCCGCCACCAATGAAGCGGGTCCCAGGTGGACATTCGAGACGGCTGCGCCCGTTCCCTGCGCGGCGCCAGTCGTCGAGTTGACTGTCTTGGCAGAGGTAGATGCAGAGCCTTGAGCGCCACTCGCTGTCGAAGTCGAGTTGGCACTAGCGATGCCAATGTCTAAAGAAAATGTCAGCTACGTAAATGACAGAAACGACGGAGACCGACACTGGGCAAAGCTCGGACCCGTGTAGTTGGTCTCGGTGTAAAGCTGCGTCTTGTTCATGGCGGCAAAAACGGGGACAATGTGCTGAGTACGTCAGCATAAGATAAATGACAGGAGTCGGCATTTTGAACAAGCGAACCTTGAAAACACTGGAAAGAGCCGGGTAATTGTCAACAGCAGTCTGCATGGTAAAGTTGTTCAGCTCGTGGGCCAGGATGATGGCACCGTTCTGAAGCATGTTTGTCAGTGGCGGATCGAGACCACAGAAGCCAACACTCACGTTGGCGAAAGCTCCAGATTTAGCCGCATTGATAAGGGTATTGTAGTTGTTCTGGACATCGGCAGGGGTGACGCCATTCTCACCGGACTCCCAATCCTTGGAATCGTACTTCCAGAGCACATTGGTAAGGCCAAGCTGTTGAGCGATGAATCGAACACGGTCGTCGACGTCACCGAGAGGGGGCTGAAAAGGGATGAGTCGCCGAAATGATAAGATTTTTGATGTTGCTCACACGCCAGCAAGTGGGAGTGTAACCGGTGACGAGCTTGATAGCTTTGACCGTGTACCAGAGCTCGCCAAACACTTGTTCGTTCGTAAAAGCAGTCATCGACCTGTGCGACCAGGAGTCTGGAAAAGAACCCGGTCAATGTCACGACAGTGATAAGACGGTTCTGCACTTACGAACACAGACTTCGTGGTTATCCGTGACAGCGCGCTGAGCCTGGAGCGGCCAGTCCACGACGTTAGAACCAACGTAGAAGAAAGCTGCGTTCCATAAATTGAGCCCGGCATGAAGGAGGCAAAACGACAACAACACGTACTGGCTTTCTGCTTCTGCTGGGTCAAGTAGTCATAAAACGCATTGTGAGAGCAGTTGGGGCCGTCGTCGAATCCGTAACCAAGGGTCTCCGGCTAAACAGGACGAGTCAGAATTGGGTCCTAGATGCAGAAGCAAGGAGGGAAGATACCTCGGGGACCAGGGCAATATCAGGGTTCACGCCAGCTGCTTTGGGTGTCGTGCATTGCGCGGAAGACCACCAGCAGTCCGGGTCAGACGGTGAGTACGTTGACAGGGCGTTCGGGTCCGGCACACCAAGAGTGCCCTATCAGGGGGTTTAAGCGGGAACACAAGATACAGTGAAGGGGAAATGAGAACCTTGGGCGCGATGTTAGGGATGTTGGCCTTCATAGCCGAAAACTTGGCCTGGCCCTCAGCGTCGTTGGCCAGGATGGCAGAGACGGGCTGCCAGATGGGGGGAAACTGGGTGGCTGCCATGGCGTTGGCGACAGGCGTGTACGAGTAGTAGGCACATTCTGCCGTTGCATCTGTGAAAGGAATGTGTTGTCTGTCAGCACATTATCACCAGGCCCACACCAGAGCGGACGCGCCTTTGATAGCAGCTTGACTGGCCTCAGTCCCGTCAGCACGGACATACGCCGAGAGCAGAAGGAGAGTGGCGCCGTAGAGAGTGGATGACGAGTGCATTATCGTCGGATTTTATGGTTGAGGGGAGCGGAGTGGGCGACTTCAACTCCTTCGTGACAGTGGTGGAAAAAGGAAAAGAGACGGAATTGGCTCCCATGCACGAGTTCGGATATACTCCAATTAAGCGAGACCGTGATCGGTGATTGACGAGCGCTGATCAGCTTCGGCAGGACCCCGGATAACACAGTCAAATGTTGGTCCTAAAATTAACTGATGCTCACCATATTTGTAGTATATTTATACAACGCGTTTCAACTTCAAGGCCAAGTCCAGCATTTTTGTCCAACCCTCAAATGGGTTCCGAAAGTAGGACTTTTTAAAACATAGACGTCAAAACTTGAATTTTTACCTTAAGTGGCAATTTCCAGGAAAACAAGGGTCAGTGCCCAACCAGGCTACATTTTGTCCGACCCTAAACCCAAGTCTAGCGCCATTACTACACAAGTTTTGTCCAACACCCTACTTTTTTGGGGTAAGTGCTCTACCTAATGTCCACCGAAATTGTCTAGATAGCGGCTAACATATGACTGCAATATCTGGGGTCCTGCCTCGGCATGCTCGGCCTCTCGGCAAGCCAGACCAAAATCAGGCAGCCGAATTTCAATTGAAAATGTTGCTGCCTCACGAGTAATGAACGTGGATGAAATCAAGTCGTTGTCAGATGGCATTTTATATAAGATACATGTAGGTGACGTGACATCTAAAGTTTGGAGTCCTTGAACTTGGCGAGGACCAATGGTTGGTCTGGGCGCGAGCCATTCAGCAAATTGAATCCTGTCCGTTACATGATCACACTCACAGGTCGCATCGTACAAGTTGTCCCGAGGAGCGAGGCCGGCGTGAGAGTGCAGTGCCCTTGCATCCACCAGCTCAGGGCCGAGCTCGCTGAGTTTCGTGACGCCGAGCAATCGCATGTTCATCTCAAACTCATCCTACTACCGTTGAGCAAAGATCTGTGGGAAAGGGAAAAGACTAACCCGGAGGATCTTGATGGCATGCTCGACACCCTCTTGTCCGTAGGACGAGAAAGCGTACAGGAATCCTCTCCCAATACCGACCGCCGAGGCGCCAAGCGCAAGGGCCTTGAGCACATCACTGGCTCGTCTCACTCCTCCGTCGACAAACACGGAGAACTTGGGGTTAGGCCACGGCCCGCGAGTCTTGAGGGCAGCGACAATGTCGATGAGATTCTCCAGCCCAGATCGGGCGCTGTCGAGTTGACGACCACCGTGGTTACTGAGCACAATGCCCTGCACTCCAGCCTCCAGCGCAAGGATAGCATCGGCGGGGGTGGACACGCCCTTCAAGATGATAGGCACTAGACACAGTCAGTACAAACTCTGGATGAGTTGGCACTGTATACACACTCTTGGTGATGCTTCGGAACCAAGGAATGTCTTTCCAAGACAAACTCGGGTCGATGAACGACTGCTCGGATGTTAAAATGAGCACGCTTTCATTCGGCAGGCACTCACGCTGATGGCACGAGCAATGCCTTGGTCTTTCTTGACATCAGACTGTCCCTCTTGGACCTTGGCGCCAGCCCCGTCGTCCACGAACTTCATCCGCATATCCTTCTCTCGGCGACCCAGCTGGGGAGCATCGACCTTGGCGGCGACATCAGCATGCATCGCACGGCAAACAAATAACACACCGTAATGAAGAGACCGGACACACCACGCTTCTCAGCATGTTGCACATACTTGCGCGTAATCTCCCGATCCCCGTTGACGTACAATTGCACGAACAAGGGTTGCCCGGGTTGAGCAGCATCCATGATTTCGTCGAAGGAGCAAGAAGCCAAAGTCGGGATCTAAGGCCAGTCCGTGAGCGAGTGAATGGTATTCAATAGCGCACTACGAACCATCTGGATGACGTTGTGCTTGGCAGCAGCACGGGTCAGGTTCAGCTCGCCGTCAGGATGTCCCAGTTTGCCAAGTGCGGTCGCGGACTGCGCCAAATCAGCAAAAGAGCCGCTGGGACCAATGGGAACATACAATGTAGACTGGAAGAGAGGACTTGTGGCCCAAGATCGTGGTCGACCAATCCACCTTGGTGACATCACGCAGGATGCGAGGCAAGAAGTAAACACTGAAGCCAACTCAGTCTCCACACACAGGCTCGGAGAAAAACATACCGCTGGTAAGATGCCCTGTTCTCCCGAATGGCAAGCTCATCGTCGGCCGCAGAGGAGTAGTACGCCCACGACTTGGCGGGCAGCACGGCTTTCGCCACGGCCTGCAAATAATGAGAAGGCGAGCTATGGTCACCTCGGCGATCAGCGCACCTCGAAATCATGCAGATTCAGAACCTCGTCGAGCGGCGGTCGGCGGGCAAGCAGCTGCTCACGCTCAAGCTCTTCGGCGGACTTGACCTTCACGCCAGTGCTCGAGCTGGCCTCGGCGATGCCGAGGTGCTTTTCGGGAGCCAAGTTCGAGGTGATCATGGTCGGAGGGTGGATTGGCTCGTAGGCGGCACTGCATGACCCAATGAGAATTGATGCAAGAACAACATTCGACGAGCTCACGTTGCATCCGTTCCTGCGTAGCGGAGGATGATTCGGCTGCCTCCTGGGTGTTCTGAAGCAGCGGTCAGCAAGCAAGGGCGGCTGCAGGAGGTAGAACATACCATCCAGAAAGTCGGTGATATCGTACACCTTGCCTGAGATACTTGAGTCGGATTCGGAATGCAAGTAAGAGCCACATACCATGCACGATGATCCAACAGCTCTCCCGAGAGTTGTGCTGCGCGATGACGCTGAGAGGGATTGTGGAAGAGGCGCTCATTTCTGTGTTGGGCCGGTGGTACAGTGAGGTGAGTTACATCCCACGCCAGTTTAAAAAGCGCAAAGCGGAAGCGGGCCACCGCTGTGGTGTCGGGACTGGGTGGAGATACGGCTTTCCACAAGACTGATGCCAATCTTAACGCCGCCGTCTAGCGTTCTATTTCGCAAGTGTGTTGGAGTTACAGACGGAACCAAGGACGCGGACCCTGTGTGGATCAGTGCTTGAATACGGGTCCCGTGGGACTAACAAGTTGGGCGAATCAAAAAGGGACAACACGTCTCCGAATCAAAGAAACGGCCAAGACGGCTTCCGTCCCGCGTGAAAGTCGGTGCTTGACCCCGCCAAGACCCGCAATCAACTTCTTTCAACGACCAATATGTGGATGATGAATTAGAATTGAGTTTGTCTACTCCCATGCATGGAATTCAAGTATAAGGCGGAAAGCATGCGCCATGGCGTCGCGAGCGGAGCACTTCCAAACGCTGTACACCCTCTTCAGCAAAAATTTTCACAACTCCTCAGACGCGGAGAAACGCACACACAGACAAAACTGCCACCCTCACTGTGCCCGACACATCACCTCGCCCGACAACTTCATCTGCACGGCCTCCCTCGCCTCCAGCCACTCGTTCTCCTTATCCTTCGTCCTTATGACAATAACTTCACCCAACCCCAGCGGCTTAACGTTCTGCGCTCGCCGCCCCGTGCACAACCGCCGAATCTCAGACAAGTCCATGAACACGCGTTTGCTCGGTTTGCTGATGACCTCCATGTGATGCAGCACCGGGAGGTCGTTCCGGTACTTGAGGTCAGCCCATATGCGTTTCTGCGCGTCGTTGACGGTGTGGAACGCCAGCGGGTCCGGCTCAGCTATCGTGCCTCTGGATAGGTTGGACACGAAGCCACTGCGCAGGAGGATGGAGAGGATGCCCAAGTTTTGATTGCTGTGGTTCAGGGAGATCTTTTGGTGACGTGCGCGGAAGGCATTTTGGACCCGGGCGCAGAGGTCGTGTGGGAGGACCATTATGAGAGAGAGAAAAGTTGGCGACACAGCCACTGATGTTGGATTGGCTGACCGTCAGATTTGGTCTAGACTCTGAAGATCCAGTTCAAACGGCACTGTAACGCAACAGGCCGAAGCCGTAGAGTTATGTCTCCACCTTTGACCGTCTTTACGAAGAGGGACATGGCATGGATAGAAAATATCAGAAGCATGGGGCTTGCACTAAAACCACTCGTTAAATTACTTGAGAGATAGCAAGTGTTTGTCCCATGTTGTCTGGTGAAGTATTTGGCCCTAAACTTACCGGTGAAATCTAGAGTTTAGCCTGCCACATACATATCACTTTTTCATAGTAGAATATAGGAGGGTATAAATGCAATCTGCAATAGGACATGGTACTCTGGCCCAGAATCTGTTAAATGGATTGCCTCGATACAGCAACAAAAACACACTCAGAAATCAAGGCATTGACAGCAGAATCATGCCCCCTATTAAATATTCTAGACAGTAAGTTTTCCGGGCGGGAGTTCACATTAATAAAGGTCCTCTGTGCAGCCATTTCCTCTAATCACTTGTCTAAATCTACATGAAATGTTCAATTTGTAGTAGTCAGAACTATTATTTCATTTCTACTTCACTGCTTTCCCCCAAATGCTTGAATGATGGACTGCTTGAGAAATGCATTCTGATGTGGCCAATAGGAGTGCTCGATTAGGTGGGATATCTTCAGAGATGCTCTTCAATTTCAACAAGAGATGATAATCATTTGCAACTAACATCATACAAAGAAGTGACTCTGATAGCAACAAGAAAATAGTAACAAGAGAGGTCAAGGAGTAGAGCAGAAGAGAGGAAGTCTCGAACATATATGACACCAAGATCGCATCCCTTGAATTACTATGATAGGAAATCATCCTAGATTCAGGTGTTAAACTGGGGAATGGATAGAAGGGTCGGAATGGGTGTGATAATAAGCAGCAGCTCCAGATGTTACCATGGTGCTGTCCATCCCAGAACCTTTGAGTAAGGGCTCCAACCGTTGCATCTTGTGCGGCACAATGTGGCATTTGTCATTTGTGATGTATGGTTCCCAATTTTCGTCATAAATGCCTACCCTTTTGTATCCTTCTGTGATTGTGGTAAACTGAAATTTCATTGAAATATATATTGGAGACTATTTGTGCGGAGGATTTGGCTGGCCTCCTTCTCTGAAATTTGAAAAGGATTCCCGCATTTCTTGGGACTAAATTGCCTCACCCGTCCGTCTGGAGGAGAGCTCTGTTGTCGTGAGATGCGAGAGTAAGCATCGCTGACTGGATCAGGGAATTACAAGCTATGAATGACTTGCATAAAACCTTAAAATAGGGCGCTCTCTACACGGGAACCGGGAGTCCTTACTGGCACTGACACACTTTCGGGCATGGGGCAGTCCGTTTCCATCTGCCCCGAGGTATATTACAAACTGCAAACTTCCTCGTCGCTCCCGGCAACCGCGACAGTAGCATGGCACAGAAGCACTCCACCAAGTCTGCGTGCCTTGTGAAATTGACACCCACCACGCTTGTCCGAAGCTTCCGGCACTTTAATCTCGGTTCCAGATCTTTCCGGGTGGGTCTCCGCACTGATCCGAGGCACACAATTTGATGAAATTGATGTGCAGAGACCCATAGGGCACACGGCTGCACATCAATTCCATCAAAATCTCTGCCTCAGATTAAGATCACTGATGATCTAACAATTCCCCGCCCTCTCGATTCGACGCAAGCCATACTTAGTGCCCTATAACGGCGGGAACGAGACTACCGGCACTTTGGCCTGACACTATCTGACACCGCTACACGAGTCTGATGGCGCATCACCAGCGCATCACTGTCAATCGATCGTCGATCGTGCTTATCTACATCTGCAAACAGCAGCTGACCCTTGACCGAGACCAATGGAATAGAAGACCGCTTCGACACGCCATTGATGATTCGCACGGCCGTTACGGAACATAAATATGGTACTTAATATCGAAGAGTTTTCTTGTCTCTTCCCGCATCCATGTCGGACCACGATATCGAGAAACAGTCCGTCGGCGTCGAGGAGGGAAAGTCCGTGGAGTCTATCGACCTCTATTCCTTCCACGAGCAGGCTGCGGGTCGTTTGGTCATTGACCCCGGGTGAGTCAGACATGGGACTTGCTAACTTGCCTCCCGTCGCGTTACTGACGTCGGGTAGCGAGGCCGCAATCGAATTCGGGGAAGCTTTCGCGTCGCGTCTCAAGCTCTCGCGCGACGGAACGAAGGTTCTGTGGCCGCAGGTGCGTCGCGTTTCGTGGCTTGGAGCTCCACACGCGCGTTACCTTGTTGACCCTTGCCAATAGCCGACCGATTCCCCGCATGACCCGCAAAACTGGAGCGACGGCAAGAAGTCGATGCTGCTGATCATCATGACCCTCGTGTGTCTCACCATCCGTTGTTGAGAGCCAGTTACCGATGTTGCTCAGGCTGCTATTGTGCCGGACTTCGATTCCGGAATTGGTACGTTTTACACGCGTGTTCTCGCACTACGGCTCTGATGTAAACCGTTTCGCAGGCATTGCGGCTATCTTCAAGTTGGCTGCTCAGTACAACACGACAACGGATGTCATCAACAATCTCACCTCGAAGTACGTTTTTACGGTCATCGACCAGATATCTTCCTAATCAGTCTAAAAGCTGGAGTATCTTCTTATTGGGTGCGTTCAACCCAGGAGGGTCTCGATCTTGATCCACTGACAAAGCACTCAAGGCTGGGGAGGCATAGCTGCTGTGTGAGTCTGGATTCCTATCTTAGACATGTGCAAGACCACCTGAACTTTTCGGACGCAGGGTGTTCATCAGGCGATTGGGACGTCTGCCTGTTCTGTTTTGGTCGCAGGTCATTACGGCTGCTCTTCCTTGCCGATAAGCGCTGGACTCAATGACGTTTTTCAGCTGCTCGCTCTCGCGTTCTTGATTGGCGCCACCTTCGCACCCGACTTGAACACATTTACCGGTAAGCCACGAAACTCATTCTCTGTCCATCTGTCTCACCCGTGTGCGATAGCGATGCGGTGTCTGACTGCGTTCTTCGGGTTTGTCGCACGCCTTCCCATAGCGCTCTGCTTGGCCCTTACTCAGTCACACGCACAGGTCGGCACCGCAAGTTACCGGACTGTATGTCGTGACCGATCTGTATCCCTTTCATCTCCAAGCTCGCATGGTCCGTCGCTATCCCGACCTGCACCACGGGTTCTATTGATCGCATCTGCAGGTGAACTTCTGGACGATGGGATTCATCGTGTCGCCCTTCATCTCGCCGTTTTTGTTTGGCTTTCTCGTGGCGCGAACTTCCTGGCGCTGGGCCTATGGCATCGGCTCCATATACGGCCTGATCGTCGTGGTTCTGATCGCGCTCTTTATGGAGGAAACGTCTGTCCGCTGTCGTCCGGTATCAATTCCGCGGGACTGATCGCTTCGCAGAATGTACGATCGAACTGTCAAGCCGATCCCGCCGCGCCCGACTTCAGGGCTTCGCTATCGAATCGAAACGCTCGTTGGGATAACGGGGTACAAGATGCAGCAGTACCGAATCTCGTGGGGCGAGGCAATCATCTCACCCTTGAATGGTGGGCTTCTTCCTTCCCGTCCCAATACGGCCCCAATCTCACGAATAACAGTCATATGGCGCCCGCACATCTTCGGACTGCTTGTCTTTGAGGTACGCATTACGCTGTCTAGTGAATGAAACGTCGATGAAACGACGCCAGGCCTTCTTGTTCGGATTCGGCATTGGGATCAATGTGAGCAATCCCAATGAATTGACTGTGCATCAAGTGCTGACATGGTGCGTCAGGTCACGAACGCAGTCTTCCTCGGCAGCCCGCCTCCCGTTGGATTCGGATGGTCCCCCTTCGCCACTGCCGGAGGGTACGGCACTCCGATCGTGAGTCTCACTTTTCCACCTTATTTTTGGTTTCCTCCCAACCAACTATGTGCAGGTGGCCGTCATCCTGGGCGAACTCGTGGGTCGCTACGTGAACGATTGGATCATGAACTGGAGCATCAAGCGCAACAACGGGGTCTTCGAGGCTGAAAGTCGACTCTGGGCCTGTTACGTTGCGTTGCCGCTGTACATTGCCGGATTTGTGCTCCTCGGTGCCGCGTTCCAGAACAAACTCAGTCCCGGTGCCCTCGTGATAGGTTGGGGACTGGCGGTCATGGCCATCATGATCACCACCGTCGCTGTTTGTGAGTGCTGCGTTTTAATCTGTCTTCATTGGAAGCTCCCATGCTCAATTCTCCGTCCAGATGCGTACTGCAACGACGCTTTCCCAAAGCATCAGGTTTGTTGTCACATTCGCCCTCCACGAGACCCACGTGACTCACAGTTCAATTTTCTGTAGGGCGAAGTCAGTGCGCTGATCAATCTGTGCCGTACTTTGGGCGGCTTCGGCGTTGCTTACTTCCAGGTCAAATGGGCTCTGGAACACGGTGCCCTCCAGGTGTTCGGTTGCGAAGCAGCGTGAGTGACATCCATTTTTGTCGCCATTTTGATAGATCGCTGATCGACGCATACATCAGCATCGTGGCCGGTCTGTTCTTGCTTGTGATCCCTGCTCTCCAACTTTTCGGGCGGGATGTTCGGGCCAAGTTCTCTCTCCATTGATGATGGATGGCAATATGATCTATATACCAAGTTCGGCTTCAAAAGTCGCCTGATTTTAGTTGATTTTCGCTTTGAATATGAAGTGTGTCGAGACTGCACCGCACCCGCGTGAAATTCAGGAAATCATTGATACTCAGGTACAAATGGAGCGCGATGAGCAATGGGGCGGGCCACAGAGCGCCGGATCTCTCCATCTGAATGAGTCTACCTGGTGAGTAATTCCCCTTCGGATTGTTCTTAGCGCGGTATCTAGTCGATTACTACGCTTTTCGGCTTGTCATTTTCAGTCTAATCGAGTCGATTTCGATGGCCACTGAAGCATTGCGGTTAGTCACAGGGATTTTGAATCAAGTTCCTGACGATACATTGAGCTTTTGATTGTGCTATTCAATAAAATTGAGGCTCTTATGAAAGCATACTATCCCAGCCTAACGCAAAAACTGCGTTTTCGAGTGATATGCGACTGAAATTCCGAATTTCAACGTTCAACCTCCTGCAGACTCTGCTCTACTTTTGGTCCTGCCTATGTCCTCAGCCTCACTAACAACTTTTTGGTGACCCCAAAATCATGTCATTTGGGTTGCCGCATATAGCGTGTATCGAAGGAGGCGAAGATGTATCCGGTCAAAGCGCGCATAAGCGGCAACTCGCTCTTTCAGCTTGCCTATACCTTCCCTTACGCGAAAAGTTATGAAATAATTTCAAGTTCTCGTGGAATATCTGTGGCATCCCACTCTCGCTGAACTAAATGCGCCCACAAGGCGATGTCAATGGACGCTGATAATTTGGCGTCGGTGATGGCATCTGGCTGCTGCCATCACGTGATCGTGACGAGGCCCAGCTCGACAACTACCTACTGCAATTTCCTCATCTACAATTGGCAGAAGGTTCATACGCGTTCGTATCCAATGCGGCTCGACCAGAGATAATCTTTCACACCAGCGCGAATTCAGTGTGACGTACGCGCAGGAAGACACTGACAAAAGAAGACGAAGAACACGATGGCTATTCTCAGCAAGGCTGCTGCTGCTTTGTCGGTGTACTACTTATCAATCGAAGACGTGGGGCGTTTTCTCGCACGTTGGGCGGCTTTTCATGAGCCCCCAACAGATTCCTGATTCTCTTGCACGCACGACTTCCCCCGAGGGTTACGTATCGATAATAAGCCCTACGGGGAGGGACGTGCCAAACGTGCGCTTCGTGCCTGCTCCTCCCCCTCCCGTCTCAATCAACCCATGTCGGACACCGAGAAGAATTTCCCCGTGCACAGCAGCCCAGGAATCCCGTTCGACGACGACGATCACTCCTCGAAGGATCCGTTCGCTCTTCGCGCGCACACGGCAGGCCGGTTGGTCATCGATCCAGCGTCAGTAACCCCACCCTCTCTTCCGCGACATTGCGTGCGTGGCTGAAGTCTCTGCCCCAAAGCGAAGCCAGACTTGAATTCGGCGACGCCGTCGCCGCGCGGCTGAAGCTGTCCGCGGATGGGAAAACGGTGCTGTGGCCCCAGGTGCGCATGCACCGCCCGCACCCACCTGAGCTCCGACCGCCGACACTGGGCAGCCCACAGACTCGCCCGAGGACCCGCAGAACTGGAGCGACGGCAAGAAGTCCTTGATGCTCATCGTCGTCACGCTGGTCGGTCCATTCCCAGGCCTCGATGCGTTCCGTGCGCTGACGGAGAAGCGCAGGCTGCCGTCGTCCCGGACTTTGACTCTGGGATCGGCATTGCGGCGATCTTCAAGCTTGCGGAGGAGTATGGTACAACGACGGGTGTGATTAACAACTTGACCTCCAAGTGCGTTGCTCTGCATCAGTGCCAGAGAGGGTCGAGAATACTGATCTTTCTCGTGCAGCTGGAGTATCTTCCTTGTCGGTGCGCTGCCTGTTACTTTCTGCAAGACAAGCAACTGATGACTTGCGAAAGGTTGGGGAGGAATTACCGCTGTGTCGGTCATCGATCCTTTGCGTCCAGATTGAAAATGCACTGATCCAATCAAGTATGGCTGTTCGGCGTTTGGGTCGCCTTCCGGTTCTTTTCTGGTCTCAAATCCTGTCTCTGGGGTTCTTAGTCGGAGCGACATTCGCGCCGAACTTGAACACGTTCACAGGTGTGTGTTTGACATCTTCCACAGCTGCGTAGACTGATCTTAAATCGATCCAGCTATGCGTTGTTTGACTGGATTTTTTGGGTCAGTAGCATAGTCCAACCGACACAAAACTGAACTCATGTAAATCTTCTTCAGGACCACACCGCAAGTGATTGGTTTGTTTGTCGTGACGGATTTGTATCCATTCCATCTGCAAGCACGGATGGTCTGTGGAATCCCCTCGATTGCGCAGCGGACTGGCATTGAAACTACTTTCCACAGCTGAACTTCTGGACAATGGGGTTCATCATCTCGCCGTTTCTGTCGCCTTTCCTCTTTGGGTTTCTGGTCGCCCGCACGTCCTGGCGCTGGGCCTACGGGATCGGCTGCATCTACGGATTGATTGTCATCCTCCTGATCGTATTCTTGATGGAAGAAACGTCCGTCGCCTTCTTCTCCTGGCCCAAACATCATGTCTAATCTCTTTGCAGAATCTACGACCGCACCGTGAAACCGATCCCGGAGCGCCCCACCTCGGGGTCACGGTACCACGTCGAAACGCTGCTCGGGATCACGGGGTTGAAGATGCAGAAACACCGCGTCTCGTGGAAGGAGACTATTTTGTCGCCGTTTGCAGTTGTCTGGCGCCCCCACATCCTCGGGCTGCTAGTCTTCGAGGTCCGTCCCGCACGAGCAGTGACAGAATCAAATCTAATCCTGTGTAGGCTTTGCTGTTCGGCTTCGGCATCGGGATCAATGTAAGTTCGATTGCACATCGGACTCGACCCTCGTTCTCACGAAATAGGACACGAACGCGGTCTTCCTTGGCAGTCCTCCGCCGGTCGGATTCGGCTGGTCGCAGTATGCGATTGCAGGCGGGTACGGTACTCCCATCGTGCGTGCTCCCCCCAGCTCGCAGGTCAGCCGCATCTGATCTCGAGCAGGTGTCGGTGGTTGTGGGCGAATTGATCGGCCGGTACATGAACGACTGGATCATGGACCGGAGTGTGCAACGGAACAACGGTGTTTTCGAAGCGGAGAGCCGCTTGTGGGCTTGTTACGTCGCCATCCCGCTCAACGTCGCCGGTCTGGTTCTTCTGGGCGCGGCGTTCCAGAAGAGACTGAGCCCGTTCGCTGTTATCATGGGCTGGGGATTGGTTGAGGTGTCGGTCATGATCAACACCGTCGCGGTCTGTCAGTGATTCTTGTTTCGCGCATCTACCATCAGCGGCCAACTCAAACTCTACAGACGCGTACTGCAACGATGCGTTTCCGGAACATCAGGTGAGCACTCATCCGGCTTCAAACGCTCGTCGCAGTCTGAATCTCACTGTCCTCACTAGGGGGAAATCAGCGCCCTGATAAACCTGGCCCGCGTCCTCGACGGATTCGGCGTCGCGTACTTCCAGATTCCGTGGGCCATCAAGAGCGGAGCGCTGCAAGTGTTCGGGTGTGAAGCAGCGTTAGTCTTCCGGCTATCATCCTCTCCTATGCGTGATAACCGGATTTTCGTGCAGCATTGATGCGGGTCTCTTTCTGCTCGTCGTGCCTGTTCTTCAAGTATCGGGGCGGGATCTTCGGGCTCGGTTCTCGCTGCGTTAGCTCGTCCAGTTATCTTCACGTCGTATGAGCATGGGATTTGGCCGTCGGGGTTACTACTTTGTAATTTCAATAGTTGGTGCCTTGAACACTGCTACTCAACAAGAGTATCCACAGTTCTGCTCGTCACCCATCGCATCCAACCTGGCGTATGCGAGCAGAACATGCCAAGGACCAGGCCGTCGAGACTGGCCGGCCGCATCCGGCACTCGAGAAGGGGACGTTCAGTGAAATCCTCGGGGTGTGAAGACGAGGAAAGCACTCGAGCGCAGCGATGAGTTATGGTTAGGTGACATTACTTTGATGTCCAACGGGTTGGATGTGAGTCGACCCACATCCCGGGATAGGTCCACGTCTCTCGCCTCGTTTTTATCCGGTGGTTCGAACACATCCATCGTGCGGCTGTCCATCTCGAGACAGCGCAGATGTGCGAAGTGGCCAGGGGTGCCTTCGATGAAGTCTGCTGAAGTAAAGCCCCGGAGCATGAATGCGAGCTCTCTCAGCGCACTCCGGTAGTCATCCAGAGCAAATCCAAACGAAAGAGCAGAACTTGTTGGTGGCTCGCTATCGAAGGCCAGGAAAGGCGGTGTGATAACTCGCCCTAAAGACACAGAAGAGACTCAGAACATTCAGATGTTTGTAGAATATCCTCCCCCGGTCGTCCATCTGAAGAGAATCGAAGCCCGCGAGCGACTAAGCAAGGATATGATTAGGAGCCTCCTTATGCATCCTCGTTCGAGAGCCAAACGGGTCGCAAGCAACAGCTGTCCAGCGTCAGCGATGCTCCCGTTGTGAAACCGGAACTGATGGAGAAGTTTGTCCGCTGGAGGCACATGTCACGCTGTCACAGCACTGGCAGAGGTCGTTCTCCAGTCTCCAGTCGTCACCGAAGTCTCGCACCGGATCTAAAAACCATTCGTTCGAAGACTTGACTGCACATGTTCCCCCGGTTAGACGAATGCAGCTACGACGCGGAGTCGCTGCCGACTCTGTCTTCCGCATGTCGAAACAATCGTCACGGCTTTGATCATTGAAGAAGGTCGAGCTGTCGGAATCCGTGTGCTGAGCCAGCAGCAGCCAGCTGGGTCTACGACCTCGATCACAGTGCTCGCTTCAGGAGAGATAGTCTCGTGCGCGGGTCCGGTTAGCTCACCGCAACTTCTGACGTTGAGGTCGGTGTCGCTCGCAGGTTCGGCCGAGGCCACGGACTCCTTTTCTACATCTGGACACTAGTCCGCCTGGACTCCACTGGCCGCGTCAGCCCAATGTCCCGGGTTGCACGCGACCGACCGAGCTGCGACTTGGGTGTCTTCAACGGGAAGGGAGCTCAAAATCGCGTACCGATATGTGCCACTTTACGGGCAGCACTGGCTCTCGGTAGCACACTTCGCGCGAGTGGGTATCCTATGGAGCCGTTTCTTATTCCAGAGACTGAACACGATTAGAAGCTGGACGATTTCGTCGACAAGCATCTCATGACGAGGTATCACTATTCGTCGTCTTGTCGGATGGCGCCCGAAAAGGAGAGCGAAGCAGTCGACGACGAGCTCATAGTACACGGCATCACAGGTCTGCGGATTGCGGATGTCAGTATCTTTTACCAAGTGCCCGCTTGCTATCTCCAGGCTCCAGTGGTCATGATAGCGGAGCGATGCGCAGGTTTCATCGATCCAGGAACCTGAGCGAGAACATGGCCTTGCTCCCGAGCTAGTGATGTGCAGACTGAACCGACCATCGTTCGACATCCCAATGCAATCGGCTCGAGTGCTTCCTGATCCCCGACATGTTGTTGGGTTTTGGAACACCGAGAGAGTTGATACCGATTCACATACTAGCATGTTTTTGGCTTTTGCATGTCAAATCGACATACACATCCTCCACCAGCCATCACAGAGCTCGATATTGAATCCTTAACTGTCTTTACGAGTATACAGATATATCACAGTATTTCCTACAAATCCAGATCGAGCACAAACACTCAGTGCCCAGTGCTCATACACTACTTATACAATTCGCTCGCGTCTTAGCATTGGCGCGCAAAGCCACTCTGACCCGCGCTGTCCTCCTTCGCCGCATCACCAAAGTTCCCCGGGTCCGGGCGTCCGTGTTCCTTATCAGGCTGGTGGACAGTCTGCGCCTTGAGCAGCATCGAGGTCGCCGTCGCATCTAGGATAGAGAGGGGGCATCAGCGAACAGGTTCAGCGCGTGGAGAGGAAGTTACGAGAGAAAGAGGTGTGTAGGAAAACAGCGACGAAGAGGGACAGGAAGTGCAAGGGGAGGAAGAGGGCGGTGTGGATGAAGCGTGAGGGGAGGGACGACATCGTACGGATGTCCAAGTGGGCGGGAGGACGGGGGGTGAGTTCGGGATGCGTGATGGTACCAAGTGGGGGGATGGTTGCTATCGACGGTGGAGGGTTTGTGTCTTCGCGGATGTATGATGAATGGGGAGGAACGGGGGGCAGAGCTGTCGACGGGCGGAGACCCGACACATGCACTTGCGCCTCCGCTCGCGAAAAGAAAGTTTTCGAGCGAGCCGACGTACCCATCAATCCCTCGGTAATCTCCAGAATGTCCACGATGAGGCGCTCGATCAGGTCTTCACTGAGAGTTTCGCGGACTGCAAAGCTCGATCAGCAGCAGAAAGAAAAGCTAAAGTCGGCTCCACCCACCGACAACACGGAGGATCTGAGTATCAGCCTCGCCCTGTGGCGCATTATAGTTGGGCACGATCCAGCCCTTCGTCCGCAGCATCGACTGGATCCAGGACTGCTCGACATGCGGGTATTCGGATTGGAACTTGTCCGAGAGCCGGAAAGACACGACCGGCAGCCCTCGCTCATAAAACTCAGGCTCATCCGTGTTCTCAGTCTGCGGCAACTCGCGCTGTCCGCGTTCGGAGGGCTTGTGGATGTTGCTCAGCACAGTGAAGTACGTGGCATCCAAGGCTCGAGACAGCATCCGGGCGTTGCGCAGATCCTTGATCGCGATGCGGCGGTAGCCTTCAAAGCCCAGATTGAGGAAGTTGAACATCTGCACGATGATCGGCGCGGCAGGCTTTGAGAAGTTGCTACAAGAAGGTGAGAAAACGAGGCCTGACGGAGACACGAGATCGACCCACAGAGTAAACGAGTACTCCACGCTCCCAAGATAATCTGTACCCAGAATTCAGCACTGATTCAGTGACACTGGGCGGAAACTCACGCAGCTCGAAAACGAGATCCTTGTGCAGGTACGACTCGTCTCTCCAGAGAATCCAGCCGAGGCCAGCGTAGACGAGACCAAACTTGTGCCCCGAAGTGTTGATGGACACCACACGTTTGACGTCAAAGGCCCACTTCAAGTCCGGGTAAGCGAAAGGAGCGATGAAGCCTCCAGACGCGCCATCCACGTGTATCGGGACATCCAGGCCAGTCTTCTCCTGCAGCTCGTCCACTGAAGTGACGTCAGTCATTGCACAAAAACGCCCATAGGCCACGCACACAAGTCAGACATGAGTCCGACGTTCTCAAAGTGGCCCGTGTAGGTGCTGCCCAGGATCACCATCACGCCGATCGTGTTCTCGTCGATGAAAGGAAGCGCGTCGTGGGGGTTCATGACGTAGTTCGTCGACGCGTTCACAGGCACAAGGCGTGCCTCGACATCCCAGTAGCGTGCGAACTTCTCGAGTGCGACCTGGGCGTTGGATCCAAACACGATGTTCGGGTGGAAGTAGTCCTTGCCGGCAGCCTGCGAGCAGCGTCAGCCAGTATTCAGACTTCCATAATCGATCCCACCGACCTTGCGGGCCTCCTGCCAGCGTTTCTTCATAGCGAGACCGCCGAGCATGATGGCTTCAGACGAGCCAGCCGTCGAGGTCCCGATCGCTTTTCCGTCCTTGGGCGCTTTCCACAGATCGGCCAGCATCGAGATGCAGCGGTTGTGGATGATCGTCGCCGCGGGGTACTCGTCCAGATCGACCTGATTCTTATTCATATTCTCCATGATCAGTTTGTCTGCCTCTTCGGGCATCCAAGTGTGCACGAAGCTGGTCCTTCTCGTCAGCTAGTCACAAGAAGGCGCGACAAGCACTGCTACATACGACGCGAGGTTCAGCAGCGGGTTCCCATCGAGTGCGGTCTCATCGTGCAGGAGTTGGTAGGCGGCCTTGGACGGGATGCCCTCCTGCGGGATAGTGTACTTGGACACGCGCGCGGCATCTTCATCGCGCGACCACGACTGGTGCAGGGTCTGGCGTCCTTCCTGCTGGGCGTGCTTCCGGAACGGATGCTCCTTGCAGTTCTGGATCACATCCTCCGCGTTGACTGGCGGCGAGCGCGGCAGTGAGCTGGGGCATCGATCAAGATGCGTGGGAAGTGCGTACTGTGCCGGGAGAGAGACATGTCTTGTTAGAGGGAGACAGTTGAGGGGAAATCTGGGTCTTGGACTGCATTCCAGCCTTCACGCTGAGGCTTAAATAGCACCCTCAGCCTCAAAGTTATTGTGTCATTGATTGATGTAGAGTGCTCGTCGGAAGTCCATCGATGAGCCTCGAACCCAGGTGATCACGGGGTAATGCATAGTAAACGTGGGAGCTTTAGTTTCTAGAAGGGTTGTGGAGACTGTAGGTTTCGGAACCGGAGTGGCATGGTGGTTGTGGGAGCAGTTCGTTCTGCGTTCGAATTTATGCTGACGAAATCACAGAAGCCCGGGAACGCGTCTTCAAAAGCTGCGATCACTTTGTCTGCGCTGAGCATCCGCTTCAGGCCTCAGATAGTAGAGAGTAGCTTGGGGCGAGACGTCAAGTTCCTCTATCTTGGGAACAGTCTTGATCTCGCACCACTCAGACTGCCAGGCCAACGCTCTCCCAGCTGAGAGCTTCCTCTCCCTCCGCTATTCTCCGGTGCCCGAGCCGGCCCTGAACACATGGGGGACACAGAAGCCCACCTGCACGCCTTTCTCACGTGTTCAAGCCTGTTCATTAAAGACGCCGATCGAGAAAGAAGAAGAAAGAGCTGTGTTCTCTCAATATAAATAGCTGAGCGCGCGATAGTGGCCTGCCATGGACCTCCCTTTTTCAGCGCTTTTCTCGCCTTTCCACACGATTTGATCCAACCACCGTGCATCCCAGCACCAGTCACATCCTCCCATTATTCAGAAGTCCACTTTTTCCGGCGTCCCAAATGACCAGAAGCTGAGCATCGAGGCATCCTTCTTGACACTGCAATGCTCCGGTCCCACATTCTCAGAAGACATGCTCACCTCGTGTGTTGCCGGAACTATTCCTGGAGTTGGGTTGTTCGCCGCTCACAGCCAACTGTCAAGTAGCATTCCATGCTCTGCATCTACAAATATATTCACATCTACTCGCTCTTGTCGGACTCGGACCCGTCCGCCTCCTCGTGCCGGGACGCGTTGGCCGCAGTAGCAGCAGCAGCTTTGGACAGCCGTTTCGCACGCGCGAAGATGCCCACCTCCTTGTCGCGGATGAAGTTGACGATGACCATCGGCCACGACGGGTGCGACGGGAGCGCGTCGTACACCTCCGGCACCATCGCGCGCAGCGCGGGCAGCCGCGTCCACGGGACCGAGGGGAAGTCGTGGTGCTCGTTGTGGTACCCGACGTTGTACGCGAGGACGTTCAGCGGCCCGTAGTAGCTGTACGTCTCCTGCGCCAGGCCGTCCCACAGGTAGTGCTCGGCGATGAAGTGTCCCGCGCAAGGGTGCAGGCTCCCGGCCATGAAGCTGCTCATGATGAGATACGCGAAGGGTCGCCAGCCGAAGGTCTTGACCAGGGCGTAGTCGAACACGCCTTGCGCGAGGAAGTTGAGCAGATGCCACCTGTTCAGACGCTGCGCGCGCACGAATCCGGGGCGAAGCGCGTAGAACAAGATTTGGAACGTGCTGTGAAACGGCCTTCAATTGGAGACGCGGGGGAGTGACTGCACAGCACGCACGCGAAAAAGACCTTGCCAAGAACGTTGTTCAACAACAGCAGTTCTATTTGCGTAGGCAGGTCGGTGTCGATGCCGTCCTGGCCCATAAACTTGTGGTGTTCCATGTGGTATCCTTTAAACATGACTGAATAGGGTATCCCAATAGGCAAGTTGGCGAAGATGGCCAGCAGTTTGTTCGGCGCGATGCCCTTGAATGCGAGGTTGTGCGTGATCTCGTGGATAGCAAGGAAGAGATTGTGATTGGCAGTGCCCCCAACGACGTAGGCGCACAGCAAGAACCACGGCGAAAAAGGAGACGTGTGTCGCAGGGCAATGGCACAGTAGACCTGCAGCGAGACCACCGCGAGGACAACATATTTGGTAAGTGGTTCGTGCCCCATGAGTTTTGTGACCTATGGGCGACGACAGTCGTTCAGCCCTGGACGCGATAACGCAGCAGGAGACACACCTCAGGGTGACTCTTGAGAATCTCCATCCTTCTCGACCTGTGCGGCTCCTCCGTCATGAGCCAAAGGAAATCTGCTGGGTTTTGAGGGGCCGCGATGTGTGCCGCACCATTGTCCTTCTGGGATGGCTGGACAAGGGTGGTACGACGTGGTGACCGCTTCTTTCCCTCCGTCAACGAATCAGCACCGCCGAACAGGCTAAAGTCTGCTGCCGTGAGCGGAATATTCTGAGAGATGAAGTGGAGCTGCAACTCACCAACAGCCTCCGGCGCTGTTGGAGTAGACATGGGGGATGTTATATATCAGGGCGGCAGACCGACCGACGCTGCTCGTAAATTTCTGATTGACACTTATTGGCAGGTACATCACGTGTCTGGCGCACGTTGGCTAGATCGGGCTTGGAACGCTGGGCCTAGCTTCAGATGGCTGGCCCGACGCGCTGAGACTCGTCCAGTCCACCTCGAACAACTTTGAGCGCGCATCACTCTTATCTGAATTATCTGTATATATCCTGTTCTGAGTTATCGATTTATCATTTATCATTTACAACAAGTGTTCAATGATACTGGGTTGATCACTTTGTGTTCCAGAGATGGCGGGCCGCAATCATTCAGGATGCACATTCACACCCAGATCCCCACAATAATATAAAGAAGAAACGTATCCTCACCACAGTCGCTTATGTCAACCTCAAAATCTGCTCATCCACCATTCCTCACGCATTCATTTAAAAAAAACCATAGGGAGGCGAAGAGTAAAGGATCTATCTGGCTCCGTTCTTCATCTCCTTCACGATCGGGGAAAATTTGACAGCCTGCCCCCAAAGAGTAAAACTCAGAAAGTGGTGAACAGTTCGAGGCGAGCCAATGTCCAGCAGCCACACATAAAACGCGAATCGGCTAGCGTCATGCAACACGTGGATCTCCAGTCCATCAGGACGGACATTAAAGACCGTTTCTTCGATGGTGCAGCGGTATCGAGCCAGTTTGAAAGGATACACATAACTCCGGCGATATGAGCCCGGTTGGGAATTCTCTCGTCGTTCAAGTCAGGCTTCGAGGAATGAGCAGCAAGCAGAAGTGTCCATCCAGCACACCCTAGCAGAGAGAGAGAGAGAGCCAAGCTGCTCGGTTCCAGACATGAAGCAGCACAGAAGGCGCAAGCATTTCTTCAACCATTGATGGCAACGCCTCTGGAATGGATACCGCGCAACGACCCTCCGGCTTCCTCCGGCGTCCACGTTCAGGAAGCTAGTGGACCGGCGACAGAGGCCGATCGCGTCGCAGCTGCGGAGCGAGTGCAGCTCGATTTTAGAACCCCCTCGAGCTTGAGTACCATATGTGCTAGAGCGCTGTTGTCAAGGGAGGATCGAGCCAAAACAGTTGCAACCATGCCCTTCCACCACGCGGGATGATGGATGATCAAATCGATAGTGATCAGATCAGCGCCGCCGCACCTGCGACAACGGATCAACATGACATTCTGCAAGCGCGCCGTCGTCAGAGACCCGTCCGTCCTTGCCTTCCTCCCGCTCATCCATGTCTGAAATCGTCATTCGCGAGGTGCGCAGCACGCCTACCCGGCATCGAAGTAGCTTAAACCCCCGTAGGCCGCTCCGAACGTCTGGATCTTCTCGAGGTTTGCACCAAGCCGTGCCGTGCTAGTGCCACCTCATCACCTGATTTCCTCTCTCTGCTCCCGGTGCAAACAGGCCCTTTGCGCTTTTCGGGTGGATTCAGATCGGCGGGCGCTCGACCGCTATCAAGTTGAACGACGGGGGCGTGTGGGTGATGGTCTCCTCGCCGCTGAGTGCGGAGACGAAAGCGAAGCTCGACGAACTCGGTCCCGTGAAGTTGCGTCTTTGTCTAGATGCTGACTTGTTTCTCATCAGTCCCGTCGCAGATACATCATAGGTGTTAACGCCGTGCATCATCTCTATCTGAGTAAACACAGCCTCCCTACAGCGAAAAAAAGATGCTGAACCGCGGACAGGCGAATACAAACAAGCGTACCCCGAGGCAAAGTTGATCGCACCCAAGAGCGCTGCGAGGCGCTGCGAGGACAAGGCTCTCGTGTTCGACGGTGCCTGGGGCGATGATTCAGCAGACACAAAATACGGGTTTGAAGACGAGGTGATTTTTTATTCTATCATCACCGCGCACCGATCTCTGATGTGTGTTTCACAGATTGAAGCATGGTGGGAAATGTGATTTCTACATTCGAATTGCTGTAAAACGCCACAACAGCTATTTCGCTGGATTCAAGAACCGGGACGTTGCATTCCTGCACAAGACGTCAGGCACCCTTGTAATCAATCTCACCTCGTCGCTTTTTTTCTCAACTGACACGGAAGTAGATCCAAGCCGACCTCTTGACGAATCTTCCCGGACGGGAACAGGTCTGAACTCATGATGTGCTCAGCAGAGAAAAATCCTGAACTAACCGGATCGAACAGTATTCGAAATGCACGACATCATCGGGCCTGTTTCCCTGGTATGGTTCGTTCGGGAAGCCGTCTGGCTGGATCCAGAACCAGCTTTCGGGGGCGAAAGTGGATAAGCCCGAGTTCGTCATTATCTCCTCTTCGCTGAACACAGTTCTCAAGGCGCCCGTAGACAGATGAAGGCCGATGTCAAGACGGTCGCTGCCTGGTCCTTTAAGCGAATCATTCCATGCCATGGGGATCTCATCGAGGAAGATGGGAACGCAGTCTGGCGAGAGACGTGGAAAGCCTTTCTCTGAGTCATAGACAAAGATTGATTTCGCTGCCTGAAACATTTTCTATTGGCGTTGGTTATCCTTTTGGAGAGCACCGAGGAGAATGGCAACGGCAGCTTCAGCGGATCCCCAAGAGGACTGATAGCCACATCCACCATGTCTGTTAGTCGATTCAGGCAATGAAGCGACCCAAAGTATGGGAACCCACCCGTAATTATGTACCACAGGAGTCAAGTCGCCGGCTGTAACTACAGAAAAGGAACAGCATCAGCATATGGAGATGCGGACGGATGGCGCGCCGTTCACCTAGCGATGTCATTTCCACTCTAACGCCGCCTACGCGAGACGTGCGCAGGCCGACGCATTCTTCGATCACATCCAGGTCATCAATCGATCCATTCGCTCTCTTCTCCTCTGGAAGCAGCTCTGGATGTGCGTAAATCCCGCGTTCCTTGATCAGCTTCACGGTTTCCGGGCGAGATGTGGGATGCCTGGGCGAGCGTTCTGTCGGCCTTGCCACTCGATTTGATGAACACCACCACGCACCAATCGTTTGGCTGGAATGTTCCTCCCAAGATGACATCTCCGCTCTTCCTCGGGATAACGTACGTGATGTGCCCGTCCTCGTAGGTGAGTGAGAAACCGGCTTTGATCCACGGCGCGCGCAGGAGGATCGTCTCGCCGCGTGTCGGATACATCGCGCTGTCCATCACATCTCCGAGCGTCAGCGCACCGAGCCCCGTGCAATTGAACACTGCTACAGCATCGAAGGGCGCCGTTGGCGGGGAGACCTCAGACCCGATGGGTTCGAACGGGGGTCTGGCCGACGGTGTGAAGAGACTCGTTAGGGATGGGAGCGTTGCACGGTAGGCATGGCCGCCGCTGGATACGAATCGGCTCAGTAGGTATCTTAGATATCGCGGGACATCCACGTAGATCTGCTGTAGTCAGTACCGTAGGACAGGATGAATCGAAAGCAAACGGGGAACACTCGCCGTCGTGAATTCTCCGCCGTGTTTCATCCCAGGTGGCAGCTCATTCTCACCCAGCAGACGATAGTCAGAATAGAATCTCGTAAAGTGGTCTGAAGTGGCCTTGGCGTCCGCGCTGAACTGATAAAACAAAGGATCAGGGCCCGCCCTGGATTCTTTGTACGTACAATATTACCACTTGTACGTGCACCCGATTCGGCCCAACCATAACCGGAACATCCGGTTCACGTTCCACCAGCTGCACGAATGTGTCAAAAGTGACCCGCTCGAAACCTGAACGCTGGGTCGTGAGTAAAAAACGACTATTTGGGGTCCAGTTCCCCATTGTTATCACCATGCAGCCGCTCCCCCATATCTACTAGACTGATATGATTTGCGCCGGCCCAGCAGGACGTGTATTTGATGCTCTTGGGGTCGACTGGGAATGTCTCGGCGACAAGAGACACCGCGAAACCAGCTTCGATCGCACGGATCGCGGTCGAGAGCCCAATGACACCTGGAGAGTGGCTGCTTCAGCGACGATCTGCATGCGCAGGAGCAGGTGCAGGTGTGAATGACCTGCCCCGACGACGAAAACATGCTGAGGGGCGGTAGCAGTAGACATGATCCTGATACGAGAGCGGGAGACAAGAGATAGCGAATTCCGGTCCGCATCGCCGGGTTCGGATCACCGATCACGAACCGCGCGTAGCTCCTTGAGCCACGGGGACGGAGGAGTTACTTTGACAGAGCGGACCCGTTGTTTGGAACGCCCAACTTCCAACATCGAACGGCTGCTGCAAAAACCGGACCCGAAGCGCAGGCGATCCTCCCAAGGACGCGCCATCCTGCGCGAGTGCCGCGCAAGAACTGTTATCCCTGCTTCTGCTACCCTGAACAACGGGGCCGTATCAATCCAACCCATCCACCACGCTGTTTGCCGGATTGTCAAGCCACGTCGTTCTCATACTCGACGCCCTTCCAGACGTTCCTCTCGCGCATATTGCGGTGGGAGAACCGCTGCGGCCCCCCTCGGCGAACAAATCGTAGCCATCTGGATGACTCTTGAGCCGCCGTGCCTAGACAAGGGCACAGCAAACGACGTCGGGGCTGACACGCCGGCGCTTCAAATGGTTGGGCATTAGTCATGGCCCGGCCATGAACCCCGTCCCGTTACACAGGTGGCGGCTCGGGCCACTCTACTGAATTCCGCTATAGCAAGGATGTCACCCAGCACTCCGGTTTCGGCGATGTGATAGTCGCAGATGATTGGCCTGCCAATTGCAGTACATCCCAAACACTGGTTTGATCATTCACTGTGAGATGCCAGCCAAGTATATTCACTTCGCACTCTCGCAGAGCACTCCCATAGGTGGACAGATGCACAGACTGTGAGAGAATCCGCACAAGATCGGTACTGACATATTTTACAGGACGCAGATCTATCCCCATTACAGACCGGGACTTGGGCGTTAAAAGGACGGTAAAAGTGGGAGAGAGCTCTATCTCATCTCAGGTTCCTCACCTAGAAAAATATGGGATTCAAGGCATTCATCGTCCTCGTCAACGTCGCCTTGGTGGCGGCGAAAGCCTCCATCCTCATCAGTCGGTGGTTCAGTGCACCAGTGGTCCATGCTCTGACGATCCCCATAGACCCGGCAGCGTTCCCCAAGCTGCCCACTGCAAAGCAGGCGTCGGTGGCATCCAGCGCCGTGGGACTGAACCTGGACAACGTTCAAGGCGATATTCTGTCCGTCGGTCCGCCGGCTCAGACGAAGTCTCTTCGCTAACCGTGCTGCAGAGTTGGAATGCGCAAGTCCAGCGAGACGTTCTACTTCTTCTCCGTCAACGACGGGAGCGCGTTCAAAAAGAGTTTCCGCAGCGGCGTCTTCCCGCTGATCACGTCGACGACACAACTGCTCAGCGTATCGACACAGCCGACGACTGCGCTCAACGTCGCGTTCTCGCACACGGGGCTCGTCGCGCTCAACATCACCGACAGTCTCGGAGACACGCCCTTCCAGACGGGACAGCATGCGGATATTCCGAACATTGGAGACGCCAGCGACGCCAACTGGGTCCCCGCGTTTGCGGGGACCAACATCCACGGTGTGTTCCTCTTTGCGTCCGACACACAGACAAACATCGACGCGGAGATCGCCAACGTCGAGGGCATCCTCGGATCCTCCATCACCAAGCTCTACTCTCTCCAGGGTGCAGCGCGACCGGGTGCAGAGGCGGGTCACGAACGTCAGTCACCTATTTGATTCATGTTCAACCCAGCACGTGACGTGGCTCAAACCATCACAGATTTCGGCTACATGGACGGAATCTCGAACCCTGCGGTGAACGGCTTCGTTACATCGCCTTTCCCTGGACAGGCTGTTGTCGACGCGGGCACGATTCTTCTAGGAGAGACCAACGACCTGGTCACACGTCCCTCCTGGGCGCTTGACGGCTCGTTTTTGGTTTTCCGGCAGCTCCAGCAGCTGGTCCCCGAGTTCAATCAGTTCTTGACCAACAACCCCATTTCTGGTCCGGGACTCACGGCGCAGCAAGGCTCGGATCTGTTGGGTGCCCGGATGGTTGGACGTTGGAAGAGTGTGCGTTTGAAATTCGTCCCTTGGTCGTCGGACATGTCAGTGCTGACGGAGCGTTACACACAGGGCGCCCCGATCCAACTGAGCCCTCTGAGCGATGACCCGGCGCTTGGTGCTGATCCCACCCGCAACAACGACTTCGACTACAGCGAGCTGCTCGGCGTCCAGAACACCACAGGGTGAGTTCCCAGAAACACTTTCTCATGTGGGGCTCGAGTTGAATAACGGTTCTGCAGCTGCCCGCACTCTGCCCACCTCCGCAAGACACGGCCCCGGTCGGATCTCGGAAATCCCGAGGATGCGGTGCATCACATCATGCGTTCTGGCATTCCATATGGTCCCGAAAGTACGCGTTGTGCTTCCCTTCTGTGACGGGCGTTCCCGCTAACAGATCTCGGCAGTGAACACCACCGAGATCAGCCAGAACAAGACGATGACCGAGCGCGGGCTGGCCTTCGGTGCGTTCTTCTTCCATCTTTATTTTTGATAGCCCCATTGACGCGATGAGCAGTGGCCTACCAATCGAGCATCTCGAAAGGCTTCCAGTTCCTCCAGCGGTTCTGGATCAACAACGCAAAGTGAGTGGATCGCAGAGTCGCCGTTGAACTTGACTCTGACGGAGACTAACCGCAATTGCAGCTTCGTCGTGAGCGGAAACGGTGTTGATCCTCTAATTGGTTAGTTCCGATTGATGCTGCCCAGAAATGCATACAGAATCTGAACTGCCACCTCTAGGCACTGTTGGCGGCGGACCGCGCACTGTTCTGGGACTCGATCCGTTCACACCGACCGCAGACGAAACAGTTCCTATGGGTACGTTTTCCGGGAACGTCGCGAATCTGCGCATATACTGACTCGTGCCAGACTTTGTCGTCTCTCGGGGCGGAGAGTACTTCTTCAGCCCCTCACTGGCTGCTTTGAACAGCACCGTCTTTCAGTAGTTGATAATAGTCTGTTTTGTTTTTAGATTCCACGGGAAAATTATATGTGTATACGCCACTGGAAGATTTGCGTGAGCGACCGGCGATCTGTACGGTGTTGCTCGGGTCGAGAACTATGTTGGGACCAAAACGGCCAATTTCTATCAATCAGAGTGGTTCAAACTGTTCCGGAACCATTTGGCCAGGCAAAGATGATAAGAAACTTAATAAGGTTGTTGGTCAGATCGGCTGCTTTCCAAATGATACCCACCCGCAATCTCTAATCAAGCCGTCCACATCTTATAAATACACGAAGTGTTATGTACGGGGCGTAAATACCGGAATTTGGCAGAATGCAAGAGGAGCTGGGATCAATGTTGAAATCAATGCGTTGGAAGGCACGACGGCACGGCGTGACATCTCGACGAGAGACTGATGCAACCTCGTAGATGATACGTCTGTCTTCTCAACGCGGTTGTCGTCGTGAGCAGCGGGATGCGATCCTAATCTCACGTGCATGTGGCTGTAAACACGTCGGTCGTTTCCGTCCCGGTATGGTTCAGCAGAGGAGCACTGCCTCACAGATCGCTGATCACACGAGGAGTTTTGCCAGTGGTGAATATATAATAAGTATATATATATATATATATATGTATATATGTTTGCAACTTTGGAACCCAGAAAAGACGAATATCAACTATTCAAATGTGGTGCTGTTCAAAGCGTTCAGCGAGGGGCTGAAGAAGTACTCTCCACCGCGAGAGACGACAAAGTCTGTGAGGAGTCAGTATATGCGACGCATGCTGTTACTCAGTTCCCGCGAACGTACCCATGGGGACTGTCTCGACTGCAGCAGGAGTGAACGGATCGAGGCCGAGAACATCGTGTGATCCACCGCCGACGGTGCCTAGAGGTAGGAGTTCAGACTCGTACGCATTTCAGGCGGTATCGGTGCGGACTCACCGATGAGGGGATCAACGCCCGTTCCGCTCACGACGAAGCTGTGAGAGCGGGTTAATTTTGATCCCACGTCGAAACTGCGAATGACACTCACTTTGCATTGTTGATCCAGAACTGTTGGAGGAACTGGAACCCTTTCGAGATGTCTGATTGGTAGGCCACTGTGCACCGGGGTCAGCGTGACTGTGACGGACAACCATGGCAGAAGAATGTACCAAAGGCCAATCCGCGCTCAGCCATCGTCTTGTTCTGGCTGATCTCGGTGTTGTTCACTGCCGGGATCGGTTAGTGGGAGCTCTCGTCACAGGAGAAAGCGGCTGAAACGTACTTTCGGGTCCGTAGGGAATGCCGGCGCGCATGATGTGGTGCACGGCATCCTCCGGACTTCCCAGATCGGACCGGGGCCGTGTCTTGCGCAGATGGGCAGAGTGCGGGCAGCTGCGGAACCGTTATTCACTCGGGCCCCGCCTGAGAGAGTGTTTCTGGGAACGCACCCAGTAGTGTTCAGGACACCGAGCAGCTCGGTGTAGTCAAAGTCGTTGTTGCGCGACGCATTCGCACCGAGCACCGGGTCGTCACTCAGAGGGCTCAGTTGGATCGGAGCGCCCTGTTGCAGAGGCTCAACGAGAATGTCACACAATCATGGGTCTGAAACTCACGCTCTTCCAGCGCCCCACCAACCGCGCACCGAACAGATCCGCGCCTTCCTGCTCCGTGAGCGCCAGACTCGAGTCAGAGATCGAGTTGTTGGCCAAGAATTGGTTGAACTCGGGGACCAGCTGCTCGAGCTGCCGGAAGACGAGGAACGAGCCGTCAAGGGCCCAATCGGGACGCGTGACCGGGTCGTTGATCTCTCCCAGAAGAATCGTACCCGCGTCGACAACGGCTTGCCCGGGGAACGGCGATGCGACGAAGCCGTTCACCGCAGGGTTCGAGATTCCGTCCATGTAGCCGAAGTCTGTGATGTGATGGTTTCAGCCACGTCACGTGCCAAATTGAACACGAATCAAGTATGAACTCACGTTCGTGTCCTGCCTCTGCACCCGGTCGCGCTGCACCCTGGATTGCGTGAAGCTTCGTGATGGACGAGCCGAGGATGCCCTCGACGTTGGCGATCTCCGCGTCGATGTTCGCCTGTGTGTCGGACGCAAAGAGGAACACACCGTGGATCGTGGTGCCCGCAAATGCGGGGACCCAGTTGGCGTCGCTGGCGTCGCCGATGTTTGAGATGTCTGCGTGTTGGCCTGTTGTGAAGGGCGTGTCGCCGAGGTCGTCGGTGATGTTGAGCGCGAGGAGCCCTGTCTGCGAGAACGCGACGTTGAGCGCGGTCGTCGGCTGTGTCGACACACTGAGCAGCTGCGTCGTCGTCGTGATCAGCGGGAAGACGCCGCTGCGGAAACTCTTTTTGAACGCGCTCCCGTCGTTGACGGAGAAGAAGTAGAACGTCTCGCTGGACTTGCGCATCCCAACTCTGCAGCACGGTTAGCGAAGAGACTTCGTCTGAGCCGAAGGAACGACGGACAGGATGTCGCCTTGGACGTTGTCCAAGTTCAGTCCCACCGCACTCGATGCGGCCGCGGCCTGCTTCACGGTGGGGAGTGTGGGGAACGCCTCCGGGCCTGTGGAGAGCGCGCGTCAGAGCATGGTCCACCGATCGACGACACCACAAACTGATGAGGATGGAGGCTTTCGCTGCCACCAAGGCGACGTTGACGAGGACGATGAACGCTTTGAGTCCCATTTTGAGCTAGGTGTGAAGAGGCCGAGCTGAGATGCAGCTCTCTCCTCTGCCCGCCGTCCTTTTAAAGTCAAGCCCTCGATCTGCAACGGGGATAGATGTGCGTCTTGCGAGTATGCCCGCACCGATCCTCGCAACGACGCAGAGTCTGTATCTTTGCGCAACCATCGTGAACGAACTGCGAAAGTGTCAAGTGCGTGCTTCTTGGCTGGCGGTTGGATTTCTGCCGGACTGTTCAGTCCCAGTTTGGGCAAACAGTTCTCAAGGGCCTCGGCAGGCTTGTCATTTCCCAGCCATCACACTGCCTGAAAGGAGCAGCGAGTTACCCACCTTAACCTTCCCTCCAATCAAGCGGCCCGCCATGTACCGCGCCAAGGAGTCCATATCCAGTCACTCTTACAAATCCAGGGCCATTATGATTGCCAGTATGTCAGCCTCGACGTGCATTTTTCGCACAACTGCTTGAAAGCCGGGTTCCGGGGTCATCAAGATGACTCTTACCGCTCGCCCGAGGCACGCACTTGTGAACGAGAAGAACGCTTGCGAAGTGATTCGAACCACGAGAACGAGGGATCATGACAATCTGGGAAGCCACATGGTTAGCCAAACTGCCAAAGAGATTGATGTAGACCTCTCATCCTGGATAGTGGAAGCAGCAGAGAGCGTAGCTGCGTGGGATTCGAAAATAAGAGTGCGTTCTTCGGAGAAATCAGCTACGCGTTGTGTTCTTTTTTTGTATTCGCTGTTTGACCGTGGAAGTCCGGCGGTAGATGTTTCGGGTCCGCTTTGTCACAATCACTTTTTGTCACAGTTTCAACGGGATAGGAACGGATCGACGCGATCGGCGATCCGAACGCGGGGATCCGAACCAGAATCGACTTGATACTGATCCATCTCTCTCGTTGCTAAACAATGTTTACTACTCCCGCCACCAGGTCCTCTCAATTCTTGGTTCATGAACCGAGGTTTTGATGAACACAACAGAGTTTGGTAGCTGACATCAGGCTTCACTGAACTTGGCCAATAACAAGCTGAGATAGCTCTGTTTGAGGACAAACATGTATGATTTGAACACAAAGCTACTAGGAGAGCAACCCTGTAGCTTACTTTGTTCCTTGCCTCTATGAATCCTTTTTTTCAGCAGTAATTCAGTGCAATTATTGTCATCAATTTAAAAGGAATCTAGACAAAGCTCCAAAACAGACCTTCAAGCACTCTCAGAAATTTTCTGTCCTTCCTTGAAATGATGTTCACCATCTACCATTAATCTCCACAGTGTTGTGCACTTTGTCCTAAAATGGGAATGTCTCTGCTAGCCATCAGCCAAACTCAGTATAGTGTGATGGTAAATTCAAAATCTGTTGGGTTTATCAAAACCTTGTAAAACCTTGTGGACCTGGTTCATGAACCAAGAAGCAAGCAGACCTACTCATCTGCACCTGTTGTGGGAACAGTCTTGCCAAAATTACAATTCTCAGGACTGCCAATTGCTGCTAACCCAATCTTTTATTCATCAGTGTCAAGGGAACTCTCTCTCATATATGATCAGCATGGGATATTTGCATGTGACTACATGTGTGCTATCTACCAAGTGTCATGTTGAAGCCTGTTTATCTTAGCTACTATCAATGTACAGTAATGGCTGAATTAGAACACCCAACCCAACTTGGGAAGGAGCCTGGGAAGTCCTATCAACTGGCTGATCACAAGATTTTAGATAGAATTTGGCCATTGTCCACAACATAATGTCTGCTTCAGTTTGGATTTAGGATGACTGGATTAGTTTTGGATAGAATTTGGTGCACTGGACTTACTGTAAATAAATTTGAGCTGAGGTTGATAGCACCTTCCTAATTTGGGTTGGGCTGTTTAATTTGGCTGTGGCTGTATGTTGATGGGAAATCACTGCCACAGACCAATGGCAGATGAGAAATAGCTAATGAAACACCAGGATAAGATAGTGAGTAAATCAGAAGGACCAGTGATGGCCAGCCCCCACAGGCACCAGCAGTGGAAGGCCAGATTTGAGGAGCCTAGTGGCTTGGCCAGTAAGTGAAGACATCAGAGGCAAGCACCAACACTCAACTGGGAAGAGGGGTGGTGTGGGTGAACCCAAAGACATCTGGTACAAGCCTGTGACCCTTAATTCTCCCCAATTTTGTCTATTTAGCGCTAGCCTTCTAAGCTTAATCTGATAAAAATTGTCTGGCACCAGTGCTAGCCTTATTGGGCATAGTCAGAGGTCCTAGCAGAGCCAAAAGTAGTCTAAGAATACTGTACATTATGTCATGTCTACTTGGTGTGATAGTCACTGATACAAACATGTTTCAAAATGCTCATCACAATGAATGAGGATGGAATACATGAGAAGAAATAAATTTGAATTTTTTGAAATATATGGAGAGAAGAAAAAGAAGTTTTCAGAACAGAATCTATTAAAGAGAATGTGCTACTTATGCCGGAAAATGCCAGTATATACCTGTGAAGGTTGCTCACCAGAGAAAGTGGTTTATGCCAGAGAATAGGGATGTGTAGTTGAAGGTAGTTGATCATCTTGGGTTAAACACAATGTCTTGGCAGCAGGAGACATCGTGAAACCAGCATCCATGCCCAAGACACTGCCGAAAGTCCAACAAGGCCTCGGAAAATACTGCGTTAGCGGCGATCTTCGGTCCTAAGAATCGTAATCTCAGCCGGACTGTTTCGACGATTGATGGAGATGAGTTGTGGGAGTAGTGAACGAAGCTGAGCGACGGAAGAAGTAGACGAGAATCAATCTAGATCAATCCGATTCGTCGCAGGCGGATCACCAATCTGGTAGATCCTTACCGAATGGGGACGAAGAGATGACTGTGACAAAGCGGAACCGCGACTTCTAACGTCCGGCTTCTAGCGTCCTACGGCGAATGCCAAAACCGAACGCAACGCGCAGCTGATTTCTCCGAAGAACGCACACTTCTTTTCGAATCCCACGCAGCTACGCTCTTCGCTGCTTCCGCTATACAGAATGAGAGTGCATCTACATCAATCTCTTTGGCAGTTTGGCTAACCATGTGGCTTCCCAGATTGTCATGATCCCTCGTTCTCGTGGTTCGAATCACTTCGCAAGCGTTCTTCTCGTTCACAAGTGCGTGCCTCGGGCGAGCGGTAAGAGTCATCTTGATGACCCCGGAACCCGGCTTTCAAGCAGTTGTGCGAAAAATGCACGTCGAGGCTGACATACTGGCAATCATAATGGCCCTGGATTTGTAAGAGTGACTGGATATGGACTCCTTGGCGCGGTACATGGCGGGCCGCTTGATTGGAGGGAAGGTTAAGGTGGGTAACTCGCTGCTCCTTTCAGGCAGTGTGATGGCTGGGAAATGACAAGCCTGCCGAGGCCCTTGAGAACTGTTTGCCCAAACTGGGACTGAACAGTCCGGCAGAAATCCAACCGCCAGCCAAGAAGCACGCACTTGACACTTTCGCAGTTCGTTCACGATGGTTGCGCAAAGATACAGACTCTGCGTCGTTGCGAGGATCGGTGCGGGCATACTCGCAAGACGCACATCTATCCCCGTTGCAGATCGAGGGCTTGACTTTAAAAGGACGGCGGGCAGAGGAGAGAGCTGCATCTCAGCTCGGCCTCTTCACACCTAGCTCAAAATGGGACTCAAAGCGTTCATCGTCCTCGTCAACGTCGCCTTGGTGGCAGCGAAAGCCTCCATCCTCATCAGTTTGTGGTGTCGTCGATCGGTGGACCATGCTCTGACGCGCGCTCTCCACAGGCCCGGAGGCGTTCCCCACACTCCCCACCGTGAAGCAGGCCGCGGCCGCATCGAGTGCGGTGGGACTGAACTTGGACAACGTCCAAGGCGACATCCTGTCCGTCGTTCCTTCGGCTCAGACGAAGTCTCTTCGCTAACCGTGCTGCAGAGTTGGGATGCGCAAGTCCAGCGAGACGTTCTACTTCTTCTCCGTCAACGACGGGAGCGCGTTCAAAAAGAGTTTCCGCAGCGGCGTCTTCCCGCTGATCACGACGACGACGCAGCTGCTCAGTGTGTCGACACAGCCGACGACCGCGCTCAACGTCGCGTTCTCGCAGACAGGGCTCCTCGCGCTCAACATCACCGACGACCTCGGCGACACGCCCTTCACAACAGGCCAACACGCAGACATCTCAAACATCGGCGACGCCAGCGACGCCAACTGGGTCCCCGCATTTGCGGGCACCACGATCCACGGTGTGTTCCTCTTTGCGTCCGACACACAGGCGAACATCGACGCGGAGATCGCCAACGTCGAGGGCATCCTCGGCTCGTCCATCACGAAGCTTCACGCAATCCAGGGTGCAGCGCGACCGGGTGCAGAGGCAGGACACGAACGTGAGTTCATACTTGATTCGTGTTCAATTTGGCACGTGACGTGGCTGAAACCATCACATCACAGACTTCGGCTACATGGACGGAATCTCGAACCCTGCGGTGAACGGCTTCGTCGCATCGCCGTTCCCCGGGCAAGCCGTTGTCGACGCGGGTACGATTCTTCTGGGAGAGATCAACGACCCGGTCACGCGTCCCGATTGGGCCCTTGACGGCTCGTTCCTCGTCTTCCGGCAGCTCGAGCAGCTGGTCCCCGAGTTCAACCAATTCTTGGCCAACAACTCGATCTCTGACTCGAGTCTGGCGCTCACGGAGCAGGAAGGCGCGGATCTGTTCGGTGCGCGGTTGGTGGGGCGCTGGAAGAGCGTGAGTTTCAGACCCATGATTGTGTGACATTCTCGTTGAGCCTCTGCAACAGGGCGCTCCGATCCAACTGAGCCCTCTGAGTGACGACCCGGTGCTCGGTGCGAATGCGTCGCGCAACAACGACTTTGACTACACCGAGCTGCTCGGTGTCCTGAACACTACTGGGTGCGTTCCCAGAAACACTCTCTCAGGCGGGGCCCGAGTGAATAACGGTTCCGCAGCTGCCCGCACTCTGCCCATCTGCGCAAGACACGGCCCCGGTCCGATCTGGGAAGTCCGGAGGATGCCGTGCACCACATCATGCGCGCCGGCATTCCCTACGGACCCGAAAGTACGTTTCAGCCGCTTTCTCCTGTGACGAGAGCTCCCACTAACCGATCCCGGCAGTGAACAACACCGAGATCAGCCAGAACAAGACGATGGCTGAGCGCGGATTGGCCTTTGGTACATTCTTCTGCCATGGTTGTCCGTCACAGTCACGCTGACCCCGGTGCACAGTGGCCTACCAATCAGACATCTCGAAAGGGTTCCAGTTCCTCCAACAGTTCTGGATCAACAATGCAAAGTGAGTGTCATTCGCAGTTTTGACGTGGGATTAAAATCAACCCGCTCTCACAGCTTCGTCGTGAGCGGAACGGGCGTTGATCCCCTCATCGGTGAGTCCGCACCGATACCGCCTGAAATGCGTACGGAGTCTGAACTCCCACCTCTAGGCACCGTCGGCGGTGGATCACACGATGTTCTCGGCCTCGATCCGTTCACTCCTGCTGCAGTCGAGACAGTCCCCATGGGTACGTTCGCGGGAACTGAGTAACAGCATGCGTCGCATATACTGACTCCTCACAGACTTTGTCGTCTCTCGCGGTGGAGAGTACTTCTTCAGCCCTTCGCTGAACGCGTTGAACAGCACCACATTTGAATAGTTGATATTCGTCTTTTCTGGGTTCTAAAGTTGCAACATATATATATATATATATACTTATTATATATTCACCACTGGCAAAACTCCTCGTGTGATCAGCGATCTGTGAGGCAGTGCTCGTCTGTTGAACCATACTGGGACGGAAACGACCGACGTGTTTACAGCCACATGCACGTGAGATTAGGATCGCATCCCGCTGCTCACGACGACAACCGCGTTGAGAAGACAGACGTATCATCTACGAGGTTGCATCAGTCTCTCATCGAGATGTCACGCCGTGCCATCGTGCCGTGGATATAAAGAGGCTTGGTCGGTCGGCAGTCGAGTATCAATCACCACCGACATTCGCTTCCCCCACCCAAAGGCATGTCTCGACATATCGCGACATTACTTTCTCCGGCATGGGGCCACGCCCTGCCCTACCTACATCTCGCGATCCGGCTCCTCCGCACCGATCCCAGCCTGGTCATCACTATCGTGCAGCACAACCTCGTCGGTGCGTCGATCGCGCTTCTCAAAGCCGAAATTCACACCCTCACCCACTGGCAGTCCCGAAGATGACACGAGAGCTGGAGGGCTGCAAATACGACGCGCGTCGACTGTCGATTCTCGGTGTCGGCTCGGCAAAGTACGTCCTCGGCCGTCCCTATGGGATTCCATGTGCGTTGCACTTGTGCTTAGGGTTTCTTCTCCAGCGCGGAGTTTACTCCGGCGATTATGGAGCAAGCGACGAAAGAGCTTGTGGGGGGCTGGCTGGAGATCTTGGCTGGTCTCATGGCGACAGACGCGTCGACCAAATGGCCCAGGCCCCGGACAGTGCATGTCAGTGTCTCCGCCGCAACCCTCGCATGTATCCTGATATGGTGTCCAGATGGACTTCCTCGGCGGCGGATTCGTGTTTCAGCCGACGAAAAAGCTGCTGGGGCTCAGCGTGAAGGTGGTCATGTTCACATCGAGCGGGGTCACCACAATGCCGGACGTTCTGGACACCTACAACTTCCCGCGAGTCGTACGAAGGATCTCCGAAGACGAGGCAAAACGAGAGGGGAGGACGCAACAAAAGATCATCGTAGATGTGCGTTCGATATCTATCTTCCTTTGTCAGCCTCCGATACCGGTCACTCCTCTGACCGATGCGTACAGGTGATCACCGCCTGGAACGGCAGCGACAAACTCGATGGCCGTGTGCTGCACATTCCTGGGATCCCGGATATATACGACTACGAACACATCGCGCGCGGCGCCGGCGATCCCGACGGCGTAGCATCCGTCATCTATTCCGCCGCCGAGATGTCTGCCGGCGTCGACGCATTCATCGCGCTCGGCAGCGCGGCTCTCGAGCCTGGCTCCATCTCCCCCGTGCGAGACTTCTACCGCGCGCGCGGGCAGGTGGTATTCGCCGTCGGCCCGCAGATGCACGACTCGTATTTCGACGGCAGCTGCGGCGGGAGTGGAGGCCCACTTCCGTGCCCCCGCAACGCGAAACTGAGCAACGAGAAACTGAAGCGGTTCCTGGAGGATAAATTCCAAAAACACGGACCCCGATCTGTCTTGTACATCTCATTCGGGTGAGATCTCCTGCTGCTCATCTCCCTCCAGTTCAATTTCAGCTGACGCAGCTGCGTTTGAGCTAGCTCGCTGTTCTTCCCCCGCGCGACTCCGGAACACGTGAACGCGATGGTCGATGTACTTCTGCAACTAGACGAGGAACTACCGTTCGTTTTCGTTCTGGCCGGGAAGCTCGCTTCGCTCCCGGAAGACATTGTCAACCGGATACACAACAGTGGACGCGGGCTCGTCTGCGACTTCTGGGTCGAGCAGCAAGCCGTGCTGCAAAGCGGTTGCGTTGGATGGGTTCTGACGCACGGGGGCTACAAGTGCGGACGACACTCCCTCTATCATGACCCGCGAACTCATCTCTCTCGATTCAGCTCGATCACGGAATCGCTCACTCAGGGTATTCCGCTGATTGTCTGGCCCATCGGGGCTGAACAGGCGGTCAATGCAGTGCTTTTGTCAACGGGGCCAGCGCCTGTTGCAATCGAACTCTTCCAGGTAAGCTGCGCTGCAAATCCCCTCAAACTCCAAGTTTCCAATTCTGACCGCCTCGGCAGATCCGTGCAGGGGCACAGCTGGGCCCATCTCTACGCTCAGACGCGCCGAGGAACATCACTGGGACACTTGCAGATGCAACGGCCGAGTTCCGCAAGACGTTTGCTGATCTCAAAAGCGCGAAGGGAAGAGCTCTGGTGCGGAATGCGTTGAGCGTTCGGAAACTGTGGCGTCAGGAGAGAGCCGTGAGAGACTCGGATCCAGCGCGAGAGCTCTTGCGGCTTGTCGAATATTGATGTAGAGTCGCAGGTGGTGTGTAACCAGTGATCGTTTCAAAACCGTAGCAATGCCACCATATGTGTGTAGTAGTAGTATATGTGTATAACTTATCGCCGCAAGATCCTTCAGGCCATGTCGAAATACTTGGAGTACGCCGCCCGCCAGGCGTCCGTCCCATTCTTCTCGATAACATCCTGATAGACGCCTGAGAAACCACAGAAGCAGCGTTACGAGCCAGACTTACCCCGTGGCACATGATAATCCGCTCCGGCGCCCAGTCCAACACGGTCTGTGCATCCCGCTTCATGGCCCTGCGATCGCCGACCGTCAACCTCTCGAACTCGCGGGCGATCGAGCCGGACTCACTTCTTGTCCTTCCCTTGACTCCACACGAAGTACTTGTGCACAGAGCCCCACGGATCTAATTTCCCAAAGATCGGCACCTTGGGAGAAGACTTGGACTTCGAGTACTGGCCCCCGGGCGTCAGATCGGGGCAGACGCGTGCAGCACACACAAATTTTAAACACACGCGCACCTGCTCGGTTGCGGGTAGGTTGAATAGCAGATCAGCGACGATGAGCGTCTTCGTTGCGGCGTGGAACCACGCCACGTCTTTGTTTGCGAATCCGGGGAAGTAGCTGCGAGGCCGAGTCAATGGGACTCGGAAAGCCCGCAGTTTCAGATGCGCACCAAGCGTAGATCTTGGAGAAAGAAGGGGCACCGGACCGTCAGCGAAATGAAGCGGACGAGTTCCGCCGCGCTGCTCACCTCGTCCTCGAATCCGTATTTGGTCCCGGGGGCGTCCTTTCCGTATGCTGTCGCGTAGCTCAGAATAAGTCGCCTGAGCATATAGCTTTCCGCGCACCTCCGTCAAGCTCGACACCCTGTTTCCGCATCTTCTCGATAAGCGCCTCAACGCCGATCACCTTCGCTTCAGGGTACACTGCCTTGAATTGACCTGCTCGTGATCCGCGTGTGTGTGTGAGAGAGAGAAGGAACTTGGGCTACGCTACCACGCACCGAGGTACAGGTAGTGCACCACATCGGCGCCCATGATGTACCTCGACGCAAACAATGAGACGACGAAGACAGCAGACACGTGCGTCCCGAGAATGTGACGCACTTTACGGGACCCATCTTGTCGATTGCTGCCTTGGTGTCCAGCGTCAGCGGCGTCGACGCCAGCACCCACACGTCCCCGCCGGCCAGTCGGACCGCCGTTGAGCGCCCGCCAAAGGGAAGGATGTTGAACCGTGCGAATGGCCTACACGGTCCATGAGCCTCAAACGCGATCCGGAGCCAGAAAACCATGACGCACTTGGAGAATGTGGTGATATCCGGGGTGACCTGCCGGGTTGTCAGCGCGTGCAAAGCCACTGAGGATCCGATGCAGAATCCGCGCACACACCTCTCGGATGACGAGCTCGGGAAGGTTCTCAGAGGCCATTACAGAATGTCGGGGGGTGTAGTGCGTAATGTAATGAGGGGATGTCTCACCATCATCCTTTTAATACACTTCCTGACCTTATCAGCTTCTGTGTCAATCCGATGTAAGCTGACCGACAGTGCTTGGGCCTTCAGGTTGGCTCGCGCATCACCCAACTCCCCGACCACGGCGTTTCACTGAGTCCAGCCTCGCCATGGTGCACCCCGGGGTGCGTCCCCGACAGCGGCGGTGTGGATGACAGATCATCACCACGTGGTTGATGGGATTGGCATGTGCGAGCATGCGTGGTAGGCTACTTGCAACTCAAGTCGGACGAGCTGTCGTCAAGACCGACTCCCTCAGGCCGCATCAAAAAAGCCCGAAGCACCGCGATAAACACCTACGCACGTCATTCAATCGCCGGCCCGACAAACGCCGGGCCCGAAACACGAGCAGAGGAGACATTACTGGGCCGTTCAAGTCATGATACATTCGCATACATGTCATAGCATCTAATCGTACATCCCTCCGAGCATTCGTGTGCCCGGCCCCCCAGGAACTCAGTCCTTCTTTTTCAGCAGCCCAAAGAACTTGCCCCGACGTTCTTTCGCCTCGATCCGCGCACGGACCTCCTGCTCCTGCTCCTCCTCGGAGATATGGCCGCCGAGCGAGTACCACACAACAGAGAGCATGCCTGAAACGAGTCGTGAGCAAGAATCACTTGACACAACAACGACGAGGACAACGCACCGAGCAAGGCAGTCAGGACGCAGCCTGCCATCGCACCGATCCCCTTCGCGTGCCAACCGTTGTTCTGCGGGAACGGCCCCAGCGGTAGGCCCTGGAGATCCGTCGGGTTAGTGTGGCCCGCGGCGTTGCCCGAGAAAGGCAAGTCCAGTGCGGCGCAGTTCTCCGCCAGGAAGGACGGGACGTTGGCGGCGAATTGCTGTGCTTGGATCGGTGCCTCAATGAGCTGGATTGCGAGTCCGACTTCCAGATGCCATTCGATGTGGCAGTGGAAGAACCAGACACCGGGGTTGTCCGCGACGATTCTGCCCGCGGCAGTTAGCACTAGGGGCGAAGGTACCACATGAGCACCTACCGAAGAGTGGCAGAGCCTCCGCTCTCGATTTGGATCGTGTCCCGACGAAGAGGATTGGTCTGGTTGGCGATGGTGATTACCGAGGGATCGCTGGAGGTATAGTCGGACGATCGCTCGACGATTTGGAACTTGTGTCCATGAATATGGCTACCAGAACATCCATCAGATTCCGTTATCAGATAGCAAAGAAGCGAACGCACAAAGGATGCTTCCCGGCATCCCCGTTTTTGACCACGATGTCGACAACATCGAGATGGTTCAGAACGAAGCTCTGGGGACCATACGCTTCGGCTATCGTCGCATTTTCGCCCAGAGTCAAGGCACTCAGGATGGCCGGAGTGAGAGGGGAGTTGTACGTGACTCCATTGATCATGGCATGGTTAGTGCCGTCGTCCATCGTGTCAAAGTTGAACTGATGATGTTGAGCGAAACATCAGGTAACGGAGAAAGACCACACACCTCCAGCTCGAGGGTCTGCGCAACGGACTGGGGAGCGGCAACGAGGTCAACCGGGGTCATGTGGATATCATCAACGTCCGAGTACGCGTCGATCGTTCCCAAGTTCGTGAGCGGAGCGGAGGACGAGTACGTGATCGACGCAGTCGAGTCTACACAAGGATCAGTACATTCCAAGAGACAGACGACCAGCGACATACTCGGGTTCAGGGCAGGCGGCACCCGATCGAACATGTCCGTGTCCATGTTCGCGTGGACAGCCCAGTTGGCGGAGGTGTCGTTGCGCGCAGTCACAAGGATAGAGTAGCGCTGGGCGACAGTCACGGTGAGCAGGTCGATCGGGAAGGGCTCGATGTCCGTGCCATCAACCTGAGCACCGTCAGCCAAAAATAGAAGACGCGTGGTCCGGGAGAACTCGCCTCAATGACAGTCATGTTGTGGCCGTCTATCCAGAAGAAGAACATCGCGAACGCGGACGTGTTGATCACGCGGATACGGTACGTCTTGCCAGCCTCGAAGGGGAGAGTCGCATTCTCGTTGTAACCAACGGCCGTGCCCGATTGGGGTGATGTGCCTGCGGCCGGTCCGAGGTACTGGCCGTTATGGGCAAAGTAGATGAGACCCGACGCTGGAGCGGCGTTAGTTACGCTGTCACGCATCGCAAGCGAACAAGATACGGACAAGGGATGGGCTCGGCACCGCCGGGGTTGGCGATGCTCACGAACTGCTTCATGAGGACAGAGTGCTCGTCATGGTACCAGTCACCCAACACCGCAGTGAAGTCGTCGTCGTAGGTGTAGTGTTCCTTGGGCGGGTGAATGACGAATGGTGCGCGAAGTCCGTCGACGTATTGTCCAGAAGCATGCGCATGCACCCAGTAAGACCCCCACTGTCCAGAACCGGGAATGTCAATTGCGTACGACCCGGAGCCACCGGGGGGGATACCGCTGGAGCAAAGTCAAAACTGGACACGGCTAGTGCGAAGCGCAACATACCACTCGGAGACTCCGACGGCACCGTCGTTCCACGACGACGAGTTGAAGTACATGCCGTGGTGGTGGAGCGTCGAGACCGTGTCGAGGGAGTTGGTCGCATGGAGGAGAAGCGTGTCGTTACTGCTCATGTCGATCATGGGGGGCGGCCATGTCCCGTTCACGCCAATGGCACGGCGAGGGGCGAGACCGTCAGGGTTGACCCCGTCGACGTAGGTCAGGTTCCACCAAAGCTCATGGAGGGCCGCAAGGGCAGGCTGCGCAGCGAGCACGGGCAGGAGAGCGAGCGGCCACATGGGGAGGGATGCGATGGAGGGTGCTCCATTTTTTCGCCGGGGTTTAAGTGCCAGATCTGAGGCCGGCACCAAATGGGCCAAACAGAGGGGCAAAAATATCCTGCCTTGTCTAATCAGATTACGGCCGACAAGATGCGACCGGTAATCTGATAACCGTCTCGGTTCCTATTGGCCCAGAATCGGGTCTGCGCGGTGGAACGACAGTCCTGCGAGCGTTCGCATCTCCGTCTGCTGACTTTTTCGCGTGCTTCCGACATCTTCCGACCGGTCTGGATGGGCACGTTGCCCGCGTAGAGCCTGCCCACGCCATCTAATCGGATAAGAGTAATCGCGGACTTTGGCTTGGTTTTTTCCCATCATCTCTTGGCCGTCACACATCTAATCAGATTAGGCGGCCCCTTGCTCCCTTTGGAAGGGTCATATAAACGCCCGCATGGCCCGCTTTTTGCTTCCAGGCTTTCTCCCACTCGTGTCCCCGCCGCCCCCGTCGCAATGGCCAGAAACCTCTTCTCCGTCCCTATTTTCTTCATCGTGTTCCGTGAGACCATCGAGGCCGCGCTCATCATCTCCGTTCTCCTGGGTCTCGCAGAGCAGATTGTGTACGACGACACCAACAAGTTCGGCCAGCGTCACCACATTGCGGAATCGTCCGATACGGAGAAGGACGCGTCTGCCGACCCGGAAGATGACACGGCTCACCGCAAAATGCTCATCCGCAAGATGCGCATTCAGGTCCCCATTTTTCTTCGCGGGCTGTAACGCAACATAACTGACCAACGGTGTTAGATCTTCTCTGGTGCCTTCCTCGGTCTCTTCCTTGCCCTTGCTATCGGTGCCGCGTCAGTTATTCTTCTTCTCGGGCGTGGCTGGCCTTTCCTGACATACCCCGAATAGTTTCATTGCTGTCTGGTTCACTAAGGCATCGAATCTCTGGGCCAAGTCCGAGGCACTCTGGGAGGCTATCTTCGAGCTGATCGCATGTCTCATGATCTTCGTTATGGGTATCACCATGCTGAAGATGGACCGCGGTATGCCGCTTCTCGTTTCGCAAGCGACTGCTGCTGAAGCTCCGTCCAGCCAAGGCTAAATGGCGCGTCAAGCTTGAGCGCGCGTTCAGCGGTGCACAGGCAGACGGCGAGTCGCGTGCTGGACGCTGGGTGCTGTTCATCCTCCCCTTCGTCACTGTGTTGCGTGAAGGTATGTGCTCCCTGTTCACGCGCCGCCGGCCTATCTTGCTCACGACTGTGCCAGGTATGGAGGCTGTCGTCTTCGTTGGTGGTGTTGCCCTCGGCCAATCTGCTACGGCCATCCCCATCGCTGCTATCGTCGGTCTCATTGCCGGACTCGTCGTCGGCATGTTCGTCTACAGCTTCGCCTCGCGGACCACCCTCTCGATTTTCCTCATCGTCATGACCAACCTCGTGCTCCTGATCGGCGCTGGCCTGTTCTCTCGCTCGGTGTGGTCCTTCGAGAAACACGCCTTCAACGTCATCCTCGGTGTGGACGTCGACGACACGGGAGGAGACGGGCCGGGTTCGTTCCGCGTGCAGGGCAATGTGTGGCACTTGGAATGCTGCAGCCCCGAAAACAAGCTCAGCACGAACGGATGGGGCATCTTCAGTGCGTTCTTTGGCTGGACGAACTCCGCAACGCGTGCGTCCTTTCTCTCCCGCCTTCTGATGCCAAGCACTGATGCATCGGTGACAGTCGGCTCTGTGCTCAGCTACGTCTTCTACTGGCTGGCAGTTATCGCCGTCTTGGTGCACATGAAGTGGAAGGAGGGCCGGACCAAGTTCTTCGGGATTGAGTCCGCGGCTGGCGCCCGCCGGCGTCTTGCGCTGGAGGAAAAGTCGCGGGAGCCCATTGAGCAATCGCCCTCGAGGCCTTCATCTGAGGTAGCCAAGTAACTTGTGTCCCGTTGAACGACCTGAGAGATGCGTCAAAAATACGCCTTTCAAGGGCTTGTATGTACTTTTACGATCTGTTATTCGACGTCTCGCAATGCTATAACGATCCTCTCCGTTCAATTTCACAAGTGTGCATCGCGGACAAGCTCCACATTGAGTTGAAAATCTTCGTCAGGAAGCTCCTCCTGTGGGCCTCGCTGCTGTCTTTACAAATTCGTATGAACCACGGCTGGCGCCCGACTACGATTCCGCCGCCCGGGTATCATATCTGCAGCACCACCTGCCCTCTCATGCTGAGAAGCCCCATAACAAATCCACTCAAAGTCCGCGCACGACCCTCGGCTGCCGCCGGTTATGAGAATCAAGAACGCCCGCTAATGCTTCTCCGGGAGGGCGGGTTCTCTCGCCAGATCCTGGCTATCTGATAACCCGGGCAACCGAGCAACGTGTAATCTGATTAGATGGAGTCGCCAGGGGAGCATCGCGGCCCAGATCGCGGCCAGAACCACGGTCCACGGTCCAGGACGGCCCACGTTTGTAATCTGATTAGATATAGATCCCGGTGCTGGAGAAAGGGCTTGGACGAGGCTCCACGCGACGTTCAGGAGTGGCACCGCTGCAGACCACGAGGGACGAAACTCCTCGCTACTTGGTCTTCGGCCGATCCATCGGATGTGTTTTTTTCGCCCGATGTCGGCCGGGTGTCCAACTCGGTTACGAGAGGCCCAAGTTCTTCAAAATGTCGTGGATAAAATTCGTGTGTACGCGCGCTATAAGTAGGCCCAGAGGCCTCGTGTTTCCTCACATACTTCCAGTCAAAGTTCCGAGCGGAGGTCTGGGTCCAAACTGACAATCAGAACCACGATAGTATGCGCTCGGGCTGTGTCTTGTATATAAAGTCACAATTCTCTAGGACCGCACCGGCGTGTGCTGCCTCTTTTTAACGTCCTCGATTCCTTCTGGGCCAGCATGTGTTCTCAAGGGAAGCCTCCAACTTTAGAATGTGGCGTGCGACTATCTTGCACTCCATCCTGAAACGCAAGCCACCGAGATATGTGGGAGCTTCCTCCCTCGATGTGCAATTCTCTGAGCGACTGTAACTTCCGCCTGCTCCAGATCCAAGCCGCAGAGTGCTAATAATAAATTAAATCAGATGAAATGTATCAAAATCGGATTGTCCGGCCCGGCTTCCGCAAGCGGCGATCAGCACATCACGGATGGCTGCTGCAATTTCCCCACGTCCCTAGAAGGAGCTGTAGATGCAATTGTGATCATCCATCCTACTACCACCTCCACTGGTCACTGCTTCCCCACTAGTCAGAAACCATGGTGGCGACCTCGCGCCCGGTGCCTCCCCCTCGACGACGGAGTCTCCAAGCGCTCGCAGGCTTCCTGCTCCAACCCCTCTCTGGGCTCGACCGGCATGTCGGATTCGCATCGACGACCACGCTGCACGGGACGCGCGGCGGGCCAAGCGACGGGATTCCGGTCGATATCCTGCTCGAGGTCGTCTCGTACCTCGACCCGGAGGACGTCCTCAACGTCAGCCTCACGGTGCGTGGACGCCCTACATACTAGTAGCGTGGGCGCCAACCAGCCGATGCTAACCGGGATTGACAGTCATCCTTCGTGCGATCGGTCCTCGAGCCGGGGCTCTACCACTCGGTGCAGCTGCGCTCGAGCACGACGTGCCGCTCCGGCCTCGATCTGCTCTCGCGCCGACCGCAGCTGTGCCGGTACGTGCAGCGGCTGGCGGTGCGGCCGAACTACTACCTCGCGTGGCCCGTCCGCGACGAGTGTCTGCGCGAGGACGATCTGTCTGACACGATATGTCGCCTGGCTCCTCGGCTCACGAATCTGCGATCGTTCGACTGGGATGGGCTCGAGATGCCCGCGGATAGGGTTTGGCGTGCGTTGAGGCTGTCGTGGGTCCTGTTCTGCTCCGTGGTCTCAGGTCGTCTGATCACAGCTGTGCTTGAGATGCCCTTCGCTGACTGAGGTGTACACGAATCTGGGATGCGGATCCCTAGACCCACAAAGCGAAGTGCGGACGGTTTACCCGAACAATCCCCGGGCTCACAGCACCTCCTCAGCTGTTCAAATTCAGCGATCTGACTGTGTTTTCCTTATCTGTGAGGCACGGGCTGGGTGACGGCAGTGCGTTGGACAGTCTATCATCTTTCATCGCGCTCATCGACGGATAGATGGAATCCCGCTCGTCGAGGAACTCCCGGCACAGCTTTGGGACATGCTTTTGGATCGGTGCAAGAACTTGCGGGAGCTAACACTGTGCTCCTTCTCGGCATCGCAGCGGCTGCTTGATGTCGATCGAGCCGTGCAAGGGAGATGGCCGCAGCTGACTTCACTGACGCTGGGCGCCTATGGGTACAACAGCGATCTCTCGGTCGCTGCACCGTCGGCCGTGGACTTTGGGGCGTTCCTTGCTGCCCACCCGGCGCTGACCTATCTCCGTGTCGCGTGGAACTTCAGACACTGGCCGTCACCCATCGAATCGGACTCGTTCGCAGTCACTCTACCGGCTGGGCTCGAAACGCTGTCGGGTATCATGCAGCAACTTCCGATGTCGCTGTCGAACTCAAACTTTGTCACCCCGAGATTGGAACAGCTCACTTGCCTCGACCTCATGTGCGAGCCGCTGTATCTGAGTCGAGCAGCGATGATGTGCTCGGCGCTAGCAGCGCTGCCCCAACTGACTAGTCTGGAGCTTTGGGTCCACTTGCTGGACCCTAAAGCGGGACACGAAGATCTCTTCCGCTCGCTGTGGAAGTCGGCTCCTAAGCTAGAGGAGCTCCATTTCATGTGCACAACAGCATTTGGGAGGGTGAGCTCGCTTCCCTCACGTCAACCGACTACGAGCTGACTCGGTGTCCGCAGAAACCGCTCTCGGAGCTCGCGCGCTCGCTGCGCCTGTTGCCCGCGCTGCGCACCTTCGCGCTGACCAAGGGCCACCGCTACGCCGACGAGAGCATGCGCAGCTCCGCCTTGCGCATCTACGGCGCCCTCGCTCCTCCCGCGGACGCGGCGGCGGCGCCGCTGCCCAGCCTCACGTCGGTCAGCATCCGCTGGGCCCGCGCCGTCTGCCGCAACCACCTGAAGCAGGAAGGGACGTACGAGCGGGTGTGCCAGACCGACCAGGCCCGCGCTCCGCCTGCAGCGGTGCATCTGCAAGTCTGGGAACGCGGCATCCGCGCTGTCGGCGGCCCGTTCGAGCGGCGGCATCGCGTCCCGCTGGGGAAGAGGTGGCAGAGCGCTGCACGTGACAGCCCGACGTGATCGTGATTGATTTTGGGCTGGAAAGAAGACGCGTGGGATGTAGAATATATATGTAGCGGTGCTGTGTCGTTGTGTCGTTGTAGTCTTTTAGTGTCGGTGTATCTGTGCAGACCTTGTATTTATGGAATTTTACATCGTACTCAGACTGCTCTGGGTAAATCTGTGCAGACCTTGTATTTATGGAATTTTACGACGCACTCAACCTGCCTCGCCTTGGACATAAGTACTACAACCTCGGCAAGTGCAAAGACCGGCGCCAAGCCAATGAGTCTGGGCCTCAAGACGAGGGGGAAATTGCATGGCACTGTTTCGACTCTGACATCACTTACCGACCATTGACTTGTTTCTGGCCGACCTTGTCGGAACGGGACTGAGAAGGGTTCCCTTGTCGAACCTGAACAGTAGTGATCCCAGCCAATACGTTCTGTCCAACTGCTTGAGAGGAAGGCTTTCTTCTGAATGGAACAGGAAACAGGTTCGGAGACTTGGGTGTGGCATTGGCTTTCCTGCTGGCCCGGCTCGGCTTCGAGAACGAATACAGCATCTCTTCATTTCGTTTCTGAGTCAAGCATAGCGGCTTCCAACCAGATTTGCTGTCCCGGAATTCATGCATACTACTAGCTTGGCGGCAGATGGGCGCAGTCTATTACTCTGAGTGGAGTGGTCGACGAGCGCTCGTTTGGAACTCTGGTCACAGCCATCCCATCGCGATCATGTGATCTAATCGAGATGACGCGCGTGGCCAATGCTGACTGAGCACTGAATATTGAATACCACCACCACGCGTCACGGTTTCGATATCGGATGCCCGGTGACGTTTTGCCATTTCGAGTGCTGGATGGGAAGCCCTGGAAGCCCACCCTCGATCAGAAGGGGGGGACCCGATCTCGAACGCAGCGGAGGCAATCCGTTTCATTTCGGCTTGCATATCGTCTTCGAGTTCCGACAAACTAAAGCAGTATCCCAACGATCACGAGGGCGCACGCACACACACACACATAAATCCGATGTCGTTCGCCTTTGGGTGAATCTGCGCAGGCTGCGGTTCGCGGGAGAAGCACGGCGCTGATCGAAGCGTGGTCCCAGCACTGTATTGCATTGTATTGTATTCGGGCTGTCGTGCGATCTGTCGCGGGCCTGGGGGTGTCTGTGAGAAATGAATGAGCGAATCGGAGAGAGAACTATGCGATTACACATGCGGCAGTTCCATTGAGAAGGACAGAGTAGAGGTATTGATATCGGATACGGAAGAGTATCTATCGGCGCCGGAATGCATGTCTAGTTCAGGAATCCATCGCCACGCGATCTCGTCAAGCAAGAGCATAGTTTCTAATTCATGTAAGAGTAGGGTAGTACATAGCATCCAGACAACATTTTAGGTAGCAAATTCAGGAAGAGCATTCAGAGGCGAGGGAGAAAAGGCATCCAGAGACTGATACACTGCGATTGACATCCGCACTGGGGTTCCAGTTTTCAACCATGAAATCAAGAAGTCAGGAAGACAGGCAACTGACCACCGCCGGCACAGGACCACACACACTCAGCTCAGTTCTTCTGTGCGACGACCGGAGGCCCGCGAAAGTCGCCGCCGAAGCCGAACCGGGCAGCCCCCACCACCATCGGGCCCCCAGCGGGAGTGACGACCTGCGAGCGCGAGCTGGAGCAGGCGCTCGAGGGCGACAGGGAGGGCGATCCACTCGAGGACGAGCCCGGCGGTGCGATCCAGGCGTGGATCGAGTCGAGGGACGAGCGGCTGTGCTGATTGAACCTGCGACAGGGGGCGTCAGACCCGCGACCCCACACGGCGCGCGGCTCGAGCACGGAAGCGTACCGCGGTGCGGCGTTGCTCGGGCGCGGGCCCGTGCCGTTGTTGTTGTTGTTGTTGTTGTTGTAAGGAGCGCCGCCCGTCGCGGTGTGCACCTGGGCCCGGCCATGTGCTGCTTCAATATCAACGAATGAATGGAGAGCGGTGGCGCACCTGGCTGCGAACACTGGCGGTCGGAGCGGGGTGGTGGTAGCCCTGGAGAAAATTGAATGGTTCCCAGTCTGACACGAAACAAAGACAGAAGGAGCGCACCCAGGTTCCCGCAGCGCCGGCGCCAAAGTGACCCCCCGGCGTGCACGGGCGAGGCGCGACGATGTGGTTCTAAGCTCAATCAGCGCGCCGCCCAAACGCGTCGCCAAACAACACACACACACCTTGACATTCTTCCAACCGTGGCTGACGTCGGCGTTGGGGGCCGGCAGCGCGCACGGCGCGATGCGCGGGGCGCCGGGGATTTGCATCGGCATCGGCATCGGGAGAGGCTTTGGGGTGTCGATCAGGCGGGCGTTGAAGCTGGTGGGCGTGTAGTGGCTGGGTTCGTCGAGCAGGTGCTGCCAGCCGCCCATCAGCGCCCACGCGCGAAAAAAAGTAAGGAGGACTACGCACCTGGCGCAGCTCGTGCTCGTTGAGGAAGCCGCGCTTGCAGCCGAGCAGGCGGTCCATGCACTTCGGGTGGTTGAACGAGACGGTGAAATGCTTGTTGAGTTCGGCGACCGATATAAACTGCTGCTGGCACGGAACGCAGATGCAGTCGGCGTGTTTTTCAAGACCGTGCTACAAACGAAGAAGAAAAACGAGGTGAGAATCCAAACGAAGTGGGTGGGCGAGCCGCACCTCGTTACGCGCCAGGTCGTCCTTGAAGCCCTCGGTGCACACCACACAGTTCGGGTGCGATGCCGAGCGCAGGTAGTGTTGCTGCATCTCGTCGTCGAAGATCGTCGCCCCGCAGAAGCACGTCGTGCGCGGATGCGCCTCCTTGAAGTGCTGCCATGCACACCCAACCGTCAGCACATTCATTGCGTGGCCCAGCGAGGACGGCACACACCTCGCGCAGCTTCGTCTCGTCAAAGAAGCCCTTCCCGCAGCGGTCGCAGTTCGGGTGGATCGCAGACGCCTTCCCGCGGTAGTGGTCGTCCAGCGACGACTGCGTGAAAAACCGCTGGTGGCATTTGCGGCACAGGAACGTCGGGTGGTGCTGCGCGTTGTGCTGTGGCGGGGACGACGAGATCAGCTCACGGCGGCATCCAAAACAGACGAACAGGAAACGCGTCAATTAAGCTTGCGTGTATTACCTCCAGCAGCTTCTCCACGCTTTCAAACGCGAAGCCCGGGCGGCAGTCGCCGCAGAACGGGTGCACGGGCGACTCCCGCGAGTGCTGCACGAGCGCCTCGCGGCTCGGGAACACACGCCCAGGGCAGATCTTGCAGCGCAGGGCAACAATGGGTGAGCGAGACATGTGCGTGGGGAGCAAGGTTGATGATGATGCTGATGGTGAGGCAGGTTGAACCGGGAGAAGGTGGAGGGCTGCTAAAGCAGTATTTGAACTGTGTTGCGGCCGGGGCCTATCGGCGGACGGCGGGGCGGAAATTTCCACACAGAGTCCGTCACACATTCACATACGAAACACGTTCTTGACAGTGGGAGGCGCGCGATATAGGACATTGTAGGTCGTCCGCTTGCCTAATGCGGATGGGCTGGAGTTTAATTCTTGGACGCCTTCCTCCTCGGAGACTCTACGCAGATCGCCTGCCCGATCAGTCAGCGGCAAAGCCCTCTCGGTATTTATATACGCCTGTCTTTCCCACCATCGCGTGCAGTGTATGGCTCGCACTGGATCTAAAATCCATGCAGCAAATCTGTCTTCTGAAGTGAGTAGAGTCTCAGACACACCAGCGCTTGGCTTGTAACATCAGCTTGTCTAGATTCACGATTATTTCCAGCGTACCACGATGCCGCGACCCTGACCCTCTGAATCTAGTCAGCAGCGAAAGAAGGAAATACTGAACACGGTCACGTGTACACAACTGATCGATCGGAAAGCTGTGTATGTAGTCATTCTAGAACCTTTGACTCTTTCCGATGCAAGTCACAGAACCCAAGATCCCTTACCAACCCTCTGGTCCGCTGGAGACCTCGAGAAGCTGATTGAAAAAAACGGACTGACTGCAACCCTGGAAACGTGCCTGCCCTTTGCCCAAATGCCAGTGTATGATTCCATCGTCACTGACTCACAGGCCTCGAGCGAGATGATACTACACGCCACTCGACTATTACTATAACTGAGAAATAAACTTGGCGCGGACCCATGTAAAACTACTTCGCGGCAAATGTGCCCAGCCCCGCTTCCTCCTTGGACAAAAAGTCGTGGTGGAGGTCCTCGAACCCGCGGAAACTCGTCCGTCCGCAGAGGTCTCGGACGATCACACCGATGTCATCGATCACACCCAAAATCATAGAAAGGGCGACTACAGCTGGGGGTATGGTCAGATTAGGAAACCAATTGGATATCGAGGGAGAGATGGACGGACCAGTCGAGTTCGTCGGCAGTTGCGCGTCCTGGAAAGTGGGCATCGTGAGCGAGGGACCCAGAACATGCAATCCGACTTGCCATGAGCACGGCAAGCGACAGTTCCTCCACCCCGATACTTCCTCCGTCAATCTTGCCTTTGACCAGATCGGCCATGGAGTCCCCGTCCGAGTCGTCCGGTTGCACCATCGAGCCGGTCGACGAATCATCGTGCACGTGCTCGGGATGCAACAGCGAATCGTGGTACATCAGTCGCTCCCGCAGACAGGGAAGGGTCCCAGGCACGGGATGTCCGTTCTCGAGAGAATGTGCGAGGATCGAGATCGTCGCAAAGATGTCGGACAGCTGAGGGCACGTCAGACATTACACCAGGTATATCACGGAGAGCACACCATATTGGGATTCATGAACGGTGTCTTGGAACAGATGAGCATCAGACTAAGACCCCCGACTGACACGAACCTTGTGCACGAGACGAGAACACCACTTTGTGTCCAGTTTGCTCAGAGCACCCGCGAGCAACGCGAGATAAGTGACGAATCGAGACTCCAAGGCATGCAACTTTTGGTATTCCGCAGCAGGCCAGGCACCCCTGGCAGTCAACGCAATCAATCAGCCAATCCTACGCCGGAGTTGCGCATCACGCACTGGAGCTGAGGTTCCCATCTAGCAGTCAGCAGCGACGGCGCCAGGTGCTGTAGTCGTTCCTACAGATGGTATGTCGGACCGCTCGCATCAACACATTCCAGAGGACGGTCTTACCAGCACAATCAACACCCTCGCTGCAAGCCGTCTGATACGGCGTTCCTTGGGAGACAATTCCGTCGGCTCCGACTGCGAGGGTTCCTCGATATCGATCTCCTCGCGGCCATAGTCCCCTTGCCGTGCCCGCGCCTCTTCCGCCAGGAACGCCTCAACCTCACTGGCGAGGGTGATCCCCAGCTCGCGCAGGGTCGCAGCAAGGGACTTGCGCACGAGCATGCGCGCGGTCGTTGGCTTCGGGAACATCATCACCAGGCTCTGCACCGACATTCAGATATCGCGGGACGAACAGTGAGTGAGCATAGACAGACGCACCCCGCCGACGAACCCAACGACCACCAGCAAGCCCCGCTTCCACCCCGTTTCGAGTCCGACGCCGGGGTTCGCAATCTGCTGGTAGTGCCTGTCCAGATACGAGTAACCCACGACGAGCATGATCGTCAGCGCGCTGAACGCCCAGAACATCATCTGCGACACGGGCCCGAACACGCGCCCAAATACAAATGGCGCCGCGAACACAGTCGTGACGATCACCACGGCGTACGGGTTGCCGTCTCCGTGGCCGGGCGCTGCGATGTACCAGACCACGATGCCCACGAGCATGCCCACGATCGTCCCCGTCATGCGCATGAAGAGCGTGAGCAGCTGCTCGCCGGCGTACGTCGCCAAACCCGTCTGCGCGGTGATCAGCGCCCACAAGCCTTTGTTCTCGTAGTAGAACCAGGCCGTGCGTGGGACGACCGCGGGGACCCACAGCGCGAGCGAGACAACGGCGTGCCTGAGCGCAAAGATACCCTGGGGAGACTTGAAGTACCGCAGGAAGTTGCCGATTCGGACGAGGAACCGCTCAAAACCGTTCTTCGGCGGCAGTGCGTCAGGATTGCGTTCTGGAAATCGGGCTCAGAGATCCGGAACTTTACGATGGGACACAACGTCACCTTGCGGCCCTTCGTGCTCCTCCTCAACATGCTCCGAGTCTAACTCGCTCTCCTCGACCTCGGCTTGGATCTCGCGTTCATCAAAGCTGGTCATATCGACTGCGGTGCCCTCCGACAGAGGCGCATCGTCGACCGGACTCGGGCCTCTGCTGGTGAGCTTCCTCCACAGTTTGCCGAAACCAGTGGGGAACCAGATTCTCGGCGTCGGCCGCTTCGCGTCGAGCTCCGCGGTCTTTTTTAGCAGGCGGAGCATCCGAGCTGCGAACGCATCCAGAGTGTCGATGAACACGAAGCAGATGTACAACGATCTGTCGAGAGTATGAGTAATGTAATGTACACTCGGCGCTGTCTCAACGCACCTGAGAGCAAACATCTCGTGCTCAGACTTGCCGGCCATATTGCGCAAGGGATCGAGTCCATCCTTGAGTTTCCCAGACGCGTCGAAGAAGCGCTCGAATGGTTTGATCAGCTTGACTCGCCCGACCGTCCGGAACTCGTGCAGCGCAGTCTGCAGTTTAGCGATCGTGGACTCCAAAACCGCTTTCCTACGAGCGATTTCCGCCTCCTGCTTCTCCGCGCTACCAGGAAGAAAGAACGAGCGCCAGCGGTACACGTTCGCTCCCTCCAGCCAACCCCGCATCACACTGACGCTCTCCACGCAAGCCGCGCGCAGTGGCGCGCTGGCCTCTTCGAGAATCGGGACTAGTTTCTGGAGCGTGTGCCCATGCCTCTTCTCGCGCGCATCGATCAGCCGCTTGCGTTTCGCGAAGCGGCCGTCTCTGTGAGTCCACGCGGGCCGCCCGAGCTCAGCCGCCGACGCGTCCGGGGTCGTGTTGTACCGGATCTCGTCGGCGTGGACGGCGGAGATCACGGTCTGGAAAGACAGCAGGCCGCTGACACGGAATCCCAGCGCGCGCAGCTCGGAAACTATCCTCTTGAGATCTGTGGGTCCCAATCGGCCGATGCTGATTTCCATGTCGATCATCCCGATCTGAGCGCCGACCCCGGCCAGACCTCCTGCGAGTCCAGCACGGGCAGTCGCTGCCTGTCGTGGTCGTTGGCGTAAGCAAAGGAGAGTGGGCGTCGATCCAAGCGCACCTTGGCCGCAATTCCAGACCACGTCTCTTGGTCCGTCGGATCGGTGGACAGGACGGAGCCCTGAAGGCCCAGAATGGTCAGCGCCGACCCGAAGAATGCGCCATCGAGCGTCGTTCTGACCCGCGATCAGTGCGTTTCTGAGCAGAGGGGTAAACAGGAACGCACAATACAACATGGTTCAAGCTCTGCGGGAAGATCAAGAGGAGCGAGACCCCGGCGATGGCGACATAGTATGCAGATGGGAGAATAAACAGCTTAGCGAGCATGTATTGTTTGCTGGGGAAGACTTCATTTGATAAGCGAGCGGGCGAGTTCGGCTATTGGGGGGAAACTCACGGGGACCGAACGTGAACATGATGTCCATGACAATCGTCGAGTAGATGGAAAACAGCGTGAGCTTGGGTGCACGCGCGCGCAGGACGCCCATGGCGAAACAGCCGATGAAGAACATGGCGCCGTAGACCGCGGACGAGCGCGCATCGAGGAAGTAGCCGTGGAAGACGAGCACCGAGAGCTGCGAACGCACGTCAGACCCACCAGTCGAAGGACAACAACGGAGCGCAGCCCGCACCTGTGTCGAGGCAGGGAGGTCCGGCGAGAACGCTTTGGCCGCCACCGCCGCCCGCTGCGCATCCCGCACCGGATCCCGCACCGCCAGCGCCGCAGCCATCGCCGCCGCGCTCCAGGCCCAGCCGAGCAGCATGCCGAGCAGCAGCAGCGTGCCCGCGAGCGCGAACAGGCTGAACGCCATCGAGGGCGTCAGGATCGACGCGAGGATGCTCCCGAAGAACGCGACCTGCCCCATCTCGTTCATCGTCGTGCGGTCCACGAGCAGCACGAGCGTCGCGGCGACCGCGACGACGCACCGCGTGAGCGTCTTCCATGTGCGCGGCTTGGCGAGCGCGGGGCGCACCCAGGCGAGGCTGAGGGGGTTAGGCAGCGAGGCCGCCGCCGCGGGCGGTTTGGGTGACCTCGAGACCGAGGGTTGTTTCTCTGACTTGGTTGATATCGAGCTCATTCCGGCGGGTCTGGCAGCAGTGCCGTCAAGCACAACATGAGATATCTTCAAACAAATTACCGAGACAGATTGCCGTGTGTGACAGGAGAGTGACGCACGGGGTTACACGGCGTCACATGACTAAGTTCAAGGTTGCAACTTACTCATGGCTGCGTGTGATAAATGACATTCACTGATACTTACTGACCCTGTTGTAAAGGGAGGATCTGATGCCAAGCCATGCCATGATACGGTTTTTCGGGACCAAGCCAGCCACGATTCACACTTTCCTCAATGATTTGTTTTTCAAACCAGAAACCAGGCGGGGCTACAATCAAATTCAATCGGATACAACTCTATAGTCTATGAAGTTCCAGTCCCAACACCCCGCCCTCAGCAGTACAAATACGCCACCAGAAGAATCGCCCCGGCCGCTAAAATCCGATCGACTCCCCGGGGAGGGCTCCCGCCGCTCGAAGTCGATCCCGACGTCGACGACGAGCCAGCGGCCGACGCCGAGCCCGTCGTCGTGCCGTTGTTCGAGGCGGACGGGCCGACGAGGGTCACGACCTGGTTGAAGAAGTAAAGAGCGGTCGAGGGCACGTAGGCCGCCAGATTGTGCCCCGCCCCGTACACCCGCCTGTCGAAAATTCAGCCGTGGGTTTTTTTTTTACAGTCGCACGCAAAACAAATTTGCACGCACGCGAAGGTGAACGAGTCGATCGTCTTGACGGCGGCGACGGCGGACCCGCCGAGCGTGAGGTTCGTCAGGGCCGTGTTGTTCAATGTCAGGTTGCCGTACCAGCTCATCGACACCATCGCATGGTGCACGCCGAGCCAGTTCGCTCTAGATCATGTTGGGACGACAAATCTTAGCTGCGGGAGTGAGAACCACGCACTTGATATCCGCGTCTCCAACCCAAATCAGGATAGGAAAATGGGCGTTCGCCAGAGCGGCGAGGTCGGGAAGCGCCGTCCGCCCTAGCTATATTCCCATCTTAACACGGCCGCAGTCGTTTTTTCTGTGTTCACGCACCTCTCCCTGGACTGAGAACGCCGTCTTGATAGCCGCATTGCACCCGTCAAACGTAGTATTCGCCCCGATAGCGTTCATGACTTTCGCCGAAGTCACGTAGTTCAGATAATACGACGGCGGGAACGTGACTTTCGACGAGCTGCTCTCCAGCAGGTAGTCGGGATTGTAGCCTTGCACCGCGGGGTCGAAGAGTTTGCTGGTCTGTGGAAATCGAACATCATAACATCAGCGTCCGTGGAGATGGCAGAAAATGACGGCCGACGCAGTAATTATCGGCAGTCGCGCAGAGCTTGTCGGCGGTAGTCCCGTTCCCGGCGCTGTAGCACTGCTTGAGCTGATCCGCGCATCCGCCGGTCTCCATGTAGCTTTGTGTCATGTTGTTGATGACGTGTGTGGGCTGGAGAGGACCGTATCCCGGTGCATCCGAGGCGAACGAGATATAGGACCCGTAGCCAGTCAGGGGATCGTGCTTTCCGCTGCAGCATTCTCAGATCAGAAATGATGCATGTTCGAAGCGCCGAATCCACTCACTCGTTGATCATCAGTGCGTTGAATTCAAGCTTTTGGCCGCTCAGCTTTCCTTGCGTTACCAACGCGCTTTGGGACTGGAAATACGCAATCGCACTCGGTCCGAAATGGGCACCTGCACACGGCATGTCAGCATCGCAACCCCGGCGCGTATCGGCCTGACGTGCCGAAACTCTCCGTGGCAAAGATCATCCTGCGCACGATTCAGCCGCTTCAACCTCAGCGCTCAAAACGGAGTAGAAGGTAGGTAGCGCCTCACTTTCTGTTGGCGAACATCGCGAATGCGGGGCTCTCGAACAAGATCTGCAGCGCGTCCCACAGCATCTGCGTCACCTCGTCGACCGTACCCACGGCTGCCGATCCGGTGGAGAACCCTGCGCCGACTGGCAGGTCCATGTACAGCACTGGCAAAGCCACCCCATCAGCGATCCATACACCACGGCCGGCGGGAAACAATCACGGTTGCTCGCATTGTTCCAGCTGCAGCCGGTGAGGATGCGGTAGGGGGGATGCGGTAGGGGGGATGCACCGACCTGTATGGGTTCAGGGTCGTCGAAGCGCTGTCTGCGTTGACAGTGCACGGCCCATTCTCTGAAAAGGGTTTTCTAGTCGCCGGAATCGAGCTTCGGCGCGTCCGAACCTTGAAACATGCCAATCATAGCCGAACATCCTGTCAGACGGTGAGTCTGGGCCCGAACGTAGACTGAGTACCGTCAAGCACACTGACCTGGCCCTCCATTCAACCTGATTGATTCAAAACTCAGATAGAGCCCTGCATGTGCAAAAAAACCATCGCTCACCACAGCGTCAGCGGAGCTGTATCAGCCGAATGCCGTGCCTCGTAGAACCAGTACCACTAAGCAAGTAAACGACGACGTCAGATCAAACCGCGCAGGATAAGCGAACACGCGTATTACGATGGACGCGTCTCCCGCGACATCGATGTACCCCGACTGCTGCCCCACGCCCGGCGTCGTCTCGCACACGGCCGAGTCCGTCACGAAGCGCAGGCCTGAGGACGGCCGCGCAGAGGTGAACGTCTCCCACTTCGGCGTCGCGTGGTTGGATTTGGCTGCGTGCGCCCCAAGGAGCATCCAGGCCAGACACGGCAGAAACGCAGAGAGCTGCATCGAGAAGCGGGAGTGGATTGGGACGGCCAGGCGCAGGATAGCATCTCTAACGGGCGTTATATACTCCCGCTTAGAAGACCCCTTGAAGGCTATTGTCAATCACACGGACATGTGTAGAAGCCCCGTCTGAGGAAACCGTGCGCACCTCTTCCATACGATGCACTGATGGGACGCGGGCTTCTGCGCTCGTGCATGGTGCAGCTGCTAGCGACGCGATGGATTCTTATCTTCCGGACACCGAATGATCCTATTTAATGCTGCGCGATGCGGGAGTACCTCGCACTTCGAAATTCAGCACAAGGGGCCGTGAAGGCTGAGTTTCGGAAGTTCTTCGCAAGTGGCCGCCGGCTCGATCCGGGATCGCATCAGCGGACACCTAATGTCCTATCTAGTCGAGGGCATCTCCCACGGCCACAATCGCACTGCCAACCTATCATCGGATTTCGATTCGAGGTCGAAGAATCACTCGAATCGACGAACCGGATAAGCCCTGATTAGTATGTTTTGACAGAACGCATTTGATCAGCATAGACATCCTGCACGAGCAAGATAATAATAGCACATAGGACTCGGTCGATAAGTATACTCTAATCGCAAACAGACTCGATCCCCATGGACTGGTGCAGCGAGTCCAGCAGCAGATCGTTCTTGTCCCCCGTCACATCCCACACCGCAAACCCCGCCAGCCCCATGCTATTAATAAACTGGCCTTTCGCGGCTATAAATAGCTGCGCGTCAGACAGCCACACAGCAAAATAGACACGGCAAAGACCGACCAAAGGACTGCGGATCGTCGTATGACACCATGACCTGCGACGTCGAGTTGTAGACAAACGGCTATGTAGCCCGCAAATCGGTCAGCCACGTGCACTCCACACCGCAGGGCGCTGCGCACCGTCTGACTGCACTGATCGAAGACAAAGCTGATCCCCGATGCCGATGCCGCAGTCCCGTTCGAGTCCAGGAATCCCGTGTCTATCAGCGCAGCGAACGACGAATCGCCGCTGTTCCCGCTCCCGCCGCTCTGCGGGTTCCCGCACTGGTCTACGGTCGCAGCAGCGCTCCCTCCCGCATCCTCGCTTCCGGCGGGGACTGGGGCTGACTTGGAGTAGCTCGCATACGGCTGGAGCCGATGGGCCCCGTCCAGTGCTTCACTGGGTGTCACGGGCCAGCTGTGGCCATAGGAAGCCAGACCCAGAGTGATCTGCAAATCAAGGTTCAAATTCGGGTGAATCGTAATATGTTATCACCAGACGCGCGGCTTGCCTGGTTGGCGGGGAAATTCGCCGCGGTCCACGCCTGCACCGCAGACACGGCGGAGCCCTGCTGCTGAGCCGGCGGCGCGCAGGTGTCGTTCAGCGGGGCGTTGGGGCCGACCGTCTGCGAGTAGCCCGGCCCAAACACATCGTAGTCCATAATCGCTGCCAACTTGCGTGGGTGCCCCAGAGGCAAACGGACTCGATCTATTATTCCACCCACCGATGCGGTCGAGCACTTTCGCGAACCCGGAAACGTCGTCCATGGGGTTCCCGTCCGGGCCGGCGAAGGGTTTCAGTCCCACCGCGGCGGTCAGAATCAGATTCTGCCCCGCGGGAGTGCTTCGCAGTTCCTGCAAGAACACCAGAAAGTTGGCCGAGTCGCTGGGGCTGATCACGTTGCATCCGAGACCCTGCGTCCCGGGGTATTCCCAGCTGCCAAGCCAAGTCGTTCGGACGGAAGAACACCAGGGGCAGATAGCAAGGGAACGCACTCGAAGTCGATCCCGTCCAGCTGGTACGTCGACACCAGGCCCAGTACGGCGGCGGCGAAGCTGGTTCGGTTTGCGGCCGATGCCACAGCGGAGGAGTAGTACATTGATCCGGTCCAGCCGCCGATGGAGAGCAGAGCCGAGACGCCCTGGCCCGGTCGTGAGAACGTGGCTTGATCGGATCGCTCGTTTGCGACGCGACGCACTCACATTGGCCTGGGCAGTCGCAACGAAAGTGGGGAGCAGCGCAGCGCTCTGGTCGTCCAACGCGATGGTCGACGAGTCCGGCGTAGTCGTTCTACCTCCTCTCTCAGCGGGGGCGATCTCACCGACACGGGTGGGACTCACGCAAAAGCGAATGTCATCGCGTTGTACTTGCTCCACGATATCTCGGATGGCGGGAAGTTGTTCCAGCCCGGATACCACGCCGTGGCGACGACGTCAGTTGGGTCCGTCCCCCCATGCGAGGACGAATTCAGTCCCGGCTGCGTCCCCGCCGATCCAGAAGCGCCGCCACTCGAGGGCCCGGAGCTCGATAACACAGCGTTGGGGGGCTTGAGGGAGCAGTACCGAGCTGCAGAGACAACAAGTGGGGCCAACAGTAACGCGTGGATGCGAGAAGCGGCAGGCATGGTGGTGGCGAGAGGCGAGTGTATGCGATGTGCGAACTGGGATCTGTCCCCGTTTTATGTCGAGAGAACGTTGTTTCCGCCCCCGCTCTCACAGAAGAACAATCGACTGTTCGGCTATTTCAAGCTGGAACGGGAACACGCGTCGGGATGTTGCTGATTGGTCTCCGCGATGATCAGTGATCACGCTCCGCTATGAAAATACGGTCGTGGGAGGCACGTTGCGTCTGCGCGCTGATCCTCGCGATGGGCACGTGTATTCGTCGAGGGCTGGCGATGCCGATACACAGTTCAACGGATGGGCGGGGGTTGTTCGATTTGTGGTGGACGCGTTAGGACGGCTAACCTCGACTGTCAGGCAAGTCCAAAGGCAAGCACGGGGTCGTGGATGTATGCAGATCATCCATCTACACGTGGTTCATAGGGGGGAGAAACAGTTCATGCAAGATGAGAAACACTCGGAATGCAACATAGGTAGTGGGAAAACTTGGCCTAGCTTGGCTCTTCGATCCAAGACCCGGCTCAAGACCATTCAAGATTGTACCAACTCGCCAGGCAAGGGTCGGGAATCGCGCACCGTCCTGTGCCGTCACGTGGTACCGACCCCTCGGACCCGCAGCGTCGCGTTGCGACGGCGACGACAATGCCCATCTGATCCGTCGCGGCGCCATGAAATACCGATCATGACGTCAACATCCTGACGGATGCTGTCGGCGGCCTTCCTGTTCTTCAACTTAAACCATGTCCCAAATGCCAGCTCTGCCAGTTATGCTGGATCCGGCAGCAGTTGCAGCATGCTATCTGACGACGCAGCAGTCGATTGAGAGTCTGGAAACTGTACATTAGGCTGTGTGGAGCATCAGCGCATCACTTGGCAATCACCGCCCGTTTGAAAGTTTGTCCAGTCGGTGAGCGAATTTCAACTTTCAATCTCTGTGTTGGGGGATTTTCATAGGCCACGTAGGCCCAAGCGAACAATAAAAACGTATTCGAATGTACCTGAGCACGAGGAATTTCGTAAGTGTAGGCATCCTCGAAAAAAAGACGCCAAGTGTGTGGAGAGTCACCGCTAATTTTGTCGCAGATCTCGATTTTCTGTCGGCCTCGGCGGAAACGTGACTATATTAAAACTTGTTTGTTTCCAGGACAATCCCAGTTTTCTTCTCCCTCTCCCTCTCTCTCTGTGTCCACGTCCTTGACTGTCCCCCCTCGTTCAAGGACACTCCCATTCTTTAGTCCCCCACGCTCTCTGGTCCGCTAAAGACTACAAGCATGCCGCGCTCCGCGACTTTCCTGGGCCTCGCCGCCCTCGCCGCCTCCGCCTCCGCCTCGAGCCACTCGTTCAAGCGGGTCCCGCACAACCACGCGCGCCACCTGGAGCACCAGGCCCCCGAGTGGAAGCGCACGACCAACTCGGGCACCGCGTACTTCGGGTTCCAGAACGGCACCCAGAACGCCTGCGGGACGCACTCCTCCGACGAGGACATGATCGTCGGCCTCGGGTCGACGATCTACGGCGACCTCGGGACTGTCTCGGATGTCTGCTTCCAGCACGTACGTGCACCGTGTCAGACCCACGTCGGCGCCCAGGAACTTACGCAACCCGCAGATCACGATGTCCCTGGCTTCGGATCCGTCCAAGAGCGTCGACCTCACCGTCGTCGACGCCTGTGCGCAATGCGGCGCGGAGGGAAACACGTACATCTCCCCCGCCGCTTTCAAGGCGCTGAACGGCGGCTCGCTCGACGCCGGCGAACGTGGGTTCCTTGACATGTGCTGCGGCTCTCGGATGCTGATGGCCGCTTAGTCAATGTCGTATGGTCGTTCGGGTCCGCGCCCAAGCCTGCGGTTGCCGCTGTGTCGCCTGCCAAAGCCGCAGCGGCCTCTACCTCCACTTCCGAGGCAGCCCCGTCCGCGACGACTACCAGCACCACCGCCTCGAGCACTGCTTCGAGCACCACGTCGAGCACTACCTCCACCAAGGCCGCGGCTCCGACTACGACCTCCAAGGCATCCCTGACCACCAGCAAGAAGCCCGCAACGACCACGACGAAGCCGGCCCCGACGACTTCGACCGCCCAGCCTGGTCTGTGGTCCATCTCTGTGTCAGACTGCTCCCCTGACACAACCTCGCAGCGTCGACTTCATCCTCTGAAGGCTGGAAGCTGACTGACAAGCTCGAGGGCCAGGCCTTCCTGGATTTCTTCCACTTGTAATAAGCTCTGCTCTGTTTCCGTGACTGCTGATTTGACTCGACTCTCCCCAGCGATTCCGGCACCGGTGACAACGGCGGAAACGCCAACTACGTGAACGGGGTGCAGAAGGGCCTCGCGTACACCCAGGGCAACCAGGTCGTCCTGGCCGTAGACACCGCCGACAGCGTCGCGGCGCGCAACTCCATCCGCATGGTCTCCGACAAGACCTTCAACGCCGCCGGCCAGAACCTCTTCATCTTCGATATCGCCCAGATGCCTGCCGTCTGCGGCACGTGGCCGGCCGTGTGGTTCACCGGCGCCAACTGGCCGACGGACGGCGAGATCGACGTCGTCGAGGGTGTCTCGCTGTACAACAAGAACATCTACTCGATCCACACCGGATCCGGATGCTCCATCGCGTCCTCCGCCGTCTCCGCCCTGGCCGATGTCACCATCGTCGAGGCCACCGGTACCAACTGCGGTGCGTTTGACGCGCCGTCTTCACTCGACGCGCTTTTCTGACGGTCCGCAGATGCCAACTCCGACCCCGGTGCCTGCGGTTTCACCGACAAATCCGCCACCAGCTTCGGCCCGGGCTTCAACAAGGCCGGCGGAGGTGTTTTCGCGCTCGAGTTCAGCACCGACGGGATCAAGAACTGGTTCTTCCAGGCCGGCAGCGTCCCCAGCGGTATGCACCGCCCCCCGCTCCTACTGATTCCGCGTCGCATGCTCACGCCCGCTGCCAGACATCACCGCCCGTGCGCCGACGCCGTCGAAGTGGGGCGCGCCGCGCATGGCGATCCCCGTCGACCAGTGCTCGCCCGAGCAGCACTTCAAGGACATCATGATGGTCGTCGACACGAACCTCGGCGGGTCCTTCACGGAGGGCGTCTGGTCCGTCGACGGCGCGGGCGGGCAGGCGACGTCGTGCGCGAAGCAGACCGGGTTCAAGACCGCGAAGGACTACGTGCTCAGCCAGGGCCATGTGTTCGGCGACGACGCCAAGTGGATCATGAACGGGTTCTACGTGTTCAACAAGTAATTGTGTTTGTTTGCGTGATTGCTTTCTTCTCGTCGCTGGGCCGGTCTCTCTGCTTTGCTTTGCTTCCCGACGGGGCCGGCCCCGTGCGCAGCATCTGTGTGCTTCGTGTATATACAGCCCGTGGCCGTCATCATTACCCCTTGTTCCATCGCATTAGCATTCTGTTGTCTCTCGGACGTTGCCTATACCATTTGCAAATATCCCAATCCATTCTCAATTTTACATAGAGAACGCGGGGTCGTCATGGCCTACTGTGAGACTGCCCTCGAATGAAACCTTATCTCACTGCCTCAAAAATCCGATGGAATATGACTTGTATGCCGATCCGAAACTACCCTGATAACAAAGTGCTCAAACCAAGCGAACAACCTGGTCCCGAGCAGAGATGATGGCCACTATCTTCCCAGAGAACCCCGATCCTCCCCTGGTCGCAATCAGATCCGTATTTCCGTCCTTGACACCCAGCAGCTTCTCGACGTTGGTCGTCACCAGCTCATATGCCGTGGTATGCCCGATTATCCCATTGGATTCGAGTTGTGCCTGCGTCGATGGTCAGAGCAGATCGAGAAGAAAACGGATAGAAACGCACCCATCGCATCTCGAACGCGGTATTCCGCACTTGCGATGTGTCCCTCATTTGCAGACCCACCGTCACGTTGTGCTTGACCAGTTCGCCGATGGCGCTGGTCGGGGAAAGCGGCGGGCCGGAGAGGATCCGGCGCTCTTCCCATCGATGGGGGTACGGACGCTGCTGAGTGAGCACGCCGACCCCAGCTTCTCCAATCTCTTTGGCAAGCAGATGGGCTTCGGTCGCACCCGAGAGCACAAGCCGGATACGCGTGCCGGACACCCTCTCCACCTCCTTCTTCAACACCAGGAGGCTGGCGATGATGTCGGCGCTCTCCACGTTGATCACCAGCGGCATCTCGCCAGCGACGACCTGCGCAAACCGCTTGCCCGTGTCTCCCTTGCCCCGGCCGAGCAGCAGGCCGCGCAGAGTGGCGATCTGGGTGCTGACGCTGCTGGAGGACGACATGGAAAGCGCGATGTGCAGCGCAGCGACGTCCTGGATCACGGCCCCGCTAACGAGCTTGTGAGCCGCACCCGGGTTGATCACGGTGCTCAGTCCTCCTAGAAATCCGCTGAACATCGGCACGGTGACAGAGGACGTGACACCGTAGCGGTAAGCCAGCAGTGCGTCGCGGCTGGCAAAGACCAGGCCGTCCACTGCCTTGATCACATCGTCCTCGATGATGGCAGGCACCTGCGCCCGCAGAGGATCGAAAACCCGGCCGTCGTTGGTGGAAGCTGCAGCAAACAAATCGGGAATTGCCCTAAGACTTGTGTGAGTGAGTGCCACTCACCTTCCCCGCTGATGTGCGTCAATCCCAGACTAGTGCCGCAGGAAACAAAACTCGGAGAAACAGACCCGCCCTCGAGGTCGATGTAAGTCGCGTCCGAGCGGGACAGGTCCGACAGACACTCTCCCATGCAGATGATCCGGCCCTTCTCCACAGTGACGACGTACTCAGCGGCCGAGAACCTCTCAGCCACCCGATCGCCCTCTTTGAGCAACACTGATCCGACATTGAAGAACACGACCACGTCGGAGCTGGCCTCCGTCGCCTCCAAGGGCGGCAGTCCCTCGTACTTGACGGCGTCGATGATCTCAGCGGTGAAATCCGGTGTTTCCGGTGCCCTTTGCGAGGCAGCAGGCTTCGGGGACACGTGCGGCTTCTCGAGCTGCTTGATTCCGTCGACCCAGACCTGGATCGGGGCAGCACCGAGTGCAAGCGGGTGGCTGTCCCACACGAGAACATCTGCGATGCCCGTGTCATGGGCGGAAACAACTAGCAGTAGCAGCATGTACTCACCGGCATCATATCCTTCAATGAGATGCCCCACCCGATGGTCTTGTCCCATGGCCTTGGCCGGGGTCGCTGCCGATGTGTGAGAAAGCACATGACGAGAAGGAGCGGACTCCGCATACTCGTCACCGAAGCCAGCGCCAAGTTCTCCGGCAACCCGAAATAGTGCGCCTGTTGGGCCTCGTAGATGAGGTGGCGAGAGTTGAGCACGGGATGGTCGCTCTTCATGACCACGTCGATGTCATTGTCCGCAAGGATGGCGGGTGCGAATTCCGAGCCGCGGTAGGCTTCGCGTTTGAAACGCGCGTGAGTGGCGAACATCGCAATTGCCGGGGGTTTGCCATACGCCTTTTTGAGCAGCTCCGGAACGAGGTATGCTTCATCTAGAAAAACAAGAAGTGAGTGAGGCGAAAGAGATCGTAGCGGAAGCCACTGACGTGCGTGATGGAAAGTGGAGATGGGGAATTTGAATTCGTTTGTGAGCTTTGAGAGCGTTCGTAAGTGGCGCAAGGGGACAAAGCCCGGAGAGACGCACCCGAATCATGCCATCAAAGTCGACGGCCTCGTAGCAATGGTTCTGTATCTTGACGCGACCCCGCAGCACATCGACCAGCGCCTCCCACTGCAGATCCTCAGGGAACTCGCCGAGTCCCGTCCACAGGCCAGCTTCGGCCTTGGCACAGAACGCGTCTTGTTTCTCCTTGACGAGACGGGCGGTGTTGTAAGCCTGGCGAAAGGCCCATTGAGTGTCCATCCGAGTGCCAGAGTAGACGCGGCTGGGGTTTTCCCCGCAAGCGTGTCTGTGGATTGAAACGTCAGTGACAACATCCCCAAGTCTACCCGTTTCTCACTTCATCTGACGCCACCTCGGACGCTGGTTCGGATCCACGTACGAGCCGTTCAGAGTGAACGGCGGCTCGAGCAGCATCGCAGACGACGAGCGCTCCGCGGTTGGCCGGAGCTTGATGGTAAATGCCTGGCCGCCGATCGCGTTGGCGCTGCCGGGGAGCACATTCGCGGTGGTGACGCCGCCGGACATGGAGAGCAGATACGCGTCGTCGTGCGTGTTCAGGCCGTCCAATGAGCGCAGCCAGGGCATGGCCAGGCCCTTGTGGGAGTTTGTGTCCGACGCGCCGCTCAGCGCCGGTGCACTGTCGACGCCGAGATGCGAGTGCAAATCGACAATGCTGGGGCAGTTGAGCGTCACGTTCGAAGAGGTATTGAGAACGCCAGACACTCACCCCGGGGTGACCCAGGCGCCCTGAGCATCGACGACGTCCCAGTCCGATCCATACGCCTTGGCATCCACTTTGCCGATCTTTTTGATGATGCCTTTGTCCAGCAGGATGTCGCCATGCACGACCTTCGTTCCGTCATCCTCCCCGGTCCAGATCTTCGCGTTCTTGATAAGGGTCGGCTTCGTCCCCGCCTCGTATCGGTCCGACTGCGTGCGCTCGTAGAAGTCGTCGGGAGGGCCTGGCGCGAGGGTGAGAGAGCTGCACCGGCCAAGGATCGTCGCAGCGTTGGCTGGGATTGTGTGCACCGTGGCAGAGGATGAGACGGACGTCGTCAGGGCATGGTAAGTGAAGGTTGAGACGGCGGCGAACACCAAAAGAGTGAGGTGCGCCATTTTGAAGCGCCTGTTTGCGCAAATTCTGTTGTTTCCAGACGAACTGGACGCGAGTTTCTCCATGGCGCGAGAGGCAAAGGCAGAGAGGTTCACTCACGCCTGCAACGGAGATAGCCGGCTCTGCTAAGCCGCGGCGTGCAAGTCAAATTCAGGTGATCGCGATTCACATGATGATGATGGTTACATGATGTCAGGCTGATCACACCCATTCGCGCAGAGCTCTCGCCAATATCGCACTCAGCTCTACTCTTCCAACATGGGAGACAAACTCACTGTCATACGAGAGGCTAGTATATTCCGGCACAACTTGGCGAGCTCGCTAAATCTCTCTTAGGTGACCAATAACGTGTGGACGTTCTCTCGGTGACTGAAATGAATTCTACCCTCTCCGTCTCGCTCAATTCCTGACCGTCTCTCAGTCCTTTTGCTCGTTTTGGGATCATGCCAATCGGTGGAAGGTCAACCGCTATCAAACTCAGCGATGGTGGCGTCTGGGTACTTGCCTCCACGCCTTTAAACCCTGAGACCAAGGCGAAGATAGATGAGTTGGGTCCTGTACAGTGCGTCTGTTTAGTTTCCCCCGCAATCACAGCCAAACCCTTCCAGGTATATCATCAGCGCTAATTCTGTTCACCATCTGTATCTCGGTCAGTTCCAGGTCGCGGGCGTATCAGAAGTGCGGCTCACATTCCAGGCCCCCAGGTGAATTCAAGAAGGCTTACCCCTCCGCTAAGGTGTTCGGGCCTGCGGCAGCAGTTGAACGAGCGGACAAGTCGCTTCATTTCGACGGAGTCTGGGGCCGCGATGCATCTGACACCAAGTACGGTTTCGAGCACGACGTGAGTGGTGCCTCCCCGCCTTCAGAGTATCCTTCCTCACGGGACGCAGATCCAGGCCTGGTGGGCCACCTATGCGTGAAATATCGCCGGTTGCTGACCGCTTCGTCAGCTACTTCTCCGGGATGGTAAACAAGGATGTCGCATTCTTCCATTCGGCTTCGAAGACTTTGGTGTGTCCTGCTGCGATTGCTCACCTCCACTGAAGTGACGCGAATAACAACAGTTGGAGGCGGACCTGCTGTTCAATCTGCCGTGCACAGAACAGGCACGCGCCCAACCCGCTGACGGCCCTTCCCACTCACTCTCTCCCAGTATTCCAAAACCAAGTCGTCTGGTGCTGTTCCTGTGATCGGCGCTTTGAACCCTGCGTCTTGGCTGCACGGCAAGATTTCGGCGGCGCTGGGTAAAGACAAAGCGTGAGTGGGATATCTGTTGGCCGCCCTTTCGCCACCCGACGACGACCCATTCGCAGAGTAATGACCCGCGATGTCAAGACAGTTGCCGCCTGGGACTTTACACGCATCATCCCCTGTCACGGTGATGTTATCGAGACTGGTGGAAAGGAGGCTTGGCTGGCCGCGTACAAGTCCTACCTAGACCCCGTCGCGTGAGGGTGGAAGGGAAGGAAGTCATTATAATACAACGACCAATATGTAAATTAGCAGCAAATTGAGTTATCCATCCATCATCCTCTGTTCTGATCCCGGTCCGGTGCTGATCCCTTGCATGTTGCTGCAGACTGGGAAGCAGTTCTTTTATCGTTCAGGCGCCCTCCCACCGCTTCCTCCGACGGTGTTTCCGACTGTACGCGGTCAGATGTTTCGCGAGCGCTCCGGCTATTTTGGCGGAGCTCCGTCACGGGATCGGATATAAGGATGGCCAAATAATTGATGGCTCAATTTTCTCCAAAAATGCTCCGCGTTCTGACTCGACCGCTTTCTTGTGCATTTTCCTCTTCCTCTTCCCATCTACGTCTCCGTCTTAGGACAATGGCCACCGCAAACACACCTGCTTTCGTTCGTTTCCCTCCCAGCTTGACTATCTCTTCGCAACTCATCATCCCCCGCCCGTTTAGAACAAGCCCCTCTACGCGCCGTTGGCTGAGATTGACCCTGAGGTCAAGAACATCATCGATAAGGAGACATGGCGGCAGTTCACTGGTTTGGAGCTCATCGCGTCCGAGGTGCGTGGATCTTGTTCGAGAATACATTCATTCTTCTCATCGGCTGCAGAACTTGACCAGCTTGGCCGCGATGGAGGCAAACGGATCCATCCTCACGAACAAGTACTCAGAGGGTCTTCCGCACGCCCGCTACTACGGCGGGAACGAGTACATTGATGAGCTCGAGATTCTTTGCCGCAAACGTGCGCTCGCTGCCTTCAATTTGGACCCTGCAAAATGGGGTGTTAACGTGCAGCCCTACTCTGGAAGCGTGCGTGTTCTCTTCTCTGATCCTCGTGCCCGGTTTTTGACAGATCTTTCGTAGACTGCCAAGTAAGAACAGCTCGCGCGTCCGAAGCGAATCGCGTTCCTGATGCAATGACAGTTTTGCTGCCTTGACTGCGTTGATCCAGCCCCAGGATCGTCTCATGGGTCTCGGGCTCCCCGACGGCGGTCATCTCACGCATGGTTATTACGTGCGCCCACAGTTTCACGTGTGCGAGCATCAATCCATCTAACTTTTCTTGCAGACGGCGAAGAAGAAGATGACCGCGTCGTCCATCTACTTCCAATCTCTTCCATACAGCATCACCAAGGACAGCAACCTTATTGACTACGAGAAGCTCGCGAACCAGGCAAAGACCTTCCGTCCCAAGCTCATCATCTGCGGTGCTTCTGCCTACCCTCGTGACTGGGATTATGCTACCTTGAAGAAGATCGCGGAGAAAGAGGGCGCATACCTGATGGCGGACATTGCGCACACCAGCGGACTCATCGCTGCCCAAACCCTCCGTAGCCCCTTTGAATACTGCGACGTTGTCACGACCACGACACACAAGACGCTCCGCGGACCTCGCGCCGGTCTGATCTTCTTCCGCAAGGACTTGGAGTCCAGCCCCGATCTCGAGAAGCGCGTCAACGATGCCGTCTTTCCGGCTTGCCAGGGTGGCCCGCACAACAACACCATCGCCGCGATTGCCACCGCCCTGCTGCAAGTTGCCCAGCCATCCTTCCGTGAATACGCGAAACAGGTCATCTCGAACGCGCAGACTCTTGGAGAGGAGCTGGTGAAGCACGGATACAAGCTCCAGACCGGAGGCACCGACAACCACCTCGTTCTCTGGGATCTGCGACCCCTCGGTCTCACAGGCAGCAAGGTCGAGAAGGTCTGCGACCTCATGGGCATCACGATCAACAGTGCGTTCCTGATCCTCGTTCGTTCTGGTGCTGCGATATTGATCCGATCCGATCAGAAAACGCCGTGTCTGGTGACGCCTCTGCTCAGGTCCCTGGTGGAATCCGTCTTGGAACGTCCGCCATCACGTCCCGAAACATGCTCGAATCCGACGTCAAGGTCGTTGCCGACTTCTTGCACCGTGCCGTTCAGCTGTCTCTCCTTCTGCAGAAGGAGGCCGGCACCAAGATGCTGAAGGACTTCGTCCGCGTCGCGACGGTGCAGGAGGAGGGCAAGGTTGGGTACACGAAGGTCCGCGAGCTCCGTGACGAGGTCCGCACTTTCGCTACGCAGTGGCCTCTGCCTGGTGTCGATGTTTCTGGGCTGTCCAAGCCCACTGGCTTCGAGGATCTCTGATCCTGAGCGTGACTTGTGGCCCCGGCGAATGGGCGCACCAAAATGAGAAGATTCAACATCCTTGGTTGGAATGCATCGGACATTCAACATAGTCTGTACCATGATGTACCTGTATCACTATCACTGGCCGAGAATTGGCTGTTAGGAAGAATTCTGAACCCGAGAAGTCCAGCACGGCACTGAATCCTATTAACCCAATGATGATGATGTCAGCTCGGCTCGATCTCTACTTGCGGTCATGCCACTAACTCGCGCTCTCCGATTGCATCACTTCGCCCGCTGATTCCTCTACCCATCCACGGACCCGGCCGATATTCGTTGGGTTGAGGTGCTGTCCCGTTACAGCAGGAGTGTTCCAGGTCAACCGGCTTCTTTCAGGAGCCTTACAAATGCTTTCACTGGGTCGAACCTGTTGAGCAACGCATTACCCGACATCGGGACTGTGTACAGATCATGACTTTGTACAGATCAACTTGAATCCCGACTCGGAAATCTACGTGCTATGAGTCGTGAGCTACTCTCAAAATGTACGTGCTATAAGTAGTGGGCTACGAGCTCTTGGGTTGCTCTTCATCGTTCACTTTCTCCGATGTCCATCCGATCCATTTTCGTCACCGGCGCTAACCAAGGTATGCATTCTACAGTGGCGCTTTGATTCTTCTTCTCAGCTTGCATCAGGCTTAGGATATCACACCGTCAGAAATCTTGCCAAAACGCCCAACGTACTCGTTTTCCTTGGCTCGCGCAACCTGTCCAAGGCTGAGGAAGCACTCGCCAAGTTCGCATCCGACGTGCATCCCTCCTCTACTGTCGTCCCAACCCTCATCGACTTGACGGACGAGAAGACGATCAAAGCCGCCGCGGAGTCCACGGCGAAGATCTTGAAGGAGAAGGGCGCTGCTGGACTGGATGCGCTTGTGAACAAGTGGGGCCTAATTCCCGTCCAATTCTCATAATACATACAATCTGATTCGTATCCCCAGTGCCGCCATACTAGGACAAGGGTCCGATGCGCTCATCTATGCTACGAACGTGGCAGGTACAGTTGCCGTCAAGGATGCGTTGTACCCTCTTATGACCGCGACCGGCGGTGCGGTCATCGTCAACATCTCATCGGAGTTGGGATCCCTCACACTGCACACCAAACGCCCGCCACTGCCCATCTATGGCGCGTACAGCGCCAGCAAGTCTGCGCTTAACAGTTTCACGCTCCAGTGGACCATAGAAGAAGAGCAGCGAAAGTCCGGGATCAGAGTCGTTTCGATCTGCCCAGGTAAGGTTCCTTCAGAGAGACTTACGGCTGGACGCTGAAGCGGAATCTCACAGGCTACAACGCAACCAATATCAACGGATATGGGGGGACCAAAGATCCCGCGGATGGCTCGATGATCATCGTCAAAGAGGCCCTGGCAACGGAGGGAGAAAGTGGTCGTTTCTACAACGAGGAGGGGCCGATCGGCTGGTGACCCAGGGTGAAAGGCCATAATTTTCTAGTCATTCAGCCACTTCGTAATCACTTGCTCGTCCTTTCACTAGCTGAAGATATAAACCCTTTCCCTTTATGACACAGGGTCATTTGGTTTCACGAGAAATTGACGGAAGGTCACATGAAATTACTAAATCCTATCCGCCCAACGATGTGGCATTTCACGTGATCGGTTAGTGCTGTTGCCGAAGGCCGAAGGCACATGACCGTGCTGACTTGTCAGTGTCAAGAGTTGGGACGCGCTCGTCTCCAGAGCACACAAGGTTTCTTCCAGCATCTACAGACTCTCTAATTGTTTTGTTTTTTTGAATATCTTGCAATTCTCTGCCCTGCCGGGGAGCCGTCGACCGAAAACTCACACTACTGTATGCATTGCCAGAAATGTATCAGCATTCTCAGTGGATTTGAGCAGTGCAGTTTGTCTTAAATTTCTATGTTATATTTATGTATACGACTGCCAGATCTTGTAAATGAAAGCCCATGAGCTATCTCTTGTGATTTTGATTTTTGATTAGATGAGCTTGGGGTCACTCTTTAGAGAGGATGACCCATGTATTTAGGTCCAGGATCCTGAAAAAGCTTTCAAATTCACCCCCCTGACTGGTCCAATTCATTCGGAGTCCAATCCCGTGGGATTTGTCTCTGTCTCTGCGAGACTTTCATCGCAGTGTCGGACGAGTTTTGGGCGCGTGGATGGTCATGTGATCCCGGACCGTACGATCCGTCTCACGTGCAATGCCACATCGTTGGGCGGATAGGATTTAGTCATGAAATTGAAATCCCGCGCGACCGAATTCCACAAATCAAATTACACATCCTGTTTACAGATGATGCTAGTCATCGTTGTTCCCCGGGATTTCGGAAACTCAAACGCAAGGCTTTCAAAAGAAATCGAGCGATATGTTACCCTTTGTGAAAACCCACTTTGAATCCTGACAAGAAATCATCTGAGTCAATAATGCAGAGAAGCTCAGTAGCACGGACATGAAATGGTGGTTGACAGAGCATGGTATTCAATTTTGATCTCAGTGCACCCAGCATTTTCAACTCTACACAGGACGGCATAGAGATTGAAAATCACAAAACTCACGGCCAAGCATATATCAACTAAAACGAGCAGCCCGCTCAATCAGAAACCGCGCAATCAATTGAAATTTACTGTACTGTATTCCTCCATCGTTCATCCATCCGAAATTCATTAGACCGAGATGCCGTCCCGTCACAGGAGGATTGGCCCATAACCTCCTTGCCTTACAAATGCTTTTCATGCGGCCGACCTGCGGAGCCACGCGTCACATGGCATCAGGACTTTGTAATGATCAGGACTTCGTAACGATCAACTTGAGCCCTGATAGTCTTATAAGTAATGAGGGACGTGTGGTGCTTCTCACCGTTAACTTGCACCAATGCCCATCCGATCGATCTTCGTCACCGGCGCCAACCAAGGTGTGTGTCCTGCACTGGCGCTTCGCTGCTGCTTACTATGGATCAGGCCTGGGATACCACACTGTCCACAACCTTGCCAAAACGCCCAATGTTCTCGTCTTCCTCGGCGCACGCGACCTCTCCAAGGCTGAGGAAGCACTCGCCAAGTTCGCATCCGACGTGCATCCCTCTTCTACCGTCGTCCCAACCCTCATCGACCTGACGGACGAGAAAACGATCAAGACTGCCGCGGAGTCCACAGCGAAGATCTTGAAGGAGAAGGGCGCTGCTGGACTGGACGCGCTCGTGAATAAGTGTGTCCTTGATCCTAGCCCCGTTCTTCAGTCTCAATCTGATCCATCACCCGAGTGCCGCCATCGGCCAAGGCCCCGACGCGCTCGTCTACGCTACGAATGTGGCAGGCACAGTCGCCGTCAAGAATGCGTTCTACCCCCTCCTCACCACGACCGGCGGTGCGGCCATCGTGAACGTCTCGTCGACCCTGGGATCGCTCAAGTGGCACACCGAACGGCCGGCCCCGCCCGTCTATGGGGCATACAGCGCCAGCAAGTCTGCGCTTAACAGTTTCACGCTCCAGTGGACCATCGAGGAGGAGCAGCGGAAGTCCGGGATCAGAGTCGTGTCGATTTGCCCAGGTAAGCTTCCTTCAGATGGGTGGCTCGATACCAGAGATTGAAACGGGATTTTATAGGCTACAACGCAACCAATATGAACGGATATGGGGGGACCAAGGATCCCGCAGATGGTTCGATGGTCATCGTCAAGGAGGCTCTGGCAACAGAGGGAGAAAGTGGTCGTTTCTTCAATGAAGAGGGGCCGATTGGGTGGTAAACCGTAGTACAAATTCAAATCTGTATCATTCAACAATCCCTCGATCGCTCGCCGGTACCGGCAACAAGCTGGCGGCATATATCCTTGCCTCGGAACACGTGACCGCGTATTCGACCGAAACAGCTGCCTCAAATACACTTCGTTCTCCGCAAGTCGAGTTGAAACATGTCAAATGAGCTATGGATCTGATAAAGAAAGGCGCATGTTGTCTCCAGTCTGCTTCTCAGAGCTGCCCACCTTCGTATGAGCTTTGACGGCCCCAGGTTGGACTGGTGCAAAGATCTTGATTCTTGACGTTTGTTTTCATCTCCACACTGATGTTGTCGGCGCAGCCACACCTGCCACTCTGTCGGCTGATCGTCCTAGACACAGCAAATGATTAGTGTGGGTGAATCCGCAACGATCCTAAAATGTTTCTTAATTTCCGAATGTACTGTAATGGCTCGCCGTTCCTTGATAAGGCGCAGTCCCAGAGAAGATTGGAGTTACGATATTGGAAGTCAGCGAGATTCGTAGCGTGTTAAATCGCATTGAAAGATAAAACTTGCTGTGCCGGCGCCCTCACCGGCGCCATAGCTCAGTTGGGAGAGCGATAGACTGAAGCAAGTGCAGCACAGTGCTCGCCTTGTCATCTACAGGTCATGTGTTCAAATCACGTTGGTGCCATGTTCTTTTGGTCGAATGTCTCCGAGTATTCTTGCTGTTTTACTAATTTTTACGCCTTCGCCCAACAATATTTTTCTGTCATTTGTTGCTTACCTTCTAAATCAGGATCAGGGGTGTCTCTTATTGACCCTTGGAAGACTCAACATCCATGGTTGGAATGCAGGGACATCCAACACAGTCTGTACCAGTACTAGTAACCTGCATCACCATCACTCACCGAGACTTCTCTATTCACGAGGACACATTTCCAGGAGTCTGAGCCTTGATTAGTTCGGCCGGCAGAGGAAGTTAGTGAGATGACTGTACTGCAGTGAGACAATTGTACAGTACAGTCAGCGAGGAGATGACTGTGCTGCAGCGAGATGACTGTACAGAGATGATTGTACTGGATCTCACTGACTTCTGCCCTTCCTAATTGCGTCACTTCGTCGACATAATCCACCTCCTTGCCATCCATCAACCCGTCCGACATCTATTGGGTCGAAATACCGTCCCATTACAGTAGGAGTCCAGGCTAATTGGCTTCTTTCGAGAGTCTTACAAATGATTCAATTGGGCCGAACCTGCTGGGGGACGCGTCACCCGGCATCATAATCTTGTACTGATCATGACTGGGTTACATTGAAGCGTAAGGCTATAAGTATTGGCCGACGATCTCTTGGAGTGTTCCTCACCGTTTACTTGCACCAATGTCCATCCGATCGATCTTCGTCACCGGCGCCAACCAAGGTATGTGTTCTACGCTGGCGTTTTGATTCTTCCGCTTACTATGCATCAGGCCTGGGATACCACACCGTCCGCAACCTCGCCAAAACGCCCAATGTTCTCGTCTTCCTCGGCGCACGCGACCTCTCCAAGGCTGAGGAAGCACTCGCCAAGTTCGCAGCCGATGTGCATCCCTCTTCTACCGTCGTCCCAACCCTCATCGACCTGACGGACGAGAAAACGATCAAGACTGCCGCGGAGTCCACAGCGAAGATCTTGAAGGAGAAGGGCGCTGCTGGACTGGATGCGCTCGTGAATAAGTGAGACCTGGATTCCAGCCCTGTTCTTCGGTCTCAATCTGATCTATCATCCGAGTGCCGCCATCGCTCAAGGCCCCGACGCGCTCGTCTACGCTACGAACGTGGCAGGCACAGTCGCCGTCAAGAATGCGTTCTACCCCCTCCTCACCACGACCGGCGGTGCGGCCATCGTGAACGTCTCGTCGACCCTGGGATCGCTCAAGTGGCACACCGAACGGCCGGCCCCGCCCGTCTATGGGGCATACAGCGCCAGCAAGTCTGCGCTTAACAGTTTCACGCTCCAGTGGACCATAGAAGAAGAGCAGCGAAAGTCCGGGATCAGAGTCGTTTCGATCTGCCCAGGTAAGGTTTCTCCAGAAAAAATCCGAGACTGACGCTGAAACGCTTCCAGGCTACAACGCAACCAATCTCAATGGACATGGGGGGACGAAAGATCCTGCGGATGGCTCGATGGTCATCGTCAAGGAGGCTCTGGCAACAGAGGGAGAAAGTGGTCGCTTCTTCAATGAGGAGGGGCCGATCGGGTGGTAAACCGTAGCAAAAATGCATATCTGGATCTTTCATCAATCTTCCGATCGCTTGCTCGTCCTGGCACAAGCTGGCCGCATAGATCCTTGCCTCAGAACACGTGACCGCGTATTCGACCGAAACAGCTTGCCTCAAATATACACTTTGTGCTCCCCAAGTCGAGTTAAAAAAAGTCAAATGAGCTATTTATCTGATAAAAAAAATCGCCCATGTTGTCTCCAGTTCTTTCGGAACGACGCATCTTACTATGAGCTTCGACACCCAAGCTAGGAGCGTGCAAAGACCTTCACGTTTACTTTCATCTACATGTCGATGTAGCAGCGTACTTGATCGTCACTCTGGTCCTATTTTATGCCGTCAAGCCCCCCGCACCGGTGCCATAGCTCAATTTAATGGGAGAGCGATAGACTGAAGCAAGTGCAGCCCACTGGCAGTGTTTGCCCGGTCATCTGCAGGTCATGTGCTTGAATCATGTTGGTCTCATCCTCTTATTATTTTAATAAGCATCTCCTAGCGTATTCGCTTTCGACTGCCTTTTTGCACTTTCGCTCACCTCCATTTTTCTGACATTCGTAACATTCGTTGCTCACATTCCAAATCGGGTGTCTCTAAATCTATCTCTTATTGACCCTTATTTATGTGCTAAATCAAGACGATGCGTCCACCGCTTCACATCCGACTCCAATTGACAAGCCTGAATGGCTCCTCACCCGTCGCTTGCACGAGCGGAAAGCTCTCTTCTGTTTGGCAGACATACGCTGCTGTTTGGAGGACAATAAAGTCGAAGACGACTGACCATGTGAATTGCTATTGTTCTTTGCCATCAATCCGACTCGGAGGACAATGGCACTTGGGCACCAATGGTGCAAAGCCTTTGGTGCCTGGTATAAAGGGCAGAAGCTGTGCGTGGCATGACCATAGACTTCCCTCCTCCCCGTCATACAACTTTCTTCCAGGAGCCCGGTGCTCGACGACATTTTACGCTCAGATCCACGCCTTGCACGTTTAACCAGATCGCATCCCTCTCATTATCTTTATCTCCACTTTACAATCGACATGTTCTCCGCCATATTCTTTTTCGTGCTCTCCGCCTCTGCTGCGCCTATTCCTGTTTCCATTCCCGGAGTGAACACGACCGCCTCGACCCAAGTTCTGGAGAATGCCCTGACGGCCCAGTTCATGAACGTTCAGTTTGCGAGTATGGCACTCACGGATTCTTGCTCTGGTGCGTTCCTCCCTCTTCTCAGCTTTTCCCTAGCTCATTGGCCTTTGCGTGCAGGCAACACCACAGCTTGCATTGACGGCTCCTTTGCGACGTGCGCCAACGGCACGTGGAGCGCGCTGCCGTGCGCGCCGGATCTCATCTGCGCCGCTCAGCCGGAGATGACCACCCTGGGTGTTGGGATGACATGCGACACGCGTGATAACATCGAGGCGCGGTTTGCGTTTGCCGGGGTCGACAGCGGCTTGGATGTCACCTGCGACGAGGAGGATACGTCTGCTTCGCTATCGGCAACAGCCACTGGTGCGACCTCTGCGGCGTCGTCAATTGCTGTCTCTGCGTCTGTCTCTATCTCTGCCTCCGCCGTTAGCTCAAGCGTCACCGCCCGTGCTCTGAACCGCCGACAAGCTGTGGTTGTGAACGTTAGTGATTTGGCTTTGCATCCTAGTTCCAAGCTCACGGTGGTCTCATCCAGGGTGTCTCGAACGTTCCTGCTCCAACTTCCTCAGCTTCGGCTGTCTCCGCCTCTGCTACGCCCGGCAGCTCACTGCCGTTGACCGCGACCACAACCTTCGGTGTTGGTTCTTCGACTTCGGTCGTCGCGGCTAGCCAGACCGCCGCATCCATCTCCTCCGCCGCCGCGCTCTCTTCGTCCGCTACCGCACTTTCATCTTCCGTTGCTGCCATCTCCTCTTCTGCCGCTGCCGCTTCCTCCGCGATTCCAGGCGTGACCTCCAGCGCTGCTGTGATCCCGACTTCGGCTGCCGTTGGCTCAGGCGCCAGCACGACGACCTCGACTGTTCTCGGTGCCGATGGTTTGCCGACGGCCCTTGTCGTTGTGTTCTCGACCGCTTCGGCGCTGAATGGCGCTGCCGCCGCCGCTTCATCTATCGTGTCCACCGCACTTCCAAGTGCAAGTTCCGCTACCGTCTCGGGTGCTGCCCCGGCCGACCCGACAACGATTGATTTCGTGCCTGGTGTTGCCGCTGTTGCTACGAGCACAATCACCGTTGCACCCAGTGCCAGCTCGAGTGTGGTTGCTGTGTCGGGGTCTGCCTCCGCTGTCGCGCTTCCGAGTGCGATCAGTAGCGCCGCAGTTGCATCCTCAGCTGCATCCTCAGCTGTTCCTTCAGCTGCATCTTCAGCTGTATCCTCATCTGCATCCTCAGTCGCACCCTCAGTTGCATTGTCTGCCACTCCCATCGCATCTGCCTCAGCAGTATCCGCACCGTCTTCTAGCCTTATCATCATCTCGCTCACGTCTGCACCCGCGCCTTCGTCGAGCATTCTCCCAATCACCGCGACCGTCAGCTCGACCGTCAGCTCAGCCTCTGTCGCACCGACCACGTCATCCCCTTTCAACTTCCAGTCTTAAGCTGGCCTCGCATACGAATCCATAACGGACTTGTTTTATTTGTAGAACACTCGCTCGCTGTATCATTTAGCACTTGTTTATCAGTATCTTACCGTATATACATATCCTGGACTCGAGACACCGGAATGTCGTTGTCCCGCGTTGTGCATTAGAGGTTATTTTCTCGGAAATACTTGCTTGTTATTCGCTGCGGTCGAATATCGTTGTCGAAAATGAGACCTGCTATGCATGTCACGGCACCCACCGTCCCGGTGGTGCAGCTCCTGATGTTCGTTTGGACGCAAGTCATATACGGTTGGATTTGAAACACCCGGCTGAGTGCCGCTTCTAGCGGTATCACAGTTAGTTGTAGAACATGTAGATTTGTGGCAGTCCGGACTAGGGCCAAGAAAAAAGCCAAGCTGTCCCGCCTCAATGGTAGATTATGGATTTCCTCATAGTCACCAGAAGCTTCATACTGAATTATGACCTCTGCAAGGCAACCTGCATCCCGGGGTGGAAAAGGGGTCAGCTTTGCTCGCGTGTTCCCACTTGGTGTGCTTGACGTGAGGCCTGGCAGCAGGGGACCCTGAGTGCGAGCTACAGTGAACATATGAGTGAGCGATTTTGGAAGCTAGTCTGGAATTTTCCGGTGTCTCGAGCAGAGCATAAGCGCTGCGCGTGGATTGGTTGAAGATCGTGTGGGACACGACGAGTAGAATTGGAGACCATGGCCCATAACAGGCGCGTATATTGTGCAACTTCGTGCTGCAGCGCGTATCTAGAGGAGATGGTAGCGATGATGTCGATGTCTCGCCGACGCAGTACGCCGCCGATTCCGTCGACTCGATATATTGACCCTATTCGAGAGAGCGAGACAGCGTCGGAGAGTATCATGGGGATGAGGGCGGATAACGATGACCTACGCCTTGCAGACCTGCGCCTTGTAGACCCTCGAGTTGAAGGTGCATTTGCCAGTGATGGTGTGAGCGCGCTGGCTTCTGGCCCAAGTGTGCAGTATGGACCTCAGCAACATGAAGTAGATCTGATTCATATTCTCGTGAATCGCGTCGACATCTTCGGCAAATGAAAGGAGAGGCAGCACTTGCACAGATCGCTTTGTCTGTGATGCATTGATTCGTATAATCGATGACAAGAGGGTGAATTCCTGTTTCTTCGATCGGGTATTTTCTGAGATTCGCAGATTAGGCGGAGAACACGGACTCACAAGAACTCATTCTTATGTGGTCGCGTGGCCCAAGCTACGAGCACGCGTTAGAACGCGCGAGAAAGGGCGCTCTCGAAAAGGAAATGATCCTGGCCGATCAATCCTCCTGCGTTTTGCTGCTTGCTCTTGACCATGACTTCCGAATCCCTCAACCTCAACAGCCTCGTGTCATCCCTCCCTTCACACTCACTCAACGCCAATTCAGAGAAACAGCTACTTGATAATTTCAAAGGTGAGCCCTCTCAAAGTCCGGTAACTGAGTCACAGACAGCTTATCTTTGTCCTTTAGCGGCTGCGCTCAGTATCACGACACTCTACCGCTCCTCCCGGCATGCATCGAAACGTGCTTATAGCGCTGGATATGCGGCAGCATGCCGAGACCTGATGGAGATGCTGCAGCTGGGCGTGTCTGACTCTCACGCGCTTGGTGGCACTCATCCAGAAGAGTCGGTGATGACCATCGGGAGAGTCATGGACTGGGTCGAAGCTAGGCTGGAGGCTGTTAAGGCGAGGGAGGAAGAAGAGGACGAGGAGGACGAACGAGAGAGGGGTACGACGCAGTCCGCCCCCAATGCACAGGTGCTGGCATCTGGTCACCATGCACCCGCCCCGCGAAAAGTGAGTATTGTTCCAGTGAAGCAGACCCCGTACTCATTCACGCGATAGGCATCATCGCCGTCTCCTCCCCCTGCCTGCGGGGCGCCCTCATCTTCCTCATCCTCTTCCTCCCGATCAACGAATCCCATGAAGTCAATCCGCACCCCGCCGCAAGTGAAGCCCAACCCATCCGCGTTCCAATTCACCATTCCTCCGCCGGATGCTACTATTCCGATCTCTTTCAACAGCTCTTTCGCCGAGAACCTCCCGTTGCCAGTTACAGGTTCAAAGCGACGACACGCCGTGATGATGATGCCGGCCCCGGCTTCGTCCGTCCAGTCCACGCCGTCCTCATCAAGCTCGCCCCTCGTCCAACCTGCTCATCGACGACGCACGCGGAGCACACGCGCGCATCCCTCCCACCACACTGTGTCCGCAGACACCATGATGGACGTCGAGGATGATGGCCGGGAACGCAAACGCGTCGCGAGGCGATAATCGCTTGCATAGCAAGTACGCAACTACTTGACTTTCATTTCGTTTCCTTGTTGGCGGCGGCGCCAATGTTCGGTGAGTGGATGTGCTTCACCCAGATAATAAGTAACTGATTCTTGGTACAGTTGGGTAGTAGTAATATAGCAATGATCTTGTACACGTTCACACCAGGCATCCATGCACATGGCAGTTTACTCATTCACCACTTTGTCAAGACGGACAATCTGGCCATGAACTCGTCTGGACATGTTTGTCAGAGCCAAACCATCATTCCTCCATCCGAACTCGGGTGCTCGATACTGTGGCAACCAGAGGTCAGAGAACTATTAGATCCGCCGTCACCTGGCTGTCCAGCGGGATGGTCGTCTCTCCTGCTTGATGCTTTTCGATTTCCTTATGTCCTGCTTGATGGGAGCCAATCCACAATATGGGTCTGTCTTTCTCGATATGTGTCTGTCTTGATTGACTTTCCTCTGTTCTGTCCTACAAGATAGCAGCCGATGCTCTTAGATTTTACCCATTGAGAAGGAATGTTCTCCTGAAGGAGCATGTTGAGTTAAGTAATCAGGACTGCGGTGTCCGTGATGAGACCAATCTGAGTCGGTCTCATGTTTCTGTAATGATTATCTTCCGGGGTCTTCTGTTCTTGGTTCCGAAACACATAGTAGGACTCAAAGAACTAGCAGACATGCGAACATTCTGAACACCCGGTGCCCTTGCATCGTTCTGTGATTGGTTCCAGCAGCTATTGCCATCACTCATCAGGCCTTCTTTCGAGGTATTGATCCATTTATGACGTCCTCCGTCCTGACCTCTGCTTCCCGTTTACAAATTAGGCCTCGTTCGTTTTGCTAGCACTGAACATCCGTCGAAGCGTCAAGACTGGCACCATACCCGGAGTCAGCGCGCAGGACTCGTAAGGCTCACGCCGCATTTACTCACGCTCGCACTCCTGCTTCAAGGACCCATTTACACTGCCAGTGAAGCCCAGGCGTACAGAAAGCAGCAACATGTACCTCCCATTCGTGTCGTCGTTCCTTCTCTCCCCGCTCTCAGCATGCCACTCCCTCTCCGCCTCGTTCGTCCGCCTGCTCGTCGCGCAATCCAGCTCCGTCTTCTCCCCGTCCGCAGCTTCTCCGTCCGACGATCCATCCACGTACCTTCTCGGCCTTGGCATAGCGGACATCACCGGGCCCGTCGTCGAGACAAACATGATGGGCTATGCGTCGCTCGGGCAGACGGATACGGGGCTCCACATGCGGCAGCGGTGCCGCGCGTTCATCGTCTCTGAAGCATCCGCCCCGGAAAATCGCGTCCTGCTGCTGAACGCGGACATCGGGATGGGCGATGAGGGTGTCAGGAGGGAACTGCTCGTGAAGCTCGCTAAGGAGTTTGGAAACGGGACATATACGGGTAAGAACGTCGCGTTGTCCGGGACGCATCAGCATAGTGGGGTTGGAGGATACCTCGAGAGTGCGTTAGAGTTGATTCTTCATACCTCAACGGCTGAACACACGTCTTGCAGACCTTCTTCCCCAGGTAACCTCACTCGGCCTTGTGCCGCAAACCTTTGAGGCGATCGTGACGGGATGCGCGCTCGCCGCTCGTCGCGCCCATTCCTCCCTCGCTTCCGGCACAGTTTCTGCAGGAAACGGTCGCGTCGAAGGCGGGTCGAGAAACCGGTCTCCGACCGCGTATCTGCTGAACCCGGAAGAAGAGCGCGCGTTGTATACTGAGAATGGCGGAGACAATGGAGATCAGGAATGGAATGTCGATGTGCTGAGGTTTGACGACGAGAACCAGACCGCGGATGGACGGGGGTTCATGAGCTTTTTCGGGGTCCATGGCACGAGCATCTACGAGGTATGTGCCTCCGATTGCTCCTTCCTGCAGGTTCTGAGGATGTGCAGAACAACACGCTTGTGAGCGGCGACAACAAGGGAATGGCGGCCTACCTCTATGAATCCTCTGTCGAACCCAAAGCAATGCCAGGAAACAATACCTACGTCGCAGGTTTCGTCCAATCTGCCGTGGGCGACACGTCCCCGAACACACTCGGTGCATTCTGCGAATCACCCGGGAAGCCCTACGACGGACAGCCATGCGTCGCCAACTCGTCTACCTGCGGGGGGCGCACCGAAGACTGCCATGGCCGGGGGCCAGCGTTCGCGGGACGCGTCGCCGATCCATATGGCCTCGGCGATCTGCACGGCTTCGGAAGCAATGCCATCATTGGCGGGATCCAGGCGAAGGCGGTAAAGCAGATATTCGGAAGCCAGATGGCTCAGGTGCAGGGCGGCGTGCGGAGTGTCCATGCGTATCTGGATATGAGCAAGCACAGGTTCACGCTCCAGAACGGCTCGACGGTGACGACGTGTCCGGCGGCGATGGGCTTTTCGTTCGCAGGCGGGACTACGTACGTGTGTCTTCTGCATTTGTGCATTCTCGTACGCAACGACTCAAAGGGACGGACCGGGAGCCTTCGATTTCGTACAGGGTGATAACAAAACCTCCCAGTCGGTCTTTCCCGTCGATGATAGAGTTCTCCCGAACTCACTTACCTCCCCAGGAATCCCTTCTGGGAGATTGTCAAGGTGTTCATCACCCCAGATCCATCGAAGGAGCAGGTTGAATGCCAGTATCCCAAACCCATTCTCTTGAATACAGTACGTGCATTGACGCTCTTGGCCAGTATGGCGGTATGTAAATCCGTCATCAGGGATTCGCTCATGAGCCCTACGAATGGTCTCCGAGTATAGTCAATATACAGATGTTCAGGATCGGAGATGTTGGTGCGTGACGTCTCTTGTGGACATCCCGCTTTCGACATGACTATCTTGCAGTGATCGTGGTGATGCCCGGGGAACTAACGACCATGGCTGGCCGGAGAATGCGTGCAGCAGTCCACTCCGCTCTGGCATCGCATGGTATTCCGGTGTCTCGTGTGGTCATATCTGGCACATCCAACACATACGCCCATTATGTCACCACTCGAGAGGAGTATTCGGCCCAGCGTTACGAAGGTGCCTCCACTCTCTACGGACCTTGTGAGTGCCTTTGCCGTTGAGCCTGATGACACGCGCTGATTTGATTTGTACTTCCCAGTCACACTCGAAGCATACATCGACAAATTCACCAGTCTCGTGCCGTTCCTCGCTGATGAGCCTCCGACCGCATCTCCGGTCTCGGATCCGCCGCCAGCGGAGCAGACAAGCAAGGCTATTTCGTTGCAGGTAGATCTCTCCACCCTGCATTAGCGCTCCTCCGATGACCTTTGTCTCAGAATAGCGTCAAGTTCGACGCCCCGCCCTTCGGCAAGCACTTTGGACAGGTTGTGCAAGATGTGAACGAAACGGCGTCGTATCTGCCCGGACAGACCGTGTTTGCGCGATTCGTCGGTGCGAATCCAAGGGTCGGACTTTTCTCTTCTCGCAGGGGACTTTTCTAATCTGACCGACCCACTCCGCAGAACAATCTCCGTCTGGAAGAGACCTTCCTGAGCATCGACAAGCTCTCCAAGGACGCTGCTGAGTGGGATGCGGTGCGGACTGATTCGCACCCCACGACCATCTTCCGCTGGACGCGCGAGAGCACGGTGTGTTGTTCGGGCTCGTCTGTGCGCTGGCATGCTGAGCACGTCGTCGCAGATACTCGCGACGAGCACGGTCAACATCTCGTGGACGATCGAGGACAACACAGATTGTGAGTCGAGTGTGCGCTCGTGCCGCATTTTGCTACGGCTCACGCGCAACCCCCCACCCCAGCCGGCGTGTATCGCATCCGCTACTTTGGGGACTCGAAGTCGATTGGCGGGACCATCTCGCCGTTTGTTGGGTATTCGGGCAACTTTACGATTGGATGATGCGCGTGAGGGGCCGGCTCAGGACGATTGTTACCGCTCTGTATTGCGACAATGCGACCCTCGCTACTTTCAATGTGATACCGGACTCGTTCCATATGCAAATACATCAACACTCCTGTGTTGATTGCGACTACGTGTGTCGTTAATATGCGATTTGTGCTCTCAGGCTGTTGTACGTAGAGAGACGGACGGACCCACAGCCGATATGTACTTGACCTATCTGTCGCACACCTGCCGTGAATGCCCGCCCTGCGATCCCTGAGCGTTCTCCGCACCAAATGATGTCACTTCATTTACCGAACATGCATTCTTTCAGTCTCTCCTCTGTACGTACGTGGATACTGGACGTCTATATCCCGGTCTTATGCTTCCCAACATTTTGGCTTCCGGCAAGGATGCCATACCCAATGTCACTTGTGAAGATCCAGTGACATCTACATTTTCTTGCGACCGTCATCATGAAAACCAGAGAGCGAAGTGAAAGCTTAACGTCTGGACGACGTGGAAAGTGCTACATTGCTGCGAGTGATATAATGATGATACAACAACCATATCCACGTGTATCCCAAAGAAATAAAGATATGCCTAGTATTTGCCGGACCCTTTTAACGGCGGGCCCCGACTGAGTTCCATCCCGATTTTCTGCACCAGCGACATGCCCAATGGCTCCAGTGCCTCGCGCCACACCGCCTTCCTCCGCCTCCCCTCAAAGATATGCCTCGACCGCTCGCCGACCTCCGCTTCTGGCCCAAACACAAACACGTGATCGTGCTTCCATGGCTCGTGGCCGTTGGCGAAGTGGATCCAGCGCTCCTGCATGCTGTCGCGCACGCGGGTGTACGCCCACTCGTCGACGGGCGGGTCGATCCAGCCCTCGTCCTCCTCGTCCGAGTCGAACTTGCGGTCGTGCAGGTCGTCGTCGTCGTCCAGATCGAACGAGTCGCAGAAGTCGACCGCACCGGTGGCGGACGCGGTGTCCAGGGCGGCGGGGGAGACGGGCTGCGGCAGCGTGTCGAAGAGGTACGCGAGGTCAGCTTTGTGCCCGATGCGTGCGGGCGCGTCCTGGTCGAACACGTACTGCCAGACGCCGCGCCCGTGCCTGGCGCGCGCGGCGAAGCAGTCCATCGGCCACGAGACCCGGGCATCGCCGACGAGCTCGAGCACGCGGTCGACGATCTCGTCGTCGGGCATGTTGACGCCGATGTCGTACGCCGAAAGCAGATCCGCGGCCTTGGTGACCGACTGACAGATCGCGTTCAAGCGCCGCACGACCGCGTGGGACGTCCATAGCGAAGCTGGGAGCGACCACATGAGCGAGGCGGTGCAGGTGTCCCCGATGATCAGCGGCTGGTGGCGGTGAGGCCGAGCCCGCGAGCGCGAGCGCGACGTGCGCCGCGGCCGATGGCGTTCTTCCGGTTGGTAGTGCGAGCGCCAGTCGTGCACGAAGAAGTGCCCGTCATCGACCGCGCGCAGAGTCGAGCCTCCGCTGGTCTTCACGAGCTTTTCAGCACTGACCGCTCTCAGTTGCTCGACAGAGGAGACGTCCAGGATCGACATGACGCGCGAGATGTGCCAGCCGGCGGTGTGGACGTCGGGGGCATTGTGGTCCGCCACCGCACTCTGCACGATCGCGCGGTGGAACATCGGAGCGTGTTCGTTGGCCTTCGATAGCAGATGGCTGAGGATGTCTGAGCCACCCGATGATTCGCCGAAGAGCGTGACGTTGTCTGGATCGCCGCCGAAGCCTTCGATGTATCGATGCACCCATTCCATCGCCGTTCGCTGATCGTGCAGTCCTGTTTCCCATGTCAGCCCTCGGGTGTTCCCGGCCGCGAAAGAAGACCTGCCGTAATTCCCAACCCCGGATTCCCCCGCTAGTCGGTTGTCCTCCAGAAGCGCCGGGCTGGCGGCGAAACCAAACAGACCGATGCGGAAACTTGTGTGCAACAGCAAATGAGCATCCGCGGTTCTGCGCCACTGCAGCGATAAACGCTCACTTGAAAGTCACGACCATCACGGGTTTCCCGAGAGATACACTCTTGCCCACGATGGAAGCGCCGTCGTAAATCCAGCTGGAGCCATAACCCCTATCGCCACCACTAACGAGGCACGATGAGTACTAGTCGGAGAGAAGAAAGCCAGCACGCTGGCAAGCCATGACGCACCCATGCACCCAGAGCATAACCGGGATCCGCGACTGCGCATCCAGCCCAGCGGGGCATGTAATATTCAGACTGAGACACTCGAACTCGTTCTGCTCGAGACTCTGGTGCGGAATCATGTCGGCGGTGCATCCCAGACTGAACAGCTCCTCCTCGGTGCTCTTCTTGCCCAGCTGCGGGCACACGGGCCTGGCCAACAAGTGAGACGGCCGCCCACGCAAAGTGAGACATCCAGCACCACTCACCCGTAGCGCGAAGCGTCGACTTGAGGCGGAAAGCGGTTCCAGAGCCGCGAGCGCCGAAATCGCGCAGGTATCGCTGCGTACTTGATGCCTCTGAACTGCTCAATTGCCGGCGCAGTGGGATGCTGGATCCCGTAGAACGTCGCGCCGAGCCCCGGGTGGTGCACCACGGCCTGGGCGTGTGCCGACGGGGCGCATTGGACGGGCATGGCTTGCGTTGGTGAGAAACGGATGGATGGGAGAGAGCAGAGAAGCGAGCGGTCCTAGTTATGAGGTACTTTGCGCATCACGAATCGATCCTTTCCTTCTGGTCTCAAAACGGACGCAGACTCCAAGATATCTGTACACAGTTCCGAGAAAGGCAAGTACAAATCACGTGTGTCGATCGATCGTCTTCGCCGTCGCGGACAGCGACGGAACCCAGAACGCCCTCGATTCATCCATCATTCCGTCCCCCACCCGGATCCTGTCTCCCGATGCTTCGGATTCGGATGGCGGTGACAAAATGAGTGGAGGATGGAAGAGGAACGTAATGTGTGACGACGGAAAGGGATCCCATGATCGAAAACACAGGCCGGAACGCACGAGCTTGGCGTTCGCGCTCATGGATGACACGGTCTCCGACAAATCGATTCACGGCTCGTAGCATAATCAACGTACAGTATCTGAAACGCTCTGATTAGCTTAGTGGAGAAAAAACACAAAGAAGGGCGCCCCACCGACTACGTAGCGTATCCGCAGGTCAAGAGACCCTAACACCTCCCGGGATCTTGGCTGAGAGACACATCGCCCCGCTCGTACTTACGATGCAACGACTGCTCTCCCAGGCATCAAGCGCGGAGCACTAGCAGCCCCCACACGACAAGCTTTTCTGTATCATTTCCAGTCGGGCTTGGACCACTCGTCAACGGCAGCGCGAGGGTGAGCTGGCTCTGAGAGCCGGACGCAACCACGGCGGTCTCGAGGATGGTGGTGGTGCAGAGCCAAGGGCGATTGCAGCGATAGACCCTATCGATCGATATCCCGGTGATATCTCCGCCCGGCAATGATCGGGAGTAACAGAGTCCCGTGACTCGTGCATTGATTTCCCTATATGGACCTGTTCCCAACATCCTATCCACCCGGTGGGCAGCGGCAACCCTCGGCCAAATGGTGACACAAAACAGTTCGTATTCCAAAAAGCAAAGCACACCTCTCAGTCACATGACGATGCGCACTCATCCATCGTTATGGAATAGCGGACGAGTGTGGATTACAATATAACAGATAGCGCGATCTATATTGAAGGTAAGGTAAAGATCGAAGGCCGTCCACGCGCGTGATCTAACAGAATCTATCTACACAGAAAATGAATAAAAGTTCACAAGGAGTGTTGCAAGGTATACAAATATAAGCGCCCGATTATACTTCATCCTCAGACGGGTCCGTTACCACTCGGGGGAGACGGATCAAGTGGAGCAGGATAAAGGAAATGGTAACAAATACGAGCGAAAGATAGAAGATGGTCGCGGGGAACGTGGCCACGGTTGCCGCATACACAAAGCCATACAAGGGGGGGCCGATCAGGGTACCACTACAAAACATCAGCTTGAGACAATGTGAGGACGAAGGAGGAAAGCATACAACAAAGCCTGCACGACGCCCAGTGCGCCAAACAGCTTGCCCGACTCGACAGCGGCTGTTTCCTTGCCGACCTTGTGCGAGAACAGCTCTAGCGCAACGCTGTGTATCGCAGGCCCAAACCCAGACCCTAGACAGCCGAAGGACAAGATAGCAATGAAAATCACGCCGGACGGAGCCCACGGGAGCATAGCGCAAATGAAGATTTCGACCAGAGCAGATGCGCGGGCCAATTGCATGTCCACGGCCGCAGCGGACGGGACAAGTTTCCCGGGATGCAACAGAGGCTCCCTCTCCATCTCGCGGATCTTGCTCGCATGTCGATTCTTGGCGAACTTGACGATGGCTGGTTTAGAGTTAGCAAAAGTCGCGGAATAGTCACTTGGAGCTCACAAGGTAGAATGCCAATCAAATAGATTGCGCGGGCGAATCCGATGCTGCTGAGACAATACCCGACCTGTCCAGAATCAGTACGAGCCTGGGCAGCGGTCTGGATGGATAACTCACGTATTCAGCATCCCAATCAAACGTCATCAATGCATAGAGGAGTTGCGGCATCATCGCAGACTTGTTGGCAGTGATGAGCTGGGAACGGTCCAGATGCAAGTCACTCACTGCAAGCAATCCGAAGATCCCTTGTGCCATTGCGAGGATCAGAAGCCCCCATTGGCGCTGCGCAGTAATTCCTGGGACCGGATTGGGCCATAGGATCAACAGCGGCTCCAAAAAGAATAGAATATCTTTCAAACGACTATGCGGTCGATTCGCGCCGAGGACGTCGAGTTCCTCTCGGTGTTTCACAGCCGCCAGATGTTTCTTCTCCGCGCTCAGCGAGTCGGGAATGGCGAATGAGAAACAAAAGACAAGCAGGCGGAATGCCAACGCTGCATAATACAGGTTCAAGACGTTTCCGGAGATGCTGGAGTTGTTTCGGTCAAGGTATGGAGTGATTCCCAGCAAGCGTGCCTACCGGACCACGAAGCTCCCGGCTAGAGGCCCAATGCCCATCCCAAGCAACAGAGAGCCCATCCCAAGCGAAAAGTTGCTCGATCTAAGGGATCTGAGCCAGGGCAGAGACATGGATATATGCATGGGACAGACCTGGTCTCTGGTGTGGAGATGTCCGACATATATGCGTTTAAGGCGGCCGTGAAAGTCGCTATCCCTACGCCCCAGTAAGCTACAGACACAAAGAAGCTCGGCCATCCCACTCACCTCCGAAGAGCCCGAGCACGACGCTATCAAGCAGGAGAAACCAGTATCCTCCAGGAAGCACATCGACAAAATTGACGACGAGAATCGTGTTCAGGAGTGGAAGAAACTGTCCAAGAATGTACACTCGGATGACGGTTGTCCGGCCCAGGCGATCAGACAGCTGGGCAGCATCAGTTCCATGCGGCGCATCGGAACAATTGGAGCCCACGTACCGAGCCCCACCACCCCACCGTCAAGAAAGAGAGCACGCCCGCGGTGGTTGCCAAGACTACATGCAAACGATGTATAAGTCGAGGCATCGACGTTCACAGCCGCACACATACCGGTCGTAAGCTTGGCCACAGCCGCCTGCACCACGGGGTCGGTCGCACACGAGCTGAACGTTGGCTGGGGGGCGCCGCCATAGCCCAAGTTCGCTTGTGTCCCAGTCGCATTCAGCCAGGGGGAGTACGCGGCCGCGTCGTACGGGATGCCGCCGACTGGGGGAGCCACCACGCCGACGTTCCCCGAATTGTGCACCCGGCACACAATGTTCGTGAACAACTCCACGTTCGCGGCCACGACCGACGTGAGCAAGAGCAACTCCAGCGGGGCAAACACCACCACCCTGCCAACCAACCACAGTCAGTCGCGAAGCCTGGTACGCTCGTGAGCACGCACTTACCACCACACCGAGGGACGTTTCCAAAACGGGAGGGACTGCATGCCAGCGGGGGCGGAATCGTCCATCGGCGGGCGATGCGGGGGATCGGACGACGTCCAGGCTCAAGGGTATCATTTACTTATAGTCCCCGCGGGCATTGGGCAACCTTCGCCATGGCGGAGTTGCCTGCGGCCTGGGGTAGCAGAGATATCCGAAGAGATCCGATGTTGATCGTCCGCCGCGGCGTGTCCCCGACTGCGCCGCAGCCTTTGAGAATGACCGCATCGTCGGTACGTGGCTGCGCCCATTGGGAAGGAAGAAGCTCCTCGTGGATCTTATCGAATGGAATGTGTACAAGCCGAGCGGATCTAAAACCTGGTCCAGTTTACTTGCTGGCGTGAGTTGCTATCTTCGCTGGTCAGCGCGATGTAGCTCATATCGGAAAACGACTGCGCACTGAGACCGCGTAACTTGGTCCTAAAAGCTACGTCGCTTTTCCAACTTAGAGGACATCACAAGACCCTTTATATCAGCAGAAGTGGCAAGAAAAGAGAGGGTCAAAGTATTGTGTGCACACTAGTGACCTCATATCACGTGCTCAATATCATAGGCACGTGAAATCTGCACTCAGTTAAAACTGTTTGTCAATCTTGCGGGGGTTAGGATGGTTAGGTGTATCATGGAAGTTGAACACAACGATATCTATTTCAGAGCAGCAGATTCTTAGATCGAATTCCGATCTGTTCCCAAGTGGCGATGACGAACGGCATACTCAGCTCAGCGCATCTCAGTTGACAGAAGAATTGGAAGACACGTAGTCATTGTCAAGCATCAGAAAAATTCGATTTCAGGATCCCAAGTGGTACAAAAACAACCTAAGCTACAAATGTACATAGTACAGACGACATGATGTACGTTATTGAAATATACTTAGAACGAGAGCAGTCCAAGCCCATAATCCAAGAATAAATGAATGAAGGAATGGATGAAGAAGGCGCGCTCAAGGAGAAGAAGATCCGCTTCGACTGGCAGCAGAGTATCGCTTCCCGCCTTCGCAGGGATGGCCCTCGGCAAACACGAGCAACGCGCGCTTGTCGGCCTTGCCATTCTTGGTGATCGGGAACTCGTCCATGGCAAGATACTGGGTGGGGACAGAATGATACGGCTGGATGCGAGCAGCAGCGTCACGGACTTTCGCGAGATCGACGGTCGCCGGCGTGACGAAGCCCCAGAGCTCGCTATTGATAAGAAGGGCCACAGAGTTTTTGACGTCAGGATGTGTCTGCCATACGCCATTAAGCCTGTGTCAATCGAAACAATGGCGAACTCACTCCAAGAGCGGCAGCAACACCATCCAGCTCGATGCGGAAGCCCTTTAATTTGACCTGGTCATCCGCCCGCCCCAGATGGTCTAATTGTCCATCAGACCGCCAGCGCCCAATATCGCCCGTGTTGAACATCATCGCGCCACCACCAACAAACGGATCCGGCCGGTATCGCTCAGCTGTCTTCTCAGGAAGGTTGAGATAGCCCCCGCTCACTCCGATGCCTCCGACCCACATGCAGCCAACCTCCCCGATAGGGATCGGTTGTGTGCTCGAAGGGTCACGCGAGAGTACATAAGTGTTCACATTCGGAATCGGGGAGCCGATGGACAGAGGATACCCCACGGTATGACGCTGTACCGTGTTGCAAATAGACACCTCCGTGGGACCACAACAATTCTTGAAGTCAATTGTGCGCGCCCACTTGTCGGCAAGTGCTGTGGATATGTCAGAACCCTGACAGAAAGAAGCCCCGACTCCAACGTGCCTTGGGGACAGGGTTCTCCTACAAACATGGATGAGACTGGAAGAAGAGAAGGATCCGAACGATCAAGGCTCACCTCCAACAATGATATGTTTGAGAAGCGGATAATCTTCAGGCTCGTGACAGAACAGGATACTTGGCGTCACCATGAGAATGTTTACCGTCTTCATGACAGCGATCCAGTCCTTCTTGGTGTTGCCACGAACGCAGATGGTGCAGCCGTTGTACAGGGAGCCCAAGACTTCCCATGCACCCATGTCGAAGGCGATGTTCATGAAGTGCCCCACACGCATGCCAGGTCTCATATTGACGTTGGCTGGCGAACCCGGCGAGATCACTTGGGAAAGTAATCAGGACATGAGACGGAGACCAGTCGCCGAACATACCATTCGTCACGCCACGGTGCTTGACGTCAACTCCCTTCGGGACACCGGTCGTTCCTGGTTGACATGATCAGACCCAGCGTGGGCAAAGTACGTGAGCATCCCTCACCAGAGGTATAGATGGCATAGACGCCGCAATCCGAGGTCGTCGGGTCCGCCGGCTTGCTCCCGTCGGCGTGCGCAGCCTCGTCCTCCTCGATGACTGCCTCCAAATCGATGGGCGTGGTGGAATGGACGCGAGCAGCATATTCGTGCATGGAGAGAACAACGATGGGCTTGGCGTCGTTCAGGACGTAGCCGAGCGTCGAGTCGGGAATAGTGACGGCATCCAATGGCACATACTGTCCGCCAGCCTTCAAGACGGCCATGATGCCGACGACCAGAGGGATCGAGCGCCGTGCGAGGATGCACACCCGCTTCCCTGGGCTGACGCCCAGCGCTTTGAGACGGTGGGCGAGGCGATTGGCTTTGACGTCCAGCTGAGCGTACGTGATGGACGTTCCCTCGGTAGAGTGCTCGACGGCGATCGCGTCGGGCTGGTTACGCACATGACGCTCGAAGGAGTGGTGGACGACTGGGAACTCTATGTGTCTGCGGGCGCCGATACCGTTACGGTAGAAGAGAACTCGGTCCTCGGGCGAGAGATTGGAAAGAACGGGAAACCAAATGTTATCGAGGGCTTTGGAAGTAGAGTGGGAAGTCGACGAAGAGGAAGGAATGGGTGTGGGGACGATTGTTGTGGGCGAGGGCCGAGGAAGAACGGGGTTAGGCGCCCGAGCAGTAGCAGCGGCAGCCATGATAGGGAAGGGATAGGTTGTGGTGGGCAAATGAGAACAAGGAAGGTCAGGTTTAAGAGACGCGCATATAACAGGGGCTAGACAGGAGATTGTTTGTCCTGCCGCATCGGCCGAGACATATGAAGAGCATGCCGTTCGTGTGCATTCTTCTGCCAATCCTCTGATGGTTGTCGGCATTGAAAGTTGGCGCCTCATATCTCGACGATAAATCCTCGTAATCCCCGCATCGCATGTGTTTATAAAGACAACTCAGCGCCCGTTGGTCAAGGTTGCTCAACCAGGCGAGAATGCGTGCCAGCCTCCTAAGTTCTCCACGTTTCTCCCCAGCATTCTCGAGATCCCGATAATGCATACCCCGGATCCGCGGGGGTAAATGTTCCCCGCGCGGATCAAAGAATTTTGATTGTCGAGAACGGAGACTCGCTTGTTAGGAGCGCTAAGCACATGCACCGACTCTCCGCTGTCGCTCGTATTCTGGCAAGTATTCTCAAAGGCGATGGTTATTGCCTCAGTACAAAAGTGGAATAATTTCCGGTCTTGCCACGTGCTTACATAACAAAGTAAGACATGATGCATCTGGCGGCCGGGGTGATATCATCGCGTCAAATTTCCCACCCATCCAAATTTAGGGCCGACACCCTACCATGTCCTGGGTCGAGGAACGCGATGGCAGTTTCCAGCGAGACTTCGGAGACAGCGAATACGCGCTCTTTCCTACCTCACGTATAGCGATCGGGGACATGTTCGTCGTCAGAGGCTCAGGCGCGACGCGTTCATGCTGACTCTCCCGTGTAGGTACCTGCATCTCATCGTCAACGCGCCCACGCGTTACTTTCGTCCCGAACGCGTGCGCATCGCGTGGAGTCTGATACGGCGGCGTCACCCGTTGTTGATGTGCAGCGTCATCGCTGACGAGAGCTTGCCAGAGTCGCCTAGATTCCGGTGGGTGGACTAACCATCTGCGTAGCTTCTTTATCATCTATGGACTCACGGACTCTAGATTTGTCCCGCCGCAGACCACGGAGGATGCCCTGGAGGAGGCGATGCGCGCTATCCGGCATAGCGAGGAGACGAGAGAAGGTGCGTTGCCAAATACGCGCTCGGCCGACTGCCACATCTTCATTCCAGAACTCTTCAGCGCATACATGGACGGCCCGAGGATTCTCTCTGATGAACGACTCTCATTCCTTGTGATCTCAAGCCAGGGTCCCCAAGACGTCCATTCCAGCGAATATGGGATCTTCATGTGTGCACCTCATTTCCTGGGCGATGGAACTGCACTGCACTTGACAACGCACGAACTCGTCTCTCTTCTGACATCCGGAAAGGCCGACGCAGAACTGATGGAGGAGCTCTCTGAGCCTCGGAACTGGGTATCTTACAGTATCCGTCCGGGAATTTCGCGCTGACCTAGCTGACTGGGGTTTAGATGGACGCGTTACCTCCGAGTCTGGAATCACGCCTGCGTCCGCCGGCTTCGGCCTTCGGCAAGGCTGCATGCAAGATCAACTATTTCCAGAGCTTGAGCCGTGAAATCGTATGATGCGCATCAGTTCTCGCTGTCTCGGTTGCTCAGCCTTCTGCAGGGAGGGCACAGACTCCCTCGTGTCCAACGAGCTCCGAAACGAACGTTGTTTCAAGAGCATGAATTCTCGAGTGACAAGACGGCATCTATTCTTGCAAGATGCAAGGCAAATGGAGTCACCGTCAATCACGCTCTCGTTGCGTTATGCAATGTTGCATGGGCACGGTGCACGTCACAAACTGCCGAACTTCCCATGTATGTCTCCTCTTCATCATGGGCCGATCTGACCGTTTCTTTCCAGCCTCTTTTACACCGCTGCCAATCTCCGACCGTATCTCGCTCCGCACACCTCTCAATCATGTTGGTTCCTTGCTCTGGCCTATTTCACCATGACATTTCCTGCGTTCGTCCCATCGCACGCCAAAGGAGTCTGGCTGCGCGCCAAATCGGCAAAGAACCAGATGCAAGCGGCGGTGCGCTCCCCGTTGCTCCCGACACGTGCTCTTCTCTCCGCCGCCGCTCGGTCCCGCCGATCCTCCCCGTCCTCTAATTTTAGCCCTCCACCGGAGAACGCCGCTCTGCCAGGCAGGCCCAAAGATAGTGCGGCTCTGTTTGGGATATCTCTTCTCGGTGATTTGGATCGGCTGTACCTGCGCAAATTATACGGCCCCGGTGTCAGTCTCGTCTCCATCAGCACTGCCAGTCGGCTGAAAGAGGGCGGATTCCTGATGCTGGGTCATACTTTCTGCGGGAAGCTTGCTCTCCAGATGTATTGGGACCAAATGGGTTTTGTCGAGGGGGAGATTGAGCGGTTTTGGGCCCAGCTTGCGATGGCGGTAGATGAATTTCTTACTTAGCGGTGTCTTGTGCGCAGATTCCCTGGTGTTCGATTTTGAAAGGACGTTTGTTATCGGCTCTGATAGAATACTGCATAATCAAATGTAATTATGGGTTCCATGCAGCACTTAAGTATGTCAAGGCGCGCAGGCAGATGTCAGTGCAACGATATCCTCGAGCGCACCAAGTCCGCCTGTCCCTGCATACCGAGATTAAGCCTCGGTATCTCAAGAATCCAACGAGAATCCCCTGTCTTTCGATGCGATGCGGATAGATGGAACGCTCCTCTTCGGACGGAAGGGTGAATATGCATCGAGTCTAGGGCGGAAACTGCCCAGTCTAAGACACCGGTCTATAAGGAATGGACTTGCGATAATGCTTCAGCCCACCCCGCAAAGTCTGCACTATGAAATTCAACAGGCTCGCCGCATCTTCCTTTGCCGTCCTAGCAGCGACAGTGACGATGGTCAACGCCATGGACTATCGTCTGCTCTATAAGATCCCAAAGATGCAGACAATGGAGGGTTTCCAGACACGGTGCGTCTATCACCTGTGCCTTTGATTGATTACGCTGAAGCAAGATGTACTCTGCAGATTTTCTAGCACATGTGCTAAGGGATCATGGCCGCACGCCAAAAACTCCACCCAGGGTCTGACCTATCGCGGGTTTATCTTTGAGCCAGGAGACTATGCCGGGAAGCACCAAGATGGTGAGTCGAACATCAGTTCCTTCTCCCGTAATCTCATAATGTTGGATTGCATTCATAGATGAGGTTAAGATCGTTTGCGTGCGTGATCTGGCTCTCATCTTGAATCTATCTGAGCTGATCACTGATAGTACTGGTACAACGCTACAGAGGGAACGAGTTCTCCGTCGGTCGTATTTACTAAGCAGGTCGCGGAGTATCTTGGAGCAAAGCTGGTTTGACGGAATTCGACCACATCAGGCCGTCTGGAGTAGTAGAGACTTGCTTATGCAGTGTGCAGATGATGGAATCAAACCGATAATCAATTTCTTCAGTTGGGACAGTTTACACATCATCCTCGTACACGGACAACCTTCCGCTTTCCCTTCTGCATACCACCAGCGATCTGTCCTTGACCTGCAGGCGTAGCACCGGGTGTGCCCGGAGCACCCGCCGTCGCTTCGGCTTGAGCTGTCATACCAGCTTTCACGGCGTCAATGAGCACTCCGCTCACAAGCGCGGGCGAGTACGGCGATAAACGCTGAGCCAGCGGCGGATGAGGGAGCGGCGGTTCTGGTGGCGTCCGCTTCGACTTCTTGGTGTGCACTGCCTGTGGAGCCGGCGACGGTGCGCTCGTCGGCCGCGTCTGCTTGCCTTTGGCAGTGGAGGACTTGATTGGTGTAGATGCAGCGGCTGCGGGCACGGGTGTCGATGCTCTGGAGGGGGAGCGGAGGTCTCGACCGGAGGAACGTAGGCGGGCTTGATCCGCTGGATTCGCGCTGCGATCGATTCAAGAAGAGCTTTCTCTGTACGCAGGATAGTAGTGAGCGTCAATTCAATCCAGAGGGCATTGCGCGCCGTACTGTTTCTGATCGAGGGATTCAACAATCGTCCATCCTTCTTCCACTGCACCCGCACACGACCCGGGTTCTCCCAATCACGCGGATGGGACTTGCTGACCTCGTGGAGCGTCGGGAGGCCAAGAGAGGAAGTCGCATCGGCGATATCCTTGCTTAGCGGCCACCAGATAGCGTGATCCCTGGGTATCCGCCGCTGACCCGTGCCATACGCGCGTTTCGCGTCGAGGTAGATCGGATAGATGCACGTCCAGCTAGAGAAGGCTGTGAGGATACGGTATACGCGATGGATGGATGATACGAACTTTTTGTACGGCGTCAGATCCATGGTCGTCTGCACACCCGCGCCAGGCGGTCGGAATGCCGACTGCGAGTGGGTTGGCGTAGCAGGTCCTGCCCGAGGGGGAGGCGTGTTCATGCGCGGCTCATCGTCGAGACTGAGCTCCTGCAGTAATGGTCCGACCGAGCCAGTATTGGGCAGGGAGAGCGACGGCAAAGGCAGGTCGGTGTCGTCGTCAAATTCCTCTACGATCGCTGCACGACGGGACATGTTGGGGCTGGGCTCTGAGCATGGCTTTGAACAATAAAAAGAGAGATTGGTAGGAGCCGTTACTACACTATCTGTTTTGTGCTTGAGAGTGGGATGGGCGTTGGCAGTGACGGCAGAGGGTCGCTAGAGTCACAGTCACATCCACCACCCGTTACTCGGTTTTGATGCGCCCCTCATGTCGTCCATGTACTGTCGCTTATGGGTATTTACCCTGTATGTACTTTTCTCTCAAACTCATAGGGATGTAAATTGAACGATATCCTAGGTTGATGGTCACTGGCGCTGCCTTGGCCGCCGAACATGTCCACAATAAGATCCCAACAGGTCTCGTCTGCGCACCCGCTGGACTATGCGAGCCCTGTCCAGCCGACTCCGTATGTTCGATCGTCCGCACTCTGGAATCAACCCATCTCATGCTTACCTCTCAGCTTCAAGAACCATTTTGTCAACCGTTCGGGAACCGACGTCTCATGCATTGCGTGAACAGCACAATCCCTGATCCCCAACGTCCAACGCACCCTCCTGGCCACGCTCGCGCTCCTCCATTTGAGAAGCCTTGGAATGCGCCACCTCCTGCGTCCCCACATCCGCTGCACAGCCATGAAGGGGAAACTCTCGCCTGGGCTGGCTGCGGACGCGTGGTCGCGCAGGAACGCGCGGACTTTCTGGAGTTCGTGGCTTGCAACATCCTCTTTGCGGTCGTCGCCGTTTTTGGTGTTTTTGCTCGTGCGCGGAGGATGGCAGCCCGTCAAGCGCGACAGCTTGCAGCCCGAATCGGATTGGGCAGGTAGTTCCGGAGGACAGGTTATATGCATGCAGAGGGCGGACGCTCTACGGTATCAGCATAATATTGGACTCGCTGTCTTGTGAATTCAATGACTTGAATCCACGACCCGCACGCGCCCTCGGGTCTCTGAAGGCACTTTCCCGTCACCGTGTCTCACCCTCCTTCCATCCGGCGAAGCGTGCACTGCACCAGTCTGGATTCGCCCCAAGACATCTTCATTCTCCGCTCTCGATCGCTGTGTACTCAGAAGGAGCCTACTTAAGTCTCCTCCGCTTTTGAATGGCGATCAATTCTCTTTCCCCGCGCCCATGTATCCACACTCCTCTTCTTCTTCCCGAACCGTCTCCCCGTCTTCGAGTGATGAAGACGACTTCGTCCAGAGACGGAAGGAAGCTCTCAACGCTCGTTCGACGTGCACCACTCCTTCGTTTAATCAGTCGAACAAATTTTCGAAATGCCAAATTTCGGCAGCGGAGGCACCTTCGTGTCCTATCCTCCAGCAGGGCAAAGGCTTCGGGTCGCTCCGAAACTACACAGACTACAAAAGCACTCTCGGCTCGTCGGAGGTATTGCCTAAGACGGTCTCACGCAAGCCGTCCAGGCTGTTTCTGAAGCTGAAGCCGTCCAAGAGCAGTTTCAAATCCAACGATGAGGTTTCCCTGGTCACCACCACCTCCTCCTCCTCCAGTAGCTCCCATACGCCAGACTTGAACGATAATCCTTTCCCCCTTCCCCCGATGTTCTCCCCTTGCACTTCTCCTATCGACGAATATTTCCAAGAGAGGGTGTCTGCGCCACCCCAAGCCCGCTTCAGGATCCGGCGCAAACCCGTTCCTGCTTACCCTGAGACTGAAGACCTCTCTAGTTCCAGTGCAGAATCTTCTGCATCGGAAACGGATGGCTTCGATTCTGATGACCTCGGATCTCCTCAACTCGTCGGCCCCAATGTTTTCATTGCCTACGACGCGGAACCGGTAACTGCGGCAACAAGCGCATTTACCCATGTCGTGCGCATCACTGGCTCGGCCTTACGTGCAGTCTCGTTTAATTCGCAGACCACTGCACGTACGCTTACCGTGTCTGTCGGCTCACCGGGCTCTTCTTCCGCGAGCTCGTTCATGAGCGAGCTGTCGAATTACCTGCCTGTGATCGCCGACACGCACCAACACATCGACTTCTCTCACTCGAAAACCCCACATCGGAAGCTCTACGTACGGCGGAAGCCGGTTCCCGTATTTTTGAATGCCTTCGAGAAGGAGGATGATGAGATCACGTTAGAGGATTCTCTGCTCGACATGCGAGGCAAGAAACCCTGGCCGTCGATTTCTTACTCGGATCTCCTTGCGACGCAATCTGTCCTTCCGTCGTCCGAGCTTCTCGATGTTGCACATCTTCTCTCGGATCCTCCCTTTGACGACGACCAATCTGAATTTCTCGTCACTCCTGTCGTACTACAGCGCAGGCACATCCAGTCTGTCCTCGACTTCCTCCGCCCACATCCCTTTGCTCCCGACGCACGCAAGCGTGTCTTGTTTGTTGTCCCCCGGGACCGACAGCTGGCACTCGAGGGTCTCCTCCTGGCCGCTGCTTACGTGACCCACGCAGAACGGCGCAACTTGGATTCGGTTTTGCGCAAGTTCGATCGTATCTCGGGAACTGTTGTTCCGCCGTGGAGGCTATTCCGTGGAGATGAAGATGAGATTGCCATGTCCCATCTCGAGCAGTTGATCTCTACAGTGTGGGACCACTTACAATGAGCTCGAGCTGCGCTCGGCCCATTCCTTGCCTGTACATAATAATCTCTATCTACCTATGTTTGCCCCAATTGCGCTTGTGATTACTCTTATAAATAGTATTATGGCATATCTACTGTTTATGAGGAAGCAAAGTACACAGCAAGAAACCACGGGGCAACGCGGAAGCCTATCAGCGACACGACATAGGCTGCCCCAAGGGGCAGCAGCGGAGCTAACAGTAAAGTCGTGTGTGCCAGATAAGGGAGAGCAGACAGCCCGAGGTATGTGCCGTATATGTATTGAGCGAACCTGTCAAGATCAGCCGGTGCTTCGATACGGTAAGGTTGCAGGCATACCCAGCAAGGTATAATGTGTTCCCAACCCATAGACATAGCCAGTTATTCTTCTGGATGACAGGCAGAAGAAAGAGCTGGGCTAGATAGAGCGTTAGGTATAACGGAAAGAAGGCGTTTGTATGCACGTCAAACGTGTATCTGAGTAAGAAATCAGCAAGTCTCCAAATCAGCGGAATACGTCCACTAACGCCCACTCTACTGTTTCATGCCGAGGGGTTGGAGGCGGGAATCGCGCGCCAGTGAATGATGGAGTCGGTGCGGGAGGAGTGGAAGGAAGAAGGAACGTCTTTGATGTTTGCCTGCAGACCGGGTAAGCAATGTTTTCAGGGACTGAAACGGAACGGAAGGAGAAGAACGAGCAAGAATGTCGGGTGAGATTAAAGATTAACCTCCCCCTGCCCCTGTGTAAGCCGTTGAAGGAGATGGACAGCGGTCTTCCGTTTCAGCATTCCAGTGCCATGGAGGAGTTCTCGTTTGACGGGATATAGGAGCCGTCAAGAGAGAAACTCACCATAATATTGTCGAAACGACCACTCCAGATAGCAGAAAGTCGCGTAGGATCATGAGAACTGCCAATCGAAGCGCTTGCGCAATGCTGAGGGAGTAGACTAGCGACCACGCGATGGCAGATACACAGAGACACGCGGAAAGCAATAGAAGAATTGCAGGGTCGTCGCGTGCCCAGGTGTTTTTAGTTTCTAGTCGTCCGGTTATTCACGGAAACGCGCGCTGGATGCGTGCAGTGACGCACGCTTATGGAAGTACACATTTCGGTATACGCGACGGGGCGCAATACACAAGTACGTTAGTTGCCAAGCCGCGAGCTCGAAATCCTGCAGACAAGATGAATACATATCCGCCACCGCACAAGTATGTAGCACGTTGACTTGCCATCTGTTGGAAACGATGCAACCGACGAAATATGACCGGGATACGCGGCGCCGAGGAGGATGACGCCGACGTCGGCGCTGGGAGACCTCCCGCTTCGGCTGCGTATGCGGACATTGGATAACTGCGCGAGAACGGACGACGGACGGTTAACGAAGCCAGTCAATGATCATATCAGCGGTCGGAGTTCGAATCTTCGGACTTTCAAATCCACATTTACGTTCCCTCCCTCCTCATACACGCTGACCCCACCATGGATGATGCTGAAGTGCTCGATTGGGACGAAGACGACGCTCACATCGGTCCTGCTCTCATAGACAGGGACGAAGATGCTGTGTCTTTGGGCGGTAGTGACGAAGAGCTCGACGAGCCCGTCCCCGCGCCTGCGGCGGAGGTGGCGCCCTCCCAACGCCCGCAAACTCCTGAGGCGGCTTTGGTCTCTATAGAGAGCACGGAGAGGCAGCCTAGGTCTTCGTCACCCCGGCGCAAGACCCCCGGGTCCCGTCCCACCAGGCGGGACCGTGGGGACCGCGAGCGTGACCGGCATAGGGATGATCGCGAGAGGGACAGGGACAGGGACAGAGAAAGGGACAGAGAAAGAGAAAGAGAAAGAGACAGGGAGAGAGACAGGGAAAGAGACAGGGAAAGGGAAAGAGAAAGAGAAAGAGACAGAGAAAGAGACAGAGAACGGGACAGGGACAGGGACGAGCGGCGGGATAGAGACAGACGTGGGCCGCCAAAGCCCATCTCGCAACCGATCACCCATGCACTTCCAGCCAAGCCGTCGTTCACCACACCAGCCATCACCCATTCGTCCACTGAGGCGACTTCGATGACGGGTACGGCCAAAGACACTAAAGATACTGTAAGTTCTAAACCGCCTCGATCTCTTCCCAATCACTCTATTCAATGCCGAACATTTGCTTATTGATCGTCAGAAACCTCGAACTAACGCCGGGGGAAACGGCTCGGTAGCTAATCTTAGAGCTCCCCCTTCTGTGCCCCCTCCGAATCGTGAGCGCGAGCGGGAGCCAGAACGGGAACCGCGCACCGAGTCCCGTCCGGCGCAGCACAGGGAAAGTGATGTGTCTCGTCCGCCGAAAAATGCGTGGGAGAGACCTCGTGACGGCGCGGCGGATCACCGAGACGAACGTGGAGAGGACCATCGAAACCAATCTCGCCTTTCGAACAACCATGATCAAGCAAACACCGCACGTGGGGTTGGTCTCCTCCCCTCCTCCACGCCCCAGCATCTTTACATTCCCCTTTTCTTCTCCTTCTAGCGCACGCGGGACTTTCGCGAAAGCGACGACGCATCGATGCCGATGAGCAACAGTCACAACGAACGTCTTACGGACGGCGCCGACCCAAAATCCATGTCATTCACTGACAGGCATTACCGACCAGGCAACGACCCACTAGGAGAGGGCCAAACGGCTGTCCGCGGCAATGCTGACGCTCCGAAGAACAGCTTTGCCGCGCAGAAGAGATCGGTCTCGCCACTTTCCCGCGACTTCCGACGCGGTGACACTGGTCGCCGCGGCGATCACTGGAACCCAGCGATGGGTCCCGTTAACCCTAATGACATAGTTTCTGTCTCAGGATCGTCGACGTACCCAGTCTCTGACGGTGACAAAGGTGGCTTCCGAGGTCCTGCTCCTGCTCGCGAGGGTCCTCGGGGCCCACGTGATGGTCCTCGAGGACAAGAGCGCAGCGAGGTTGATCCCGAGCGGGATCAAAGGCGAGCCCAAGGCCGATACGAACACTCTCGAACCTCGGAAAACGAGTCTTTCGAGCGCAGGCCGTATCAGCCTCCATCACATAGAGATGGCCGTGATCGCAATCGTCAAGACACGGGGTCAGATCCGTGGCAGCGAGAGCGCCCGATGCGGGATCTCCCGCCGCACCAGATGCCGCCAAGAAGGCAAGAGTTCGAACGTGACATGCCTCCGCATCGTGCTGCAGACAGTCGCGATAGTCGCGAATCTCGGGATATCTCCAGAGGACAGCCTCATTCCTATCAGCGCGACACACAGTTCTCCGTAATGCCAGCTGCCCCCAGTACGTTGCCTCTCCATGCTTGGCTCGCCACCCGCACACCCTATGCATCCGTTTTCGCTTCCCATGCTGCGTCCCGCGCCATGCTCCTCTCGTCTCTCCTTGTCATTCTGTCTGGGCCTATTCGGAAGGATTTCATGCTCACGGTCTTCCACCTGTCATACAGGACATCCCCGGAATAGATCTCGCTCTCGTTCTGTGTCACCAGTGCCTCTACCTGCTCGCCAACGGAATGAGACTCGATTTGGATCGGATGATGCGCCTCTGCGTCATAATGGTGCCGGTGCCGCTGCGCCATCTCATCCTGTTCCCAGAACGGACGATGAGGATGGCGCTTTGTCTCCGCAGTCCCGTATGTGCCTCTGCCGTTTTGCCGACCTGAGCTGGCTGTTGACGCGTATTGAAAGGGTCCAAGCGCCAACCGCTTCCGCCGCAAAGCGACGCGTTTGTAAGTGTCCAGTATGGAGGTCCTCCTGAACCCGCCGCTGCGATACGCCGCGACGTGCCTGGGGATCACCAGCCACCAGCAGGACCTCGTGGCCCGCGTTCGACGCGCGGCGCTGCTGACGCTGACACGCCGGAGGCTTTCGTGCCAAATGACGCTCCGAAAGGCCCGAGGGCCATGAATGCGGGACAGTCTTCGGGTGGCTATGGATCGGCAGGCTATGGCCCGTCCGGTGGACATGTGGAGAATGGATTTGGGCGCGGGCGTGGGCGCGGCAGGCGGCTGTCACCACCCCGCCCCATGCCAGAGCCATTCCGAAACGTGCGTTCCTATCACTCCTTTCTCTACCTATGCTTTGTTCTCATCGATGCTAAACAAACAGCGGAACGCCCTCATGTCGGGCTCCAACCAAGTTCCCATCGGTGTTCGTCCTGGCCATGGCATCAAGGAGCAGGGTGCACAGCCTGGTGGCCGAGCGGAGTTTCCTAATGGTCCAAGCATGAACCGGCGCGGACAGGTGGAACCCATCATCGTGCGTGACTTTGCGCGATGTGACTATCTATCGGGTCTGTAATTGTTCTGCAGCCCGAGTATCCGAGAGATGATGACAGGTCTGGTCGGCGTTCACCGCAGGTCAGTTTCGTCGTCGCTGAGGCATTGGAGCGTGGTGCTCACTTGATTATTTTAGCCTGGTCAAAACACCCTGAGAGACGGCCCGAGAGACATGCCGCCGAGAGACATCCCGAGAGATATGCCGCCGAGAGACATCCCGAGAGATACGACGAGAGAGGCTCCGAAAGACCTTCCCATAGATACTCCGAGAGCTCCATCAAGAGGGGTGCCTCGCGACATGTCTCGCGATTATCCAGGGTCAGACTTGCCTCCAGTTTGTGCTTTCTAATATCTCGAGTATGTGGTCCTGATTGTGCCATGCAGACGAATCGACGTAGCTTCCCCGGGAGTCAGCCCCCGCCTTTTCCGAAGCACCCCGCTTCTTCCCACCGGGATTTCGAAGAGCGGCAAAACGACACTGTACCTCGAGATGATCGACGAGTCTTCGATGACCACCACACTCGTTTGGAGGAACGGCTGGGACCGTCTGTCGATCGGCCTGGCTCCGCCCGCAGCGGATCGCCGAATGAGACACGGTCTCCGGCCCTGCGCCGGGAGAGTTTCCCGCCTTCTGACGAACCAGCGGCGAACCACCTCAAGGATCGACTGGGAAGCAAGTGGGGACCGCCCAAGACCGAAATTGTCCCATCAGACAACGGACTTCCCGCCCGGCCGCCTCCTGCAAACCTGACTCGAACTGCCTCGTTATTGGAGCGGATGGGTGATGGATCCGGGGGCGCAAAACATCAGGACGCGAACATGGATGTTGATGATTATAATTCGCGTCAGCGCGTGCAGGTACCGAGCAAACGGGACCGAGACGACAGCGCAGAGATGAGCGCCGACGATGAGAGCAAACGTAGGCGGAGGAACTCCAAACCGAAGCGAGGAAGGTGGTGAAAGTGTTACGTTCTTTGGCAAGCTTTTGGTGGTCTCAAGGGCATGTCTTGTGCCACGCTTGGGCCTGTTCTCTTCTGTGCTGTATATTCTGTAACTTGCCAATTGGCGGAAAGCCCTCACTTGTCTGGTCCGTTCCTTCTCGACAAGAAAACTTCCGGTTTCTTGCAACCCAATGGTCTTGTTTAGATTTGCTGCGACAAAAGCTCTCTAATTACTGATTACACAAGATGTCTAGAGGAAAATGCGATTATCAATCAGGCCTTGACGGGCTTAGGAGGTTTGCCAGGGATGACAATCCAAGCCAACATGATGAGAATGCGGAAACCAGCGCCGATGCCTAGCGCTGCGGCGGCGCCGATGGCTCCGAGGATCGCGCGAGCAACGAAGGCACCGAAGAACAGCGCAGCCGCCGCGATCAGTTTATGGTCGCGGGTGATGACTTTGTTGCGCAGATTGAACAGTCGGGGATCCGTAACAAGCTCAACCCACACGGTTGTCAGCACGACTGCACGAAAAGATCAGAGACCGCAAGCGCGACGGATATCACTACGGCGAACGACGTACTGGTCGTGGTGAACTGCGTGTTCAGGCGCTTTCCGACGATCCCCTGCACACCCAGACTCGCGCTCATGAACGCGAGGCCCACGTACGTGAGCGGCGCGCTCCAGCTCGGTGTCCCGCGCTCCGCCGCGATGCTGCTCTGCCCGCTCTTCCAGATCGTCAGGGCCGCGGCCATCGTGAGCAGGATCTGGACGAAGGTCGCGCCGACGAGCCAGATGCGCTTGTGCGCGCCGACGCGGTCGCCGACGCGCCCGAAGAACGCGCCGGCGTTGAACGAGAGGAGGGACGTGATCGCCTGCCGGTCGGCGATGTGGAAGCTCGTGTCGTGGCCGACGCCCGAGGGGCCGATCTCCCATAGCCGTGCGAGCGCGAGCGCGAGCTGGAGAGCATGTGTGAGCGAGTGATGAGTGGATGGATGGGACGCCTCCCGATGGAACGGAGCGGGGTTAGAGGGCGTTAAGTGATGCCGCCCGTCGCATCAAGCTTAGCGAGCGGACATCTGCCTCCGAGAACCCCCCGCAGTGCGTGTGTGGTTGAAAGTTGACTCACCTGGGCGAAGTTGCCGGTCTGGAACCCACACCATACGAAGATTGCCGAGAACGAGATGGCATCGCTGCATAGCATGCCCCTCATGAGCGTCGACGAAAGAGCTGGGCGCGTGCGACGTACATGTATCCAGTCATGAAGCAGAACCCAGCAAGCGGGCCTGTGGCCTGCGCGGGATCGACCTCGGAGTTCAGGTGCTCCCAGAACGACGGACGAGACTGTTTGGCGACGCCGCCCTCCACGTCTTCAACGCTGGTCGTTTTGGACATGGTCGTGTGATGATCGAGCTCGAGAGAGGGAGTTTCGAAAGGGACGGAGGGAAGTCTCGGGCCTACCAGCAGAACATGAAGCGTTGTTATACTAGCCGAGAAAGGCGCGAGTCTTGGCACACCCAATTTTTATCTTGGGCTCATCTGTTCCGAACGGACTTCCGATTGGACACGAAATTATCGCCGCGAACGCCACCCAATGGCTGTGGGCTGCCACGGGCTTGGACGGCTCTCACGCAACGTATGTACGGGGAGTTAGAGACAATTGTCCTGGGAAAATGCGTGCCAAGACAGGGCAAGCTGTGTTCTGCGCTTCGATGTCCCCCACTGAAGCCCTAAAGCGGAGGTTTCTTTTTCGAAAGGCCGAAACGTGCCCTCTCGTCCATGCATTCCGGGTCAGGCGCTGTCTGACAAGACCAATGCAGAGGCTGCCTTGGGATGCTGAGGTCGCGCTGACCGGATATCTCGAGTGATAATTACACGTAACACAGCAAGCTTTGACTGGGTATTTTCTGGGTACCAAGTACATGCAGACGGGAACGGTGGAATTCAAGGCCTAGCTCCGTGCCGCTGCATCTCAGAACCGAGGTATGTGCTGTGCACACACGCAGGTGCATCCATGCGGCTACCCATCCCTGTGAAAAGGCCTTCCGCTTTGACCTCACGTCGCGAGGGCGTCCTTGACGATAACGAGTGTTGCCCCAGCAGCAAGATCCTGGCCAGTCGATGCGTAGCCACTCGCATGAGATCGCAGAGCTTTTCCCGTTACGGGATAGAACCGAAGACACCTCGACTTCGCCTGCTATTCCTGGATAACCCATCGCAAGAATGAAGTTGTCGAGTGCCGGCTTGCTCGGACTGTGCGCGCCGTCAGATGGGGAGTGCAGGTCGTTGAGTGTGCCATGATGCTGTTCCAAGCGAGACGACGGCGAGATCTGTGTGATTGTCATACCACCAGTCTCAGTGCTAAGTATAGGAAGCGGACCCGCACTCATGTATGATCGAAGAGCACATCGTTGAGATCTCTCGAGCACGTGCAGTCCAGTCAGGTCCTCCTGGGGATAGCCGTTGCGTATCCCATGTGAGCGATCCCAGCGAAACGAAATGTGGTGATTGCCACACTACTGGTCTCAGTGTTGTGAGAAGGCCGCCGAATTGTGCTCTTGAGTAACCGGGTCTTGACCGATGCTTTGCCCTACACGTTGATTGCGGAGACGGGGTCATGGGGACTTGACAGTACAAAGCAGCATTCCTGCAGTGGTGCAAACCAAGTCGCGTGGCGAGTATATATCTCTTGCAGAAAAGCACATCCAGTTCAACCAGGCTCTTCTCCCCAAGATGGTCCTCATCGTGGGCCCCACGACAGATTTGAGCACTTCATCATCCTTCGAGTCGATGGGAATTCAATGTGTTCGCTGCGAACTTGGCCAGGGGATTTTCAGCTAATCACGCGCGCTCGGGAAAACGAGACGGCCCGGCATGTCAGAGAGATGGCGGATACCAGGGCGCGGTATGGCCCGGGTGTCTCAGTCCTCGTTCCATTGAGCGGGAGCGTCGAGGATCATCTTAGTCCATAGCTGGAGGGACGCAGGGACGAAAATCGCGCTGGTGGAGTGACATTCCGCATGGGCAGTGGCTTTTCATAGTAGCAGTACGCCAGAGTGCGCTCGACAGTCTGCTAGTGACCAGTAGCAGGTATCAGGGTAGGACGTAGTGTCGCGGTTGCATGAAGTGGTGCGGCACCGTTGCAGTGCGAGCAATACGTAAGTAGAAGAAGCAGGGTATCAATCTACTCGTGCTCTGTTGTTGTTACTAGGAGATGCACCAAGTCAAATCGAGTGTGACAGGCGTGGTCGCATGAGTAAATGCGATGACCAGTGCCCCTTTCTTTCATTGCAATTGGGACTCGGATTCGACAGAGTCACTCCCAGTCGCTGTGAGTCGCTTTCGGTCTCAATGGGAGGAGTGTGAGGCAAGACGCGATCACTCAAGTGTTCAAGGCATACTGAATACTGACAAGTATCGGGTAGATGGAAGAAATCAACAGGACACTAGTCAGAGACCTGGCTACCTCCAGTGCAGCAGCTCTTCAGCGCGAGGAGACTCGACAGCCGAGCCATGCGACCCATCCGGCAACATCCAATCACGTAAGAATCGATTACCCGCTCGGTGCTTAAACTCGTCATGCTCCCGCCCGAGCTCGTCGACGATGTCGTCGACAACCTCGCCGACCAAGTCGGCAAGGACGACACACGAGCGCTCCTCCGCCTCGCACTCATCGCACGCGCATGGGTCCCGCGCTCGCGCTTCCACAGCTTCGCATCGATAACGCTCGTGCGCAACCGCAGCCGCGACACCGTGCGCCCGTTCCTCCACCTGCTGCACGCCCCCGCCCCCGGGCCGACGTTCGCCGCGTGCGTGCGTGCGGTGCACCTGCGCCATCGCTCCGCGTACGGCTCGCCCGTCCTCTCCGCCGGCGACATCCTCGTGGCGCTCGCGCGCGCGGGCATCCGCCCGCGGCACCTGCGACTCGAGTGCGGCTTTGCGCAGCGCGGGTCGCCCGCGGCGCTTGCCGCGTGCGGGGCGTTTGCTCAGCTGACGGACCTAGATATACTGCTTACTGGGAAGGTCGTGATGGACCGCGTGCTTGCATATTTGGCGCCGATGGGGTGTCTCCGGCGATTGAGCCTGGAGCCGATGGAGCTGGTGGACAACGACGATACGGGGGGCAGGGCGCTGCCCCCGACGCTCCGCGAGCTGTCGATCCGGGACTCGGCGCTGTTCAGCTACTGGCTGGATACCAATGCCCCGGAGCCGCTGCCGCAGCTTCCGCCGTCCCTGATATTCAGCGGGCCTTTTTCTCACCATTACACGATCTTGGAGCGCCATGTGTCCCTGATCCATCTGCCGCCGCGATCGAAGCTGACGTATTATGGATGGTGTGGGTGCCTCCGGCCTCGTGGTTGAGAGAGTGAGGCTGATTCCTCTTCCCGTTGCACAGACCCGACCGTGAACATCCTATCGATCCCATCTGCGGTCGAGCACGTGTGTTTCCAGGACAATCTCGACTTTGCGATCTTGTACGCATCGAACATCCTCACCCGCACGCGCGTCCCCGACGGGCTGCGCGTGGTCCAGTTCCGCCCCGACGTCGGCCAGGTGCTCGACTCGTGCCGGGACATCTGGACGGCCTTTGATCTGCAGATGGTGGCGCTGCAGGCGTCGAGGAAACAACAACACCCTGTCACCATCGTCGTGGGCGATGACAGCGAGCCGATCTCTGACGCGTTGTGGGACACCGTGCGCTCGCTGATGCCGCTGTGTACGAAACAGGGGACTCTGACCAGAGCGGGATCTTAGATGCATAGATTGTGGCTACCACTGCGACAACTAGATTTTTTTTTCCTTTTTTCTTTTTTTGCGGTGGATCGGAGTTCTCGGACGGGTCAATAGCTAGTTGATCGGATGTCTTAGTAACAAATGCGGTGCCCCCAACTCAGACTCGACATGCGGCAACGGCGTGTGCGTGCAGGGCGTCCCTCAAAAATATATAAAGCCGTTGCATGCTCCTTTCAACAGAAAAAAAATAGACTCTGCCCTCGCACCCCTCCATCTCACGTCACCCACTAATCATACTCCCTTCGCCTCGAGCGCCTACTACCAGCCCTCCCTCGCCCTCTCAATCCACGATACTATGCACTTCACCGCCCTGCTCGCCGCCACTCTCTGTCTTTTCTCCGCGACACACAGCGCCAGCGCCACCTCGCCGGCCGCGGATCCCGCGCCGAGTGGCACACCCGGGCGCAGCAGCCTGTCCTTCGCAGCGCGTTGGTTCGCGTTCCCGGCCATCCGGCCACAACCACAGACGCCGTCGGAGCGCACACTGCACGTCCGCCAGCACGGGCCGCGCCCCCGCCGCCGCACGGTCCATCCCTAGGCCATACGTTACGTGCGTGTCACGTGTTCGTGCCACGATGCGCGCACGTGCGGGAGGGGTGTGTCGACGCGTGCGCCAGGGCCGCGCACAATCATAATACAGTAATAACATACGCGTGTCATTTCGCGCGTGGGGAAGACCTGGCGTCTGTCCTCGGCCGATCATTTTGGACGCACCCGGCACGACTGTCGCCTTAGATGGGCTGATCCAACTGTGGATATATATGTTGTATGTATGTATGTAATGGGAAGTAACTGTAACACGCCGTAATTTAGATGTGCCTCCAATCGCACTTGCGACCTCACACAACATCCACTGAACCCGTCCGCGGGGAGATAATCGCAACCACCCTGCCCTCGAAGCCGTCCCCTCCTCTCCGCGCGACGAGGTCCGTGTTGGTCTCCGTGACACCGAGCAGCGTCTCGAGGTTCGACGAGCCGAGCGCGAGCACCTCGGCCTTGGAGAGCAGCCCGTCCGCCTCGATGCCGGCCCACGCGAGATCGAGCGGGATCGCACGCGCGAGGGACTGCTGCGTGGTCAGCATCCCCACGGTCACGTTGTGCGACACCAGCGCGGCGATCGCGCTCTGATGCGTCAGCGGGGGCCCGGGCAGGATGCGGCGCTGCTCCCATTCGTTGGGGAACGGCCGCGGGTTGACGATGACACCCACCCCCGCCGCGCCGAGCTCTTTCGCGAGCAGGTGCGCTTCGGTGGCGCCGGTGATGGTCAGCTTGAACGCCTTCCCGGTGCTGCTCTCCACCTCTTTCTTCAAGACGAGCAAAGTGGCAATGATATCGGCGCTCTCGGCGTGTACGACGAGCGGGATCTTCCCGTCTGTGACCTGACTGAACTGCTCCCCGATATCGCCAGATCCCTTTCCGAGCAGCAGACGGCGCAGAGCCGCAACCTGCGTGCTGACGCTGGCATCGGCCCACATGGAAAATCTGACATGCAGACCAGTGACCCTCTGGATGATGGCCCCATCGGCGAGCTTGTGGGCGGCTCCGGTGCTGAAGTACGTGCCCAGGCCAGTCAGGAACCCGCCGGTTGGGTCGGTGATGGCGCCTGTCACACCAGCGCGATATGCAGTCAGAGCGCTGCGTGTCTCGAACAGGAGACCGTCCACAGCCTTGATGACAGTATCGAGACGAGATCAGGGATGGGGTCTTCCAGCGGGTCCAAGACGTTGCCATCCACTGTCGAGTCTGGAGACGTGTGAGTCCCTCAAAGATCGACAACCAGACACGACATACATTCCCCGGCGATATGCGCCAGCCCGAGACCGCTGCCATACGTGATGAAGCCGGGAGTGATGCTGCCTCCCTCCAGGGCGATATACTCCGCATCTTGCGCCACGGCACAGTTCCCAGTGCACACGATCTGTCCCTTCTCGACCACGACAAGCGTCTGCTCAGCAGCACCGGCCGCACCGAAGATCTGCGTGATCCGGCGCGTCGACTGGTCCTTCGAGAAGATGCTGCCAACGTTCTGGAACACGACGACATCCGACTTGGCCTTGACGGGTCCAGCGGAGGCAGGCCCTCATACTCGATCGCGGCCTTAGTCTCCTTCTCGAAGTCAGGCGTGACGGGGACCTGCTGGAACGACTTGGGTTTGACCAGGACGTGCGGCTTCTCGAGCTGAGCGATGCCGTCGATGAACACCTGGGAGGGCGTTGCTCCCAGAGTCAGCGGGTGGCTGTCCCATACCACGACATCTGAGCCGGTGCTTAGTGTGACAGGGAGAAGGGCAAACAGGATAGCTTACCGGCGTCAAAGCCAGCAATGAGACTGCCGATCCGGTGTTCCATACCCATTGCCTTGGTCGGAGTAGCTGTTCCCTAGATGAGATTTCGTTCCATATCAAATGAACAAGATCAGACGCACTGGTCACAGACGCGAGCGCCAAATGGGCAGGAAGCCCGTAGTAGTGGGCTTGCTGAGCCTCGTAGATGAGATGGCGCGAATCGAGCACAGGATGGTCGCTCTATCCGATATCAGCTGGGCCGACTCCTGCGACGTCGCAGCGCGCACCTTCATGACCACATCCACTCCATTATCCGCGAGAATGCGGGGTGCGAAAACCGAGCCCCGGTAGGCCTCGCGCTTGAACTTGTCGAAGCCGGCGAAGATGGCAATCGCGGGTGGCTTGCCGTACGCCTTTTTGATCAGGTCGGGAACAGGTACGCTTCGTCTGGAGGGAGCTGCGGGTCAGCGTGTGGTGAGCGAAGTAGCACAGAGACACTTGCGGGCGTGATGGAAGGTGGCGATCGAGAATTTGAACTCGTTCGTGAGCTGAAGAGGAAGGGTTTAGAGTAGTCAGACTCAGGGGTAGCAGCAGCCTGAATCACGCACGCGAACCATGCCATCCAAGTCAACCGCCTCGTAGCAGTGGTTCTGGATCTTGACGAGACCACGCAGCACGTCGACCAGCGCCTCCCATTGAAGGCTCTCCGGGAAGTCCCCCAGTCCGGCCCATCGACCTGCTTCGGCCTTGGCGCAAAACGCGTCTTGCCTCTCCTTGATGAGACGCGCGGTCTCGTACGCCTGGCGGAAGGCCCACTGGGTGTCCATGCGGGTCCCATCGTAGACACGGGCCGGGTTCTCCCCGCACGCGTGCTTCATCTGGCGCCAGCGCGGACGCTGCGTGGGGTCGACGAACGTCCCGTTGAGCGTGAACGGGGGCTCGAGCAGCATCGCCGACGCGGAGCGCTCCGCCGTAGGGCGCAGCTTGATCACAAACGCTTGGCCCCCTGCAAGCCAGTGAGTCTACGCGGAACCGCTGGCTGTGGGCAGACTCACCGATCGCGTTGGCACTGCCCGGGAGCACGTCCGCGGAGGTCACGCCGCCCGCGATGGAGAGGCGGTACGCGTCGTCGTGCGTGTTCAGGCCGTCCAGCGAGCGCAGCCAGGGAAGCACGGGGCCCTTGAACGAGTTGGTGTCGGACGTGCCCAGCAGCGAGGGCGCGCTGAACACGCCGAGATGGTTGTGGAGGTCGACGATGCTGGAGGGAGAGATGAATCGAAGCGCTGCAATGCAGAATGAATCGATCTACTGACCCTGGCGTAACCCAAGCACCAGCGACGTCGAGCACCGACACGTCCTTGTACGCGCTGAGATCGACCGCCCCGACCTGCTTGATAAGACCGCTATCGAGCAAGATGTCCCCGTGGACGATCTCGTGTCCGTCGTGGGCACCCGTCCAGATCGTCGCGTTCCTGATCAGCGTCGCCTTCGTCCCCTCCTGGAACCGGTCCGACACAGTACGCGAGCGGAAGTCGTCGGGCGGCCCCGGCGTCAGCTTGAGAGCCGCGCAGTGCGCGAGCACGCTCTGCGCGTTCATGGGCACAGCGACGGCCCTGTCATGGGACGGGGAGTCCGATAGCGAAAGGTACGTCCAGGTAGCGGAGAGCGCTGCAAGCGCGACGAGCCCGAGCCGCAGGGTCCTCCCACGCGCCGGGCGCGCGGACTTCGGCGCCGCCGTGCTCTGGAGGGGTAGAATGAACGGGGGCTGGATGTAGGTTCCCTTCTCCATGGTGGTGGTGGTGGTGGTGGTAGGGAGCACTGGGCAGAAGGAAGCGACGGCAGTCACAGGTGCAGGCTGCTATCGAGCTGCGCGCCGCGGCGTGGAACTTTTAGTGATCGCGCATGTGGCAATGCGCAGTCGGTCCCCAGGAAATCACCCCGCCCGCCGAGCTCGCCGGCTGCGGCGAGTGATGCTCTACTATTAGACTGACGCGTCATGTCACTGTGACATGGTCTTGACCACGCACTGGCACCATCCCACCGCTACGGGCCTTCAGTCCACGCGAACGAGAATTCCTCCTGTCAGTGTTTCTGAGTCAGGGTCAGCGCCCGACTCGTGACACAATCCACAAACTGTTGGAGTCCTTTGAGCTTTTGTCATTGGAACATTGTTCATGCAAGGTGGTACAGGTTGTGTCTGGATAAGTCAAGACCGTGAGTATCAATGCCATGATTCTTCTCTCTATCTTTATGCTCAATTCTTGTACGCGATGTCAGGATCCACAAATCTAAAAATGCCCGCCACCTGAGTGTAATCCCATGATACGCAGGTAAGTCCGAACAAGGCAATGAACCTGAGCGACCTAAGAATACCATCCGAGGGTGGGTGACTCTGAGTCACCGGCCAACCTGCTCCCCGACCGCGCTCTGACCAGACCTTCGGTCCTTTTCGCCGCGAACACCATCCTCAGTGATCACAAGCCCTGCCGCAATGGCCCGAAATAGCCGCGAATATCATCCGCCACTGAGCCACCGCCGTGCTTTCCGTGATGTAACATTCTCGGCGCTTTTGCGCGGCAAGATTTCGGTTCTGGGTCTCTCTGTCTCATGCCGACATGCTCTGGCGCGCGCACTATATAACGAAACGGGACGGCTGATGGCCCGGACGAACTGTGCAGCAGACAGCAGCGACCATGCCCCCAACCCATCTTGTGTCCATCGTCGCGCTTGCTCTGGTCGCGTCGCTGGTCGAGGGGCAGGCAGCGATCTACGGGCAATGTATGTCTTCTCCTCCCATGAATGATTCTCGGGCTGAAAGCGACGGCCAGGTGGAGGAGGCTCAGTGAATACATCAAAGTTCCGCGTCTTGACTCCTTGCTGACGAACACCAGAGCTGGACCGGACCAACAACTTGTGTCAGCGGGACAGTTTGCTCTGTTGTCAACCCATGTCAGTCGCGAAAGCCGACAGAGCAAGCGCAACTCAGCTGACGGTCCACAGTCTACTCTCAATGCATTCCATCCACTGCAGCAGCGTCGACGGTAGCGCCGACCACCTCTAGCGTGCCGGCGCCGTCTTCTCCTCCATCCGTTCCGTAGCACCGGTCTCCTCCGCGAAATCCACCTCCGTCGTCGTCACAACCCCCGCCGCCCCGACCACCGTGACTACGGCCACCACCGCCGCCGCGAGCCCCACCAGCAGCGCCAGCGCCGGCAACTGCCCGGCCAACGTCCCCGCCGCGGGGTCCGGCACCCTCAAGTTCACCGGCGTCAACATCGCCGGGTTCGATTTCGGGTGCAACTCGGACGGCAGCTGCACGCCGGGCGCCGCGTACCCGCCGCTACTGAAGTACTACGGCATGGACGGTGCGGGGCAATGTCGCATTTCGTGAAGACGGATGGGTATAACACGTTCCGGCTGCCCGTCGCGTGGCAGTATTTGGTTGGATACACGCTGGGCGCGCCGCTCGATCAGACCAATCTGCTTATCTACAACGATCTGGTGCAGGTGGGTGTCGCGCCATCTAATCTGATCTTATCTCGTTCTGACTAAGCGCTCAGGCTTGTTTGGCAACCGGCGCGTATTGTATCATCGACATGCACAACTACGCCCGCTGGGAGAATACGGTGCGGTTTAACCTGGATGAGAGACTCCTGACAAGTGCTCACCGCGGAAGCAGATCATTGGACAACCTGGTGGCCCAACAGACGCCCAATTTGCGGCGACTTGGAGCCAGATCGCGGCTTACTACGCGAACGAGACCAGGATCATGTTCGGCGTGTGAGTCTAGGATTCTCATGTCTATGAACTTCCGCTAAGATCTGTCCCAGAATGAATGAACCTCATAACATGCCGAACATCACCCAGTGGGCGGGGAGTGTGCAAGCTGCCGTCACTGCCATTCGTAAAGCTGGGTGGGTCGCGATATGCTCCAGGAAAGTTCGGATCGCTCACCGATCTTGTAGTGCCACGACCCAGATCATTCTGCTCCCGGGAGACAACTGGACATCAGCCCAAACCTTCGTTTCGAACGGTTCCGCAGACGGTGCGTGGCCACACGGTGCATGGAATGCGACTGATGTGATGTCCCGTCCTCTCTCATTCAGCTCTGAACAAAGTGGTGAACCCCGACGGAAGCATCACGAACCTCATCTTCGACGTTCACAAATACCTCGACTACGACAACTCTGGCACAAACGCGTGCGTCCGGGTGTCCGGGTGTCCCATTGGTACTGCTGCTGACTATGTGCATACTACTCTAGCGCGTGTGTCACGAACAACATCCAGACAGCATGGGCCCCACTCGCACAGTGGCTGAGATGTCACGGGCGCCAGGCGTTCAATACAGAGACGGGCGGAGGCTTTAACGATCCCGGCTGCCTGACCTACATGTGCCAGCAGATCGCGTTCCAGGCTCAAAACAGCGATGGTGTGTTTCTCCATCCCCTCAACAGAGACATGCCTCATGATATTCTTCCCACCACAGTCTTCCTCGGATACGTCGGTTGGGTGCGCACGATCCGATACTGCTCTTACCGCCTAGACTGATTGATTGTGTTTAGGCTGCGGGTAACTTCTACAGCGGCTACGTGCTCTCGGAGATGCCGAACGTGAGCGGAACGACTTGGACTGATCTGCCCTTGGTCTCCAAGTGCATGGCGCCTGTATCCGGGTCCCAGAAGGGATCCACAGGACTGTGATGCACTGTAGTGACTAATCGAATACCGCGCTGTATCTTAGTATAGTCGTATAATCTTGTGGGCAGCCGCAGAGAAGAAGAGGAGCCAAGCACCCTGGCCGAGTGGCCAAGGCAACACCTCGATACACACACGCCTACATACAACCAACGACTACACAGGAGACCCTCGGATATAGTGCGACGCCGGAGCAGACCGCTCACGGCGGAAACCCTCCTCGAAACAGCACCTGTCCCCGCCCAGCGCACTGCGGCAACCTGCCTGTCAATGCGTTAATGGCGCTCTGCAGCGGCACTTGGCCGGATATGCAAAATATGATCATCCTTAGCTTGGGGCAACCCGAGAGCACGCAGTCCAGCTCGGTCCAGTCGATCGGATCCTCCGGCGGATAGAACTCCTCGGGATCTGCGAGCGTGATCCCCAGGAAAAGCTGCGTCAGGTTCTGCGCCCGGCTGAGCACTTTCAGGATCCACGCGACGGGGCGGCTGAATTGGTAGATCGACTCGTTCACGAATTTGTGCACCGAGATCGTGTGGAGGGAGGTGTTGTGCACCAGGTCGACCGAGAAGAAGAAAGATTCTGTGTCAATGTCAATGTAAGCTCGCAAGGCGCAGAAGGGCTGCTGCAATCGCACCGGCGTCGCCTCCAGCATCTAGAGAGGAGAATTCAAACTGCAGCGTCTTGAGCTCGGGGCCCAGAAGCTTCAGAAACCTCCCGATAGAGGGTGCATCGGGAGGCTGGACCCTGCCGAGCTGGAGATACCTCACGGCCGGCACAGGGTGTCTAGAGACCATCCAGTCCAGTATATCTCGCTGATAACAGTCCGTCAGCCGGAGACTGTCCAGTCCCTGCGGAACCGGAAACTGATCGAGAATGTGATGGTCGCTTCCGGGATCGGGACTCCACGCCACGTCGAGCAGGTGCAGCTTTCTCAGCGCCGGTTTCGACGAGATGAGTTCCACGACATCGGATGTGAAATCGAACGCGGATGAGCGCAGTTCGAGGGTGGCAAGAGCCCGGAACTTGGAATAGAACACGGCTTGCGTGGCGGGCTTCAAAGAGTCCCACGAGAGATCCCCGAAAGCTAGACTCTCGACAGCGGGCAGGTCGTGTGCCAGGGCCGTGATGATCGCCGGGTGGCGGTCAATCCACGTCTCCGTCTCCTCGTCGTTCTGCGAGGGCGGCTCGAACGTGAACCGGGCTAGTTTCCGCGACGATAGCTCTAAGCCCCATAGATTGAGATGCCGCACATATCCGCGGATGGTCGCGTGCGGGCTTGCGATGAGCTCGACGAAGGTGGCAATGTTGCGCGCGTGCAGCAGCACGACCCGGTTCGCGAAGTGGTGGTGGCGGCTTGACGGCAGCCACGAACGGCGGACGAGTGCACACGCAAGGATTGTTGGGGTATGATGTCGCGTGTGTTTGATAATGTCGTCGAAGAGTTCCGGTGGAAGAGCCATGTCAACCGCGTCTGGAGATACCAGCTTACGCGACGCTTATGACTGGTTACCAAGACCGTGACAGGTCGCGTAACGTGTGGTGCTTTGATCTTGTGCTGTCCTTCATTCATGTCACCGATCAGACGCGATCGTGCTTGAGCTGGTCGCCGTCTCTCCAGGTTCTCAACTCACACAAAGCACTCTTCTTCCCCCAGACCCTCATGGCACCGACTCCCGCTTTCGAAGGCCTCTCGCTGCTCTCCGCGCATCTACTAGCGCTCTCTTTCTCATCCTCGTACGTCGGTGTCCTCTATGTCGTAGGAAAGATCCAGCCCGGTCCGCGCGACGATCCGCGCGTCATCCGGGCGCGTCTGATGGCGGTCACCGTCACCTCCGCACTCAGCTGCGGCGCCGTGTACGCACTGGTGGCACGGTCGAATACCACTGCGGCACGTGTGCCTCCCCACCCCCACGTCCCCGTCTCGCTGAACCGCTCCCGACAGAGCCCCTTGAAGAGCACGATGGCTGTTCTCGGAGCCACATGGTCGAATAAACTGCTGCTGTCGTGTCTGCATGCCCCCCTACTCTTCTTAGGCCCCATGTACGGCAGCTACCTTTGTCTTTCTCTCCCGGGACAATCAGTGCCGACGTTGGGGTCCGCCCTGAAATGCGCGTTTGGGACCTTGATTGGCTTTAGGAACTACGTCTGGGTCTGTGGCGAACTCGTGCAACGGGCTCGGTCTGGATGCTGACTTGCCTAGGGCCCATTGACGGAGGAAATCGTTTTCCGCGGCTGCGTTCTTTCTGTGTATGCTATGGCAGGTGCTGGGAGGGGGAAGATGATCGGTTTCGCACCACTTGTCTTTGGTCTTGGTGTGTCCATCTCCCGCTCAGCCCATGCGTTCCTTGAGAGCTTTTTCAGCCCATGTCCATCACGCATGGGAAACCTTCACGCGACTCGGGCGGACGAAACAGGCGTTCCAGAATGCCATGGCCGGTGCAGGTCTGTCCCTTCCCGTCTATATCGCCGTAGTACTGATATTGCGCAGTCTTCCAAACTGCGTACACCACCTTGTTCGGCGCCTATGCTTCGTTTCTCTTCCTGCGGACATCGTCCTTGATCCCCCCGCTCGTCGCTCACGTTTTCTGCAACTATATGGGCCTGCCGCAGATTGCCTGGGAGCTGCGACGTTTTCCGGAGAAAAAGACCTGTATGTCCTGATGCTGTGATGGCCCCCGTGTTGGCATATCTCATGTTGTGCGACCAGATATCTCGGCAGCTTATGCTCTCGGGATCCTAGCTTTTGCGTATACTATGGGTTCCTGGACTGGACCGGGGGGATCTAACTTGTATTGGACCGAACCTTCAAAATTCTGGGGTTTGGTAGGCTCGTAGCATGAGTTGAGATTTGCATGGGACGTCCTTGCGCTTTCGCGTAGGTCAGGATGATCTAGATACATAACTAGGACGGATTGTTTACGGATACTTAGCTACCTACCTGTCCGAATGAAAGTGGACTACGCAATAGTTCGGCTTTCGCACGTCAACATGATCTCCTCTTACCGTTTCGGACAACTGGTCCGAAGGCCCATTCCCAAGATCGCAGGCCTGTCTCTCACTCATCGATTGTCCATGTCTACCTTGAATCGCTTCATCGTCTACGCCCCGGACAAGACCGAGGAAGGCACATTCCAACGCCGTCTGTCCGTCCGCGAGCAGCACCTGTCTAGAGCTTCCGAGTTTATCAAGGGCGGGCAGATACGTGCGCTCAATTCCAGCTTGTCCGAAGAACAGCTCTCCTCATTTCAGGTGAATGTAGGCACTGCAGGCGCGATGCTGACTCCGGAGTCAGTGACCGGAGGCGAGCGGAAGATGGTGAGGATGTCCTTGACGGCGGGCTCTCTCAGCTCTGACTCTGTTCATGCGGCGTTAATACCACACGACACAGATTGGGTCCATGTTGATTTTCGAGGCGGCCACCATCGAGGAGGTCCGGAAACTCATCGAGACGGATGTGTACTACACGGACGGTGTGGTAAGTCTCATCGGCTACGGCGCGCCTGGCCCGACTGATCACTTTGCCAGTGGGACCCAGAGACGCTGGTGATTCTGCCCTTCGTAGCTGCGACGCCTATGTAATGGAGCGGAGAAATCAAGACGACTAAGAAGGATTTATGGAATATGCGATGGAATTGTAACGACTGGGACGAGAATTGCGTGTTCGCTGCACAGTGGGAACTAAGCGAAAAACTCCTGCGACGATCGTTCTGCACAACGCGCTCGGAACAGATTGACCTAGCAGCCATGAAAGATGTGCTCAGCGTTTGGCCGCTAATGACCAACGAAGGAGGAGCGCCTGTGAAGTCCTCTACTATAGATCTCCACGCGATCTACCCCGGCCCGGCCACATTGAATCCGGGATTGACTCAAACAGACTTCGTCAGATGCAGTGTGGGCGTACATAGAGCGTAGTCACCCAAGTCAACGCGATTTGCCGTACGGTAGACTGCGGGCGCGGCCAGCTGCCGGCGGTATAAAGATCAGCAGCCTCGCAGAGGAGGTATCGTATCGGGCAGAGAGGAAAGAAACGCTTGGCCCCACGTGCATCCACGTCGTACTCATCAAAGCCTCTTGCTCATCGCTTTCATCCCGCACGGCTGCGGTGACACCGTAACAGTCAGCGTTCCCCGGAGAAGACCACCACTTGTTTGCCGCGCGACATCAGCTCGGACATCTTTGCTCTTTTCCACCGGCCCGGACACACAACCCGTCGAACGTCTGTGCGTCCAGAACGATATGGCCAAACCAAAGGCCCCGACCCCGCAGGAATTGTACCGGGCTCGGAAGCAGCGGTGCGTGACAGCTCCTCGAGCACCATTTCATGCTAGATCTGATTACCCCGCACAGGGAAGAGCAGGAGAAGCTAGCGTATCTGCCGCCGGGTCTGATCAATCATGGCAATACGTGCTTCATGAACTCGGTTCTGCAAGGGGTGCGTCGGTCCGTCCGCAGTTGCATGTCTCCCTCTCATCACCGGCTACGCATATAGCTGCTCGCTACCCGGTTGTTGTCCCAGCTCGTGCACTTTGCTCCGATCCCCGCTCCGGTGCAAGCCCACGCGGCCACCCTGCTCGCGTCGCGCCGCTCACCGCAACTCACGAACGGACATGATCTGGGAGGAGAGTTTGAGAAGGAGTGGGTCGACACCATGCCCATCGGCGACATGTTCCTCAATGTGATGCACCGAGCATGGGATGCCGAATTTCACCGTCGCAGAGAGAACCTGAGTCCCAAGTGCGTTCCGATGCTTTCCTCACCTAATCTCAGCTCTGATATCCTCAAGACCCCTGCTCGCGGCCCTCGGAAAGAAATACGACCAATACCTGGATTTCGCGCAGCAAGACGCACATGAGTTCCTGCGCATCCTCTTAGATGCCATGAGCATGGAGGAGCTGGACGCAATCAAGAAGACGAATCCTCCCCCACCTCCGAAGACGAAGAAGCCGCGCCGAGCGGCGGACTCTTCCTCGCCGCCCGATGCGCCGATTGCGCTGGCGGACATGATCTTTGGTGGCAAACTGACGAGCATCCTGGTTTGCCAGAAGTGCAAACACGTCTCGCATACATATGAGGACTTCAATGACCTCAGTCTCAGTATCAAGCAGGAGGACTACGAACGCGGCCAGCGGAAACGCGATCGATTCAAGTCGTTTGCCAAGCGGCTGGGAGTGTCCATCGGACATGAACCGCGCTCAAGCTCAGTGCCGCCTCCACCGAGTCCCCGCATTGGGGTTACGGAAGCAGACTCTCTGGTTTCGGCAGAGGAGCCTCGAAGGAGGAGTCTCGACTTCGCAGAGGACGATGCCAAGACAGATTCTGATGGGAGTGGTCCAGAAGCCTCTCCGCCTATACGAATCAACGGGGTCTCGCTAGTGGTTACATCGGACGAGAAACACATCGAGTTTGTGGATCAGCCAAAAGCTGAGCACAAGGAGAAAAAGAAGGACGACGACGGGTGGGCCAAATTAGGGCGGCGGCTGAGCCTCGGACTGGCGAAAAAGGACAGAGAACGAAGCGGGCGGCTCGGACATAGGAAAAGTCGTGATTTCTCTGCGCCCACTACCCCGCGAGCCAGCACGACCGAGTTCGCACCTGAAATCCGGGTCTCCTCCCCGAGGCCGCAATCTCCACCCAATGGGATCGCAGCTCCGACTCCGTTGCGGGGTGCTCAGGCGGCGCCCGTGGAGCGCAGTAAGTCGCCGAAACCACCGAAACCGACGGCCGGCGAGACCGCCTACTTGCGGCGGATCTTGGCCGATGTGGCTGCCCAGGGCGCAGACGCGCTGTGGCTCAAATTTGGAGGGGGGCTACCCGGGGTGGAAGAATGTCTGCGCATGTTCACATCAGTCGAAGTGCTCGACGGTGAGAACCAGGTCGGCTGTCGCCGCTGTTGGAAGATCGCAAATGGAGTGTACGTTCCGCCTCATCGAGATCCGGAGGAGGACAGAGATGTCGGAGCTGAGGAGGACTCTGAGGACAGTGCAGCCGATGACGAAGTGGATGCCCTCAACCCCATACCCCACGTGGCCCGACGGCTGTCGATCTCAGCGTCCAAGTCCGCGCCCCACATTTCGGTCTACACCAACCTTGAGAAGATCGAAACTACGATAGAGTCAGCATCGTCTCTCCCACTTGCCCAGACGACATTATCCGAGTTTGACATCGACGCTGAAACTAGCGTCACGTCTGTGACCAGTTCGAGCTCCACGCATTCATTGCCTCTGGCAGATACAGACACCAGCACGCCCCCAGCAACGGTTAATGTTCTCCCCCCTACGCCGGTCGAAACAACAGATCCAGAGCCGAAGCCCTTTGTTGTCCTTGACTCTATTTCCGAGGTTGAAGAGACTCGTGCACCACCACCACCACCAGCTGCTGCAGCGCCAGACGCGAACGGCTTGCACCCTCACTACGGGCGCAGCCGCCATTTATCCGACGCGGACTCGACGGACGGAAGCTCCGACGACGAAAGCGACGCATCTGCTGCTTCCGAGCAGGCCCCCGCAAAACCGAAGACTAAGAAACCGAAGCCAGTCATCATGCGGCCAGCGTACAAGCGGTATCTCATCGCGGTCCCCCCTCCTGTGTTGGTAATCCACCTCAAACGCTTCCAGCAAGTATCGAAGACGATGATGACCATGTCGTTCTCCCACGGCTTCAAGAAACTGGACGACTACGTCACTTTTCCGGAGCAGCTCGACCTCTCTCCGTTTCTCGCACCGAAAAAAGAGGATTACGGGCTCAAGAAAGGTGCTGGGTGGGGGAGACCACCGAAGACAGACGGGGATCGATGCATGTATCGGCTATATGCCGTTGTCGTACATATCGGCAACATGGTGCGTTTGCTTTTCTGCAAGGGTCTCTGTCACTGACTGCCCCTTTCCAGCTCGGCGGCCATTACATCTCCTACGTCGCGCTCCCCACCGCGAAAGACGTTGCAACTACACCGAATTCTCCCGTGGGTCAACCAGCGCCTGGTCTGCCTACCAATGGCGAGGCCGTCAAAGACGAACCGCGCCAATGGGCGTACATCAGTGACACAATTGTGCGGCTGACGTCGCTGGAGGAAGTGTTGAAAGCCAAGGCGTACATCTGCTTGTACGAGCGAGTATAGACCTAAATATTAACGCTATTTATACCTATACCTAGTGTAACCATAGTATATGTATTGATGTAAGGCTGCAGCGCAAACACTGCATGACCATAATCGGAATCACTTTGCATTATGTATCATATATCGTCATTAGACGCGCACGTTTGCGAGTCGGCCCATCCCTCAGCCGGTTTTCCTGGCCCATGGTTTTTCGCTTACCATCGTCCGTGAGGCGGGACTTGGTGATGCGGACACAATCGAGAAATGTGTTTCCCGGCCTGACAACGCGCAGAGGCTTTTGCGCCCGGAGACGTCGTTGCCGAGCCAACAGAAGTTGCTTGACCTCTTGACGCGCGTGGGCCATCTCTCGTCTGGCGGCGGTTTCGTGTCGGCGCCGCACATAGTAGGCCATGAGCGTGCGGATGTCGTTGCGTTCAACAACGTAGATGGGCCATTCGTTCAGCGGCGACACGCGAGGGAGCAGGCCGAAATCCGAGTGCTGGCGGCGCGCAGCGAAGATGTGGGACTGCTGCACGGCTGCTTGTGCGAGACGTCGGGCGATGAACTTGGCAACCATGTCTTGCACGACATTGGGGGGCTTATCGTTTGCCGGAATAGCACGAGATTGAGCTCCGATGTTGACGTTGACGGTCCGGGATTGCGGGATGTGCTTTGAGGTATTGATGCTACTGAACTGTGAAGGAGACCTAGATTGCGTTTGAAGAGTGGGCTTAGAAGGCAGATGGAGAAGGAAGTGGCCACAAATGAAGATGGCGCCACATGGGATGAGGGCATAGATTATTTGTTGGAGGGGAGAGGGGCAAAGTCGCATGAGAGTCCATTGAGACAAGACAATATCGCACTCAAAGGACGCAGACGCGTCGAAATCTGTCAACTGTTAGCAGGAGCTTGCCCGCCACTCGGATCGAGCCATGCTCACTAGACAAGGAACGAGCAGGGGCGCCCGAAGCCTCGGAGTGTAAACCCACGCCAGGAAGCAGAAGAAGCACGACGAACAGAGAGCACAAAAGAGTGGAATACAAGCGATCACGAGACATGGTAAAGTGGGCGAGTCCAACAGGGACGCCCGCTGGCAGGTCGCTTGAAGTTGGGAGTGAAAGAAGAGCCTGGAGAAACGCGATCATGTGATACGCCCATTGGATGAGGCAGCCGCGTGCGCCTGAATGACAAGTTGCACACTAGTAGAGAATCCCGCCTGTTGCATGAGGGATTAAGGTGGCTACTTGGGCTAGGCTTGGCGGGGATATCTTTCTCTTGGTCCAATCTCGCCCAGAGCTCGGCGCATGCAGTGGCACTGGTATCGGAACAGATCACCCCATAGCGCGCAGTCTGTCAGACCATCCCCGGTACTAAAAGCCTTCCGCAACGAAACTTATCTCGCAATTCAACACTCCATCTCCCATGCTCATGTTGGAGCAGTATCAACAAGGCTCGCCCCCAGAGGTCACTGTGATCACGCCTCTCCTACGCGACAGTGCACATCCGCGCAGATTCTCCCTCGGCGAATTCCTTCGCTCCGAGGTGGATCCAGAACATGCGACGGGACCGCTGGTCGTATTCTGTTTCATGACGGGCTTCATGTGCGTGCGCCCTGTCGCCCGCTGCTGCCCACTCACTGTCTTGTCCTGTACACAGCGACGTGATCGCATTCACCGCAGTATTCGTGTGGTGCGGGTTCCAGACCGGGAATTTCGCGCAGGTCAGCCGATCCGGATCCTCCGCCCCCGCGCATAAGCGGATACACGTATGCTTACAGATGCCGACCAGATCGCGCTCGCCTGTGCGCGCCTCATCGCCGACCCGGCGAGCTTCGTCTTGTTCGCCGCGGACAAGCAGGCGATCACGTCGCTCGTAGCGTTCAACGCCGGGGCGTTGCTGGGACGCATCGGCGATCGCATCGGCGCGCGCACTCGGCTGTGGCTAGTCGCTGGGACCCTGGCGCAGGCGCTGCTCCTGCTCATCGCCGCCGTGTGTGTGCAGATCAGCGGGGAAGCCGATGTCGCGCCGGACCGAGGGACGCCGAGCTGGACGGGCGGATGGACCGCGACAGCCGTGGCGCTCATGGCGGCGAGTTTGGGAGTGCAGGGAATCATGGGGAAGCGGCTAAACACGCATCTGAGCACCACAGGTGAGTGGGCTAGCCATCTCGCGCCCTCTGACTATATCTCATCACTAGAAAGCGTCGCCCTTGGCGACCGACAGCCTTGCTTGAGTGGGACACAACAATTCCGAAATTGACCAGTAACTACATTACAATCACGCCGTTCTTTTTCTTTCTCGGGCTCTCGTCCATCTCAGGCACCGCACGGCGCTTCCTTGGGCTCGGCGGCGCAGCGCCCTTTGCCTCGATGATAGGTGAATATATATATATATAGTGGTACATCTCAAAAGGCTGCCGGCATACATTCTGGTAATATTCAAGAGCACAAGAGCGGCGCGTCTTTCCGGTCTGCCATCAGGTGTCCTCCCGATACAGCCAGAGAAAGCGACGTACCCGGTCAAATCAACGCTGAACACAGAGACGAGTGTTACATCACGACACGAGGGTGTCGGAAGAATGCGGGACAGGGACATCGGATCAACATGGCCATCACAAAGTAATTATGAGTGTGGAGAGTGCCTTGACAAGCAAGGCAACTCATCGTGCCAAGTGGTGCTTACGACGCTCTGGATCGAGCTCGTCACGGACCCTCAGCTGTTCCACCTCCGCAAGGTGCCCAGTCGAGACCGGAGAGTCACCGGACTGTTGTGGTTGTTTCTGGGCGCAGTCACCGGTCGCACCATGTTGGACTGGATTGGCAGTCCGGCGTCCTTGGCGTTTGGTTGCTTGCTTCGTATAGTGGTCGCGGGAGCGTGGTGTCTGGTGCCGGGCCCGAAACACCAGGACACAATGGATGAAGCAGGCAATGCAGGGCAGGGTGGGGCCAACTGAACTCTTGCAAGGGTATGATCGAGGCGAAGACGGCAGAAGGTCGCGTTTCATATTGTAGACTACTAAGACGCTGTATGTAATCTATGCCGGACAACTCGTAGTGCACAATCCTGGAGTAAGAGTCAGCGAGAGGTAAAAGCGAAGAAAGGGCCCTCAGTCAAAGATACAGTTGTCCTTCACGAAGAGTCGGACATATGCTTGTTTAGAAAAAGCATCGTTGGGCGCGAGAAGAGATATGGGGAAAGCGACTCACCACACACGAGCCGTCCCATGGAGCGTTCCCATTCCGCCCTCAGTCCTCACACGAGGTTTGATAAGACTGCACACAAAAAAGTCAGAACCCAATCACAAAAAGGGAGGCATGACGAGGAATGGAGGTCAGTTGGTGATGCATGTTACGAGTGTGGATCATCGACGTATCGTCACCAACTCGGAAGATGGAGAGGATCATCATCCATGAGAATAGAGGTTGTACTCACCATAAACGGGTTCCAGCAAGTAACCAAAACGTATCGAGAGATTTTATAGGGCGAAAATCACGGTCTGTGACGCTGTGCAGCTTGTCACGTGGTATACCCTTATATAATGCACGGTAACGAGTGAAGGATTTCGTGTTCATCTCAGCCACGACGTCCTGAAGGGTGGTTTGTAGGTCTTCGATTTCGTGGCTCCGAGGTAAGCCTTTTCCTCTCAAACCACTAGCTCCTGCGCTTCCGCTTTTCGCATGATGTTACAATCAGTTCTGCTTCCGAACGAGAGCAATCAACCTCTTGTGGACAACACTTTTACCAAAAAACTTTTTCTGATTCCTTTATCGCTTGGTCCTCGTTTCCCACTGTTGCTGACGATGTTTCTCTCACAGCTGACACTCTTCCGCCATTCACATACCTCATTGTTATTGCACAAGGTGAGCATACACGTTCCATTGCCTCTCCCTTCCCACCACGACGAAAACTAAGTTCATCCATTCGTTGAATGCCTGCGGTGTGATCTTGCTTCAGGCGCCCTCCTGCTTCGGCGGGATGCGTACGCTCTGCTCCGTTCTGGAGCAGTGTCGGCGGTGTCTGTTGCTCGGGAGCTCGCAGGAAAAAGAAAATACCGGCTTCTCTGACTCCTCTTCATCGAAGTCTGGAATGTAAACTGACATCATTCCTCAGGTCAGTTGGTCCCGCGGATTAAATTTTGAGTCTGTGGTTAGACGTAGTTTACGTCGTTCCTGCAATATACTTGTTTCTAGCCATGTTGCCTAAATGACGAGGTCTAGTCTATGGTAGACTGACATCCTGAGCATTCGCTTCCTCAAATAATCGCTTCCGATGGATACTTCGCCACGGCCAGCGAGTAGCCGGCTGCCGCACATATGGGACATTCAGGAACACCTGATAACACTCAACGAGCATGTTGACGTAGACGACGCAATATTAGCTTCCAGGTTCTTGACTCCTGCCACCACCACCATGGAGAAGGGTTTTGCACACCCCTCATTCCTTCTGCCCGTCCAGAACGTGCAGGCGCCGAAGCCCAAGCGCCAAACGCGCGCCAGAGCCCTGCGACTCGCGCTCGTCGCGCTCGCAGCGCTCTCCGCTACCTGGACGTACCTCTCGCTATCGCACTCCCCGTCCCATGCCGTCGCCGTGCCCATGAACGCGCAGAGTGTGCTCGCGCACTGTGCTGCACTCAAGCTGACTCCGGGCCCGCCAGACGACTTCCACTCGCGCACCGTGTCGGACCGTTTCCAGAAGGGCACGAAGGCGACGCTGATTAAGAACGCGACGATCTGGACCGGTGCTGAGGACGGACACGAGATTGTCTATGGCGACATCTTGCTCGATAATGGTATAATCCAGCAGGTCGGGGAAGTTGATGTCAGCGCGTACAAGCATGTGTCGGTGCTCGACGCCGCTGGCGCTTGGGTCACACCTGGGTCCGTCACCGGTTATATCAGCGTGTTCCAATGCTGACAATCTGCTGCAGTATTGTTGACCTCCACTCCCATCTCGGAGTTTACAGCGCTCCTGCTTTGGAGGGTGCGTCGGACGGCAACTCGGTTGCGGGTCTCACACTTCCTTGGATGCGGTCCTTGGACGGTCTGAACACGCACGACGACGCCTACCGCCTGTCTATTGCCGGAGGTGTGACCACCGCGGATGTGCTTCCCGGAAGCGCAGATGCTATCGGTGCGTAATACCCTCTGTTTGCAGATGATCATCGGTAATATTGACTGAATCTTTGGCATACTAGGTGGACAAGCGTTTGTGATCAAATTGCGCCCTACGGCGGAGCGTTCGTCATCCGCGATGCTTCTCGAGCCTCCCTTCACGCTCAACGGGACGTTCGTCGACCCTACGAAACGTCCCCGCTGGCGCCAGATGAAGCACGCCTGCGGAGAGAACCCGTCCCGTGTCTACTCGGGAACCCGCATGGACACACAATGGGCTTTCCGCCAAGCCTACGAGACTGCGCGCCTCATCAAGGAGAAGCAAGATGCGTTCTGCACCAAAGCTGAAGCAGGCCTATGGGCCGGGCTCGGTGACTTCCCGGACAACCTTCAATGGGAGGCGCTGGTCGACGTGCTCCGCGGTCGCGTCAAAGTCCAAAACCATTGTTATGAGGCGGTTGATTTCGACGGCATGATTCGAGTATGCTGGCCTTCACCGTTCCTGCTTGCCATCGGACCCTGACATCTGCACTCTAGCTCACCAACGAGTTCAAGTTCTCGATCGCGACTTTCCACCATGCTCGTAAGTTCCTCCGCCATCTACAGTGGATACGAGCTGATCTGCACTCAAAGACGAGGCGTACTTGGTTCCTGATCTGATTAAGAAGGCTTACGGCAAACCCCCTGCGATCGCGATTTTCGCCGGGAACGACAAGTACAAGCGTGAAGCCTACCGTGGCTCGGTGTTTGCACCACGCATCCTGGCTGACAACGGTCTCGATGTGGTGATGAAGGTAAGCACATTGGCGCGGGTAACTGGGATGCGATTGTGTGCTGACCAAATGAAGAGCGACCATCCTGTCATTGACTCGCGGCATCTCATCTACGAGGCCCAGCAGGCGCACTACTACGGCCTGCCTGCCCATTTGGCACTCGCGTCTGTGACCAGTGCGTCTGATCTTGTTCATTTGATACGGAGCGAAATCTCATCTAGGGAACAGCTACTCCGACCAAAGCAATGGGGATGGAACACCGGATCGGCAGTCTCATTGCTGGATTTGACGCTGGTGAGTTGTCATATTTGCACTTCTCCTGGTCATTCTAAATACTGGCTCAGATGTCGTCGTTTGGGACAGCCACCCGCTGACTCTGGGAGCAACGCCCTCCCACGTGTTCATCGACGGTATCGCCCAGCTCGAGAAGCCACACATTCTGGTCAAACCCAAGTCGTTCCAGAAGGTCCCGGCCACGCCCGACTTCGAGAAGGAGACCAAGGCCGCGATCGAGTACGAGGGCCTGCCTCCGCTGGAGCCCGTTAAGGCGAAGTCGGATGTGGTCGTGTTCCAGAACGTCGGCAGCATCTTCTCGAAGGACCAGTCGACGCGCCGGATCACGCAGATCTTCGGTGCGGCCAGTACTGCTGAGCAGACATCTGTCGTGGTTGAGAAGGGGCAGATCGTGTGCACTGGGAACTGTGCCGTGGCGCAAGATGCGGAGTATATCGACCTGGAGGGAGGCAGCATCACTCCCGGCTTCATCACGTATGGCAGCGGGCTTGGACTGTCGCATATCACCGACGAATGTGCGTCGTGTTTGTGGTCTTGAAATCCGGGGAACTCATAGTAATACATTCTCAGATTCGACGGTAGATGGTAATGTCCTCAACCCTTTGGAGGACACCATCCCCGATATCGTCTCGAGCACTGTCATCAAGGCTGTGGACGGTCTCCTATTCGAGACCCGGAATGCGCTCACTGCTTATCACGCCGGTGTGACGGGTGCCATCACTGACCCAGTCGGCGGATTCCTGACTGGCTTGGGAACCTACTTCAGCACCGGAGCCGCCCACAAGCTCTCCGATGGGGCCATCATCCAGAGCGTCACCGGGCTGCACGTCAAGCTGTCGATGTCGGCTGGGGCCAGTGTCAGTACGCAGGTCGCAGCTCTCCGCCGCCTGTTGCTTGGAAAGGGAAAGGGGGACATTGGTGAGCAGTTCAGCCAGGTCACGGACGGGAAGATCCCGCTCGTCGTATACGCCGAGAGCGCGGATATCATCGCGACTCTGCTCGTCCTGAAGAAAGAGGTGGAGGCCAGCACCGGCAAGGCGTTCAAGCTGACCATCACTGGCGCCACCGAAGCGCACCTGCTCGCAAAGGAGCTCGGCGCGGCGGGTGTCGGCATTATCCTCAACCCGCGGCCGTTCCCGGGTCTCTGGGAGCAGCGCCGTGTGCTGGCCGGCCCGCCGCTGACGCACCGAAGCGCGATCGCCACGCTCGTGTCGCACAACGTGACCGTCGGGATCTCGACCTTGGAGCCCGCGCTGGCTCGCGGCATTCCCTTCGACGTGTACTGGGCCGGCATCGAGGCGGACGGGCTGCTGTCCAAGGCGGAGACGCTGGCGCTCGGCTCGTCGAATCTCGAGACGCTGCTCGGTGTCACCGAGGCCAGCACGGATCTCGTGGCACGGAAAGGAGGGGACGACTACGAGGGCAAAGTGGTGGCGATTATCTCGGCGAGAACGAGCACGGTGGACCTGGTGTAAAAATGGAAATAGGATGCGTTTCGTTTCAACCCTTCGTGAGAGCTGCTGAGATTCAACTCATGAGGTCGTTCAGTTAGTGATGCAGTCTTAGTGATGATGATGATTACGCGTGTCTGGTTTGGTCCGCACACGCGACGACCATGTTCCATCTCAACCTGCTTGGCGGCATTCTCCATCATTCATAGAATAAGCAACCAGATGTTCCATGAGTGCATCCATTTTCTCACACATCGGGGTCTATAACCACATCGCTGGAAGTGCAAGCCACCGCCGACCCCAAAATCTGTCTGCACCGGCAGATCGCAGCAGCGATCGACCCCAGAACCCCAGATGCCCTTGCAGAGGAGACGCAGCTGCATGCGCCTTGCCAAGACCATCCGAGAGACCTTCCCTACAGCACGCCTTCTGGTCCCCCTCCCGCCAAGAGAGGCATCGATCCTGTGCGAGAAGCAGGCTACTTTTGGCTCTGTCGTGCGAATCAGGCCAACGCAGCTGGCAGCCGCTATGTACGCTCGCTCTTCGACTTTCCTCTTGCGGACCGCCAAGCCAACGTCATCTGCATTGCGCAAACATCTCCGTCGTCTCGGTTCTCCTGGACTGTCCCCGGCGCGTCGGGGCTCTGGCCGGTCGGACGGGCAGGTCTGAGGCTGGGCTCGGAATGCCTAATGCGAGCGCCTTCGTTGGTAGCGGTCGCTCGTCGCGAGAAGCTGAGGAAGACGATGTGATGGACGAGCACGCGAAGGCCCATGTGATGAACGCTGCCCCCTGTAATCGTTCCTGCGCACCAATCAGCGAGGCCCGGTCGTTGATGCGCAACAGACAGATCTCACACACAACACAGCTTGACTGCTCCCCTGGTAGCTTAGCACCACATGAATGTGGCTTCCTGAGCGAATGAACTATCCGATAGTAGGCTTTGTTCTGGATTGGGAGTGTTTCTTGCCGTGTTAACGCCGGACCGGTGGGCACCCCCGGCGCTTGTCCGGATTGGGAGACAAAGTTTTTGTGGGTGCAGATGGGTCCTTCGAGACATTGTTCGCTTCCCCCCCCTCTCTTTGACGCCACTCACTGCAGAGGAACCGCCCTCCTAGTATGCGCCAGCGCACACTGCATTCCATCGCTCCTAGACCGGCACCTTTATCAGCACCCACAAACTTTTATCCCACCCAGCCCGTCCGGAAGCGTGAAATCATATGAAATCTCGATCGGCGCACGAGTGTGTGTGCGCGTGTGTGTGTGATGCGCGCTAAAGAAAGCAAGGTTCGGAGACACACGCACACGCGCACACTGCTCATTGTCTGGCTGCTTCCATCCGGGGCTACGAATCCGCCTGCAGACACCGCTCCTTGTTCTCGTTTGGGACTGCCGGTGTTGTTTTGTCTCCAGCGCCATTCCATTCCATCCTGCTGTCGTTCTGATGTTGATGACGATGCATTCTATCGCCACGATCAGGCCTCTGGGGTCCGTCCGCTAGCCCCATTTGCGCGGTGCTGTGACGGGGTGTGGGTCCTCTGGGAGAAGATTGTGCTGAACGCGGATGGGTGCTACATACTAGGACGGACGCAAGGGGAAGAAAGGTTCCCAGGATCGACATCGTGCTTGTCCGTTTTCGGAGAGGTGATGATGCGCCGAGGATTTCTCGCCGTCTGTCTCGTTCTCTCGCTCTCTCCCGGTCCAGCCTGGGGTTCTTTGGTGACTACGCTTAACTGCTGAATACGGGTGACATGCTCATCTTTTGTTCCCGGACTTTATATAAGAGGCTCGATGTACGTCAGATCCTATTGTCTCTCTCCGCCGTTCCTCTTCTCCGTCTGCTGTCCGTCTGCTGTTCATCTGCTGTCCCCCGTGCTTTCTTCTCTGCTGTCTGTGTATTATCTGTTGCGTTTCCGTGCATCATGCCCCGCTCGCCATCATCTCCCCGACCGCATGCTTCGGTGAGTCTCGGGCCGGTATGCCCGCCGCGTCTCTCCACTGACGACCCCTGCTCTCTCCAGACGTCCGACGTGAATCCTCTTCCTGGCGCGAGCCTGCTGTTCCAGACGGCTGAGGAGGGGCTGTCCGCGAGGGCCGCGGAGTGGGGCGACGAGGGTGGGGTGCGTTGCCAGCTCGATTGGAACATTCGGGTGATGTCTGATATATACATACTTTGTACAGCCGCCGCCGCCGCCGCAGGGGCGTGCTATCGGCGCCAGCCTCAGGAGGAGTGCTCGAAACCCCGTGCCCAAATTTACCCACGGTGGCCCCCAACCCCGGATAGCAGGAACCAAGGTATGCTTCCATTCCATTTACACATCGGGGCTATCTTTTTGTGGTGCTGATACTGCGGTCACGGTAGAGCAGTAGTGCGTCGTCGTCGTCGTCCGTCCGTCGACCGAAGACGCGCCAAGACGCCGCGATCCCCGGGCCATCGTCGAAGCCCGTCAAACCACCTGTGAGCCGGCGTGACCTCCAACTGATGCGCGTCTGAAATATACTTTCCAGGCCGGCGGTGAGATTATGGTGTGTGTCCATCGCCAGGAACGCGTGCGAGCTGTGATAATGGGGCCCCAGAAATCGGTCGAGGCCGAGCCCGTGATCCCGGCGCAGATGGGCGGCCGATACGCGCAGACGGCGGGCCATCCAAACGGCCAGCCGCACGCTCCAGGGGTGAGTGACGCTTCTTCGAGCATCGTAGCCCAGTGCCACAGCCTCCATATCGATCGCTGGTATAGCTTCTGCGTGCAGGGACTGCGCCGACCACCCGCCGCCACCCGGTAGGCGTTCTGCGCCGCTCGGGGCCTCCGTGTCCGCATCAGTCACTCACTCACTGCGCGCGACTCTGACAGGCCGCGGGGGAACCCGACGCGCGGCCGCTCGCGCTGTCCCGGATGTTCAACGAAATCGTCGCGTCGGCGAGCGCGGAGACGACACGGTGCATGCAGTGCATGTACGACATCAAGATCGAGAGCCGGCGGCGTATCGCGCGGGTCTACCCGCCGCTCTACGCGAGCTACGCGCACGGCGCGCGGCCGCAGATCCCGACGCTGGCCCCGAGCCGCCCGGGGATGTCGGTCATCGCGTTCCGGCCGATTCTGCAGCCGGAGACCGCGATGTACGGCGTCGCGATGATTGATATCCTCGACTTCAAGGACGTGATGCAGGACGCGCGGGCGGTCGTGCTCAGGGGGAGGAAGGATATCAATCTCACTATAGAGGTGCGTGGAGGACAGACGCGCGTGTGGATCCCCCTCGCTCACAAAACAACGTGTCAGATCGCAGGCTTTCCGCCGCTTGCCAAGCAGCTGGCGAGCAACTGTGAGCACCGTCCGGTCACGCGCTTCAATCTCGCGTACAGCATCGCGGAGGCGTTCCTGGGCCACTTCATGGCGAGTGTCCTCGGCACCCAGTAGCAGCTTTCTTCTGACGCTATTCCGCTTGCTCATTTCAGGGTAACAAGTTCAACGAGAAGCTCGCGGCCAACTCGCCCGGCGTGCATGCGCGAGCGATCACCCAGCTGCGGCTCGTGAGCATCTACACGACGGACAAGGTCAACTATCGCGCGCATCTGGCTTACGTGCTCTGAGTTTTTGCTGTCTATACTTGCGCGGAACAATACAGATCGACAACTGATCTAACTACTATGATATGCTTTGTAACTTATCAGAACCAAATGAGATGTAGTCTTTTATGCTCGTGGGTCGTCCGGGCCTCGATACCATCTAGCCTCACCATCTGTTTCTCTGCCAACGCCGTAAACTCGCAGCGACTGCATCGAGGGAGGCGTGGGTTCCCGTGCAACAATATCTCTCTTGTAGCCAATACACTGATCCAGCTCACACCAGCTGTCTCGATCAAGTACTCGGATCCAGATGGAGTAGTTTCGACGCTTATCCAATGTGCCCACAACAGTGGTGCAGTGTATTCCCGACAGCACGTGTTATCTCCTCGATAGTGTAGCGGTTTAACATAGGTGCCTTTCACGCACTTGCCCGGGGTTCGACTCCCCGTCGGGGAACGTTTAACCGTCGTCTTTAATTTTTCAGCGATCTGATAAGTAGCATCGCTGAGCTTACCAGCAGCTCAGTTCGTTGATAATTGACGGCATCCTTCTATACTTTTTTCTACTCTGCACTTACGCTTCCCAGCCCCTGGATGTATGCATCTCCTTACTCAGAGCCAAGGCTGACCTACCGAATGAGACAGACACACCTTCCACTGGTACTAAGGTTTCTAACCAGAGACCCCAGAATAGAAGTTGAACAAAATCGAGTGATGTCATAAACGCGAACACAGCCCAAACAACGACAAAACATCTAATCTTAACCACGAACCACGATGTCTGACGGCCCGCGGCGCTCTGCGCGTAAAACCAAGCCGGTACAGCGGGAGGAGCCCGAGCCCGCATTGCCCGCAAAGCGCAAAGCGAAAGCCGCTCCCAACCTGGATCCTGCGAAGCAGCTGCAATTCCTGCTCGAAAACTCGCGCAGCAAGCTGACGAAGATCGACCTTTCCGTGCGTCTCTTTCCACAAACGAAATGAATAGCATTTTCGCGGTGCTGAACAGTCTTGGGATAGCAAATCGTGAACGGAGAGTCCTGGGATATGCTGACACCGGAGGCACGTGCCAAGCTCGTTCAGCTGTTGCCGCAGACGGCGCTCCTGCCATCATCCGAGTCGGACGGACCCGAGAGATTGGATCCCGCGTTCTTCAGCGACGCGCATTTCCTGGCGGCGTGCAGGACCTTCCAGGACCATCTATACTCGAACTGGTTCTCTGAGGCGCAGATCGCCAAGGTGAAGAGGTATGAGGAGGGGGTGAGAGACGGGACGTTGTCTGCGCCCTGGAAGGACGAGGTGTGGGAGGAAGAGAATCGGAGGGAAGGCCCCTCAAGTACACTCGCAGGGTGTGTGGTGCGCTGATGATTCCGAGTGACCCTTGTTCGAATCATCTGGCAGCGATGCGGCCGAGTTCAAACTCGTGGATCTTGTGAAGAGCGGGGTCTTGAAGGCAGGCGACGTGCTCGTGTACAAGCGCAAATTCACGGCCCTGGGTGTCACCGTCGAAAAGGATGTTCTGGCATGTCTTTTTCTCTTAATCTGCGCGACTGATCTGCGCCTCGCTGAATGCCCTCAATACTCAGATCCACAGCATTGATAAGCGCACACACAACTTGACAGTTTTATTGGAGTCCGGCACGACGCGGGATCTGAGTCAGCATCTGCTCATGCCCGGCGCGGCCGAGCCTCAGGCCGACTCGACACGCGAAATGACCATCGCCAGCCCGACCCAGCTCGAAAGCGGGATACTGGATGTGGACGGCCGAGTCGGGCGAGCCCAGCGGCCCAATGGGAATGCATGGAAAGCACTGTCCGTGTGGAGATGGGCGGGGGACAGTTGGCAGATGGAAGTGGCTGCCAGTGATCGTGGTGGGCGGCAGGACCACGGGACATTGTTCTACTTGCGTGCATGCCATTATCAAGATAGATAGATAGTTGTACACGCAGACTTGATCGCCGCCGACATTGGAGGCTCTCCTTATCCTCGGATCGACCGCCTCACAAAAGACGCCGACTGCTTATTGTGCCATGTGTTCGGCTATTGATCGAGTCATTTATAGAGCTGCCTTGAATCTCGACCGTTCACTTGCGCCTTGGGCGGCTGCCGGCTATGTCTGTCTCTCCCCCGATTCGTCGTCTCTCCACAGGCTCGGCGACCAAGGAAGAGCTCATCAACGCCTACGAGGCTGAGGAAGAGCGCATCACCAACGTGCTGTACAAAAGGCTAGAGCAGGTGCGTGCGTCGCATCCCGTCAGGCATCATCCTGTCCCAGATTAAACGCGCGTCCCCCTCCCAGCTCAAGGAAGAGAAGATCGAGCTTGAAAACACACTAGAGGCCGAATCCGAGTCGCATGTGAACCGACTGACGAGAGAGCTCGCTGCCCTGCGCGCGGACCGCCAACAGCCGTCGAGCTCGGCACTTCCGCTGTCACCGGCCGACCCATCGACGGACGCTATGATCGCTACCCTGCAGCGGGAGAACGAGATGCTACGCTCGAGGCTCGCGGACATGGAGAGAGAGAACGTGCATAGCTCGCGGCTGAGCGAAGTTTATCGGGAGGAACTCATAGAACATCGGACTCGGGTACGGGCCTAAGGTTTTCCTTTTGCTTTAATAACCCTGTCTCAATCACCCAAGCTGGGGCTTCCCGTGGACCACCTGGTCAGTCCTGCCGATCCCTTCTCTGAGCCGACGCACCAGCGGCCCCCATCCGCGACATCGTCGGCGTTCTCCTCCAGCACCTCGTCCCCCACCAATTCCGTCTTCCGCTACTCGCGGCCGTCAAACGGGGTGCCCATCCCTCGACCGGCGTCACAATTTCGGCGGCAGGACAGCCACGACACATCGGATGTGTCCACGCCTCTTTCCCATTCGCCGTCGTCCGCCTCCGACGTGTTCTCGGGCTTCTCGTCGTCCTCCTCCGCGAACGCCGTCAGCGCGAGCTTCGCCAGCGTCAACAGCGCGCTGACGAGCCCCCCGACGTCGTTCAACCCCAACGCCGTCACGTTCGCCGTCCCGTCGCGCGGGCTGACGTACCCCTCCGTGCCCCCGCCGTCGCTGTCGTCGTCCTTCGGGTCCCCGACCGTGTCGTACCACATGCAGCAGCACCGCGACCCGCTGCACTCGCCCGTCGAGCCGCCGAGCCGCCGCAGCTCGGTCCGCCGCGGCGCGCGCGTCGTCGAGTCGGGCAGCCTCCGCGGGACGAGCCGCAGTCTGAGCCAGGGCCGCAGCGTGGAGCGTGGGGGACGGGTGGCGGAGACGGGGCAGCTGGTGCCGCGGAGCCATGCGGAGGGACACACGCTGGCCTCCACGACCGAGGTGGACGGCATCGAGGTGGACGGCATCGATGAGTGACGACGCGCGGTGGGTCGGTCTGCTCCTTCTCTGCGCTGGGCTTTCTCAACAAATGTACTGTATATTCAATAATTCTCTCGTAGACCGTCCTGTACTTTTAGTTAATCGACCGCCGCCACTTCACCCCTGGATTCGTAGGGACTTCACCCATTTGGGATGTGGCGGTGCCACCTCGTGGTGATTGATGGGGATGATGATGGGGGTAGCACATGGCCGCGGAGTCTGAAAAAATGACTCCCTATAAAGCCCGCTTTGATCCCGAATTGAAATTTGCTTCTGACCATGTCTTACTTCCAAGGCCAAGGTGGTCAATATACCGATGATTATGTATCACAGTCTCCGAGAGAGCAGCCGCCGCCCTTCCCGCAGTGGGAGCAGCAGCAGCAGCAGCAGCAGCATCAACAACAAGACCAGCATTCCCAAGACCCGACATCCCAGCAGCATACGACGCTTGAGCATCATCATGTTAGCCCCCAGCACGCCAGTACACCGTTGTCTATTCCGCCTCCGCCATTACCAGTATACCACCCATTGGACGACCCGACTCAGCTAGTAGTGCCCAGCCACGTCCCAGGACGCGGGACGCACGATCCCACGCCTATCCGGCTTATCCCGGCCCAGCGCTCACCGCCAGTAGAAATCAAACCTATCATGCTACAGGTCGACACCACCGCCACCACCACCGCCCGCTCGACAGCAGCGCCCAGTGCACGGCCGGCCTCGCGCGCGCGCGCGCACCAGTACCACCCGTATACCCGCCCGTCGAGCGCGATGGGTCTCCGGCGCGACGCGGAGGCGCAGCAGCACCACCACCACCACATTCGGTTCGCGAGCCAGGCGAGTACCCCGCAGACGCTCTCTGGATCGGCGATGCCCTCGCCCGTGATGACGCGGCAGACCTTCCCGTCGCCGCCTGCCGTCAGGTGCGCGGTTCCGCTCGTGTCTGCGCGATTGTAGTTCATGCACTGTCTAGCGATTACGGCCAGCAGGGTCCGTCGTCGTCGTCGGCGCTGTTCGTCGCTGGATCGCCGCAGGACGCTGGGGGAGGGGGTGTCTTCACGCCGTACGTCCCAGCCGTGCCTGCCGTCCTCCCGGACGACAAGCGGTACATCATCCGCGCGGACACGCACTACGACTCGGACCGCCGCATGCTCGTCGCACTGCTCGAGCTGCCCGGCGTGAAGCGGCACGACGTGCGGGTGTGCATCACGACGACGCTGTTCAACCGCGTGCGGCAGGTGACTGTGCACGGGCACTCGCGCGCGCCGTTTCCGGTAACTTCGACGGCGGCCATCCGCGAGCGCAAGTACGGGCGCTTCAGCCGGTCGTTCCCCGTGCCGCCCGATACCAGGGTGCGTCGTTTTTTGCTCCGCGTCTGGGACGTCTCACCGTTCGTCGTGTGTGCCATGCCAACGCTCCCTCCCCGGCAGGCGGACGACATTGTAGCGGCGATGGAGGATGGGGTTCTTACTTTGAAAATATCATGTGGCCTGCCGGCTGCTTCAGCTGATGAGCATGAGATACCCATTCGATGAGAGCGCCTGAAGACGACAAGGACAACATCCGTCTGAGCATCGCGGTAACAGACAGCATCCTAATTTATCACTATCCCCCCCGGCCTATTCTCCCGACATATGTCTATCCAGCAACCAACACCGACAGAACGAAACGAACAATGTATATCCAGTCTAAGTACATTCCACCCCGCGGATAATTTCTTGTTGTGCTACCGACCCTTTCGCCACCCGCCGCGCTCTCCGCCGCGCTCGAACCGAATCGTACAGTATGCAGCACATTTCTTTTCTTTCTTGGCACACCGCAGTCTTGCTTTCCCGCAGAGTCATGTCATGTACATAGATAGATACCGAGGCTAGCGTCGACTTTGCAGCAAATGTATACCATCCTCTTCTTGGCTGCCCTCGTCGCATGACTTTTTCAATGTGATTTAAGCGCGTGTGTCACATTCACGTGATGGCGTGACGGCTGTTCCGTACCGGGAAGTGTGGCCCCGGTGAGTTGGGATAGGTCTGAGTGCGAGCACTGCAGCGTCGATCCGATTGTTGAAGCATCTGCGACGAACGATAGGTATGCCGCGCAGTAGGTCGATATTCAATCGTGGCTAAGCGTCCTCGGCAGTCGCGCTGTCGTCTCCAGTCCCTTGTTGTTTCTTTGCGGTTGAAGAATGCAGCTACTTTGATGCTGACGCTTCAGAATACTCGCATGTATAATTTCTACATATCGCAGGATATATCATATGATGACCTCATTCGGAGGACTGATTACAATTAGTATGAGACATAGACTGATTCTCGTCAAGCACGAGCTGGCGAACGCGTCTCGACGGAGCAATCGAGCGGATAGCCCGAGTGCCTACTCAGGTAACAAGATGCCGATTGGATGGTACACGTAAGCCAGAGCTCCTCAAAGTTCAAGCGCAAAGTTCATGATCAGATCGCCCGCGAATCGACTCCTGATCCGGCGGGAGCTCAGACGTAAAGGAAGTGGCGACGGAGAGGATGCTCGTGAACAGACTGAAGTGACTCAGACTGAGCACGGACGGGTGCAGCTCTGCATCCATCGTCGAGCTCTCACCGCCGGAACAAACCACCACCGCCCGCTCGTCTCTCGACACGGCGGCGTCGACGGCGAAGCTCGGCACAGCGAGCACACCGCGGCGCATCTCCGCGAGACTCGGTCTGGCTGTGGGCTCCGGATGGAATACGCGGCACAGCAGGTCCGCCAGCGGCCGGGTGAGACGCAGCGTGCGTTGCAGATACGCCGCGGGATCGGCGCTGAACGCGACGAACCGCGCGTCCGAGCCGTCTGCGCACATCCACGGATACCGGCCTGTGACGATGTTCACCAGCACGACGCCCAGCGCCCAGAGATCCGTCTGTCGCGTCGAGTACGCGTCCGCGTTGCAATCGACCCGCAGGCATTCTGGCAGCGACAGACATACATCATCATCATCAGCGCAGGCGAGGGTGGCGTGAGAGCAGCGCGCAACACACACCGGGACTCATGTACGCACGGCTCCCGCACCGGAACTGGCCGGACCTCTCGCTCGTCGTCGCGAGCCCAAAGTCCGCCAGCCGCACGCGCCCGTCCGCGCCCAGCAGCACGTTCTGCGGCTTCACGTCGCGGTGGAACACACCCGCCGCGTGGCACCCCTGCACCGCGTCCAGCAGCTGCAAGAACGTCTCCCGCACCCGGGCCCGCTCCGGGGGCGCCGCCCCGGCCGCGGTGATCGCCTGCAGCAGATCGCGCGCGCACAGCTCCAGCACGAGCGCCGTCCCCGGCGGCGCCGCCTTCTCGTCGAGGAGCCCCGGGACGACGCGCAGCACGCCCGGCACGTGTGCGACGCGCGCGTGCATCGCGCGCTCGTGCTGCGCCAGCGCCGCCGCGAATGGCCCGTGCAGGCACTTCACGGCGCACGGCGCGCCGCCGTCCGTGCGCGCCGCGCGGTAGACCCGCGCGAAGCCGCCCTGGCCGATGCACGCGAGGAGGCGCAGCCGGTCGTGCGCGATGCGGGTCCCCGTGAGGTCGGGGAGCGGCTGGGTCTGGGATTGGGACTGGGGCTGGGGGCGCGGTCGCATGGGTGGGAGTGAGGGGCCTCGAGGTCAACTCGGGCAGTGCAGGGTCAGAGAAGAAAGTGGGTTAGCAAGAGGCTGATTGTGATGTGAGGCGAGTTGTGCAGTGGCCGAGTGGCTCGACTGGGCTGAGGCCGTCCCCAAAGAACGCCTTTATATGCACAAAGCACGCATCGCACGGCAGATAGCCAAAGAAGCGCACCCCAGATAGGCTCCACGGGATCTGCGCTGCATTGCGCACCGGAGAAGCGCCCGCGGGGGAATAGAGAGGTGCGATCATGAAGGTACTCGAGAGTCGCTCCCGATGAATTGGGCAATCGCGCGCCGGGAAACGGGACCCCATCGTGGAGGACACATTACGTCTCGATGCGGCGTAGACGCGGCATATACCTGACAGCGGCCGTAACTTGCAACATGGGAGTCGGTCGGTGGGGCATAAATATACATTGGGACTCGGATTTGGTTGTTGAATGATCCGGTGGCTGTGTCGATCGGGTGCAACGTTTGTGTGTGCCGTGGACACGGCGATACTGTGGACTCTGTGACGACACGGCATCCCTTGTAGGTTCGAGTAGCCCGTTCTCCACACGATGACCCCGTAAATCAAGGCCTTCAGATGTGTGCATGCACAAACAGTCGCCGCGCTGCCATCACAGAGCGTGCCTTGGTACGGAACTTGACTAGTGGGTATCGTGTTCCCAGCTTCCAAGGACATCGAATGGCGCCCCATAAAACTGTAAATGTCGACGCATTGCTCATACAAGAGACCTACCTGTCGCGCACATCGTCACCTGTGGACGCTGGTATCGCGCTCGTTCGGCAAAGACGATCCGACAAACACTTGCTTGCTCTTGCTCTGACGAACGACCGGACTCAGACAACACGACGTAAGGAACGGGTGTCACCTCGCTCTCCCGGGCGGCTCTGATCTCAGATACCTGGGGAGCCATTGGGCGTAGGAAACGAGTGCCGGCGAACAGCTTCGAATGTCGTCTGCAGCTGCGCCGACCACGAAAGAATCGGTATCGGCCTGAGGACAGGAGAACCACTGCTTCGCGTCCCAGCGGCCCTCAACATTGCTTCGAACCTTCCCAGGCCTGTAGAGCGCGTATCGTCCGCTGTGCCCCATACCGACTCCTCAAGTACGTATCCATCCGATCCCCACCGAAGCGCGCGGCGCGGCGCTCAATAGCTTTCCCGTAATCGCGTTCCGCTGCCTGCATATGGCCGATCCTGGCGGCGTCTGCGGGGCCACAACGAGCGCAATGGAATGACCTGTCCTGGAGAAACGACAGGTTCTCATCCATGACAGAGGCCCGCCCGTGCAGCTGATGACTGTCCAGTCGGCTGGCTGGGCTGCCAGTGGTGCACGGGGCCTCGCGACTGGACTGGCAGGGCACCTGCACCTGCACCTGCACCACGGGGAAAGGATGCACTGGGACATTGACCGCATGAGAATTAGGGATATGGGGATGGAGGACACTGCGACGTGGAAGTCGATGATAGGTTGTCTTGTGGAGTGCGAAAGTGGATCGCTGCCCCGGCTATCTTGGGATGCTTGAGCTGCCAGGGCCTGGTCCTATTTCGCTCGGAAATGAGGTTGAGAGTTTCTGTTCAATAGTCTGGAGTGTTTCTCGTCAATCAGACCGCCTCTGAGACCTTGCTCCGTGTTTTGTAACTTACCTTCCCAGAAGGTCAAAGTGGGATTCCGGATCCGACTTGGTATCTCTACCAGCAACCCAAATTCAGCACGCGCTCTCCACTCAGCATATGTATGTCATTCGTTCACGCGAGCCAGTCAGTATACATGCAAAACAAACAAAACAAAAAGCAGCGTCATGTCAGGTCAGTCAGTCGGAGGTAGTAAGTAGCAGTAGGCACTAGGCAGGTAGCAAGTATTCAATCTCGCGCATCGCTGTCCGACCGGCTTCCGGCACTGCTGGGAACCCGGTGCGCGTCACCCCGTCCTTTCGAGATAGCAGGCCCGTTGCGCTCCCAGGACGTCGATGACTCTCTGCCGTATGGCCCGCTGCCCATCGAGGGCGGCGGCAGCGGCGAGATGTAGTCGATCCAGCTGTCGCCTGTCATTCCTGGCACAGCAGCAGCAGCAGCAGCAGCGGTATCCATGTTGTGGTTAGGATTCATATTCAAATTCAAATTCAGGTTCAGATTCGGATTCGGATTCGGATTCACCGGCGGCGGCGGGTCGTCAGAGTCCATGAGTTCGCGGATGAGCGCGCGTTTCAGATCGGGGTCCACATCGAGCAGTTGCCGTTTGAGCGCACGCGCACGCGTCCGTTCGTCCGTCGGCAGCGGGTCGGACAGCGACAACGGGGGCAGCAGCAGAGCATCAGATGCGTCCGGCGATTTGGGCGTCGGGGGGCCGCGCATGGGCATGGGCGTGTCCGCAGAGTGCAGCAGCGGGTGCAGATTCGCAGGAAGCGGGATAGGGGAGTGGGGTGTGGCGGGGTCGGGGTGCATGATTGAATGTATGAAACGATCGATATGCCAGGAGGACGCACCCTGCTGGTGGTGCTGCCCACTGTTGTTCGCGCTCGTGTTGTGGCCGTGCCCGTGCCCGTGGCTGTGACCGTTCCCATGCACCGGCCAGTCCATCCCGAACGGCTGGCTATCCAGCCGCGGCTGCTGGTACATATCGTACGGCGCGCGATACGGCGGCGCATCGAATATCGGGGGATAGTAGCCGCCGCTTTGGGCTGGCGGTGGCGCGTACGAACCGCGATAGTGGGGGGGCGGCGGAGGGGGGAAGTCGAAGGGGAGATTGGGGATGGCCGCCGACATGGCTGATGTCGGTGGGGGATGGAAGCTTGTAGGGCTGTCCTCGTATTCTTCTTCGTCTGATGAGAGCGTCTTCATGCTCCGGCTGCCCTGCGGCACTTTCTGCTTCTTGTGCGGCGGAGATCCTCCTCGCGGGGGATGCCTCTCTGGCGCCGGTTTCGCACGCGAGGCATTGGGTGCTGCGGCTGGCGGGGGCGGTGGTGCTGTCCGTGAGTCCGCCTGGGGAAGTCAGCAAGCGATCAGACGGAAGCCAGAAAAAGACGCACAACATCGCCCCTCGCGGGGGTCTTCCCTTTTATCCTCTTTGCCGCAGGGGGCGGTGGAGGTGGCGGCAGCGGTTCGTCGTCCCCGTCCTCGTCATCCTCGCCGATCGCATCGTCCGCCTTTCCACCTGCACCGGAGAAATCGCCCGACCCTCGGGAATCTCGTTCGCCGTCAAACTGCGGAGGCGTCAGCCGGCCAGCTAGCCAGCCAATCGCAATAACCCAAACGCAGGGACGCACCTCAGCGTGCCTGGCGACGATGTCCCGGATATCCTTGGACGAGTACTCGAACAGCTTCTGACTGCCAGGACGATCCTCTGGAGGGATATAAATAGACGGGAGAGAGAGAATCCGGACGATGTCCGTAAGTCCCGAGTGTCGGAGCGGAGCAAAGAATGACGCACCGAATATGATCACAGCGACGTCCACCGAACAGAGCACCCCGAGCTCGTACGCTTTCTTGAAGAGCCCGTTTTTGCGCTGCGAGAGTGGTGGAATGACGTTTTATAAGCGATTTCGCCAAGCCAATAGCACAAAAATAGAGGGAAATGAAAGAAGTACCTTTAAAAAGGTCACCGAACGGTTCCGCTCGTGCTGCACGACAAGTCAGCGTCCGCAGAGACAAAAATTTCGAGCGCGGCGGCAGCGGGAGCGACCGCTGATGTCGACACGTAAAACGGAGTGTGCGACGCACCGTGATAGGCTGAATCTCGATTTTCCTCCGACCCATGGAGCGCAGAGAGACGGGGCGATGTGCAGAAGATGGCGGCGGGAGACGAAGGGAGGCAGGGCAGCTGCAGTCCGAAGCTGAGCCCTGAGTTGATGATTGGGGAAAGCAGCGGCTCCTGTGAGTATGTTATGTCGTCGTTGTTCCATCAGATCCCGGTTCGGTCTCGGACCGGCACCCCGAAGTTGACACCCCTCATTCCATTGACACACGTGGATCCCCTGTGCATCCTGCTTTTATAATATTCTCCTGCCAGCCTCGTGGCAGACCCCCTCGTCCCATACCTCGAGATCAGGGATATCTAACTGACATCGAGCGTTGTCTCTCCAATCTCACCAATCGGCCGAAGCTGTCCCTTAAAGCCGATGATAATCGCCGCCAGAAACCGACCTCTCGTCACATGTCCATGCGCAGCAGCAGATGTTCGAATGAACCCGGTGTCGGCTAACTCAGAGTTCTGGAGCCAGACTTGAGCACGCTGAAGTACTTATGTCGCCAGTCATGTGCCACCTCTTCGGGCTCCGATGGGCAGGAGCCAGCAGAACCCCAACGGAATTCACAGAATCACAACGCACTTTCCATAAATGCCAATATTCCAGAATAGGCAGCCCTCCCCACATAACTTAGAAACAACATACTCGACCTTTAGATCTGATGATCCAATCAATCTTCTCAATAGTTCTCAATCCTGACAAGTTTGAGCGCGGCCAGTTGCTCCGCGAGAACGGAATATTCCTTTTGCGCATCTGGCAGACATGTGTGTGTCGAGACTCCTTCGGAAACCTGTCAACGAAGGGACTTGGATTTCCGGCAGCCCCATGTAGTGTTGCCTATCTTTTTGAATTCCGCGTGCTCTTGGTACTTCATGAGATATGAGTATCGCATCACAGCCTCTCCAGCATGTCCGCGAATCTCTCCAACAGCACTCTGTTCTCCTCGGCACTGCCGACCGTAACCCGCAAGCACCCCGCGCACCCGGGCTCGTTGCCGCGGTAGCGCACAACGACGGCGTGCTCCTCCGCCAGCGCCGTGTAGATCGCCTGCGCGCGCTGCGAGTCCGGCTGCCCCGCCGCACCCGTGCCCTTCTGCAGTATCGGCACGACGACGAAGTTCGCGTCGTTCCCGCCAATGGCGCGGCCCACACCCAGCGGCGCGAGGGCCGCGAACGACGCGAGGAGCGCCGTGCGCGAGGCGTTGAGCGTCGCAACGGTCGCGTGCATTGCTGCGACTGCCGCGGGCTGCAGCGCTGCGAGCGCCAGCTGGGATGCCGGGCTCGAGATGTTGTATGGTGCTTTAGTGTTGTTGAGCACCTGGATCAGAGCCGGCTGGGCGATCGCGACACCGAGTCTGCCGTTCGTCGTAAGCGCTCAGCGTATAGCAGCTGTACACGTACCTGATACCAGCCAGCCCGAAGCTCTTGCTTAGTGTCTGCAGGACACATACATTCGCGTAATCCTTGACGAGGGCGACCGCACTGGTGCCCTCCTCCGCAAAGTCGATGTATGCTTCGTCAACGATGACGATCCCCTTGAAATCTTCAAACTCAAGCAGCTCTCGCACAACAGATATAGGGATCAGCGTCCCGGTAGGATTCCCAGGCGAGCAGAGGATGATCAGCTTGACCGTCGGATCGGCCTTCACCGCAGTCTTGATCTACACAGGCCGCCTCAGCACCAACCACCTCGAATCAAAGACAATGAACACCGTACCTCATCCACCTTAACGCTAAACCTCCCATCTGCACCACCCTCGCCCTTGTCACCACTCAGCTCCAGCGGGACCTTCACCACACCTACATCGTTGATCTGCGCACACACCCCATACATCCCATACGTCGGCGGCGTCACCAGCACCCTCTCCGTCCCCGGCGCAACGCACACCCGCATGAGAAGGTCGATCGCCTCGTCCGAGCCGACGCCGAGGAAGAGGTACTCCGTGCCCGGCAGCCCGCGCAGCTCCGCCAGCCGCGCTTTGATCTCGGGCTGCCGCGGGTCCGGATACCGGTTCAGCTCCAGCTGCGCTGCTGCTGGGTCCGCGTGCAGTGCGTTCCCGAGCGCGTTCTCGTTCGCGTCTAGCAAGATGCCTGTGGAGTAGTCGTCGCGGGCACAGCGGTACGGGTGGAGAGAGAGGATGTTCGGGCGGATGACATTGAGGATGTCGAAATGCGCAGGACCCGTTTTGGGCGTGGAGGGGGCAGGCCGTGGATGGACATGGCGGGGCGGGAGAAAGTGATTGACTGTCGAGTCAAATCTGAAATCGGCCTTATCGGACTTGATCGTCTAGTAATCGATTATCTAATCTACGAAAGATGTATGTCTGGATCTCATCTAGCACTGTATTCTATCTATTTCCGTCCAAATTCGTCTCTTCCCTTTGCGTCCTTCTTTACCCAGATACTTACGCTCATGGCCGAGCACATAAAATCAGCCCATCCATCATCACCGATAACAACCTCGCCTTGGTGCCAGCCTAAGACGTCCGTCCAAGTCTCATTGGCATGTTCCTGAATATACTTGAGAAAAGAATCCACAACAATATTTCCCTGATATACCTTTCCGACTTCCATATGCTTCGAGCCTTCATCTCCATTGCATATGACGACCGTACATCCATCTTGTCGGCCTTTCTCTGGCTCGCCCATACGGACCCACCCGAGACAGTTCATGTGATCCGAATAATCTCTGAGTTCGCCATAGGCGTACAGCTTACGAGCGCGAATAATATCGGAGAGCTGGGACACTGGCTCTTGAGGGTTTTCACCTTTCGTCCCATACAAGTCTCCCCAGAATACGCATCTGCCTTCCGTCAAGGACTTGAAACTTTCGGCGGACTAATTCACATACGGATATCCATCTGGACGAAGCAGAATGAGCGCATACGCGAGCGGCTTGAACATCGGATTTACTGCCGATTCCAAAGCTTGACCGACTTGTGTGCTAAGCATACGGAGTCAGCAATCATCTTCCGACGAGATCGCGACACGCACTCGTGGTTTTCAACCAAGGTCACGGCATCAATCGGTCGCTTCTGGACGACTGTTCCGTCCCAGATAGCTCGCATATCGTAATCCCGCCCGCGGTCGCCAGCCTCCTTGAAATTGTAATGCAACGGAGCATCGAAAACGCTGAACTAGAGGATATGTGAGTCGGAGCCAACGTTATGATCAATCGAACAAACCTGAGTCCCTAATCCATTTAGGTATGTCTCAAGATCATCTAGTGAATCCTTCCAGAACTCTCCAACCGCAAACATCTTCGGCTTGTTCGTTACGGATCGCACGTGTTTGACAAAGTCAGCGATGAAATCTCGGTCAATGTGCTGTGAAGGGCGATAAGCATGTCGTCGCAACATGCGTTCACCGATGGACACGCACCTTGACTGCATCGAATCGGAATCCAGCCGTGCCGAGCTCTTCGGTGATCCATTTGCCCCAGTTCAGGTAGTCTTCGCGGACATCGGGGTGCTGATGATCGACATCCGCCCCCACTGCGGATAGATTAGCTCGGAGACGCAGAATAAAGCCATTGTAACTCACTCAAATAATCATAATTCTTGTTCTCTTTATCGACCCCTTCTGCCCAGTCTTTGCCATCTCCGTGAATCTTGTAGATCGCATTTTTCTGGTTCTCCTCGTTGTAGTCGACGCCCGTGAAGTGGTTGAAATTGTATTTCATAGCGCTGTACTGTTGCAATCATCAGCACTCCTTGGTTTCTGACATATGCATGAGCAACTGACCTTGTCTCCGCGCCCAGGGAAATCTAAGCCCGTCCATCCCTACGGTTCAAAAACACGGCTCAGATAAGATGCTAGATTATCCAGATAGATTGCGCACCTTGATATCATACAGATCGGACACCTCCTTCGTCCGATCGTTCGAGTCCACCTCGACCGCAGCAAATGTCTCAGCCTTGTCGGCACCGAAACGATGGTTCAACACAGCGTCGACGTATGAAACGATCCCGTTCTCCTGCGCCGTCTTGATCGCCTCTAGAAGCTCTTCCTTGGTTCCCCAATGTGTTCGTCGCGCGCCCTTCTGGTCGAACTCCCCTAGCAGGTTGTGAGCTAAAGGAGCCATGCCAACGAAATGGAATGCATTTTACCAAGGTCGTATAGATCGTAGATGTCGTAGCCAACGGATTCGGTGCCGGCTGCTTTCGTTGGCGCTGTCGATTGAAGAGTTTACACGGGCCGGTGATTAAGGATTAAGGACGCACGAGGGAGCCAGAGTGCAGTCAGTCCCATGGACGCGAATTCCGGCACTCTCTCTGTGATCGTTTTCCAGTGCTTTCCTCCTCCCTCAGAATACCATTCGAAGGCCTGGAGCTGCGCGACGGAATTCAGCCTGCGAACCGAAGCATTTCGATGAAACAAACCATGGTATAGTTCATGTCCTTCCCCGAGTACTCTGCATTGGCGTGGCCGGACATGATTGTGGGGGAATAAAGCAACAAGGCAGAGGAGAGATAAATACGCGTTGAGGAATATAACCATCGACAGGAGCCCCTGTCGCTCTGTATGTCATCGATGACGTCACGCGTCGAGACGCGCCTAGATACGTAAGTGGATGTCAGCGAGACACTCTCACAGCCGTCCTCGTGCCCCAACATGACGCGGGGTATATTGCGCATCCCTGCAGCTCCGATTCACATCATTCGCGATGTCGTCGCACTCCTCCGTTCCGCAAGTTGACCGCGACCTCGAAGCGCAAGAGCGGGCGCAAGAGCCGAGCGCAGAGTATCACGGGCGATGGCATGTGGCCCTGCACCCTTCCGTGAAAAAGAACACGCCACGTGGCGCGCTGCCGTTCCTGCATCCGACGCACGCGACGTTGACCTCGAGCACCGGGGACAAACTGCGCTGGACCTCGAGAGACCACCGCAAGAACCGTCACGTCGTCAGCAATCCACGGAGCGGACAGCCGAGACAAGCCAAGGACGACGGGATGTGGACGAAATTTGCCAGGATGCGGAGGGTCGAGTACTGGAACATTAGTTGGTGGGTTGCTATGGTGCGTTTTCGCGACCCGGAGTTGAATGTTCGGCACAGCACACTCATTCAAACTCCAGGCTTTCACCTCTGGGAGCATCGTCTGGGTCATCAACGGATTCATCGTCTTTCTGCCCTTCGTCAACTCGCACGTGGGGAAAGACATGGTCGGCGGAGGGTGGTCGGCCTGGATAGGCGCCACGATCTTCGAGTTCGGTGGGATCCTGGCGATGTGGGAAGCGTGGAACCGCGGAGACTCGTCCGACTTCGGCTGGGGCGTTGACCAGATGCTGCAAACAGCAGATCTCAAACGCCCAGGCTCCTTGCGGTCTGATCACGGCGAGCCTCCGATGCCAGAGAAGAAGAGGTGGATCTGGTTCTCGCTAGAAGGGAAATATTTCCATGAGATCGGGTTCCTGGCTGCGTTTGTCCAGTACTGGGCTGCTACCATATTCTGGATCAGCGGGTGCGTGCCTTGTCTCCTCGGGCGCAAGAAGACGCGTTTGCTGATGCGAGGGGAAAGATTCACAGGCCTCCCTGCAATCCAGGACGCAATTACCTCGAACACCGGGCTGTTAGATGGGGTCTATTGGACCCCGCAGGTCATCGGTGGCACCGGGTTCATCATATCTTCGTGCGTCTCCCATCTCCTCCCAAAATCCCTCACCAAACGCAGGTCTTCCAAGAACGCTACTGATGATCGAAGCACAAAAGAAATGGTACCGTCCGGCCCCGAGTTCGCTGGGGTGGCAGATCGGCTGTGAGTGCTCAGCTACGTTGTTCTCCTGTTCGATTGACATGTGCTGCCCAGTCTGGAACCTGGTTGGTGGGGTGGGATTCACTTTATGCGGAGCGCTTGGCTACGGACAGAACAGCAGCACCAAACTGGCATACCAGAGCTCATGTTCCACGTTTTGGGGTGGATGGGCCTTCTTGATCGGGAGTCTGATACAGTGGTACGAAGCAGTGAACCCTGTGTAAACGATATCCTTTCTCTTTCTTTCATCGAGAGCAGTAATGCGTTGATGTGTGGGCTCCAGACCAGTCAATTTCCCTCCCAGCCAAAAGGGGTGGCTCGGTCAACAGACACGGACAATCCGAAACGTAAATGTCCGATTAGGGAAAAACATGAAGGTCGTATGCTACGCATAGTTATGTTGAAACAAATCGTAGTCTGTAAGCAAGCAGTGACATCTAGTATTGGGGAGCCTCAGACAACAGCAGGTGCCTCTTCTGCTTCTGTGGGATCTACCATCTCCTCTTCGATCGCCTTCCGCCCGGCGTCAGTAAGAGCCGAGTGCCCTTTCTCCATGCTCGCATCAAAGTAGACCGGGACGAAGCTAGAACGCGGACCATCAGAAGAAGAATTTCATCGAGTCCCAGATGAACTCACGTCTCGCCCTTGCGTTTCCTTTCTGCTGCCTCGTCACGCTGGCGCTGCTCAATGATCACCTTCTCCTTGGTCGCATCGGAGAACTCCTTGTTGAGTAGCCGAGTGGTCACAGTCTCCCACAACTTGCGACTCTCTCTCGGCTCCTGCTTATCAAGCGGGCGGACGGCCTTGGGCGTCGGGAGCAACGTCGACAGGTCGACCAGGGTGGCCCATTCCTCGTCCTTGACAGCAGAGATGTCCATGCGCGACGATGCGGCCGAAGGCGTCGACAGGGAAGTGGAGAGCGTCGCGTGGGATGGGTTCGGCGAGGAGCTGGTAGACGATGTGACTTGCGGGTAGGAGCCTGCGCCGACGCGGCGCCAACGAATACGTCCTCGCCACGACCCGTCGAAGACCGCGACGACGCGGTTCTGGGGCACCTGCTTGACCTTGGTCCATTTCTCGTGCTGTGTCTCGCCATCAACGACGGTGTGGATCACGCCTTCCACAAGGTAGTGCGCCCGGCCAAGCCATGACTGGACAGTACCCCATTAGCGGCTATTAACGGTGCAAGATGGCAAAAGCATACGCACCTCCTCCTTGTACTCGATGATCGCTCTGAACCGCTGCTTCCCTCCAGTCGTACATGTGATGATCGTCGAGTCGGCAATGGTGACATAGAAGCTCCCCCGTAACAATCCGTTGACCGAGGCGATAGGGTGGCAGATATTGTACTCTTCTCCGGCTCCAGGGCCGCCAGTGAGGTTGATGAATATGCCCTTGTTGAACACACCAGGCATAACACGCAGGGTCGTGCCCGAAATCTTGGCCGAAATCTGGTCGATTCCGTACATTTCGATGGACCGCGAAGGACACGACGCATAGAATGCCGAAACAGGTGGGTGATGCGACACCTGCTCAGTCAGAAAGACCACACGGACCGTGTCATTAGAAGCCGAAAGATTAAGTTGGGACATGTCAGCAGCGGCGGCTTCGACGGAGGTGGCGGCTGTTGATGGCGACTTCCCGGTCTTGGAGAATGCGCTCAGACCGCTGCGGTTGCTCTTTGAGCTCTTGAGACTTTCGTTGTCTGGGCTAGGCCTAACATCGGCGGAAGCCGAGGCGACGATCGGTGGTGGAGCCGGGGCGACGTCCCAGTGCGCACGGAAATGCTCCCCGAGGACAGAGTTGTAAGGTTTGCACACTTTGCCGTGCTATCAGGGATAGTTAGCTCTAAATCACATGCAAGTCATGGGGCTACAAGCAAGCTCCGGAAGAGCCCATAGCAGATGATGGAGGACATGTCGCGCGAAGAAATCGAGTGACGGGGAAGACGTTGATAGACACGTACCACGAATTTGAGATCCTTCGTGAACGCGAATCGGACCAGAGCGAGCATGCGCTCAAAGGGGTCTTGAGAGTCGTTGATACTATAGAAGGCATTCATCTCAGCGAGGCTCACGAGACACAAAGAGACAGAGCATAACGTACACTGCGAACATGTCCGGTCGGTCAAGATACTGCCAGTACTCAAGGTTCGGCATGGGCTCCAGGAGTGACGCGGGCAGCGAGAGACGCCTAGGATACAGTTCATGCGGGGTCAGGCAGGATCCTCGGACACGCAAGGACAGATAAACGCACATGGCAGCGATGTCCTTAACCCCCAGAGACTTCTTGACGAGCTGCATGATCATCTGGAGCTTGCCACCTTCGCCTTCTCCGCTTTCGGGGACTGATATGGGGGGACCAGGCGCATCATCATCGTGGATATGGGGGTCGCCGGCGACGGTAGACATGGCGCTACTACTTGCAGGCCGAGGATAGAATGGTGGTGGGGGTAGAGGTCTAAGGAGGAATGTGATCCCGCCGGTCCGGATTGGGATATCTCCCACTTGTCACCAACGTTCGTGCTCCTGCTCAGCTGGATATCGCTCCTTACTGGCACTTATCCAATTTTCACTACTGCTAAGCTATACAGTACACCGCCGAAAAATAACATTGAAGCGGCATCCATCTGACCGACGTCAAGACTAACAACTTGGCGTGGTTGGCGCGGCGGTGCACCAACTGTTATGTCATGACGGATTCGATTTCACCGAGGAGCAGCATTGTTTCGCCGACCTGCGTTGTGCAACTCGATTATATTGCCGACCCTGCCCCGCCACCCTCTGGACCCTGGACCCGCTTCGTCATCCTCTCCGACACCCATGCAGAAACCTTCCCTGTGCCCGATGGCGACGTGTTGCTCCACTGTGGGGATCTCACTCGCCGGGGCACTGCAGCCGAACTGCGGCGGACGATGGAATGGCTCTGCGAACTGCCTCATCCTGTCAAGATGTGTGATGCGATCCTCCTGGGGAGAACTTGAGTGACCGACCACCCTTCGTAGCGTGATCGCGGGGAACCGCGATTTTTCGTTGGATCGAGATTGGTATGATCGCTGTTGGAGGCAGGGAGGGAACCATGACACCGTGTCTCCATGGGAGGTGCGTGTCCTCTGCCAGCTTTTCTGGTGGGTAAGGGCTCCATCTCATCATCATGACCAGCCTGCCGAGCCTCTCTTGGAATTACTCTCAGGACCGGAGGCTACTTGTGCAAACATCAAATACCTCCAAGATGAAATCTATACATTCAAAGTGCGCCCAGACGGCAGAGAGTGGTCTGTGTATGGTTCTCCCGTGCGCGGTTCTGCTGTCCGGCGCCGACTGTCTCTCACCCACCGTAGTTGACGCCGAGTTACAAGGGCCGGTTACGAGCATTCAGCTACGAAAAGGCGGATGGGATCGGTAGGAATCAAACTTTTCGGTTGCGAAGGGCTTGTCTCTTACTTGTGCTTACAGCAGCGGTCGCCAAATTCCCTCAAGTCGACATCCTGTGCGGTCACCTGTTCAGCCCTGAAGCTCAATTGCTCATGTCTCACAACCCATCGCAGCATGACCCACGGCCCGCCACTCAACGTCCTCGATCGCACCGCCAAAGGAGCCATGGCTGGTTGTCCTAGCCTCGCAAACCGCGTCTCAGCTCTTCGCCCTCGGCTCCACGCGTTTGGGCACATTCACGAGGCTCGCGGGGCCCATATCCATAGCTGGGCCACGGGCGTCGCACCCCAAGCGCAGTCAGATTCCGAATCCATCGCCACGGAGGGACCTCAGACTATCTTTGTCAATGCAGCAAACTGGCCTGAAGGACCGAAGAAGGCCCGGGTGGGCAAGAACTACCAAGTAGGTGGACAAGGAGTACGACCTGTCATCGTTGATCTACTCGAATGAACCTGACCTGCTTGCTGCGGTTGAACCTTCGTTAAGCCATCACTACACTTTCATCGTCTAGGATCCGATGATGAGGCCGTTGATGGTGATTCGAAACTGCTGGATGTCTGTTTGCCTCTGAACGACAAGGATGCTGATTGCCTCACCTCGTCTGAACTGTAAGCTTCCGTCATCGCAGCTGTCTCCGTTTCAGTCCAACCATAATCTTTGAGAAGCCGTTCCTTCTTCTCTGAACCTCCTGTGAGGAACAACGCGATCCGCATCTGCATCTGTGCCGTTTTCGACTCAAATTCTCGCACTGATTGGGGAAAGCGAGCGTTCAGCGAGGGATAGTGTCTGATAATGGGCAGCAGTTCAGCCCGGCTGTCTTCGTATGTGGATTTGATGTAGTTGAATGTGGATTCGAATTCACGTTGCGAGGCTTCGCCGGAGGTGTGCACCAAATCACGCCATGCCTGGGGTCAAGGTCATCCAAGGACGGATGGATGACCCGGAAAGCGTACCTTATCATCGAGTCCCGCTTCCAATACTTTATCGTACGCGATGTATCGGTCTACAGCATCTTCATTGTAAACCTGCGCGCGGACGGTATAAAGCTGGTCCAAGTCTGCATAGAACTGCTGATCAAGTTCATCCAGTCTAGCTTGTGTAGCAGCTTCCTCCGACAACTTTAAGAAGGCTTCCATGTCACTGAACCTGGCAGACGATATTCGGACCGGTGGATGCCCCAAATCGGTGTCGACGAGCTTACGAAGGAACGGGACGTTGTCGGTGTGACAAGATGTATTGGCTCAGATTTTTCATTGTGGTCTCGTCAACTCCACTCTGATTCCCTGATAGATGTGCGTGATCGATAACACCAGTGTTCATGTTGTGAATACTACGGATTCAGAGTTGGAAGAGGTGGGACAGACGAACTGGTGCCATCATGATTGGCTCTGTTTGGTACTGTAAGTGGCATCCCTGATAATCAAGTGACCACGTTCAAGCTTTCAAGCTCGAGTCCGGACAGGCGGACTGACAACCACACTGGCCGTCTGCACACATCGCATGGCTGCTGATTCCCACGGGCTCTGTATCAGTGTATCTCATCCTAGGAATACCACGGCTTTTGCGGTGGCAAGGCAGAAGAGTCCGATACTCAGGACTCTGTACGATCAACCGCACCCGGCAAATGAAACCATCAACGCAAATGAAGACCATTCAGCGCAGATACTTACTCAGCTCAGTTGAAACGGGCTCGATTTAGTTTGACGGCCTTGTGGTGTCAACAGGCATGTGAGAAGCATCAACCAAATGCGTCTTATCGGACCGCCGGTGGCCCTAAATTTGCCCAGGGACTGCGGATCGCGCTTTCTGTCCACCTTGTCAACAGCTCTTTTCATCCCTCGACTCATCGCGGCAGCTCCTTGTCGGATGCAAGACAAATGCTCATCCGCCGAGGACAAGGAGGCCCAAGACTGTCGCTCCTGGCCCACGGCGGTCAGACGGGCTCGGGGTTGGCTATTCATGATTCTGCACGTGGGTTTTTGCATCGATTCTTCCTTCACGTTATCCTTCTATTCGACCTCTCGCATTTTTTCTTCGTTGTGGACTAGGCTTTCCATCGCTGATGGAACTGTAAACAGGCTGAGAAGGACCGGACACGCATAGATCATCGCTGGACAATACCATCGATACTAGTGCTGGCGCTGCTTGTATTCTTCGGTCTGGTCACCGTTGTCATCGAGCTTACCACTAGACACGGCGAAATAAACGGCTGTCGAGTCGTAGGCCTGCGGAAAGAGTGGTCCGTTTGTCGTGTCGTCCTCGTCGCATCACTGTTCTTGATTGGGAGCACTTGCCAGGCGAAACCTATCCAGGGTTGAGCAACTCGACTATATCTCGGCAGTCAAATGCATGCAAACGCTCCCTGCCAACGGGGTTGTGGATACGAACCATGTCCGCACGCGCTACGACGATTTCCAGAGTGCTCACATCAACTTGACGGACGAAACGCACACAGTCGCAAGCCACACCCTTTGTGTCCTGGCAGAAAATGATAACGCTACGCAGGGACAATTTCTTCCTTGGCATCGATATTTTCTCGGGACATTTGAGAGCACGTTGAGAAGTGAATGTGCTTATCAGGGCTCGATTCCATATTGGGACTGGAGTCTCGACGCGGATCAACTTGATTCGTGAGTGTTTTCAAGTGATAGTGGTTGTATTTTTGACTCTTTTTCCCAGGATCGCCAAGTCTCCGGTGTTCGATCCTGTTTATGGATTCGGAGGCAAATCCCGTCGTGTATCTCGTTTGAACCATGGTATGACATATGTTCCAGGGAACGGGTTGCATATCCCAGGATACTCTGGCCCTTTCAATAACTGGACTAATCTTGCCGGATGGGTCGAAGGCACGGGGGGCGGGTGCATCACCACCGGGCCCTTCGTGTCCTACAATCTGTCTGTCGGGCCGGGAACAAAGCCGACAAATCATTGTTTGACCCGCAATTTCAATGATGCTTTCATCTGGGCGCTGTCTTCAGCTCAAGTAGCCAACACGACGAAACAGCCCAATTTTGAGCGGTTTCGCATCGAGCTCGAGGGACAGCCAATCACCTCGACAATGAAGTTGCACGACGGGGGACATTTCGCTGTCGGCGGGGAGATGCTGGATACGTATTCCAGTCCTGCAGGTAGAGGTCTTTCTCGGCACCTCCGTCCTTTTCTTTTGCTTAATCGGTACAGACCCAATATTCTGGCTTCACCATGCCAATCTAGATCGAATCTGGTGGAAATGGCAGAATATCGACCTCCCAACGAGACTACTCGATGTCTCAGGTCGCTCCAGGGTGAATCCACCGTTCGTAAATATTACCCTGGCATATCCGTTGAAGATGTGGAGCTTGGCCCCGACTATTCCCATTTGGAGGGTTATGGATGTTAGAAGCCCGCCGCTATGTTACGATTATGTATAGCTTAGACCACCGTGGGCACACTTCCTACTTGACGATTCCAGCAGCGGCAGAGAATCAGATGATGAGATGTAAGTCAAAGGGCTTGATAGCGATTTAGAGGTCGACAATAATTACACGAGGTCAATCTAGTGAGAAGCTCAGACAGTGGGTGCAGCAACAATCGACGGTGATCTACTCAACGCTTGACGTAGAACATTTCCGTTGAGTGCGATTACTACGGTACGTCAGAGGGTCTTCTCCTCTGAAATTGAACGAGACGTTGAGTTCCAGTTGTCCGCTACGAAATTTGTGCAAGTCTGTTGGATCCATCCTCTCGCGCTTGCGGTTGTGCAACTTCCGCTCTCGAAGAGCTCGCATCAAACAACAGACCCCCTATCAACCTTCCAAAACGGGACACGCGCCTGACGTCGCCAAACTCGCGCAAAGCGCTAGACTCGTCGTAAGGCTGTGACTACACCTTGGCTCTTCATTCGCTTTCCTCCACACGCTCACCTTCGCGTGGAATTTGTCGAGAGCCGGACCCCTGCAATGAGCGTCACCGCACCGACCAAAATCGCCCATGCCATCGAGCAGATCCAGCGTCCGCGAGCGACAGACATCGACTTCACACAGTACGTTCTGGAGGATGGAACGTCTATAAGCACGCAGGAGCGTGTTATCAAGGATGTGCGTTCCGTCTATCTTCTTTCCGGTCACTGTTTCCCTCTCGCACGGTGCAATGTCGCCAGCCCTATCTTCAGCAGAGTCAATATGGTCATACACCGTTCTTCGAGCGTAGAGTGGACACTCATAGTCTGCGCTAGCTAGCTGTTTCACACTAGTAATTGACAACGGTGCTTTTGCACGTGTGCGATCGCTCAACCCATGCCCGCCTACTCCCCGTATTCGCGTCCTAACTGATTCTGCAGGTCCAGGCACCCTCCCCTGGTGTGCCTACCGAAGCTCAGTTCTTCTCCTCAACCGATCCCACCAAACCCGACATCGCGTTCCTGAAAAACCACTTCTACCGGGAGGGCCGTCTGACGGAGGATCAGGCGCTGTACATTCTCGCCAAAGCGACGGAGATCCTGCGGCAAGAGCCCAACGTTCTGAACGTCGATGCACCGATAACAGGTGCGTTTGTCTTCCGGTGTGCCCATGAATTCTCTCGCTGATGTATGCCATGCAGTTTGCGGCGATATCCACGGACAATATGTCCGTCGCGCTCCACACATTTGACTTGGGTAACCGCTAACGCGTATCACAGTATGACTTGATGAAGCTCTTTGAAGTGGGAGGAAGTCCCGCGGATACTCGGTATCTATTCTTGGGCGATTACGTCGATCGGGGTTACTTCAGTATCGAGGTGCGGGATGCTCCTCAGTCTCTCATTTCTCGGACTTACACGTCTTCATAGTGTGTCCTGTACCTCTGGTCGCTGAAGATCTGGTACCCGGAAACTCTCTTCTTGCTGCGCGGTAACCACGAATGCCGGCACTTGACTGACTATTTCACATTCAAGCTGGAGTGTGCGTAATCGTTTCTAGCTGTCTTTCACATCTCAACGTGTTGCATAGGCAAACATAAGTATTCTGAGCGCATATACGATGCATGCATGGACTCTTTCTGTTGTTTGCCCCTGGCCGCTGTCATGAACAAACAGTTCTTGTGCATACACGGTGGTCTCTCCCCCGAACTAAACACCTTGGACGACATCCGCGCGGTATATCTATTTGTATCTCTCGCTCTATGTGTTTCTGATATACTGCTCAGATTGACCGTTTCCGGGAACCGCCGACGCAGGGCCTTATGTGTGATATCTTGTGGGCCGACCCCGTGGAGGATTTTGGGTCCGAGAAGACGACAGATAACTTTTTGCACAATCACGTACGGGGCTGCTCGTACTTCTTCACGTATGTGGAGGCACGCGACAGAGAGCATCGGATCTCTGACCGCTTTCTAGTTATCAGGCTGCGTGCCAGTTCCTCGAACGGAATAACCTGCTTTCGATCATTCGCGCTCATGAGGCTCAGGACGCAGGGTGTGTAGTCTGTTGTTGCACACTCGCCAAACACTTTGGTGCTGACATGAAACTGCTCAGTTATCGGATGTACCGCAAGACCAAGACGACAGGCTTCCCGTCGGTGATGACGATTTTCTCGGCGCCAAACTATCTGGATGTGTACAACAACAAAGCTGCGGTGCTCAAGTACGAAAGCAATGTGATGAACATCCGTCAATTCAATTGCACTCCTCATCCGTACTGGCTACCGAACTTTATGGACGTCTTCACATGGAGCCTTCCTTTCGTGGGAGAAAAGAGTGCGTTTCCTCCATCGGTTGTGTCTGCTTGTCAGACTGACAGGGCTCGATCAGTTACTGACATGCTGGTCGCGGTCCTGAACACCTGCACCAAGGAAGAACTGGAAGAGGAGGAGGAGGAGATGACGTTGGCTTCGCCGGCGTCGCCGACGTCTCCAGAGAGCCTTGAGCGACGCAAGGTGATCAAGAACAAGATCATGGCTGTGGGTCGCATGGCACGAGTCTTTGCCTTGCTGCGGTAGGTCTTAATGGCTCTGATCTCCATTCAGCATTCTGATGGACATTTTCAGTGAGGAGTCTGAAAAGGTCTCCGAGCTCAAGAGTGTTTCTGGATCGAACAAGCTGCCGTATGGCACGCTGGCGTCGGGTTCAGAGGGAATCAAGGAAGCAATCAGCAGCTTTGATGACGCGTGCGTTGATCGGGTGCTCACTGCATGATGTGATGTCCTCATCATTCCTACAGACGCAAATCCGACATTGAAAACGAGCGACTGCCCCCAGACCTATTCGATGCCTCATCAGACGAGGGCAAGGCCATACTGTCTGGTTCATCATCATCCTCTGTGCCATCCACTCCTCTGGACAGCGAGCCTATTGGCTCAGAAGCGATGAGCCCCGCCTCGCTGGAGGCTGCTCTTGAGCAGCAGCAGAAGCCACCCCTAGCACTCAACACATCCTCTCCTGTGTTGGGCACCGGTGCCAGCATCGGCTCGCCTGTGGCCAGCCCATCTTCGCAAGCGCCGCCGTCACCGACGATGGCTCAGCCGTTCCGCCGGGCCCATGGCCGACAGGCCAGCTTGGGTACGACAATGACCAGCCCGAGTACCCGTCGCCGCAGTCTGGAGAGCACGATGAGCCTGATTCAGGGAGTCTGGGACGGGCAGAGTCCCATCCCGGAGGAAACGCCTGCGGTTGCTGACGTCGATGGGCTTGCGGGTAAGCTTGCGGGCAGCACCGTAGATGCAGTTCAGAAGTGAAATAGTCAATTGTCGTTGGCGTGTACATACCTACTTATATAGCTCCGGATATTCTCACTTTCTCTTCTCCTGATGTCATACTCAATACTCATGTCACGATCAGGTGCTTCGTAGTGACGAGCGTATCTTTCCCCACAACCACTTTGTCCCGAGTTTTTTTTGCCTCTTGTGTAGCATGTTTTTGCACGCGATTGATTGAAGGCACCCTGACTGCATAGATGGAGACTTGAAAACTGACAACTATGGTGATCCTGATCATGATGGTAAATTCCGTCTTTCGTCTGTGCATCCCCAACCATGTTTCTCTTCACCGTCGCTCTCTCAATCCTTTCTATCTTTCTCAGTGGTGTCTCGGGGGCACTGAACGTCACGATCGACGACACCGATCAGTCTATCATATACACCGGCGCCGGCGAGCGTGCCAAGCCCTGTATCTTCAACGGAACTCAATTCGCGGGCGGCCAGCCGGGGTGCTTCCTCAATGGGCCCGAGCCGTGCTCGACTGGGGCGCGCCTTATTTCCTCCCAGTCGGGCTCGCTCTCGATGAAGTTCAATGGTGCGAGGATGCGAAGCGCTGACCGACCTACTGATCGACCGACTCACTCACTCACGCAGGCACCGCGATCTACCTGAACGCGCTCCTGAACGACATCAGCAACGTGTATACCGTCTCGCTCGACGGAAACTCCAAGGACGTTGACGGGGTGCGGCCCGGCGGCGCGCTGGGGTGCCACACACTGGCGTCGTTCGCGGGGCTCGATCCCAGTGCGGAGCACACCATCGGCCTCAGCATCAAGGGCCTGGCGGACGACCGGAACAGGACGCACGGGAACGCCAGCGAATTCTTCTTCTGGCTGGACAACTTCGTGTGAGTTGCATATATCCCAGTGTGTTGCATGGCGCTCTGTCCCCGGTTCTCATGATGCTGGTGCTAGGATCACGGTTCCCGATAACACGACCGCGACGGTTGTGTCGAGTTCTTCAGTGGTGGCATCATCTGCATCTGCGTCTACGGCAACTCCTAGTGCCACGAGCGCAGGGCTCAGCACCCACGCTCACACCCTTTGCATCATTGGAGTTGCAACTTTGGTCATTGGGCTTGTGGGTTTCTAGTTATTTACTGTTTATTGTCTCTCCTGTCTTTATCGCACCAAGTACTGGATATGATCTAGATTCATGCTGTATCATTCTTTCCATCAATGTCCACTTGTTCTTGTGAGGATGAAACCCAACGCCGTTGCCTTGCAAGACACGCCGATGTGGGGAGGAAAGCTAGGCAGAGTGACATTGCAGGACAGATTTCATGGTTATATGCGTATGCAAAAGGATGTCTACAAATACAGGAGTGTTGCTCAACGAAAAAAAAAGCAATCCAGATGCCCAGAGCTGTGCGCGAAAACGAGAACCAGATGTAAAAAGCAGGTAGAAACAGGACAGACTGTGCGCGATAGGATATGTGCAACATGCGATGGATGGACAGAAAAGCTTCAGAGAAGGAAAGCAGTCGTTAGATGGAGCCAGGGGGAGTCTTCAGACCCCAGGAACGGGTTTCTGGATCCAGATTCAAGCCGGCCAGGGTCCCATTCAGATCGTGCATCGAGTCGCGAGGGGGTTCCTCACTAGCCGTCGTCGGTCGAGATGACAAGCTGGCAGACCCATACCCATACGGGTCTCGAAGAGGGAACGCTGGACCCCCAACCTCATAAGGCGCTCGGGCCGGGTACCCGAATGCCAATCCAGCATCGTCTCGGCGGACCATCATGCTCCCGTCCGTGTGTGGCGGCGAAGCGCTCTGGCCGTATCCGAGTTTCTGGAGAAGCGCAAGGGCTTGCTCATGGGTCAAGTCATTCAGGTTCCCATTCGATGCGAGTGGCGCCGTGATGGATGGCGGACGAGCTTCGACCGGCGGAGCAGGACTTGGAACGGCGCTGGCCGCTTGCAGAGCAGCGGCTTGAGCAGCCTGCGCAGCTGCTTGGGCGGCTTTGTCTATCAAGGGAAATCACACTCAAGGCCAGTAGTCACAGACAAGATCAGATCGTACATTGGCTTCGCCCCCAACTGAGCCGGATGCGGCTTCCTCCAATGTGGAATCCTTGCATCTTTTCGATCGCCCGTTCTGCATCGGCTTTCCGAACAAACTGCACGAAGCCGCAATGTTTACCGACGGGAACCTTCACCTACACGCCTATTCAGCAACAAAATACCGCCAACGTAACCAGAGCATGCACATAATGAATGTCGCCAAACGGAGCAAAGAATGACTTGAGTGTGTCCTCCTGGATGAGTGGGCTCAAACCACCCACGAAGACGGTGGTGTTGTAGGGATCGGTGCTCGTGAGTTGCTCTCCGTTGGGCCCCATCATGTGGCCGAGAATCGCACGAGCTTGCGCATGGTGTTTCCACTCCTCTGAGATCTCGGCCGGATTTGGATGGGAAGGGAGACCAGCGGAGACACTGGCAATCGACGGAAGTTCGGCCGATGATCTGAATTTGGCAGTTGCAGGGGAAATGCGCACTATCACCAGTGAACACGGACACTTGACAATTAGGACAATCACTCACTTGGACGCGAAAGACAGTACAACCCATGCATTTCGACCAGCGCACGTTGCTGATCCATCTCGTCTGTAAATCTGAGTAGAGATTGGTCAGAATGTTTAGACGGCACTCCGGTTAGTTATTCAAAGCCACCTCACGAATCCATAACCTCGACTGACACCGGTGACAGGATCAAGCATGATTTTCGCGCTCTTGCAACTAGTGAAGGGTCGGATGATCTTAGGGACCCTATCATTGCGAAGCCCGAGAACCGGGTTGCGGAAGACCTGAGAAAACATGAGTTCACAAGGGCCTTTACTGAAGCTGGCCTCTCACAGCCACCAGGTCGCTATTGGATGTCTCGGGAGCGAGATCGCCAACGAAGATGCTGTACTCGTGCGCCGGTGGCTCCGGAATAGGTGCAGCGGGCGTCATCGCGTTATAAGTGAGTCCCACAGCGAGCGGTCGCGTGCTAAGCGGGATCGCTGGTGGAGCATCGGTGCTGCCACTCGCGGAATTGGACAGGACAGACGTGGTTGCGGGGGCGATGCCGGGCGGCGCCCAGTTCAGGACGAAAGGGCGGGAGGAGTTCGGCATCTTCATCACACCCGGGGACGTCGAGCTCGCCGTCGTAGTCGTTTGTGTCTGTAGTCAAGCGATTAGTACGCGGACCCGCTGTTCCGAAGAAGGATGCACACGCCTGAGTCAGAGCAGCACCCGCCGCCTCGCGTGAAGCAAATGTGAGAACACAGAATCCGGCGTTGAGTGGGGGGATGTCGCTCGGAGGTGGGCTGGTATTCAGGCGGACGCCAGCCAGCGCGAGCTCGTTCGATCCCGCGGGTGGAACGCGAGCGGCGACATCCCACCGCAGGAGAGTGCACACCTGGCGCACGTATTCAGCATCCATCCATATCTCCAGGTCGGTCCATAACAACGTCGCTGGGTGTGCGGCGATTGAGGTTAGTTGAGCGGCCCCGGAAGGCGGCACCGAGTGCGCGAGGGGGTTCGTAGTGATGGCCGCGCCGGGCGATAATGCATATCGTTGCTGATGAGCAGGTGAGGAAAACGCGGTCTCCCATGTAGTCGCTGCCGGGTTGGGGATGCGAGGGAGATGATGTTGGTTCTGAGGGACGAGGTTCTGGAACGCGTACGAATAGTCGGACATTGCACGTGTGCGGGATCGTCGCGTGAGTCAACCAATAAGGTCTTAGAGATGGACGAAGCAAGGGAAGTGCCGCAAGAAATGGAAGAGGGGTTTGTTTGTCTGACTGCCTGGAAAGAGACCAAGTCGCAGAATGACTAATCGGATGGCTGCACGGCCATCACCGATCAAATCTTAGGAGCAACTTCGAGACAAAGGACCAAGGTATGTACTCAGCATTCAACGCTCCAAGCTTGAAGTCGGAGAAAAGAGCAAATTTTCTATGCAAGTTTCAATAATCGATAAAAAGGAGACCAAAGCCTGATATATACATTTGCCTGGTGAGAACTGTCCGAGCCCAGGGAAAATCCGTTTCAATAAGTGCTTTGCGCACAAGCTACTCGTGAAATATTCTCTACAGAGTCGAGGTCTGATGTGAGTTTAAGAAAATTTCAACTCTAATGTGATGCATCACAGGGCAGTGAGAGAACCTTATTGTCCATATCTGAGTCGCGTCCCTCGGCGTCAGCTGTACCTGTTTGGCTAGCACGTGACCACGTGTCTTGCATGTTTCGACGCGCTCCCTGCCCAAGTCCGCCATGATCCAAACGGGTATAATACCTAGCGCGCACTCCGACCTCGTTACGGACGCTTCCTATGACTTCTACGGTCTCCGACTCGCCACGTGCAGTCTCGATCAACGGTTCGTCTCATTTTCCTCTCATCGCACGCTTCGGATTTCAATTCTCGTGTAGCATCAAAATCTGGCAACTCAACGAATCAAATGGGAGCTGGAGTCTCGAGGACGACTGGAAGGTTTGTTGCATTCTTTGTTTCCTTAGAAACAAAAGCCAATTGATTGTGCGCAGGCGCACGACGCTGCGGTCTCCAAAATCAGCTGGGCCCATCCCGAATTCGGCACTATCATCGCGTCCGCGTCGTTCGATCGCACTGTAAAAGTCTGGGAACAAGCTTCTGGTTTTGCCGCACCCGAAGTGGCTGTCAACGGGTCAGGCGGCTTCGGCTACGCGTCGTCGTCGTCATCGTCGCTGGCGCAGACGCCGGGCCCGTCGACGTCGCGCTGGGTCGAACGCGCTGTCCTATCAGAGGCACGGGGGACAGTTCGAGCCGTGGAGTTTTCCCCCCATCACTTCGGACTGAAGCTGGTACGTGGTCATCTTTGTCGTGTGCGTCTCTCGAAGTTCTCGTCCAGGCAACGATCTCGACCGACAACCAGCTGCGCATCTACGAATGCCTCGAGCAGCACTCTCTAGCCAACTGGCCAGTCGCTGAAGAAGTCGATGTCGCTGGCCTTCCAACCAGCCCGGCGATCACACCGTACGCGCGCACGGGTGCACCGGGGACGCCTACGCAGACGGCTGCTGCGGTCGATCCAACTCCTCCGCTCCTCGCACAAGCCCTGCAGCAAAGTGCCGCGGCATCGTCGACGAGTGGAATATCGCAACCTGCACGCCCCGGGATCGGCAACCGCGAGGCGGATGGCGGGTGGTGCTTGTCATGGTGCAAGGACCGCTATTGGGGGGAGGTTATCGCTGCGGGGGCTGGAACTTCGGGGACAATCAAGGTGGGCGTCGACTGTCTTTATTCCTCCGCACTACTAAACGACATATCATAGGTCATCCAGCTGCACCCCGCGCACCGCCCGACGACTCTGCTGACCCTCGATCCGGCTCCGAAAGCGCCGTCCTCTGCCATACAATATACATTCCCGCCCACTTCTGCGACGGACATATCTGACTCAAGTCCGTCCAACGATGATGCCGCGGTCACGTCCGTCTCATGGGCACCGTCCTGCGGCCGGTCGTACCATCTGATCGCCACGGGCAGCCGGGACGGGCACGTGCGCATATGGAAAGTCACTCCCGGGGACGAAGAAGACGACGCCGCCGAGGACAACACGGGCCTGGCACTCGCCCGGGTGGACAACGACGACGAGGATAAAGAGAAGAAGTGGGCCGCGCAGATGGTGGCGGACTTTGACCAGCACCGGTCGGCTGTCGGCCGAGTGGAGTGGAATCTCACCGGGTACGTGCACCACTCTCGCAGTCGGTAGATGGGCCGGGTCTCACTCGATTCGTCCTCCCCAGCACGGTTCTTTCGTCGACTGGAAATGACGGCCGTGTGCGGCTATGGAAAGCAACACCTGGGAGCGTCTGGCGTCCGGCAGGAAGTGTCGGCGTCGAGCAGTCCGAGGAGCATGAGAATGAGAACGGTGGGTCCGAACGACGCGACACGGATATGGAATCGTAGGGGTCATTCACAGTGGTTGTTGAGGCCGCGAGCGTCGAGTGACATTACACACATTTTACGAATGACTGGCAGATGGTCCTCAATAGCATTGTGTGAAGCATCTTTGTCGCGCACGACAAAAAATATCCACAGAGACACGACAGTAGGCTCTCTAAAGTTGTCGTCCTTGCACCTTCTGGTTTAGAAAGACCCGTTTCACTCACCTATTGGCACGAGAAAACTTGATCAACAGTTTGAACTTCAAAGTACTTTGGAAGCACGAGAGCACCGAAAGTTTCGTCTCCCACTCTGGAGATTGGCTCAAGATTCTTTCAGTTCACTGGAAGGGATGGAATTGCTTCACATTATAACGTCTGGTCAGGTTCTAGATTCATACGAATTAGGGGCTTGTGTGGGTATTGCCTTGAGGATTGCGTCCAAAAACGACCTGTCCCTTAGCGATGGCAACCTTGTTAATCAATCGGAGCTCCCTGGGATGGCCATGTACTGGAGCACTTTCACCAAAAAGAAAGATCAGTCTCAGCAGCACCATGTGATATGTCGCGCTTTGTCCGACAGGGCCCAAGTTCGACCAGTACCAGCGCTTTTCGTGCAACAATGAAGCTGCGTCCAAGCGCAAGGTCCTGCTCTGGGACCATCTCCACAATGGCCCGCGCTTTGTGTCCTCTACCCAGCCTTAAATAACGCCCGCCCAAAGGCGGCCATGCTCACCTCCGCCCTGAACATGTCCATGTCGAAGCCAATCCCACGCCCGTCCAACGCCTTCATGCTCTTCCGCTCCCACTTCAGCAAACACTGCGCGCCCCCCAGCGCAGGCCAGCCCCAAATCAGCGCGCTCGCCGGCCAGGCGTGGCGCAATCTGGACGCGGCGGACAAGGCCGTGTGGCACGCGCGTGCGGCGGAGACGAAGGCTAAGCACGCGGAGACGTACCCGGGATACCGCTACGACCCGAGACGACGGAGGTCATCGAAGGCCAAGATCTCTCCCCTGAACGGTCCTAGCATGAGTGCCCCTGTCTCTGCGCCTGCCCAGGATTCGGTGAGTGGCCTTGTGTGTCGAGCGGTTTCCTGTGCTTATTTTGAATTGCAGGTGACCGAGGACAAAGAATGGGAGGTCTTCTGGGATGACATGAATGCCGCGTTTGATGATATGTTGGAAACCGCTCGAGGTGGCTCATCTCAGTGTGCCAGGCCCGGTCCTGAGGGTACAGATCGCGCCCATTCTGGTCACTATCCATCACGTCTGCCTACTGAGAGGCATCGTCATGCTCCATATTGAAATAAACGATAATCCCAGTGTCATCACTTCACATCCCTGATTCACGGACTTCCCCTGTCAATAATGGAAACCTTTGCAAACAATTGACATGGTGCAAAGTTGCAAACAAGTGTAGATGGTATCATGAGAGTTGTTGTCCCTAGTTCTATCGATACATCGTTCTTCGGTGACCCGATCGCTGGGGTGACCCGCGCACAGCCACCAGGTCACCTCGCTTTCGATCTCCGCCCTTGTTTGTCCCCCGCCAAATCGCCCTCCGCCGCCTCGGCACCTCTCCCCGTCACGTTCTGGGTCACCGACTCCTTGGCTCGCTGGGTCACTGGCAACTGCCTTTCGTGGCTGTCCTCTCTCGGTTGGATGTAATCCCCGAGCTTTGTCATACACATTTGTCATGGCGGCCACAGGCTTCTGTTCCTCATATGACGCCGAAGCTAGCTTGAAGAGCAATGCGAGAAGCTAGGGAGCAACACGCCGTGAGCCGTGGTGAGCAAGGACCCGAAGATAGCAGGAGCAGGCAGGAGATCCACGGACCTGCTGGTACGAGAAAGCGTCCTTGCAAAACGTCGCAGACTACGCTGAGCTGCATTCCCGGAACGCGACCACTCGTCGGATGCTACCAGCTTGCCATCACCATTGGCGTGCTCCTCGCCGCTATTGTCCTCAACTCGACCAAGAACCACGCGGACCACTCCGCATGGCGCACGCCCATCGCTGTCCAATTCGCCTGGGACTTCATCCTTGGCGGCGGCATGGCTCAGCTCCCCGAGTCCCCTCGTTACCTCGTCCACAAGGTCCGCATCACCGCCGCCCGCGCTGCGCTAGCCCGCCTCACGAACACCTCCCCGGACTCCCGATGCTGAGCTGGCAGAGATCAGCGCGGCGCTCCAGGAGGAGCGCTCCCGCAGCAGCGGCTCGTACATGGACTGCTTTTGCAACAACGAGATGAAGAACGGTCTCCGTACCTGGACTGGTATCATGCTCCAGGGATGGCAGCAGCTGACCGGTATCAACTTCAACTTCTACTACGGCACGACGTTCTTCCAGAGCGCGGGCATTGGCAACCCCTTCATCATCGCGATCATCACCGACGTCGTCAACACCGTCATGACCATCATTGGCATCCAGCTCATCGATCGTGTCGGCCGTCGCCGCCTGCTGCTGATTGGTGCCGCGGGTATGATGTTCTGCGAGTACATCATCGTGATTTTCGGTGTCACTGTCAGCCAGACCAACTCGACCAGCGTGGTCAACGTCACGGCGCAGCGTGTGCTGATCGCGTTCGTGTGCTTCTACATCGCGTTCTTCGCCACCTCCTGGGGCCCCGTCGCGTGGGTCATCACCGGCGAGATCTTCCCGCTCAACATCCGTGCGAAGGGCGTGTCGCTGTCCGACGCGTCGAACTGGCTCTGGAACTTCGCGATCAGATACGCCACGCCCTACCTCGTCGACACGTCCACTGTTTTACTTAGATACATTGTATTGCATGCGAATCGGTATCATATATTAGACATCCTTCTATATACGCGGTGAATATACAACTTTAGCCTTCTTTGCCGGGCGAGTGCGAGCTCCGATAGCTGGTGCACGGCGTTTAGCAGTGGTCTGGACTACCAAGTCGATGGGGGGATCAAGCAATGACGATGTTGAAGGCAGTGGCACCAGCAACGGAGAGGACGCTGTCTCTAGCTCAGATGGAGGAGTTGTGAAAGACGGAAAAGACTACAAGGCAAGGCTTGATCAGGCACAGAAAGAAAAGGTCACAAAAAGATACTCACCTTCAAGCCATCCAGGCGCATACTCTTGACTCGTTTTGATAGCTGGTTCAATCCCATCTTTGTCTCCGTGATCCCGTCCCTGAGAGTAAAACTACGAAGTGCCTCGAGTTCATCAATGACTGTTGATGGGGATATGGAACGGCGCTTGGCCTGACTATCAATCCATTCGGGTATCTCACGGAATCGTTCCCAGGACTTGCGTGCAGCCGCTTTTGTCTGATGAATAGGTGTCAATGACAATGTGCAGATACAGCACACACATACCTTCTTGTCACCAGGGAGATCTGGACCGGATCTCCAACGCTCCCCAAACTCCTGTTCTACTAACTGCAGTGGCGGTTTCATCCCCGTCTGCTTTCCGTCTGCATCCATCTTTGGCTCGCCTGCAACATACACGTCCCAAATGTTGGCCACAGTGCTGTACTTGTCGACAGTTCGTTCTGGTGCCCAATAGGGCCAGCAGAGAGCTGGACGCTTGATCTGTCGCAGAATTAACGGCCATGTGATGTTCTTCTGACCAAAGGCTGCGGGAGGCAGGCCCACTTTTTGATCTAACACAATGTGAGATAATCCACGTGTCAGGGAGAGCAACACACATTGTTCATAGAATGCCGCAAGCGGTGATAGGCTGGCTACCAGACGCGCTCTGCACCAGCTCTGTAAGGGCGTATTTTTGCGCTTTTTACAGAGTTTACTCTTGAACCATTCGGTGTATCGTGTCGCGGTTGACAGTGTTGCGCTCAGTAGGACTTAAGGGTCTACTGCCCAGTCGACGACTGTGGATAGTGTCGACGATAGCAAGGCAGTCAGACCACTACTGTGGAACTGGTCTTATGGGTCTACACCAGGCTCAGGGCCATTAGTGACGAACGCTTGGACCGCGACCATTCCCCAAAAAGGGATCTGTCGTTGCGTCGACTTCTCGAAAAAGGGTCATTCTCTGCAGATGGGAACTTGGGCTGAAGGGCTGAGCAATGCGCGACGTTCTCAATAATAGAACTATTACTGGACAGGACTTGGCGTTACGAGACTTAAACCATCTTGTCGCGGCAACTCCCGGTTTTGAGTTGGACGTTTCCTCAGATCATGCCACGACGACGACTTGTCACATGTCAGGATCCATTCGATCACGGGACATTGTGGACGCGTCGCGGTGACACTTCCAAGTGTCACGGCGAGTCGCGTCCATACCCAAACACACTAGAAACCGACACGGCTAGATCCGTGAACCGAACCATGTGGGGGACGACTGGTGTGCCTAGGGCCATACGGCTTCTTGGGGCGCCCACGTTGGTCTCACTTGCCAAGACATACCCGTTGGCCAATCCAACACGTCGTATTCCAAGAGTATGACGCGGTGGGTTGACCCACATCAAAAGTATCATATGGACAATGGGGCGGGGTCCTGATCACTCAGGACCTGTCCGATCGTTCAACTTTTCAATTACCCTAAAAGGCAACCGATCTTAGATAGCGTAGCTACTATGCAGTTGTACAGGACTTTACTAAGCAGCGTCGTAGACAGTATAAGTAGCACGTCGTTTCTTTGTATTGGGGAGCTTTCCCCCGGACTGTGAATCACTCTCATTTCAGATTGTTTTGTACAATTTGCGTGCCGCGTGATTCCACCCTAAGAAGTTCTGCTACCCCTGCCCGGTCGCGACGAGTTGCTCCCTGAGCACTTGTAGCTACTGTGATTTGAGTTTGAGTTGAGACATCAGAAAGTCGGATTCGCCGCATCTGGTTTAGTCGCGGCATTTAGTGTCGTCGCCTTCGGGCTTTGTTGAGATCGTTCCACACCTCTAGCTTGGCAGTGCGTCGACTAGTTGTGCTCGGGTTGTTTTGGTCAGTTGGCAGTGCGTCGACTTGAGAACTTTGGTTCCACACTTCTTGCTTGGCAGTGCGTCGACAAGTTGTGCTCGGGTTTTGGACATTGGATATTGGCTGTTAGTTGGCAGTGCGTCGACGCGGCATTTTGGTTTACTAGTTGGCAGTGCGTCGACTCAGTACTTTTGGTTTTGTCAGTTGGCAGTGCGTCGACTTGACATTTTGGTTTACTAGTTGGCAGTGCGTCGACTCAGTACTTTTGGTTTTGTCAGTTGGCAGTGCGTCGACTTGACATTTTGGTTTACTAGTTGGCAGTGCGTCGACTCAGTATATTGGTTGTATCGGTTGGCAGTGCGTCGACTTGATATTTGAGCTTCGCGTCGCCATCTGGACGTTGTCGCTACAAGGGATCTTAATACTTCGTATTAAGCTCTGACTTGTTATATTGTTGTTTGTGGATTGGATTAGTGTTGGTTGTGCTCGTATAGAAGATATTGGTTGAGACACCATTGTTTGCTATATATAAATTCTTGTCGTCGACTTCGTCTCCGCGACTATTGGATCTGCGTCTATTGAGAGTTGTGATACTGGTGCTCTGTCCACCCCGAAGCCCTCGCATCTTTCACACACTGAGAAGCTGATTACGAGGAGTGTGAACGTGTTTTATATTTGGGTTTACTTTCATAGTAGATTCACTTGTGAGCACGCCCTCAGCATTTCAGCGGAGGTAGTACAAAGTCGACAGGGCATGGGTATCGCTCTACTCCTCCAGCGACCTTCGGGCTAGCAAACGCACGGACACCATGATCATCTGGAAGTTCATAAGTCCCAAGGTCCTCATCAGCCGAATCACGGTGCAGGATGATCGGTGTGGCTGGAATCCGATGCATTGGTTCTTGACAGTGCCTCGGTGGAGATTCATGGATATGACTCCACGTTGAAGCTACAATGATTGAAATAATGCATAACCTTTTGTAACGGTGAAGGAACATACTTTGGCCATATTGTGAAAGTGAAAACCCTTTAGAAGGTGAGAACAGTGCTGTGCGACGATCAACTGTACTCTTGAGATCTTGCAGTTCAGCTCGGAGAGCACTGTTTACCGTGTACATCTGCGCCAGTGACTCACGAAGAGCTTGATTCTGGACACGCTCAAGAGCCACAGGTTGTTCCGCTTTTGCCGCAAGTTCAAGGGCCAGACGGGGATAGGTGGACTTCATCCAATTCTGGACTGCAGGATCGGCAAGCGCCGGAAGTTTGAAGATTGGTGAGTCCGAACAGACTTGAAATAGAGCCCCTGCACATTGGAAGAGATATGGACGCAACTCTATAATCATTCTCCAGTGGTTTGTTGCACCGTGAAGGTTAGTCTTTCCTGTGAAGCAATAAGTAAATGTCTATAAGAGATAAATGCCACAAAACCTTGGATAGAATCACGAATCTCCTCTGCCATTGGGCAGACGTGTTCGAGGAACTCCTCCGGAACTGGAATGTTCACGTGAAGGGGATTGTAGGGCTCATCTCGCTTATATGCAGCTTGAGCGAGGATACCCTGGAGGATAATAACAGTCAGCGTCTGAATGTTCCTCTACACAGACACGACTTACATCAATAGGGAATGAGGATGCATAAGTTTCCTGGTACGTGCTATTTCCTCTCTTCCAGCCGAGTTTCTGTGTTTCGCTAGCGGCCACACTGGGTGCAAGCTGGTCAGTACAACATCATATCAATGAAGACGACATCTGACTTCATCTTAGCTTGATCATACCCAAGCATATGCCGCGGAAGGTGCTGTTTGAGCCTCGACTCAAAACCAACACGAGCAAATGACTTCTTGTACAGATTGTACATGCTTTGATCATTGAACGGGACGTCAGGAGCCTTGGGCCCATGAAGGAGGTATATCTGATGAGTGTCAAATTGAAACCCTCACGCCGACAAGATGTACGTGCCTTCCTCCAACTCTTGTTGGACTCCCAATTGATCTGCACACGATCCAGGAGCTTGTATTCATCATGGAGATAATGAAAGTAGATTGCAAACGCCCCAAGTGGGCATTTGGTAGCGTCGCGATGTGCAACAAAGACTGAATACGAAGGATTGATAGTCTGGATGACAGGAGTCAGTCGTATCCAAAACAACACTCATTGAGCTCACCGTCTTCATCCCACGACTTCCTGCTTTCTCAGCACTCTGGAGAGCAACTACCAAGAAGATCTGGAGAGCAGCTTGACCAGGATGTGGTATACGATACGGCTGAAGCTCCGAAAGGCGTATCGCCCGGATGTCATCTCCACGGTTCCCCGTCGCATTCTGGCCTGTCCATGCAAGATGTCCAAAGACGGCAAGACGCACTGCGGGAGAGTAAGGAGAATGTAACGAGCTTCAGATAACAGTACAGACAATACCGGTGTTCGAGAAAAGAGATCCCCACTTTGCTCCGTTGCTCATCGTTGATGTCCATAAGCATTGTGTTTGCAGTCATGTCTGTAGCGTCTTCCGCTTCGTTATCACCACTATCAAGATGTGTTAGTAGTCGTTATTTGAGATGATTCAGGCACTTACTTGTATGCTCTGTGCAAGGCTTGACTCATGCGCGTTTTCAGGGCGTCCCAGATCAGTTGAGTTCGAACCGGTCTTTTGCGTTCCAGATGAGGATCAGCAGCTTCCTGTTCTTTTCTTATCCGCATCGCGCCAAAGAAGAGTGTCTTGATGAGCGACTGAAAAGAGAGCATCAAATGGGAACGCTGTCAGCAGTTCGGGCCTTGACTTACTGCACCAATGCGTGTGCCAGGTATTGGGACACCACGGGTTGTCCGCTTCTCTCTCGTGCAGACGTATTCGAGAAAGCAGAGCATCCAATGCTCATCGATGGTAGAATCCAGGATCTTGCCCTGCGCAAGAGCAAGGATTGTGAAAGCCTAGAGATAAATGAGTCCGAGACTTAGGGAATAATGATCCACACACCTTGACCTCCTTCACGCAACGTGCTTGTGCTCGCTTCCCGCCTGCACGTCGATTCCCTTCAAACGCAGCAACTGCATTCAGGCGCATAGACGACTGGAATTCCTCATGCTCATCAGCCGCGTCGCCCTTGTCTTCCTCATCTTCCTCATCCTCATCATCCTCGTCATCCTCCTGACCCAGTACCTCTGCTGTGATACCCGTGTCTGCACCAAAGTGTTGCAACAGTGCTCGATCCGAATTGACATCGGCCATTGCTCGAAAGACCAAAGGAACATTGTCGTCGTCATCTTCAGTGGGTGCCACGTTTGAAGGAGCAGGCAGGATGAGGCTTGGTGGATAGCTACTTAGCGGTCAGAATGAGGTAAAAAGTCGTGCAAAAAGACACAAAACGTACAAATGCGTTGTAAGCCGTTCTGCAAGCTTTGCGATGCTCGCGTTTTTGGATGCCGCAAGCTTGAGCTCTGCACAGAGGTCCTGCAGATGTTGTTTCCTCTTCAAAGATCCACTATGATGGAGGCACGTTGCGTCAGCTGATTCCCAGCAATAGATGTGAAGTGCGCACAGTCTAGTCCTATATGCAGCTTCATCCTCCGCCAATAGCCCATCTTCGCTTTGTAATGGTCGTAAAGATGCTGAAGTACTTGGTGACGTAGCGTGTGGTGGAGCTTGAGCGGCGCGAGAGGGCAATTCAGCCGCAACACTGAGGGTGTCGAGCAAGTCTCGGGCACGAGAGGGCGATTCGGCCGCAACACCGAGGGTGTCGAGCAAGTCTCGGGCACGAGAGGGCGATTCGGCAGCATGTGTTGGAGCTCGAGCGGCGCGAGAGGGCGATTTGGCCGCAACGTCGAGGGTGTCGAGCAAGTCTCGAGCACGAGAGGGCGATTCACTGAGGGTGTCAAGCAAGTACGCGGGTGCAACGCGCGTAGGTAACAAAGAAGTACTCGGTGATGCAGCGTGTGTTGGAGCTCGAGCGTGAGAGGGTGATTCGGCCGCAACGCTGAGGGTGTCAAGCAAGTCTCGAGCACGAGAGGGCAATTCGGCCGCAACGCTGAGGGTGTCGAGCAAGTGCGTGTGTGCAGCGTGCGTAGGTGGTAACAAAGAGGCTGGTAACGAAGGAGCATGGTGTGTGGGAATGGTGGACACGAGGCTTTCCCCATTCGTTTGCCGGGATGTGATTCGTGATTCCCCGGGGATGCCGGACTCGCTGAGAAGCAAAGGATCGATCAGATAGTCAGGCGTCATAATGCTTCGAGAAAGGATCAAGTGTGCGCGCAAGGATACAAGGTGTAGCTATACGCAAGAGTACATAGGAGAACCTGGACTTCAGCGAGGTCACCCAATTCAGTGACCCCGTGTTTTGTGATGGCCTGGGTCACCGAAATTTCGGTGACCTGGGCTTAGGTTCGGATCAAGCCTGACCATCATTATTTGTACTGATCATCGTGATGATGATCATGTTGGGGCCACAACAATTGGACAGGCTTGAGCCAAACTGTCGAAAAACAGGGACCTGGATAATCGACCTAGCGGACACAAACACGCTCCGATTGCCCAACACATCAGACCGAAGTCAAAGTATTTAAGTACCTGCACCACCCTGTACACTCTGGTCTGCTCTAAATCTTTTCAAGTGTCAATAAATGAGCAGTAAGTTGTGCTTTGTACCTTAGGAAGGAAGTTCCTGAACGGGGTCATTTCTTGACCAAAACTGGTGATGTTGGGTTCTAGAAGCAAGGGAACATGTCTGGGACTCCATCTGCCAACTCCACACTTCATCTGGAATGCGAACACAGGGAATGTAACCGTCTTATTGATCACTAACGCGTCTGGTCACACATGTGACATTGGTGACCGTCAGTGAGTGTTGTATTTCTGCATGTGAATCCCGCTCCTTACCCAATTTAACTGCATGAATTTCCTTCAATGTGCATTTGTAAGGGATCGAGTCTCTAAAAACACAGATTAATGGTTTTCCGATGAGAAATTGTGGGACCAACAACTTAGCCAAGGCTGCAATCAAGCACAATTCCAGCGAGCATCCAGCATCTTATGCTCATTTCTGACCTGACAAAATGATGGCCGAACATCCTCCTAAGACACATATTTGAAAAATTACTGAGGTAACAGAGTTGAATGAAGAGCAAATGCAAGTTTCATGGGTCCTCTTATTTTGACAGTCTGTCCCAAGCCTGTCTCCGACAAGGCCGGCTCGCCGGCCCGGAGCAGGCTTGCTCCGAACCTAACCTGGGCTACATTTTTCCATTGATGTCTCCCTGTTTCATAAACAAGCCATGTTGATCTAGATCTTGCGCGCATTCCTGTAGATTCCTGTCCACATAGCCCAATTACTCTGCATCCCAGCGGACGGCAGACTCCGACGTTCCGAATCCATCCAAATCAAAATCTTCGTCAGTCTTGCTAACGATCATCGTCTCCAGCCTCGCGATGAGCTGCGCGGTCTCCGTTTCTGCCGCCCGTCTGCGCCGATCCACGTCGACCTCCGTCGGCATCGCCTTCCCCCTCCAACCGCCTCCATCACGCACGTATCCGAGAAATCCGCGCCAGAGCGGGTCGAGCGACAGCACATCCGGGTTGCCCACAACGACGAGCAGCGCCTGCGCGCGAGTCACCGCGACGTTGAAGCGCTGCGGGCTGGCAACGAAGCCCAGCGCGCGGCGGATGTCCGATTCGAGGTATCCCGTGCTGCTGCGGACGGTCGAGATGATGATGACGCGGCGCTCCTGGCCCTGGAACTCCTCGACGCTGGCGACGGTGACCCCGGCCATCTTTGGGTCCTTGCGCAGTAGCTCTCTGATCTTGCACCGCTGGGCGTGGTACGGTGTGATCAAGCCGATTTCCTCTGCTCGCACGCGGTTGTCGCGGCTGATGAGCGCGCCGACGTACTTCTTGATGACCGTCGCTTCGCTGATGTTGAAGTACGACGGGGACGCGCCCTCGCGATCGTCCTTGCCCGCGACCCCATGGAACACAATCGGGAACTTCTTTCTGGGCAGCTCGGACGAGTTCTCCAGACTACGGATCAGAGCCGCGTCGCCACAAGCTTGGAGCTCGCCCCCGTAGAACTCATGGTTCGGGTACTCGAGGATGGCGGGGTGCGACCGGAAGTTGCGCAGCAGTTTGACGATCGTCACTCCGCGTCCTACTCCGGATCCCGGTGCGGCGGGTGTTTCCCCGTCCAGACTGTAGATCTCTCGGTCCATCATCCGCGCCAGATAGCTCACTTTCAGCCCAAACGAGCTGGCGATGGGACTCTGCACGATCGGGCCCAGCTGCTTGTTGTCGCCCGCCAAGATCACATTCGTCCGCCCATCGGCGCTGCTCTTGATGGGCAGCATGACCTCGGGCTCCGTCGCCTGCCCCGCTTCGTCGACGATGATGTATCCAAAGTGGCCCTTCTCAACGCCCAAGCTCGCGGGTACCCCGCCCGAAAGACACGTAGCGACGACGACGCGGTAGCCCTCGAGCCGTTCCTTCGTAGGCAGCACAAACGTGCGCTTGTCGTTGATGGCCGAGAACGGCTGGAGCGGCTTAGGCAAGTCCTCGTATCGGCGGGACAGCGCGTTCAGCCGGAACAGATCAGTCGTACCGAGACCCACGAGATTCATCGCGAGGAGATCCGCGGCGGAATTGCTCGGCGCGCAGGCCAGGATCCGGATCGATGGGTCGCGGGAAAGTAGCTGACGGATAGCCTCGACGACAGTCACAGTCTTGCCCGTTCCCGGACTGTAACATCGCATTAGCTCCGGGTGAATGGCCGCTGACAAACGAGCTACTCACGGTCCAAACACAAGGAACGGCGCGCTCCCTCTCGGTTGGTTCACAATCGTCACCACCGTTTCCCATTGCTCGGGATCTGCTGCGACCAAGCGATTCACAGGCGCTAGCTCGCTTTTCTCCCTCTCCGTGACGCGCGTCTTGCGCAGCACGTGTTCCGCACGCGGAAACAGGATCCTCGCATCGCGGAACCGGTTGCGCACCGCTTGGTGCATTCTGCGGACCGGGAGCCGGTTGAGCACGAATCGCACGTCGAACTTCGTGCCCTTGTACGTGTTGAAGGCGTCACCGAAATGAAGACTGACGCGCGATTGCTGGATTTTGTGCACGCGGCCTTCGTGCCACGGACCCGAATCTTGGCCACTTTGCCTTTGTGAGGTTAGATAACAGGGCAGCAGAAAGAACGGACTAGGAGACACACCGGACGCGGATGAAATCTCCCACAATCACACTAGGGCGTCCATCCTCGAGGCCCTTAACTTCCAGACTAAGACCAACAGTCTGCAACTCCACTTCCAGAACAAGAAAGCCACGCACTCATATCTCGGATAGTTCGGCACGATCTCCGCCCCACTCAAAGCATACATCTCCAGCTCCAGTCTCTTGTGCTCGTCCTCGATGAACAGCATCACCTGGAAATGATCGGCGTACGTCTTGACCGAGAAAGTGTCGGGGAGGAATCGGCGCACGGCCTGCAGCACCTCCCGGGAGTTGGATCCAGGATCCGGACCCCCGAACGCAGCCTCGACCAAGGCCGGCGGGGGTTTGTATTCAGGCAGATACCCCACCCAGACATTCGGGGTGTCCCAATTCGGGGGCCGGGGAACCCGGATGACGCGTTGGTCGGCGCCTGGGGCCGCGGGCGGCAGCATCCCTCGGCGCCGCCGGGTGAATGGCGCTTTGGGCTTGAGTTGCTCGTGGTCCTCGCGGGAGCCGACGACAGCCTGCAGCGTGCGGACGATTAGAAACCGGGCGTTCGCGACTAGATCGTGGAACACGAGCTCGAGGACGTCCGCGTAGGCACCGTCCGGCAACGCCGCCGATGGGGAGGTGTCCCCGGGGCGGAATTGCACAGAGAGCGTCCGGGCTTCTGAAGCGGTCACCCAGCGGGACTTGCCGGAGAGGGTCGCAGTGAAGCTGGGGGTGCGTTCAGACACGAAACCGAGGTGCAGATCAGCGGAAAACTGACCGTGCAGCTCGCACCGTGATCGACTCGAGCGAGATCCGCGCGTGTCCACTCGCTTTCGTCCTCATGATCGTAACGTCAATGTAAACCCGTTCATCCTCGCCGACGACGCCAAAGTCGAGCCCGTCCCGGTGCGACACCGTGATGCCCTGTTTGTCGTCCTGCGCGGAGGCCTCGAGCGCGTGGGCCGTGGACAGCAGCTTCCGCAGATGCTGGGGTGCGCCGTTCGTACTACTGACCTGACGGCGTTCGGGCAGCACCGTTGGCGGGGTCTATGTACACACACGTAACAACTTAGCGGCCGAAGACGCGGAAGAAGCAGAGGCACTTGCCTGGGCCTGGTTCTTCTGTGCCTCGGATAGCATGAGCGCGCGATGCCGCTTGCCCTGCTTGTGCGCGTGCACCGCGCTCTTGACGAGTATGACCCCGCATGTGCAGCGGACGATGTCGTGCCGCAGGTGACACGAGTTCCCGCGCGTGCAGCCCGCCGGCAGCAGGGCCGCGGGACAGTATTGGGGGTTGAGCACGTTCGGCTGGACCGTTGCGCGCGTCATGTCTCTCGGGACTCGCGATACAACAGAAAGGGAGGGATGCGGGACGAGAATATTGCGCGCGAGGATCCACGCAAGCGTGGGTGAGAGAATGGAGGAGAGGGGAGGTTTCCGTGCGCAGAAGGAAGCACAGGATGAGGGCACGCGTTCTTCGGATCGGATGACATCGATGCCATTTCAAAGCGCACTACATATAAGCTTTACGTGAAGGCCCAGATCTTTTCAAACGTCCAATACGCATCCAATATCATACGAAAGCGCACTCACCAGAAGGGATACAAAAACAAGGCAAGACTCAACAAAGCGGATTCTCATTTGCATCACGTTTGACCCGTCATGCTAGTCAACAGTGAATTCGTTCTCGTTACTATTCTCATGGTTTCTTCTTGGTAGAGCGTTTCGGCGTCGCAGTCGGGAACAAGAGAAAAGGGTGATCAGATCGTTTCAACGATCTCTCCACGTGGTGTCCCAAAGTACTGCGCTTAGATAAGGAGCATTCGGCGTTGAGCTTTGGTGCTTAGATCACATCCACGGTTATATCCTCCATACGTGAGTGCCTCGATCCGAAGTGGACTGTGCCGATTGAGCGAACAGACGCGTCATCTGAACAGCTTACAGCAAACAACTCATGCACCCCCCAGTCTCTTATCGAGCGAGCTAGGGGGATCGGGTAATGTTGTTAGCAGCTATAAATGCTCACTGGATGGCACTCACAAGGGCCGCTACGACTCAAGCAGACTGTGCAGTCAATTTAACCTGTAATACAGGAAGCATTCGGCGTTCAATCATCTCTCAACCTCACTACTGTCACACACCGTGACGTGATCCTGCGTATATTTTTGACCGTGAAGTAGGGGGTCTGGAGGAGCCGCGGGTCGCTCGCTGTCACTCTGGGTTCTGCGAAGTCTATCTGGCTTTGCGCAACCGCATCTCCTAGATCTTATCATTATCGCTATTTTCAAGACGTCTCTTGCCTGTTGTCTTCCAGGATAAAAAGTCGCGCTACTCGTCGTCGCCTGAGTCAATACCCGTGACTCAGAGGTTCCGCGACTCGGGGCCAGCAGACCCTCGTTGAGAACTCAAATAGGCTCGAGTATGACCGCTGGGGATACCATCACTCCCACACACCCTTCTCGCCTCTCGCCTCCCCTTGGAGTTATACCGTGTCCAATCCTGGTCTACGCCTATTCGCTCGTGCTGTAAGCAGCTCCACGAGTGGATGAGATACGGCGCTAGGATCAGCTTAAGGCGGCTGCGATGTGATACAGTGGGTCTGCGCAGAGCCATCTGAGTCCATGACCGTCCTCGACAGCACCAAGGAGCATCGCTCCAATAGCAGCTTGAGCCCGCCCACAGAGGTCGAAGAGTCTCACGCCCCGAGCGCAGTGGCAGCGATACGCAGTAGGCTGGGCCAGCTCGCGGCGTGGCTGCGGGTGTGCGGCGTCGAGACAATCGGGTGTGTTTTCCGCGGGTTGTCCCAGCAAAATAGGTTGATTCTCTGACAAGAATTACTCCGGTCCCGGAAGAGGACCGCACAGAGACGAGGACGTACCAGCTGTTTCTGTTCTGGTTCGCCGCGAACTTGAACCTCTCGGGGTGCGTGATTCATGTTTTTGAAGTCCCGCCAATGAGGAGGCTGTAGCACAGGCTGACATATGGTGCAACGGGGCCCGTCGTCTTCAATCTCTCTCTCCGGGACTCAGTTCTAGTGAACCTGATCTCCAACTTGATGTGAGCATGAGCACAGGACACCGCAATCGAGCTCACGAAAACCCGCAGTGCGGCTATCTTCCCAGCGTATCTGTGCGTGCTCTGGCGGTTTTCTCCGAGAGGCTGTCCCTTCATCAATACTTCAGCGCTATATTCGGTTCTAAGTTGGGGATGCGCGCGATGGTCCAAGCGTGTGTCCATCAGCTGGTTCTCTACTTTTCAGGCGACTGATTATCGTCGGTAGGAGATATTCCTGGGGGTAAATCCGACTCTCAAAACTTGTTTTCCACTACTGAAACAGCGCACACTGCGCATCTCACAGGACGCGCGCCATTGGGCTTCCGGCCATCCTCAACGTCGTCACCTCGCTCGGGTACATTGTCCTCGCGCTGATCGTCGGCGGCCAGCTTCTCTCCGCGGCCTCCCCCTCAGGCACGCTATCCCCGGCGCTCGGCATCACAGCCATCTCGCTCATCTCGCTCGCGGTATGCTTTTTCGGGTACCGGTGGATGCACTGGTTTGCGTCGCTCGCGTGGATCCCAACGGTCCTCGGTCTGCTTGTGATGCTCGGCGTGAGTGCTCGAGATTTGGCTCACGCTTTGTCTTCCGGGGCAGAAGAACCGCCGCGAGTCGGGACGCTCTTCTCGTATGCCGCGACGGTCGCAGCGGCTATCATCTCGTGGTGCCCCGGTGCCCCGGACTACTGCGTCTATCATCGTGCGTCCAGGTCGATTGATTTCTTTCTCGCGACAACGACGAAGGCTCATGGATCGGGCAGTGCAAAGATATTTTTCTATACGTATCTTGGCAACTTTCTCCCTGGGGTGCGTCCTTGCTGCTGTATTGCAGTCTCTCGCTCATGCATCATTCGAACAGGTGATCACGGGCGTTCTGGGCGCTGCCTTCGCTGCAGCCGCCCCGAACATCCCGGCGTGGAACACCGGTTACCAAGCGGGGAACGATCTGGGCGGTCTGGTCGCAGCGACTCTGCAGCCTGTCGGCGGCTTTGGCAAGGTCCTCATTGTGTCGATGGCGCTCGCTATCACCGCGCTGACGCTCCCCTCGATGTACTCATTCGGTCAGTGGTCCCTTCATCTCCTGAGAAAAGTCCCCGGGAATAATGCCCTGCAGGATTCAGTCTCATGAATGTGACCCCGTACTTTGCGAGGGTGCCACAATACGTCTATGTCGTCATTGCTACAATACTGTATCTATTCTCTCTCCTGATGCAAGTCTTCATTCATTTCGGGCCACAGATGCATCCCCCTCGGGATCTTCGGGGAGACGCACTTCTACTCCGTGCTCGTCGTCGGTGTTGGTGAGCCGCTCATTGTGCATCTTCGCTAGCACTGCTGTCCTTACCTACTATATCCGCGCGCAGACATGAGCGGTTACTGGTCCGCGTCCTACGCCGCTATCATTATCGTCGAGCACCTCCTGTTCCGACGCGCCCGGTTCTCGTGTTATCCCCGGCAGCACTGGGACGACCAGAAGCACATGCCCCCGGGCTACGCGGCGACATTCGCGTTCGTCGCGTCGTTCGCGGCCGTTGTCCCGTGCATGGCGCAGGACTGGTACACCGGCCCTGTCGCAAAAATCACGGGCGATGTCGGCGTGTGGGCGGGGTTTCTCGCGGCGGCGGCCGCGTACGGTGTCGGCCGGAGTCTGGAGAGAAGAGCGTTTGGAAGGTGATGGGAGTTTGAGTCAGTAGTGCGAGATAGGTATGCATCACCGCTCGAAGTTCTTACTTCCGTCGCGCCGATCAAATTGAGCTGAGGTCAGCTGATCGTTTTGTGCTGCTCTCGGGCAGAGTGACCAAGCCAGATGCCTGATGACAAATGCAGGATGGCGCAACCTGTCCCTACTACGCCAGAAGCTCGGATTTAGAATCCTCCCCCCGGATCTTCACACCGCTATCCCCTATGCAACAGCTGTGCTCGACAAGTCCCTTGGGTGAGGATGCCAAGCACGTTTCGGTGCGTCACAGCAGTCAAGACGTAGTACACGATAAGCAGTCTCTTAGTCTGGGACGTGTAGGTCTGTATTCGTCCCGCTGGGCGCGCGCGGCTTGCGGGGAGCGCATCCAGGGAATGGAAAAGAAGAAGCAGGGTTCAGTTGATTATCGCGCCGTTGATTATCGCGCAGCCATCGGAACCCCCCTCCGACCCCGCCAGAACAGAAACAGAAGCGGATCCGCGTCCGGAGGCGGGCGTTCTTCGACAAGTGGGGATGAACGTCCATGTCAACCCACCTCCTGGACTGAGCTCCACCGGCCCGGGCGGCCGGGCGGTCGTGTTATGTTTTCGTTTTCGGGCTAGAAGGTAAGTAGTATGTACTGCTTGCCAATCTCTTCGGCCTTTCGGAGCTGGACTGGCTCTATTTCTGGAGGTCGTCACCATGGCTATTTCTGTCGATCCGAGAGGCCCCTAATACCGTGAAACTGGTGTGTAGTGCAGTGTGAGGTATTTCGCCACGGATTGGGAAGACCCAGTCGCACACGGTTGCAACTTGCTAGAGACGACCGTAGGCAATTTCTGGAAGCGATTTATGTTGTGTTTTCATCTGGTTCTGCTTCCCTTCTCGGGGCGAGCAAGCGCTGTTGGGTATCGTGTCGGAAATGTACCAGTGGAGCTGCTATCAAAACCGACTGAGATTGCGTACAAAGCGCGGTTGAAAACATCTTCTATCAAATCTAATACACTCTAGTAGTTCTCCGGTGTCAAATCAGAGTGCCGTGTTCCGAGCGAGAAGGACTGTGCTTCATCGATACTCCGGGGAGGGGCCAGCTCTGGCCTTGTGATGCAAATGAAAGAACACTCGCGGCGGAGGAAGCGGGTCGAGGCTCCCCTTCAGGACTCCCGTTCTCGCGTTGACTCAGCGGCGAGGGGGGACTATTCCGAACAGCAGCGAAAAGATGCCGCGAAGAAGCGGCTTCGACGAGGCTATCACACATGCGCAGCCGTCTCGTGGTCGAGGCTTGAGAGCGGAGCTGGTTTCTGAATTTGACATGCAACTTGCACCGGTCTCGGCCGTCCTGTTGCTACTGCTGCTGCTGCAAGGACAACCGGGTCGGTGTGCGGTTTCGTTTATCGGTGGAGGAGCTCGAGGATCTCGGCCGATCATGCGCGGGGACTCACGTGTGCGCCGACTGACGTGCGCGATGACCTCATCGTCGTCCTCTACGACTACGATGTGTGCTTGCAACGAGGCTGGCGGGGGACAACGCGGGAGAGGGGCGAGTGCGACGACTCACAGGCCAGGCAACGTGCAGGGTCCAGGCAGGTGTGTTGCTACGTAAATGGCACCCAGGCTGCCGTAAGGTGAAGCAGTCCCAATTTTCTTGCACGCTCGCCTTGATCCGGGGCCGGCCTCAGAAGCCTTCACCCACCAAAGATAGCGGACATGATATATCCTCGACAGGAGTCTCCCGCCATCCGCGCGCAGATAAGATATTCTGGGGCCAAGGACGCCCAAGCTGTTGAGAGCTGTTATACAAAGGACGGAATGACCCTGGTGATCTCGGACGATTGATCTCGGACGATCGACAGAAGAAAGTCTTATCCCTTTCTGACAGCACTCCAAATCGGGCGAGTCTCGATTCAGACAGCGGGTATATATAGAACCTTTTCTTCGCTCGGCCATGTTTCGCTTTGTCCTCGCTCGTGGGCTGCTTTAAGTAGCGACCTCCCCAAGCCTCCCACCCCTCCCTCCCACCCTTCTCACTACGGCAACCTCAACGAAACAACCATGGCCACTGTCGCACCTTTTCCTATCTCTGCCCTCGCCGACCCGCTCAAAAACACGGCATTTACCGACTCGCTGTCGACGAGCAAAGTCGGATTCGTCGTCGAGCCTTCGCTGACCGACGGGTGCTTCGCCATTGCTCGTGTCCAGGGCGCCATCCGCCTCATCCAAGGTGCGCATCACAGCAGTGTCTCATCGCCGCTCACACGACTGACTGTCTTTGTCCCGCTCGTCTACAGTTCCCCGCATGCCCGCCTCCGCACTCGCCGCGATCGACCTGACCGTCTTCCGGCACGAGTTCATCCATATCTTCCGCGTGCTCGAGAAACGCGCGATGCACCCCGCGGACGTGCACATCCTCGAGCGCATCGACGCGGGCGCCGTCACGTGCGACGAGGACAGCGACAGCGTGTTCCTCGCGAAGGCCGTGCTCGAGCGCCTCAGCCGCCTCACGAGTCCCGTCGCGCATCGCTACGGCGCGATTGGGATGGGCCATTCCCGGTCGTCGAGCCACCCCCCGCGGCAGCACCGGCGCCACTGAGGCGTATCGTGCGCGTGCCGTGCTGGGCTGGGCTACACCCGGGGGTGTAGCACTTAACCGATGCGCCCTATGCCCGCTAACGTCGCCTGCCATGTTACCTGCACGCCCCCGCCACGTTTCCCGCCACATGAACGACCGCTCCACTCTATCTGTCCCCCTCCACTCACACCTTAGCATCGCATATTCATCACATGTATTTTTACCAAGCTATCATCCATCCTCATGTTATCGACTTTCTCGGTTCTCTCTTACTACGCGTCCTGTACCCTCCGGCGTCTCTTTATTGTGTACATATTGACCTGATCCACACGGCCCATCGCCATTAATGACATCCGCGCGCGCACATACCGCGCCGTACCATACTTTTCTTTGTGGACCTAATGCCAGTCCTCAATACTCCGGTGAGATTATCTGTTGCAAAGTAAAGCACGGCACGCTTCTTCGGCCTGCTCGGTGTGCCATCCATCCGGGAATCAGTGACATCATAGTTGACGTCCGCGCGCTGCGTCGGTGATCATGCGCGTAGACCTTGTGGCGCGGCTCCACCACCACCACCATGGCCATGCCGGACGGACAGATCCGGGGAGGCCCATGATTGAGATTCGAGATTCGAGATCCAGATTCCAAGCGCGACGGCTGAACATTCTTATATCCTCCGCTGTGCCGCGGAGCGAGATCCAGCCTGCACCATTCTGCCCGTCGTTCCCGCCAGCGAAGGTATGGGTTTGATGAGCGAATCGCGTCGTCACTGGTGGGGCGGACGGGCGATCGTTTCAACGGCGGATGCGGCTTGTTTCGTCGGAGGCATGCGTGGTTCTTGTTCAGGATGAAACACGAGAATAAGGTGTGGGTGCGATGAAGCCAAGCATGTTACCGTACACGAGGGCCAAACAGGTACTGAAAGCGTCGCTACATGTATGAGGGCTGCAATGGTTGTTGATATGAATGGCAGGAGTGCATAATTGTAAGTGACAGGTAGGGATGGCACTCAGAATTCTTTCCCGCAGATAATTTGACAGGATCAGGAAATGTTGTTGCGCGTGTGTACAAAACCAATGAGATGGAACGACAAAATGGACTATACCGGAGTCGAACCGGTGACCTCCCGCATGCTAAGCGGACGCGCTACCAACTGCGCTAACAGCCCTATGAACAGGCACTGCCAGAGCAGAGTTTAAGTCGTCATATTATTTCTGCTGGAGTAATAGAAACGAATCCCTCAACCTTCCCATTGAGCTGCCACAACTGCCAGGAATGCTTTCGAGCATATATTCCATTATTTTGTGCTGGAGAGCTCACAAGATTTACAGCCCAGGCGTTCCAAAAATCTCATAAAATGACATGCCTTGCTTGACATTGCATTCTCATCTTATCAGACCTTTGAAGGAAAATATAGTCTACCACTAGATAGCCGCGCACTCCTTCTTCAGCCATTCCAGTGCCCGGGGGTCGTTTTGTATCAGGGGCGAAACCTTGGCAAGGACCTCCTCGTGGTACTTGTTGATCCAGCCCACCTCCTCCGCGGTGAACACGCTTCGGTCAATGAGCGACGTCTGGATCGGGCACCTAGGAATTGTGTGGGAATCGTGGTTTCTTCTAAAACCCGAGTAACGCCGTCACTCACATGGTCACATTCTCGAAGCCGAGATATCCCTTGTCCCCGAAATTGTTCGGCGTGTCGACTTTCTTGACCAACACGATGTTCTCGATACGGATGCCGAACTTCCCGTCGGCGTAGTAGCCGGGTTCGTTTGAGACCGTCATTCCAGGCTTCAATGGTGTGGCATTGTAAGCTGGATGAAGATAAGTGCATTCCTGGAGCGGGTGGAGATGAAGCGATGCACCAATCCGAACACCCATTCCGTGAGGGCCCTCGTGCACGTTCAGATAGTGGCCGACACCATGTCCCGTTCCGTGTCTAGGGGCTGGATAAGATTACAATCTTCAACTCTGATGGGATCACCAACCGATAATCTAGGCGGGCAGAATTTCGGCCACTGACTACGAAATGATAGGCAGGCTTACCTAGACCGTCTTGCCACAGCGCTCGTCGAGCAAATGCATCTCTACTTTCTTCAGCAACTGGCACTCCCCGCGCGGCAGCACATCACTCACAGAAGATAGCCTGATACACCTCGCATCAGCAAGCTGTGTGCGAAAGTGAGGTAACGCACCGGTTGTCCCGCTCGGAAAGATAGCGGTATCGATCTCAATGTGGCCTTGCAAAACGCGAGTGAACGCGCGCTTTTCCTCGGGAGTCGCTGTGCCGAAGTGCTGCGAATACAGGTCACCAAAAGGTATCCGCACGGGATTGGGGACGCACCCAGGTGCGAGTGACGTCAGTGGTTCCATCCAGAAATTGGGCTAGGGTTTTGAATTAGTTACGCTCAAGTTGCGCTTAAGCTTCTTACCTCCAGAATCGCAGAGATATATTTCATCGCGTTTGACTTCAGAGCAATCGCCCGGTGTTGGGAAGTAATGAATGATGGCTGAAGGCCAGACTCAATTCCGCGAAGAAAAGAGAGCGAGTCAGACATACCAGCGTTGGAACCGGTGGACGAAATGGTAGGAAAAGACAGCCCTCGGAAAAGGTCCAGCTCACTTGAAGATCAGTTGACCAGAGTATACATTTTTCCCCAGACGTGACTCACGATCTGAATGCCTCCAATTGCTCGGCGACTTGGTTCTCGTCCAGCTTGGCACCGGAATTAAGCTGCTCCTCAAGCCAGGCAAAGTACCTGGCCAATGCTGCACCGTCACGGATATGGCTCTGGCGGAAACCTTCTAGTTCTGTGGCGTTCTTGATGGCCTTCATCTCTGCGACGGGCGACAGAGAAAGTGTGTAATTTCCCTAGAGAAAAAAAAAGCAGTTGGTCTGCATGTTTTTGGGAACGGGATTCCCAAACTGACCTCACCAACAGCTTGAGCTACCGCCAAACTCGACTTGTCGCCAAGGAGAACTTTATCACCCAATCCTTTCAGGTAGGACCAGATCTCGTCGTAGTCCTTGACCTCAACTTCGCTTCCTAAACTATTCTTCACGTCCTCATTCAGCTGATCGTTGTTGACGAAGAGGACGGCTTTGTCAGTAGTCACAACTGCATAGGCGAAAAAGACGGGGTTGAATGCAATGTCGGTTCCGCGAAGGTTGAATAACCACGCCACTTCGTCCAGCATCGTGACGACCATGGCAGTTGCAGACTTGGTCGCCAACTCGGCCCGGAGACGTGCCAACTTGGATATATGCGATTCACCTGGAGGAGAATGAGAATAAGTAGAAGGAGCGTCCTTGGTGGAATGACTGGCCGGAATATTTGACATCCAGGACGTGTATCTGACTCTTGGGCCGTGAAGGCCGGTCTCCAGCCCAGACTGTGTCTACCGGATTCTTGGGCAGGGAAACAAGTGAAGAGCCCCGCGTGTCGAGAGACTTGGTAAGAGATTCCGCGTCGGCTGTAGAGGTTCAGGACGGTTTACGGAAGGACTGGCCACATACAAGCCGAGATCAGGGTAGAATCGATACCGATGTTCGAACCGTCACCGAGATTCTGCAGTGCTCGGATAAATGATTGGAAATGTTGTATAATAATTTTACCCACTTTGGAAAGAAATTCTTGCCACGTAGGAACATCTAGTATCGCTCGCCATTCAATGTCAATTCTGCACACAACTCGGATGCTCTTACCAGGGAGGCCTTGCTTCATCAGCGTCCAGTTGCTGGTATCGAATGAGTACAAAGATAACGAATAGAAACAACATACGCATCCAGCTGCTGCTCAGCTTGCAGGAAATACCGTCCGTCCGTGAACAAATACGCGTCTTTTTTGGTCACGATGGCACATCCTACGTGGCAGTCAGACGCGAATAGCATGTGCTTTCAGACTCAATTCACCAGCCGATCCATTGAACCCAGAAATAAACGCTCTCCGCTCGTCGCACGAAGCCAGATACTCGCTGAAGTCTGCAAAAGCACGTGCCAGCCAAATCAATCCAGGAAGCCCCTCGCTATCGATATCGATCGAAACGCACGCTGGTCCTCGCTGGGTACGACAAACGCATCCACGCCCTCTTGCGCCAGGTACGTGCGCAGCGTACTGAGGCGCTCCGTGGTCGGGATCTTCTGTACAGTCATGGAGATGCTGCGTGTCGCTCGTGGTCCTGGGGGCAGGTGGGAAGCAGTCAGGGGGGATAGAGGGGGGTGATGCAGACTGTTGGAGGCGATCCGGAGCCCTTGTAGCCGGTGTGAAGCTAACTTTCGCAAGATTGCGAGCATGTGCCAGTTAGCAGACGAAGTTTCACGTGACAATCACGCTTAGCAGGGATACTCGGGGATGACCTCATCCAATGTGAATGCTTTATCATCCGAGTTGGAAATATGATTCAGTACCTTGTGCTTCTTGGGCTCTCACAGTACTATGTCGGATCCAGGCTCCTCATTACCACCGTTTGAGCCATCGTCCTTCAAGTACACCCAGCCACCAGACGCCGAATTCACCTTCGGGCAAAAGGCCGCGTCTACGGAGGGCGGACGACAATGGGCAGAGCAAGAGAAGCTTGGATGGGAGACTATCGACGCGCGCACAACCGATCCTAGGCGAGTGATATCTGCCTCGGTCCTCTCTCGCTCACTCAACCTCTATCAGAGAGGTATACAAGATGACGATTTCGGGTATCGCTCCCCGACCTATCGCGTTCGTGTCCACAGAGAACGAGAGCGGAGTGGGAAACATTGCACCGTTCAGGTAATGCTGAATACCGATACGGGCATCCGCAGCCGAGAAACGTACCCGTGCTAATCCTTGTTCCGCAGCTTCTTCAATCAGGTCTCGTACAACCCCACCGTGATCTCCTTCGCGTCCACGGGCGGAGCCAACAAATTCAAAGACACCGTGAACAACATCCGCGCGACGAAGGAATTCACGGTCAGTCTCATCAGCGAGCCATGGATCGCGCAGGCCAACGCCGCTTCGATCGACGCGCCTCCGGATGTGAGCGAGTGGGATATCGCCGGATTGACCAGGGAGCCTAGTGTGAGCTATGCCGTCGTTTTTGTCTGCGCCACCAAGTCAACTCATTTCCCTAGACGTCGGTGAAACCGCCCCGCATCAAGGAATCCGCGTTTAGCCTCGAATGCGAGGTCAGCAGCACGCCGTTGCAGTCCTTCAGACCCTGTTTCTAATCTGTGGATAGCTGCTCCAAATCGTCGAAATCAAAAACGATGCGGGGGAAGTGCGCTCCAGTTTGGTGCTCGGCACCGTCAAGTTGGTCCACGTCAGAAAAGCCGTACTCAACGAGGCGGGGACAGCGATCGACCCGGCCAAATATATGGCCGTGAGCCGTCTCGGCGACACGACCTATGCTTTGGTTGGGAATGGATTCAGGATGCCACGACCGGTTTGGAACAAGGTCGAGGTCGATGCGAGAAAGGCTGCCGGCACCTCCTGAGCCACCGCGCTTTCCTAACATGAATAGATGGCTAGTTTCTGCACTGTATACATACATACATAAATTTGGTTGTTGAGAACCCGGAACACGTTCCACACATACAGCTAATGGGTTTTGAAGTACTCAGGGAGGACATAGCCGAGACCACGGTGAGGGAACTCGGCGGGGCTGCGCATGAGTGCGAACTTCATACATCCAACCTCCTCGCTCAAGAGGCTCTCGTCCTCGGCACCGGCGACGAGCAGACGCTCGATGACATGGGCCGCAACGTATCGGGACGTCTCTGCGTTTTGTTGGAGGATCTTGCCCACCTCAGCCGCGGTCACACCCGCTTCGTGAGGGCGCCATGCATCGTAGTCGGTCGATGTGGCGATCAGAGCGAAGCTGTATCGCATCTCAGAGCACGTCGGAGGGACAATTCGGATGCACCACATACCTGATCTCTGCCTCTCGCGCAAGCTTGGCCTCGGGCAGGGCAGTCATGCCGATGAGATCGCCTCCCCATTGACGGTACATCAGGCTCTCGGCGCGGGTCGAGAACTGCGGGCCCTCCATCACGACGAGCGTCTTGCCCGTCCAGAGCTTGACGCCGCGTCCCTCCTCCTTCAGCGCCTCAGCGACCGCGCCCTCGAGCCACTTGGACAGCTTGAGCGAGTACGGGTCGCTGAATCCGACATGCGCCACGAAGCCCGTTCCGTCGAAGAAGGACGTCGCGCGGATGCCCTTGGTCCGGTCGATCAGCTGCGAGGGAAGGACGAAGTCGCCCGGCGCGATCTCCTCGCGCAGGGAGCCGACGGCGGAGAACGCGACGATCGTGCGGACGCCGAGCGACTTGAGCGCAGCGATGTTGGCGCGTGCGGGGATGTCCGTTGGGGAGATAGAGTGGTCGACGCCGTGACGCGCGACGAAAGCCACGAGCGCACCGGAGGGGAGGGAGGAGATGGCTATGGGAGACGAAGGGAAACCCCAGGGCTGTACGAGAAAGGTCCCTTAGTGAGTAGATCATGCAGTTCTGTGAGGAGACGTGCCGTCTCTGGGTTGACATGCTTGCTGCATGCCCCGTCAGCCGCGTAGATATGAATTATTATCTTTGACACTTACATGAAAGTCAAGTTCCCGAGGTTGTACAACCCGCTGCCACCGATGACACCGACCAAAACTGCAAGAAGAATTAGCTGGGTACGTCGTCAGACGTATAGAGAAGGCACATGCCTTTATCGCTCGACATCGTGGAGGTAGAGGAAGGAATGTGTTTGCCAGAGTTTGGACCGCACGTTTATCGACCATCACTTCTGTGGCTGACATCTACGATCTCGAAAACGTCGCCAGTCTGTCCAACTTGTTCGCTTTGACGTCCCATGAACCAGTGGTACTGATTCAAGCGCATGGAGCTCCAGGCTTCGATCTGATCCAGCGCTGCGAACTTTTTCGGATCTCCAAGCCGCAGTGTGAATAGATGGCCTGCCGTAACCAATCTTATCTAATCTTTGCATGCAAGACTAGGAGACCGGCGTTCCGTTTGTAGCATTTATTCTCCTGAACTCCTTCGATTGAACACTCTTATACACAGAATACATCAGATTACTGGATTTCAGCTGGCAGGATCCACGATCTCCTAGGTCGAAGTCCAGGTCACCGCACTCGCGTCCTCGAAGATCTTGGTGTCCGTAGATCCAAGCGTCAAGTTGGGATCCAGGTAGGCTGTATACAGTCATCAGAATCAAAAACTTAAATTTCATGTGTCCAATTTTACTCACGGACGAACTGAACGAACAATCAATTCGGATTGTGAGCGTTTGCAAGACGAGTCGTCAGGTATCACTCACGTAAGCGGTAAAGTCGATCTCGTTTCTGTTCCTGTAGAAGACGACACGATCGTTATTGTAATTGGCACACGTTCCCGACTTGACGGTGTTCATATCCTTGAAATACAAAAGCCCGGAAAGGTAATCTATGAGGAACCATCATCAGTTCGGAGTGCACCAGGTCCTCGTCATTGATGGTCCACTCACTGACGGACTTGGGGTTGAACGATTGCGTTCCCGTGTGAATAACCGCCTTGAGATTGACCGAGTCGACGGTGAAGGTGATCTTGGACTCGTCGGCAAGCTTGCGCACAGTCGTTGTCGCGACGCCAATCTTGAGTAAGGTCCACTTGCCCTGGCAGGTCGACTTCTTATCGATACCTGTGTTGGTCACCGTTTGTTGCTGCCAAACTATCAGAAGTCCGCTGACAGAACATACTCGAGATCTGCTTACAGGATCATATGCCAGGAACTGCCAAAGTCAAACATCAGATCACGTGTTCAGTCAGATCGAAATAACGAACCTCGGCATGGGGATTCTCCACGTTTTCGCGGTAGAAGCGGACCCAAGCGCACCACTTGCTGTCAGCTTCGTTATAGTATTGCTCGGCCTTGTAGTAAACGGGGTCCGAGTCCTTGATATCGAACGAATCGGCCGTGTCATAGAACACAGTGCCGGCAGGGTCTGTGCAGTGGGATCAGCATGGAGCGGGCGGGGCCGACTTTGTGTGCACCCACCGGTACCGATGTAAAGTCCGTCAGTGAACTCGCGTCCCAGCTCGGGAACCTCGAGGCGCATCGCCGGGCTCATCCCGCTCGCTTTGAAGAACAGAGCCTCCGCGTTGCTGGAGCCCGCCCATTTCGATCGCAGCTGAGAGAACTTGTCGGTCATCCTGTTTATCTGGAGATGTTGAGAAAATTGAGGGCACGGACACTGGCTTTATACTATGGTGAGTCAAAGCGATCTTCGGAATCTCGCGCTGGAATGAATGATGAATGCAAGAGTATTCACCGGATTCCAAAATGGGAACCCGCAACTTCATGTTTGCGGATTCTAGAATAGGCTAGTCGTGCTCAAGTGACCATGGAACCACGTCAGACACGGCACCGAAGTTGTCCGATGCAGAGACTGTTGAACCCTCATTGCCGTTTATAGACCACGCACCACGCTAAGAATCGTCCGCGAGATTGGTTTGGGGCTCATCCAGCCAGCTTCTAAGAGGTTTTGCTTAGCCCGGCCCCAGAAAGATCCGGATATCAGTCTGCGCAGCTCACCCATGCGGCCCACGTTCCTGATATCTGTCGCTATTTGAAGCGAGTCATACAAAATCGTGGTGACACTTGTCTGCCAAAACTCATTGAATTCATTACGATCAAACTTCATTGAATGCATTACTCGTTACGCCAAACTACTCGACCCGCTGCTATTCGATTTACTGGATGTTTTCCCATGAGATCTGCTGGAAGTGCAGGGTTCTCAGCGACGCGAGATCGTTTCCAGGCATTTCATAGGCTAAAGGAATACCGGTCAGCGTAAGTCATGAGCGCAGAGCGGAACTCATTCACGGATAAACTGTGCGGTAGACCATTTATCAGAGGTTGCCTTTCGGGTAGTAGTAAGAGGGAGAACTCACATATCCAACGATGTGGGACGAGCCCCGGTCTTTGTAGAACACAATGCGCCGATCGTCGTACGCAGCGTAAGCGCCGCTGAAGACAGCCTTGAGGTCAGTGAAGTAGAACGTTCCGCCTGCGTAATCTGCGAGGCCGACATCCATCAATTTCGGCTCTCAAAGACGAATCTCCGTCGACTTACTGACGGATTGATGCGCGAGGGGATTGTCATCGGGCACGGGGATAATTGCGCGCACATTCAGCGTCCGGAGCGTGAATCTCAAGGAGTGCACGTCCGCTAGTTTGCGCACTTCGCCCGGAACACTGCCGACGTCGAGGCGGTCCCAGGTGCCGCTGCGAGTGATCCTGTCCATTCCGGTCGACTCGGCGGTGTTGTCCTGTGCATCGTCGGTGAGTGTAAGCGAGAAGAAAGGGTGCTGGTCAACGAACCGGATCGGGGCCAAAGAACTGAATGAGCGAGCTAGTGAGAACACGTAGAAAGAGGGCAGACGAGCGCACCTCTGCATGGCACTGGTCGATATCTTCGGTGAAGAACCGGATCCACACATGCGCAGAGCGTTCGAGCGGGGCGATGTAGCGTTCGATGTAGTACGACACCTCATCCCGCTGCTCCAAGCTGTCGAATGCGTTGAAGTAGAGTTGGCCCTCGAGGTCTGGAAACATTGAGCTTTCCGGTGGCGGGGGGAAATCGACGGACCCACTCTTGCCCATCTTGACGAAGTCGGTAAACTCACGACCGAGCATGGACACTTCCATGCGCATCCCTTGGTCGATGAACTTGGGGTGGTGGAGTCCTTGGTCGCCAAGCGATGTCTGCTCGCGGTCGTAAGGGATACGGGTCCCGGCGAGGAGGATTTGCGCAACCGCGCTGTAGCTGTAAGCTTTGCTCAGAATCGGAGGGTGCTCAGTTCGCGACATGATGGGTGGCTTGGCGCACATCCCTCCCGTAAAGTTATAAGAAAGAACTTTTGCAGAATCGGGTGTGCCGGACAGGTCCACTTCCATAATCCCGGATTCCATACTCGGCAAGATTTACCGCCGATTTGGACCATGCATCCTGTCTGCATGTCAACAGGAGTACGCCAAACTAGAGATACTGGAATAGAGTCTCATTGGGGACAATCAAAGCGGACAAACCTTGTTTATGACAGCCAGCATGGAAGGTCCAGCATGTGTTCAAGTTAGCGAGAAACTACGGATCCAGTTGAAATCAGACTGTGTAAGTGGCTTACCCCGCCTGTCGGAGTCTGAATCTGGCTGATCGGGCTTGGGTTGTGTGACTTGGGCTTGTGCATCACTTTTGATGACAAAACCGTGGACCGTATCGCGTCATGAATAATTAATTGCCCATTACCTATAATTACTTATCTTACTAAACAGGAATCACCGTTCACCCGTTCTTTCCATCACATTTCAGCTACCTACATACAGTCTATACACAGGACTTCGCAGTACACAGAAAATATCGATTTTCATTCGACTTACAGCTTCGACAAAATTGTGTCGCGGACTCGTGCCAACCGCCTCATTACCAATTGGCGTGTACTGTATCAACGTCGTCAAAAGTGACCTTGCTGGCGGCTGCGCACTCGAAGGCTCCGAACTTGCGATGGGTATTTCAGCTTTACCTTTGATAAAAGAATATTGTAAAGACTCCGTACATACAATTCTCATCCTCCATGCCCGTGAATCCAACTTGATCACCGCATCTTGTTCCTTTGCACCAATCTTTGTCGAAAATCAGAAAATACTTGTTAGCAAACGAATCAATTGGTCTTGATTGGCAAGCCGGCTTTTTGGCTTGCAAGCCTGATGGCATTAAGCACTCGCTCTCGCACTCCGGCTCTACTCTATCGGATCTACAATATCCAAGCAAATCCCATCACAAGCCAAAAAAAAAAAGACACTTAGCGCGGGCACAAGCCACTTCGGCAAGCCAAAACTGACACTGTCAGTTGAAATGGCTCTGCCCCACTTTAAGCAGCCTATGGACAGCCACCGCGCTTGAACCTCACCCATTGTCATCGAGTCCAAGCGCGTTATTGCATTGGAGCCACGGACACTCTGAGCCGCGCTTTGGATTTCTTCTCAGCAATAAAACCGCACGAAAAAATGAGACTCTCTTCTCCAAACTCGCCCTGCATCCGAGTCGCTGTCGGCCATGCCCAGTCCCTCGCTGCGATCGCCCAACGCGTTCATCCTGTTCCGCTCGTTCTTCTCCAAGAACCACTCGCCGCCCAATGCAGCCCAAGCGCACGTCAGCGCGCTCGCAGGCCAGGCTTGGCGTGGTCTCGCCGACGCAGAGCGTGCTGTGTGGCAGGAGCGCGCCGCAGAGCTCAAGCGGGCGTGGATGCGGGCGTCGGAGAAGCGTGCATTGGAAGAGGGCGCCGAGCCTCTCCCGAGGAAGAGAGGGCACCACCATCCTAGCCAGCACCCGCCCGCTGTGCAGCGGCTGGACCATTCCGCTGGCCCATCCGTCTCTGAGGGTCGATTCGATGATACTGCTCGTAGAAATGCTCCGGTTCCTGGGATTTATACTCTGGTGCGTGGATTCAGAGTGTTCTAAGTAGATCAAATGGGTCTCATGACATGTCGCAGGCGGACCATGCTGCCCTTCCGGCTCCGACGCCAGAGCTCCTGTTGGCGAATTATTATCGGTCCCAAGAGTTTTCCGAGTGCTGGAACAGCTTCGTGAATGAGTTTTGTAACGCCACCCATGTGGATCACCAGGATCAAGAGTCGTCGCCAGATATCCTGGACTACAATGCCCTCTGCGACTGGACTGCGGACTATCATGGCCCGCCATCTAGGTCTGAGCAGCAGCGCACCACTTCGGGTGTGCAGTCTGGGGATCGCCGCTATGCGCCGTACTAGACCTTGTCAACGGTTCGAATGAAGATAAGATAAGATGCATGATGTAATGTAATGTTGAACAAACACAACCAAATGATTTCGGACCCCTACCCCAAGTTCTCAGTTCGCGTCTCTCTGCAAGCAGTGGCATCCCCTCTATGACCATCGCTCGCAATGAATCTTCGTGTCATTGTCGAGCCAATTCAGAAACTCAAGCTGTCATGCAGCGAAGTGGGGCCCTCGGGCCATTGTTCCCGAGAACAATAAGGTCGAGTCAGGGAAAGCCATCTCGACCATAGCGTGCGCGCATGGGCCTCTGAGATGACTGCGCATGGCACACCGTCGCCGACGTCGCTCTCTGCCTCTCTCTTTCTCCCCACCACCGCTGTTGCGCAGATATGCTGCTGCCCCGTCTCCCCGTCTTGTTAACCGCCAGCATCCGACGTGAGTAACATATGCTTTGTATATGGAATCTGTTGAGCAGTTGCCTCATGTGTATCTGTCTAGTTACGTCGAACTATACGGGTAATGCTCCGGTTGTAGTTTGTGACGCTGGGCAATGTTTGCAAGGGTATTCTAACACGACCAGTGAGCGATTGTCACTATTCACCACAAGAGAACCACCCTGAACCAATCTTGCATAGTCGGCGTCACACTCTCGGTCCCGGGATCCCCTGCGATTCGCTTGCTTCCAGGCCAATACACGTCGACCTCGAATCCACAACTACTGCATAACGCACTTACATCATCTTCGGTGTCGCTTTCGCCTTCTCCAGGCTTCGACTCCAACGCGACAATCCTATCGCTTCCACTCAATGTTTTGGAGCAGCCGGGACTCACGACGTACACTGCTGCCCTGTATTCGGGGGCCAATGATCCCTCCGCCTTCACACCAATTCCTTCCGCGCCTATTCCAAACTCCTCATCTCTTGTCTTCCAGTCGCTCTCCCTATCTCTGAACACCTGGATCGCAGTCAACGCGTCATCCAACCCCCGCTTGATCGTATGGGACTCGGTTCCCGACATCTCGCAGCTTCCAAGCGTCCCTGCCAACATGCGGCTGCTCTCGCTCGAATCATCGACTTGCTCGCCGTCTTGCGCGTCCTCGGGCATCTGCACATCCTCGGGCGTGTGTGCTTGTCTCCCGGGCTTCGTCGGCGCGGCGTGCGAGAAGTGCGGTGCAGGTCTGTTCGGGCCGCGGTGCAACCAGACGTGTCCCGCCGGATGCGCGAAATGCGATGACGGACTCGGCGGATCGGGGCGCTGCCTTGACTCTGGTGTCACCCCGGGCGCGTGCGGTTGCGTCAACGGCGCGTGTAATCCCGATGGGAGCTGTGCTTGTACGACTGGCTTCGTTAGCGCGGGGAACGGCACGAAATGTGCGCAGTGTGCAGGGGGGTTCTTTTTGACCCCGGCGGGTGATTGCTCTAGTGCGTCTTCTTGCATTTCAGCACTTGCTGATCTCGCTGATTTGGGTCTTCAGTCTGTGCCATCGGATGCTCTGCGTGTGCTGATCGCACGGGAACGTGCACGGCATGCAAGACTGGGTTCGCTCCAGACGCCAATGATGCGACCAAATGCGATCCCGTCCCGAGTGTGACTTCTGCAAACGTGGTGTGTCCCGACGGGGCATTTGCAAGTGGGGCCAGCTGTGTCCCGTGCTCTTCTGCGTGCAGAACGTGCACTGCCGGCGGATCGATTGATTGCGTGCGCTGTGCGACTGGGACGTATCTGCTCAACGGAACTTGTGTCTCGGCCGATGCGAACGGAGTATGCAAAGGCTCGAGCATGATCGCCAATAACAACAAGCTCGAATGTGACGGTACGTGAGCTGTTCTGGATCGACGACCAGGTCTTATTAGTGTCTGTGAAGCGTGTGGGGCAAAATGCACCTCTTGTAAAATCCCTGGTTTCAATTCGGCATCGACGATCAATGAACTGCAGTGCACAAGCTGTGTAACCGGTTTCGCTGTGTCAAATGGCACATGCGTTTCGAGCTGTCCATCGAGAACATTCCCACTCAACGGGACTTGTACTGGTGCGGGAAACTTATCCCTACCTGGCGCATACTTACACATCATGGCTTGACAGCATGCGACTCTTCGTGCTCGACCTGTGCTGGATCCTCGTCCTTCTGCTTATCCTGCCATTCGAACCAGCTAGCACTGAGCGGCCAGTGCATCAGCACCTGCCCTCCGAACACCTTCCTCGGGACAAGCAACGCATCGTGCTCGGCTTGTCATCCAGATTGTGCAGCCTGCTCTGGTCCGGCATTCGACCAGTGTACATCCTGCTCTCCGTCTTCCTCACGGCCTGTCTTGAAGAGCGGCAGGTGTCTCCCAACCTGCAGCAAGACCGAGTTCTTCGACATAACCTCGTCTACCTGCCATGCATGCGATGGAAGCTGCTCGAGTTGTTTAGGGTCCGGTCCAGGACAGTGTCTCGCCTGTGCGGATCCGAGCCAAGTGCTCAGGGCCGGAAGCTGCGTAGCGGCTGGATGCGCTGCTGTGGTGAGCGGTCTTGGTGCATGCCTGTCGGAGCTGGTCGATGTGCCGAGCGTGACGTCGGGGTCTCCGCTGCCCAGTGCATCAGGCATTGACGCACCAACTACTGGGACGGCCAATACGACAAGGCGGAGGCTCGCTTGGTGGGAGATCCTGCTGATGGTGCTGGGATGCGTGTTTATTCTCGTCATGGTGCTTTGGTTGCTGCGGAGACGAGCGAAGAATGCACGGGCAAAGAATGCACACAGAGACAAGCCGAACGGCCTATGTGGGCGTCTTTGCGACACTTTCCGATCTTGCCTGCGGAAAAGCCGGTCGCGGCCGGTCTACGAGCTCCGTTTGGACTCGACGCGCAAGGGTGCTGATGCGTCTCGACCGCCTATCATGCACCCCCATCTGCAACATCCAAGTCGATTGAGTGTCGAGTCGGCGCCTTCCATCTATTCTCAAATGACTAGCTACACCGCTCAAGCTGCACAGCCTCGGCAGCCGGTGAGGGCTGACAGGAAGTTTTCGGTGGCTGGCACCAGTCTCGTCGATCCATACTATCATACGACTGCCCCGTATATGGCACACAAGCCCACTACCAGGCTAACAGGGGAATAGCTTCCAGATGACTGTGACTTGTAATCTATATTATCAGCTTTCGAACAACTTTAACTTCCTCGCTCTATAATACTGAATCTCAATACATTGTAACCTTAATGACCAGAATCTTGGGATGCAAACTTCAATTATGTAGCGACTGCTGCATCGACCGTGACGAGCGTATGACATGACACGCACGTGGCACGAATTTGCCTCCCACGTGATCGCTCTCCCTCTTCGCGTCTGCAAACACCTCAGACCGTGGTCATGCCTGCAGGGGCGTCCCTCGCGGCGTTCATCGTCACGACACTGGCTTTAGTAGTCCCATGGTACTACTTCGTATTAGGCAAACGGCCCATATCCACGGCCCCGCGCCTCACGCTATTAACCAACATCTTCGTCCTTCTCCACTCGCTGTACTACATCTACCAACTCATCGTCTGCCCTCCGACCAACATATTCAAGAGCCTCAGGCTTCCCTTGGCAACTCCTGTGGATGTGATGCGGAGCATCTTGTTGCGGCAGTCAGACACGGGGGAGTTGCCTGCCCAGCTCGAAACGCTCTTGAAGCATCTGGGATCGTTCGACGTCAAGACCTTCTATGTCCGGTCCGTCGGATATGTATCACCTCCCCCGTTTGTGCTGAATAGACGTAGATTCGGCCACGAGGTCGTGTCGGCGTGCGACTATTGCCGGACATTCGACGAGTTCGCGCTGTTTGCGCTGCCCAAGATCCTAGCGGTGTATATCTACGCCGCAGCTACTATCGGGGTACGTATTTCGATGGGCAGCTCAGCTGAGATAAAATCTCATCCAATGCAGATCGTCACCATTGTCGGATCCGGCCACGAACGATTCCGCACGCTCGCAGTCTCTGTCATAGGCGGCGCGTTCTGTTTCGAGATCTACTACATTGCCACGGTGGCTGTCGAGTTCCCGAAGGACGAGCGGACGAGCGTCGTCTGGGTACGTGCCGCCCACCACCGGTCCCCGGTCCGTGCTAACGCGCCTGACCTGACACCCAGTGGCACGACAGACTGCTCCTCCTCCGGCGCCTGCTCTTCCTCGCTCTCCCGCCCCTGATCTCCGCCCTGCCGCGCGTCCACACCGCGATCGCGCTCAGCCCGACAGCGACCGCCCTGCGCACCGCGGAGCTCGCGTTCACGCGCATGAAGCTGCTGCGCCTGACGCGCGGCGCGATCATGCGCGCGCCCCTCCTGCGCGCGCGCGCCGATGCGTGGTGGGCGGCGCAGGCGCAGGAGGGCACGTGGGTCCGCGAGGACGCCGCCGTGCAGGACATGGCGCGGCGGCTGGGCACCGGGTTCGGTGACGAGGACGAGGACGAGGACGATGGGTCGGGCTCGGAGAGCGGGGGTGCTGGCCCGCTGCGCGCTAAGGCGCAGGAGTCGGTCGCCTCGCTGGCTGCTGGGTATGCTCCCAGCGAGTTCTGGAGGATGGCTCCGTCGTGAGCTATCGACTGTACTGTAGTAATACCGTTATTGTACTCGCCCGCACCGTTTCTTTGCGTATATTACAGTAAGCGAGTGAGCCGATCCGTCATCAGAATACACGTGCGGCGGAGAATACATACTCCCTGCGCGCTCTTTGCATGCTGACTCATGAGGTGTTTATCGAATGCGGTATATTTCGGAGAGGGATCCTATTCAGGGCGGTATTTGGTGGAGGCGTGACAACAGCGGTCAATAATGGAGCAGACGTGCTCGATATATAAGAGAGCTGCAGAGACAAGCACTTCCCCAGTCCATCCAGATCCAATCCAATCCAATCCAAACCAGATCGCGCACCAACCTTACAATGCCCGCTGTGCGCGACCCGCGTTGCTCTCCCGAGCAGCTCGCGCTGACCGCCCTTTGCAGACCATCACCCAAACTCCCGCTTGCCAGAACTGCGGCGATGCCCAGTGCGCCTGCGCCTCGTGCGTCCCTCCCTCCCTCTAATTTCTAATCTCGATGTCGCTCAGCGCTGACGATGAGCCTTGCTACGTAGGTGCGCGTGCGAGGCAGGCAGCTGCGAGTGCGCTGCGGGGGGATGCAAGTGCTGAGGTGCTCCGCCAGACGTGAACGCGCCACTTGCCCCATCTCTGAACTTTGGGAGTCCTGGAAGGAGAAGGATCGTGCAGTTTGACTACATGTATGCAGGGAAGGTCTCAGTGTCAAAGTTCACGATATCCCAATTTAAAGCTTAGATGCTTGTGAGGAATTTTGGAGCAGACTTGTACGGATGCAGAAATCGCTCGTTAGAGAGTCGCTTCCAAGACCAGCATTGAATTTGCCTTCACGTGCAAGTTATCCGCGCGTCACGTGCCAAATCTCCCAATCGCGGTGTTTCCATCCTCCACCACACGGAATTCAGTCGCTTGCTTGTCGGCAGGTACATTCAAGGCTATATGTGGCGCAGTATTCTGTGACAGGATCCTCACCGAGCGAAATTCCTCACACCTCCAAATCGTCCCTCACAATGGACACTGCATCCTCATATCCGCGGGACGGAGCTCGGTGCAGCCCATATGCAGGACTGCGGACTAGCTTCAAACATGAGCGGTATTGTTCTTTTCAGCTGTGGATTGCCTGCCCTGGCTGCTCCCGTCGAGATGATGAAGTTTCGCCAGAGAGCAGAGGCGAGCAACTGGGGGGTCTGACCCTTCTACAGTAATCTGTTCTCTGGCGCAGGAAACCACCTACCCGCGTTCGAGATTGTAATCGCAACCCATGCCGTATAAGAACCATCGTGGAACGGCTCTGAGGGCTACATCGGTCTGACATGCGCTCCATCCTCAGCCTCTTCTTCACTATCACTCTTCTGTCGGCCTCGGCTCCCACCGCTCACGGCCTGGACCTGTTTCCGTTCTTCAATGCCGTGATATTCTCCGCCGGAGTCTCCGGGACGGAAACTATCGGGAACGGTAACTACACCAAGTTTGGCCGCGTCCTCGTCGCGCCACGCGGGGCCAGAGACTCGAAGAACGCCCCGCAGGCGGTGTATGTGTCGACCGACCAGACCGCGCAGCCGATGGCGGCTGCGGCGGTAGCCCTTTCCGACATGCTCGTGAGCCGCGAGCCTGCTGCTCAGCCCGGGGTCTGCAGTTCGCTCATGTTCTGCGCAGTGGACCATCCACTATGCGCCTGATGTCGTCACGGACGAGGAGAAGTACATATTGAATTGCAATCCCTCCGCGAAGCAGCTGCTGGTCCTGGTAATGGTGTCCTTGGATTCTCCGGCCGAGTTTGCTCCTGAGCCTTGTCCTGTAGTCGCAGAACGACACTGCCTTGCAAGTCAGTGCGGTAAGACGGGATGCTGTCCAAGACCCGGCTTCGGTGTACACGTTCAGCATCAGACCTCGCCGAGTCATTCACCCGGTCCTCCAAGACCATATATCCCGGACATCTACTACTCGGCGAGTGCTCTCGTCCCTCTATTGCACAACGCCACTTGATCTGACCGACTTCGATCATACAGTTCTGCGCCGATCACACCGACCTGTCGTGCTGGACTGTCGACGACCAGGGCCAGGTGTGTACCAACACGGTTGTGCGATCCCGTTTGATCATCTGCTGCTCTTTAGATATCGCTCAGCGCGCTCACCACGGCGCCGACCATTCCGGACAACCAGCTGTTTTTGATGTCAATGTATCCCGCGCTTGACTCGGACCCCAGCCACGAAGAAGGCACCGCACTCGCGGACACAAAGGGCGCTTTCGCTGACCTCTTTGGTCCTGGGAGCCCCGGGAGCAAGAAGCCCCGGGCCGCTTTCCCCGGTGCTTGAGCATCCGTCACAACCTGCGATGTACTGCAATCCTCGCTTTGGGGCAAATGGTTGGCAGGAGTGACTGGAGACAGCTTCGCTGCAACATTCCGACACGATTTTTGCCGCGGTTACTACTTTTGGTTTATTGTATCTTTGTCTCTATTCTGACTCGTGTGATGCACTGTGCTTGCGCCTCCGTGACTTCAGCGTGGGATCGATGCTACGATGCTGAACAAATGCATGATTAGTAAGAGAGAGGGCTGAAAGTCATGACCCTCATCTTGGAGGTCTTGCCACATTGCAGATTCTGAGAGCGTCTGTCTGTTAGGTTGAAAGTTCTCTCTCGGTGAGCTATGAAGGATGACACCGTCGTGAGCTACGTACAGGAGGGTGGGTAGTACCATTGATGTACTCGCCGACATCGTTTCCTCGCACATGCATACAATAAGCCTTTCATTGAAATACACGTGCGGCGATGGATGCTCCCCAGCCTGCATGCTCCTTGCACGCTGACTCATGAGGTGTTTATTGAATGCGGCATATCTTGGAGACTGATCCCATTCTGTGCGCTACTTTGCGGAGGCGTGACAACAGCGGTCAATAATGGAGCAGAGGCGCTCACCATGTAAGAGAGCCGCATAGACAACCATCTCCCCAGTTCACCCAGATCCAATCCAATCCAGCCAAATTCAGATCTTCATCCAGCTTACAATGATCGCTGTGCGTGACCCCCCTCACTCTCCTGAGCAGCTCGCACTGACCACCCCGTTCCAGATCATCACCCAGACTCCCGCTTTCCAGAACTGCGGCGATGCCCAATGCAGCTGTGCCTCGTACGCCACCACTTTCCCATTCTAAATTCAAACTTCAATGTCTCTGACGATGGGACTTGCTAGGTGCACTTGCGAGGCTGGCAACTGCGAGTGCGCTTCGGAGGAATGCAAGTGCTGAGGTGCTCCCTCAGCCAATTGCCGAATGTCTGAAACCGAAACTGGGAAGTCGTCGAAGTGGAGGATTTTAGTGTAATGTGAATATATGTTGGCAAGAATTCTACAACATCCTGCTGACTTGAAGCTGAACTTATCGGTGGGGGCGTTTTGAAGAGGCCTTTACGGACACCGAAGAGACTGAGACTTCATTGTAGATGACATCCATAGCTTTCAGCATGTGATCGACACGAAGAAAAAGAAATATCGAACAAATGTATAAATAGTCAGAACAACAAGCTAAAAGTCATAGCCCTCCACCTTGAAGGTCTTTCCATACTGCAAATAGCTATCCATAATTTTCAGAATCGGCTCTGGCAGACCCATGCTGAGCAGCGTATACGAAATCTTGGCGTGCCCATGCAGCTGTCCAAGCTTGAAAAAGCACCGCGCAATCTGGGTCGGGTACTAGACGAAAAGCAAAATTAGCCAAGGGAGATGCTTCACGCATGACAAGCCGAGCCACGCACGGTCATCTCGGTATACTCGGCGTACTGATAGGCAGCTACGCGAATCGCTGTCTGGATGCAGCGCTGGATGTCGCCTTCCTCGGCATACATCTCCATCAGCTTTCCCCACGGCTTGACGGAATAGCGAGGGGTATCCAGGCATCTCTGGTATGCTTCTTTCGCGTCTTCCTTGTGCTGCAAGCGCAGGCCCAGGTCGCCTAGGATCTCCCATTCAAGACCCGTCTTCCGGTATGCCACGTGTTGGGTCTTGAAGTGGGCCACCTCTGCACGGAAGATCGTCCACACCCGAAGGTCCTAGTATTCTATCGTGAGAAACAATGGCAACTCGTCATCTCACCCCCGTACCTCATAGAGGACCATGAACAGATTGTCCAGCCATCTTTCACATAGCCGCTTGTTGCTGAACGAGAATGACTCTGAAGCAGCCTGATCCTTCGTAGCTGGCTCCGTCGCCTCGGCTGTTTCAGGTTCTGCAGCCGCTGCCTGCTCCGGCTTCTCTAGAGCATCCGTGACGACACTGGTACTCATGCTGAGTGCCGGCTTGGGCTCCTCCCGTTCTGATTCAGTCGAGATCCTGATAGTAGGGATCCCATTCTCGGACGCGTGCCCATTCACCGGTGGGGGGGAGACATCCTCGTTCTCGAGAGGACTGATGGCCGTCATCGCAGGGCTGACCATTCCACGCGTCGAGGCATTGTCGTGCGGCTCTTCGTCGTCAGCCAACGTCGTTCCCTCGCCCCCAGATCCCGAACGCAGATGGCTCGCCATATCACCCTGTGCTTTCTGCATCCGGTACTCTTCCTCCATAACAAACACCGCACTTCGCGTTTTCAGCAGCTCGTCCCATCCAATCTCAGACACGAGCTTTGTCAGCAGAGTGTAGGCACGCGCCCAGGTGCCCCGGAGCCCCGGTGCCGGCAAACGCTGCAGTGCGGGATCAGCCTCGTCGTCATCCGTCTTCACGCGGTCCGGGAGGATGTCGCCGATGGATCGATGGAAGGGCAAGTGTACGCGTGCAGGCGTTAGTTGGCGATGAGCGTCTCGGCCATTGAAGGTGAACATGGGACATGAGTTGAGTGTCAGCAATGCCTGTTAGCCGATGTGCCATGAGCGCTAATCGGCAGCACTGCATAAGCTTTCACCCACCGATTCGAAATGCCCCAGTTCGATATAGACTTCAGTCAGCTTTTCCCACGTCACGAATTCACTTGGAGCAGCGTTCACAGCTTGCTTGGCCAGTTTCATCGCCCATTCAGTTTTGCTCTTGGAACGCAGAAAATCGCACTGCGCATGTAGAAGTGTGTACGATGCCGGACCAGGTTGACCGCGCAGTGAATTCGACATGATCTGTAACGCTTTTACTTCTTCGTCTTCAGTCAAAGTGTTAGATAAGTCTCGTATTGTGGAGAGAGATGACGACGCACTCATGCCAACATAAGCCCGAGCAAGAAGAGAAGTCACCTCCGGCTCTTTCACGGACAGCTTCTCAAACAGATTTGCCACCTGTTGAAATCGTCCAGAAACGCCGAAGTACTTCATCAACCCGGCCGTGAGGTGATTCGTTGTTACCGAGGCTACCTGGATCTCGGGGTCAGAGCCAACTTGCCAGCCTGCAACGAGATGAGTTCGGCTGAGACGGGCTTCTTCAAGAAGCTCTCACCCTTCAGGAAGAGCGCTTCAGCGGCAGCAAGGAATCGCAATTCACCCTCAGGGGTGGTGATAGGATCCAGCTTTCGGTAGGCATCAAGCGCATATGTCGGGTCGTCCGAGTACAGAATGGCCCGCAGAAGCGCAGAGACGTAAGTCTCTTGCCACATTTCTGGTGTCGCATCGTGTCTGATACACGAAGCCTGAGCATCAAACGTGGAGATGGTGGACTCCGCGCACCTCTCGCCTCTCAAATCCACCACGTATGCTATGACGCCCCCAGGAATCTTCACATCGACGCGGAAGTCGACGCGCGAGAACGCATTGAAGCAGCAGTAGCACCCGTTGCGCACTTTCCACGCCGGAGCTTTGGAGAACCACGCGCCCGAATCCTCGATGGCATATGTGAGCGAGTTGATGTATGCGGCGAGCGACGCGGAGGACGAGGCGTCGACGCCGGAGACAAAGTGGTACGAGCCGAGATCGCGCTGGCCTGACTTGCCGGTTGTTTTCACGACGTGGCACAGGTCGGGCGGCCCCAGTTCACGGAAGGTAGCTGAAATGCGCGTCAGGGGAGCGCTGTGCGCGGGAAGCTTGAAAGGACTGACATAGACTTTCGGTGCGCGCAGTGAGCGACTCCCCGAGATCAACCTGCAGCGAGTGTCAGCGCCATGATGTCGCTCGACTGTCTACGCACCTCGAAGAGCTCAGGGATGTCTTTGAATGTAGCAAGAGCCTCTGCCATGTTTCAAGCCGGTGGGAATGTCTGGCGCGAGGTGTAGCAGGAACGGGCAGGCAAGTCTGTGGATGATGCGCCGGGTCAGGGATCAGAGTGAGGCGCCGCGACGCCAGAGCGACACGCACTTTGATGGAGGCGTATGCGTATGCCTGTGATATTATAGCTTGATCTGAGAAAGAGAGAAAGCCGTGAGCGATTGCTGACGAAAATTTGGCGCGCCAGCGTCTGCGAAAGATCGCGCGTCACCGCCCCAAGACAACTCTGCCGATAGACGAGAGAGATGTCTCGACGCTGACCAAATGCGAAAGAGAGGGGAAAGTAGGGATGGAAGGGAGTAGGGACACATATGCGCCTTTGGGGCCAGACGAAAGAAGAGGCGATACATACCTTAAACTCCTTCGTCAATCACGCCTCCAGTCCAGCCAGATCTCTTCTGTCCTAATACACGAGTTGGGTCTCCGTCGAAAACGGCGGTTTTGGAGCAGCGCGTCGGCGGCAGCGGAGACGTAAAAAGATGGGAGAATGAAGAATGGGCGAAGCAAGAAGGCGATACGCGATGAGAAACACGTCATGTCACCTGCTGCTTGATCGCTCGTCGCTGCACTCGCAAAACAAAGACAGTAGCAGATACAA